AGGTACGATACTTTTGCTCGGTACTAAAAAGGTTAAGTATAGGGGAATTTTTTCAGACTTTTATACAATCTGAAACACAGCGTAAGAACCTGCTCTGAGCCTTACAGCCGCAGGCTACTGACGGAAGGTGCAAAGTTACACGTTGCCGGCGGAGGATTAAATATTCGATTCTCTCGTCGTGATTACGTAATTTGACGTGATGCGAGAGTTATTGTAATTTCACACGACTGACCGCCGGTCTTTTACCGCGCGCACGGTCTCGTCTATGCGAAATATAGAATAATCGCGAATATCTAGGAATAGGTTTTGTGTCAAGTATTTCGCGTGTTTCACCAAGCCGGAAAATACTGCCGACTGAACGAGGCTCTCACAGTCACGACCGGCGGTTTCGAGTTTTCCGGCATGCCACGCATCGTTATTTTCACGAACCACGCACTCTCGCGACGTTTAGATTATGTGTATTGCGCCATTGCGCCACGTGCGCAACGAAAACTCCCATACTTCCCCCGGAAAGCGTAAACTCCACGACGAACTCGAAGTCAGGCTCTCGCCAAGCGGAACGACGAGCGATCGATCCTAAATTGATATTTTTATTTGAGCCCGTATGAAATGTCGGTAAAGTGTGAATGAAGTGGAAGACGTAAAAGTGCGCGAGAAATTGAAATATCAGTTTGCGTAGTTCAACGTTCTCTGAGCAAGTGCTGAGAATTTCTTAATCGTCAACGAGACAAATAGCGTCGTAACGTTTTTCCACGACGAAGACAGGTATTGTATCAGAATTATTATATCAATTTTTATATTATCATATTTACTTTGAAACACTATGTATATATTACATTATCATATTAATATGTTGCGTGATGGCATTTATTAATGTTAAAATATTAATATTAATCGTATGAATATCGTAGTATACGCATCGTATAAATATCGTGTATTCATCAGACAAGCTTTTCAAGAAGAAAAATGTGCGAATTACAGTGATGCTGAATATACATTGTAACCGTTCGCACGCCCACGGTTGTTCGGGTTGCATCCCGGCGACCCGCGTGTCGCTGACGTGCGGTAGCGCGACTGTGACGGTGCGACGGAGCCGTTGCACTTTTACGCACGTCAACGTCCGAGATTGATGTCGACGAGATTTCGGCCGGGCGGAAAAGCGCGCAAACGTTTTCCACGGTGAGCGTGACGCATCGCGAGAGGCTTTCGCGCCGGACTTGCGTTTCAATGAATTGAACGGTCCATTGATCGATCGATCAATCGATCTATGATTGGGCAAATCAACCATTATCGTCCCTCAAGGGGCGAAATTCAGTCAATTTCACCCGTGAATAATTACCGCGAGCGGAAACCTGATGTTACGGTATTACACGGGAATGAGTCGGCTCTCGTGAGATTAAAAGAGTTAATTGTATCGATTAGTCGCGTCGGCAACGTTAAACCCTGCATTTTTAACTCGATTCACCCCGGGACCGCTGTCTGCCGTCCGAATCGAGCGATGTTTCCGTAATGTTCCGTTCAATTATTCCCAAAAGAACCGCGACTCCCGCGTCGGGGGATTCGTATAGAGGTCGTCTGCTGAGACACCCGAGCTGGCTCAATAAAAGTCAACGCGAGAGACCCACGCGTCACGTGCCAGCATTCGGAAACGTTTACAACTCGACGAAGCGTAATTTTCGATGTCTACGATGTGTACGCGCGAGGGCGAAGGACGGACTAAAGGCGACGCAGATCAATTTCACAGCTACATTTCGACACGATTTTTTATTCGGCGCGAGCCAAAAATGCTCCACTAATTCATCGCGTTAAAAATTATTTGGGATCTGATTGGAATTTCAGGTCGATTTTCCAAAATAATGATGGATTCTAGTTGGGAAATCTCTACACAGAAAAATATTACTTATATTGCGAAAAAAACAATTACTCAGTTTATTTTTCTTCTTTTCAAGAAATGGTTATTTTGAACGAGGAATATTTTCTTGATAATAGTATTAAAATATATTCGCCACAAATATTAGAAAAGCTTGTCATCATTTACTCAAAAGAAAAAATTATTCTCTCTTTTCAAGAATATTATAAACTTTATCGAGGAAAAGGTAAATTCCGCTAATTGGAATAAGTAAACGGAAACTTTAGTTTTAATGTGTTAATCTAATATTGAATTAATTTTTGATTGAAATACTAAATTTACTAGGACTGCGAATATATTTTGAATAAATTTGATATGTTTATGATGAACGTATACTTGCGGATATATAAACTTATAAAATACTTGAAACAAATACCTTCTTTTGAGTAAAAAATAATGAGCTTTCCTAATATTTATAACGAATATATTTTAATATTATACTATTTATAGAAAATATTCTTTGTTCAAGGTAACTATTACTTAAAAGAAGAAAAACATGCTGAATAATTATCTTTTATCGCAGTACAAATAATATTTTCCTCTGCGTACGTGTGCGCAGGTCCCTGTATATAGAAGATTTCCTGAGATCTAATTGGAATCTATTTCTGTCTGATTTCCCAAAATAATGATGGATTCCATTTGACGGATCTATGCAGATTAGAAGTGTAATGTTTCAAACATATGATTCCAAGCGAATGAACTTCTAGAAAACTAAATGGCCTGATTTGATATAACCGATTTTGTAATTTTTTAATAATATTTCTACAAATCTCTTTTATCGCATTCTCGTTTTTTTTTATTAAAACCGTAAAACTAGTTTCGTTGCTAGAATTAAAAACGTGATATCGAAAGCCGTTTTCGTGCTCGTGATATGTGTGCGTAGCGCTAACCTTGAATTTAATTATTTCAGCTTCGATATGGTCAATTTTTTTCTAACTTCGCACGAGTGTAAATCGTGTTACGAAAAATATGCTGTTAAAATCTGAAGGAAAATCCGAAAAGAAAATAAATTGACGAACCAACTGCCTTAATCATAGTAACATTAAAAATTTAATCTCATTGATTAACCTCCTAATCTGATATTTGATTAAACTGTCACTAGACTCTCGTGGCGACGTTTGCACGAAACAAAAGCTGTCCGCGACAGACAGCCAATCAGCATCGCAGAAAAGAGGCTACATTCCATGTTTGGGATAAGAAAAATAGGATTCCCGATTGTTATCGTAGTGGGGTAACCTTCGAGATCAACTTTGAGCGTTCCAGTCGGAATCTATGCTGCTATGCTATGTGTGAGAAAATCTGGAGAAATTTCTATGCGGGATGTCACGCGATTACGGCGTAATCGTGACGATACGCGCGCTCTGCGAGGGTGGCGGCAGGCCGTTGCTTAATCGCGAGTGACAGCCACGCGCGTGAGAAGTAAACGAAGAGTATATTACACACACGCGCACGCTACGATATGATATATCGGCCATATTTAAAAGCCAATTAACGCTAATTGCACTAAACCTCGCCTCGCATTCCTCGTTTACTTATATTATCGTCGTAGAGCTAGTTACTTAGAGTTATGACCCCTCGAATGGGACGCTCGCGCGGTCGCGCCGACGAAAGTTAATTAATTAAAATCGCCGGCGTAACCGAGTCTAAAAGAATTAATTACGACACGACGGCACTTGATTAAACGTAACTCTAACTCCTTCCGTCTTTCCTTTCCCGCGATAATCCGTAGTCCTATAGACACGAAAAACAAACACCTACGGTAGAAGCGAACAGGTCTACCAGGCTGATCCACTGGCGCGAAATCTCGTCCGAGTCGATCCTGCTCACAATCCGACCTTTGACCCCTTTTTCAGGGGGCAGCGCAATGTGTGCCATCCTCCTCAAGATTTGTCAACGTGATGAGGAGGACAGCAGCGACGTCGACATCGCAATACGACTTTTATATCGTCCTTTCTCTCCCTATCCCCCAACCCTCTCTCTCTTTCTCTCTGATTCTCCCGCTCGCTCTTCCCAGCCTCGCTACTCGACAATTACGCGCTAACTTTAATTAGAAGATTTCGCGACGGCCTCGGAAGCGCGCGCTCCTACGCGAGAACATTGAAATTCCGCAGGGCGCCATGCGCCGAGACTGGCGTTCCTTTCCTCGTAGTTTCCTCATCGTGACCTCTCGTAGTCGCCGCGGTTACATCATTGAAAACAGCGGGGAGGAGCCGTGACAAGTCGTATCGCCACGTAGTTTCGCCGACGCGCGAGCCCTCATCTGGATGTCCGTTTCGGGAGCGAGCCGATGCGCGGGGACCCCGGGGTGGAAAGTCAGAAAGGGGCCGAGAAGGAAACGCGCTCGGGAATAGCCAGGTCCTGATGGTCGCGCGTTGCACGGTAACTTTGATCGATCGCGTCATCCCGAGTGTCAGCCTCGAAATATGGCAGCGAGGAGAGAAACATCGGAAAATTTCGGGAAAGCGGTGAAATTTTTTTCGAAATCTCGTTACTCTCCCTCTCAGATACGGAACATTGATTTCGATGCGCCCCATACATCACAAACGTTCAAAAGACATCCTAGAGATGTCTGATATCTCCGGGTCGTCGCGTAGGATATCTTTTAAATATTTGTGCCGTATGCGATGTTAATACTTGTTAATTGGCTCCACGACGATCCGCACGGAGAAGCGATCTCATAGGAAAAGGAATTAATCCCGAGAATACCGATTTCCATGCGGGAATCGACATTCGCGATTTCCCCGCGCGTTTCGTCGAGAACTAAACGCGAAAACGTGACCAGACCGCCGAAAATACAGGCCCGGCCGGTCACGTTCCGCGCACCATTCTCGTCGCATGAACCCAAACACAGGTGGGCTGGCAAATCACAACAACGCCGGAACGACGAGAAAATGATTACGAGGACTCCATTCCCTTTCCATCGTTTTCTCATCATTTCGACGTCGTCGTCATTTTCCGCTTCGCCTGAGCAAGCGGTTCTCAGCTGCCGCTCGACTCGGCGCTATTCATCTCCCGACTATGACGACGTACAAACGTGAATACACGCGGACATATAAAGCGAGCGAAGGCGGACCAGGTGGCTGTGACATACCGTGCGACGCGGTTGGCTCCGAGTTTGACAAACTACCCCCGACGAGTCTCCTCCGTGTCTCTTCCGTGCGCTTCTTCCTGGATCCGGCAGACGCCGGGCGTCTTCGGAAGCGACCGAACCTGGCTCTTCCCCCGATCAACGGCGGCAACGTGCGACCGCAAGGATTCGCGCCGACGACCCCCCCCGACGCAACGTGAGCCGCGTTTTCGCGCCCGTCGATCACTCGAATCGACCGGCCGCCGATGGATCCCCACTCCGTCTTGATCAACGAGACTCTCTCTCTCGGCGGTTGTCAAAATATATATTATAAATATGCGTATACGTGCGTGCGCGCGGTTCTCTTTCTTCCGTTCACGCACTGATCACCCACCCACCACCACCACCAGTAGCACGACGCGACAGACGACAGCGGCGGCGTCGGCGACGTGGACGATCGCGAGGTCGGTGGCGGACTGGCGCGGGGCGACACGAGTCACCGTCGACGGCGAGTCGAGTCGCTCTGACGAGGTAGATCCTGGGGGGCCGTCAGGCTGGCTGCGTGGAGGCGGCGGGTGGCGAGAGAGGGAGTCAGAGAGAGGGCGAGAGCGCCGGAGAGAGAAAGACAGATAAAGAGAGAGAGAGGGTAAGAGAGCGGCGGGAGCGGATGACGAAGAGGGGAAGGGACGACGGCGTCGGCGTCGGTTCTTCGCCGAGGGCGTGGTCCTGGTGACGGGCGCGTTGTACCGAGGCAGCGGACGGAACGAACGCGCGGTCCAGACGCCGAGGGTTGCCGACGTCGTCGGCGCACCGTCGTCTTACTCTTCTATGCGACGAGGATGGGCGCCTTCCTCGTCGCTCCGGTCTCTCTTACGTAATTATCATTACCTGATCGCGCGACGTCTAACAGATGTGCGTCCCTCCCGCGAGGTCCCCGGAATTTTAATATCCCGGCCTCTCGTCGCATCCCGCGCGCGCCATTATATCGTATATTCCCTTTATGGAAATTGATAATCATTTTTCCGTCTCGCGAATCTCGCGTCTCATCTCTCCTCTCCGCGTATCGCGCGCATCTCGACATCGACGAGTTCGTGATCGTCGAACGGACGGATGATGCCTTTGCCGTTATCGCTCCTGTGTCGCTCTTCCGGAATCGGATGTTGATGAAACGGATCGCAGACGATCTCCGCCGAAAAATTTCCCTCCTCAGGCGAGGATTCCTTCCATTCCGCACACGTTGTCGCCGTGTCCTTCCCCTCTTCGTGCGTCCCGCCGAGATTCCGCCGACGATAGCGCATTCGTTATCACGCTCTCTCCTCGTGGTCTCCCTTCCCCCTCCCCCCGGCAGCAGGGAACAGAGGCACGAGTGAAATATCGTGATCGTGCGCACTCGGTGCGCAATGCTCCCTTTTTCCGCTTCTCTTCTGCGAGCAGGAACGCAGGGAGCAGCCCCGAGGGCTTTCTCGCCCGCTGGAGATCCGCGAGAGACGCCCGTCTCCACGGCGTGCGGTCCCCCCTTCCCCTCGGTCTCGTGGCTCGTTATTCGTTTTCGCGAAGCCCGTCCATGGACAACGACGAGGTTGACGGTAACGAGAATGCAAGGAGGAGGAGGAGGACGCGCGTTCGCCGCTGTTATTCGTTGTGCGTTACACGAGCCCGCGGAGAACAGAAATTAATCAGCGCTGTTGTAGATCTCTTTTTGCCACCGTTGTGCTTCACCGCAGCGGATTACATCGTAGTGCGTGTTCGGCAAAAACACGAGCCCGCGAACGACGATATTTTCCGCGCGTGCATGATGCGCGCGGAGGATGAAACGGTGTGTGTGTTGCGCCTTACACGACGCGCCGTAATAACGTGTAAAAGGTAAAAGTTGTTGAGAGTGCGCGAGCTCTTTTAATTCCCACGAAGGGCGATATCAAGGTGCAACTGTCATCGAGGGAGAGCAGGAGTACTCGGCGCGAATTATTAAAATTAAAATCGCTACGTCGGAACTAACATTCGGTCGCGCAAATAACGTGAAAAAATACGCGTGCTTTCTAATTACCGTCGTTATAACTCGGGAAATCAATTCGGAATTTCGGCCTCGTGTTGAAGATTCAATTTTGCAGCAGGAGCTAAGGGACGGCGAAATAGGTTCAGTTGGATATAATTTGCTCCTGCTTCGGCCCTAATGATGTCCCGACCCTTACAAAGATATTTCACCGTCTTTTCTCCTCACACATGACCTGTTTTTTACCTGTTTTTAAACCATTCTATCACTTTTATTCTCGTTTCTCGCACTCTCAGGCACGCGCAGCCTATTAAGCGAAGGAACTTTGACGAGTACACGCGAGTATGCATGAGTATTTTTGAGGGGATTGCCCGTCCTCAACACTCGTTTCTCAGCTGATTAGTGACACCATGTTAATACGTTCCTTTTTTGCTTCTTTTTCGTTTCAATATGACAAGAAGCACGTTAAAGAGTCGTGCATTTTCTCGTGTCACTTCAAAATGTGCAACAAGAGTGCTTGTGAAGATTAAACAAATATTTTGTACTCGCAGCTGAATATATTAATATGTTTATATTCTTCAAATTTATACAATACTGTACGTGTTTATTACTCAAAAATATTCAATAGTACATTAATACCTTTCAGATATACTCGTATGCAATCCGCTATAATCACTCATTATTACAAAAAAGCGCTCCTTTCTGACTTAAAAACGGGATTATACTTACTTAGCCAAATACACGCTTTCACTGCTTAAACTAACAGTTTACGCGAGTTAAAAGCAGCAAAATATTTTTGTAAGGAGAATTTCCGTTTTCACTGTCTTTAACGTCAAAATATTGCAATAAAACCTTAAGGGACAAAGGTAAATTCAATTGCAAACCTCTATTTAAGCCTTAGCTCCTGCAGAGAATATATTTCTTATATAAAATTAATAAAAAAAAAACAATAAAGAAAATATTACCATGTGAAATATATAAAATGTAAATTTTATTTATTGAAAACAATAAATTGTACATAAATATAACGATAATCTCTATTTACATAGAACTGATTATATAAAATTATTAATTATATTATTCATATTATTAATAATCTGTATTAATTAACATTTATTACAATTCAGTTAATATATACTGACAACTTAAATCTGAAGCACCAAAATATTGCAGTTAATTACACATATTTTTATATTTATCTTCTGCAGGCCGACTATTTCTTTTTTCGCGAGTCGTATTGAAAAATATAATACGAGTTTGCAGATCAGTGTGGATGATCTCGGTGATTAAAGGGCTTTGTATTTCAACGAAAGGGCCTTTTTAACACTGTTAATGATATACTTGCCTCACTCTTTGGCTGTCGATCGCGCTCGCGAATCAAGCTCTGAATTTCGCCCCAATTACTGCCCGGTATTTGCTGCTCGCCCGTGATCAAAGACACAGGATTACGTGTTGTAATGTAACGACACTGTTAGACGTGATTCGGGGACACGGATCGATTTTCCGAAACGTCTATCGCCCGGCGATATCTCCGCGTGCGATTGATAGTCGCGGAACGAACGATACGGGGAGAGCGATAATTGTGCTCTCTCTCTCTCTCTTTCTCTCTCCCTCTTTCTGTTGGAAAAAGGGGCGACGTAATTGTGTCACAGTCTGACAACGGCACTGGGGAAAGTTAGCGCGCGATGGAGCTCTTTGCAGTGCCGTTTTATCGTTAAGAACAGCTCGTCTAAGTGAATTATCCGGATCGATAATTTGCCGACGTAATTTGCGTGGGTGCTCCGACAAACGGAATAATTAATACGATCGAGATTATTCGTAGGATCCCCCTTTCGTGTCATAGTCGGATCTTGTTGTAGTAATACGGCGCGAGTCACGAGAGAGATTAAAAGAAAAAAATTACATCGCGATATCGGTGCACGGATTGGAAGTGAGGGAGCTTCGGCGCCGTAATGCGAGTTAGATTCATCGTATCGATAAAACGAGTTCTCTCGAGATATAAAAATAAGGGACGACATACCGAAAGAAACTAAAGTCTAATGTAAAAAAAAAACTAAAAAATCACAATTATTTTCAAATTTAACTGTATTTTTTCTGGTTTCATCTCGAAAATTAATAGTACGCAGAAAAAATGATAGATCCAAGTAAATATTTACTGTAATACTCTTTAGATATTCCTTATATATATGAAACAAGCGGAAGCACGAATCCTAAAAGAAGATCCTGAAAACTCGAAATTGTAACGACTCGTTACTTCTCAAGTAACGATAACGGTAACGAGTTACTTTTTTCAGTGGGTAACGAGCCACAATAACCAGTTTTTTCACAAGTAACTTCCGAAATTCCGTTATAATCCTTTCATTTATGCGATAATTACAATTACAGGTACCAAACATTTTTTCTCAGTATAAAATCCGGTTGCAAACCTAATACACATGCTTTTGTCGTCTTTTATTCTTGCATCGTTCACTTTCAATCAAAGAGCTCTAAAATCATAACATTTGCTCGATGAATCCCGTTTTCTCTTTGCGATTCCGTGAACACCGCAGGCATCTCACGCGGGCGAATTGTCAGACCAGGCCTGAATTTAAAATTAACGAAGTACGGTCGACGCATCGTCCCGCTGTGGGGGCGACCCGCGAGCAAGCGAGCGAGCGAGCGAATTTAATAATCCGCGTCGTCGTCGTCGTCTTCGGAGTTTCTTGCTCTGTGTCAGAGACAGGCCGCGAAACGTTCCGAAAAGCAGACGTGGACCTGACCCAATTGGAACGTTTCGGACGCGCACGGGGAACCAGTCGTAATAAAACGGCTAGGTGACATGCCTGACGGTCCACGTCGGACAAGGTTAAGCGCCGACCCTCGAACTTATAAATAACTGCGATACATTCCCGCCTCCTCTCTTCTCTTTCATTCTCTCTCTCTCTCTCTCACTCTCCGTCTTGCGTTCTTCGTGTCTCGTATGGCGACACGCAGTGTGCGAAGCTCTCGCTGCCATCCTGATCTGCCGCACGAAAGGTTCCGATCAGGAATGCGATAATAATTGGGTCACATACAAAAGGCCCCGGTAATAATCATCCTTTATTCGCTCTGAGATATAGACCTTTCGCGTGAAGAAGGACAATTTTTCGGCCGGCCGATCCGAAGCCGTCCGATCGTCGTTCTAACATTAATGATTGATCATCGTTATCCCCTCGGCCGCCATCAAGGATAATTGGGCGAGTAATTTGCGAAAATGACGAATGTAATGGCGAACGAATGCGTCATGACTTTCGTGTATCTGACACAGGCGAAAGATAAAACGTGCAAGGCCTGTTCTATATACAATACGCCGCACGTCGGATGTCTGAACGCGGCCGATGGTCCGATGGAGGAGAAGGAAAAGTATATTCGTTTTGGAAAAGTATTAGGTGCTTGCAAGAGTTCGTAAGATTACAAATAGATAGTTATAGCAGATACTTAACAATTGTTTCTCTTCAAGTTGCTTTTTAGTTTTTTTAAATGTTGACCATACTAGATCAGAGCTGATGGTTGGAAACTCATAGTTCCGAACAGAACGTCACATTTACGCGATCGAAGATGGAACCGAAGAAGTTCATCTTCACCATCGTATGTTTTACCGTTTTAATCGACGTGAAACTGCTGCTGACAACTAAAAGGCTGATTTGTGAGACCTATGGAGAGGATATTGTGTACGGTGCTGCCTGTGAAAAGTGGTTTAAGAGATTTAGAAGTGGTGATTATAATGTCAATGACGAGTCACGTTCTGGTTGTCCGAACAAGATAGGGAACAATGGATCACATTGCTGAACGAAAACTCGGCCCAAATATTAAAAGAGCTTGCAGGGCAGCTTGTAGTTAATGAGTCGACATCCATAACAAAACGCAACATCTACAGCCACAAGGTTCTCCTATGTATCTAGTGGGACCAAGAAGAAATGCTTTACTACGCTAACTATTATCACCGAGGGCAGGCAATCACAGGAGATCGTTACAGTCAACAATTATGGAGTTTGGACCGAGCCATGTAGGAAAAACGTCTTCAGATAATCGCGAATTGATGCAAAATTATCGATGTTTCATGAGAATGCCAGGTCGCATGTTGCTATTCTGACTAAAGAGACGTTGTTCAAGTTAGTTTGGGAAGTTCTGCCGCATCCAGCGTACTCTCCCAGACGTCGCCCTATCTGATTTTCATCTATTCAGATCGATGCAACACGGTCGATCTGACACACGGTTCCGAAATGCCGAGGAAGTGCGCAATTGAGCCGTTGAACGAATTACCTCGAAAGATGAGTCATTTTCTCGGCGCGGGATCAAACTATCGCACGAAAGATGGCAAGAGATTATTGATACCAACAGTCAATACTTCGATTAAAATATTGATTAAAATATTATGTGTCGTCTCATCGTTATTCATAAATAAAAATGGCTTTAATATCACATGAACTTTTGCAAACACCTAATAGAACAGTCCTAAGCCCGAGGAAGTTTTCAAACGGCGCGCTGAATTTTTTCGCCATGTTCGCAGATCGTTGGAATATTTCACTATGATTGGAACATCTTACAACTTACGTTGAATAGAATATACTTATAATGTGCGTACGTGTGTGTATATGTGTGAAACAGCTGCGTTTCTAGCTCTAGGATTAGAAACTTTCGTATCACCGCACGTGCGGCTTAATGAGTCCTTTCGCGACGTACGGTATTAACCGGAACTCGGAAAATTTCGCATCTACCTTAATGCTATGCGGTACGACGAAGTGTATATCAACTCGACACCAGCATGTGAAATCAGCTTGATCGCGCTAACGAATCATCAAAAATTCAACGAGCTTCTCTGCAAGGGACCGGATTTCGTTCACGTTCTAAATTTCTAGGAGTGAAATCTCACTCGCAGAGTGGAGTGACCATCGAAGTAGGACGGAAAATCACGTCAAAATGATGTCGAAATGACGAGAAAGTGATCCAAAAGTGAGTTACATAGCCATTTTTTCATCATATTGTCACGTCCTGATTGTCGTGTCGTAATTTTCTGTTCCGTACAAACCAATATTTATAAGTCTCGTATTTAAGATCTTTTTTTTATATTTAAGTTCATCTTAAAGAAGTTGTAAGGTTTAACATCGTATTATCAGTGACGCACCATTTATAAAATTAGTATTTTTCAAGCAAAATTACTTTCTTACACATTAATGTCACTATTTAAATAATGAATGTCAATTTGAAAAGAAGTTAAGGTAAAAACATATACACACATTGAGAAAAATTTTCATCAGTTAAACTGATTAAATGATTGTTATTTTTATTGTCCGATTAAATGATGAATATCTTTATCCAACGAAATATCCGATGAAGTTATTAATGCAGTTACTGATACAATCTAATCGGAAAATTAGTCGTCCTTTATATATCCATCAGGTAAAGACTTGATCGGATGAAATGACGACATGATCGGACATTGCACTTGATCGGATATATCCGTTTGTTACTTTTCATTTGGATTATCCGATCATAAGTGGTCGGATATTTCCCTCAGTACAATATTATAAATACGAAAATTGTATTTTTTTATTTTTGTTATTATATGTTATATTTATGCATCAGTTAATTTAACAGAGACTTAGAAGATATTAAAAAATTAAAACTAGCACGCTAATTTTTCAAGGAACACGTATAAAAAATGTCAATTGTCATTGCAAATATCTTAATTTTCAAATAGTCTTTTTCTAATTGTACGAGCAGTTATACGTAATACTTCGATATATACATAATGCACGTTTTATCAAATTCTTATCAAATTCATTTCACCTTACAACCTCCTTAAGATGTCCTGCAGCCAATAAAACGATCTGTACAATACCTGAAGATGAACTTGAGATTTGATTTTAAATATAAGATTTGATCGGGAATACCGTCCATAAAATGAATTTTCCACGCTAAATCGTCGAGTGAATATCTTCACTAAAAATTGGAGAGTGAATCTGACATACTCCACCGTTTCACAGAAATATATTCACTCCAATCGATTGACACATTCGTTCAAGCAGAGTCAAAATCCAGAGTCTTTGTTCAATAGTCGGAGCATGTACACGTGCTTCCAGTTTAATAGATAAGGTTGGAACTACAACAGGTGTATAATAAGCCTTTAGTATTTTGCTCCAGCCACTAAATTATAACGTAATTTCTAGCAAGAAGCGTTTCCAGCACTACCAGACGTCGCAATTCCCAAGATTTAAACGTAATCACGTTTGGTAACGCGGTAAATGCTTTTTGTAAGAAATTATGTTACATTCTACAAATAATGTTACATTATCTTACGTTTTATCGCTTAGAACAAAAGACTAAACGCTTATTACACCTATTGCAAATCGGCTCTTTCTCTCCATCTGGCAATCGAACGCATCGTCTCTTGCAAGCTCGAGAAAAGTTCGACGTAAAAACGGGCTCCTCGTCGAACACAATTTTTCATAACGCAGCATCATAAGCTGTGTAGCATAATGATCTGCGAAACTGAGGTAATTTCTCGCTCGCGGGAATACGTCTAGTCGCGAGAGAGAGAGAGAGAGAGAGAGCTTTTCTGCGGGAAATGCGAATACACATATGCGTGTGAGCGCGTCACGGATAAACCGCTCTGTTGTGCGTGCAAACTCTGTATATATGAGTGTACACACGCGCGTCGTGCACGCGATAACTTAATTTGTACGAAATAGCTCGGAAGCGCGTCTCTGCCACGGGGGAATGTCCGTTGCAAGTAGACACCAACGAGTCGCTACCAAACTGGATATTAGGTGATCTACCGTCATTATAATTTTATGTTTTATATTATGTATCTTACGCTTCTGTTGGTTTTATCAGATAGGATAGTGGATGAGCGTAAGAAACATAAGCAATAGAAAAAGCCGCAGCTTGTCAGCCTCGTGTATTTCCGGCAGAGTTTACGTTTAATATCTATTAAGTTCGACCATTCTCCGGCAGAAAAACAACGAAAAATAAATTTTTATACTAAAATAAAAATTTGTGACGCAAGAATCGAAATTTTACCTGGATATAATAAGAGCACATAAATCGTAGATTTACCGTACATATTCCTTTTAATAATCCTTTTCTTGGTTCTAAAGAAATTTCAACTCACGGCCACCCAGTCTTCACCAAAAATGTTGTCGCATAAAAATTAAAATTATCTGGATATAATAAAAGAACATAAATCGTAGATTTATCTATTCAAATTCATTTTAATAATCTTTTTCGTTTTAAAGAAACTTCAATCTCCGGCCACCTAATCCCTCTACTAAAAATTTCATAGCGCAAAACTTGAAATTATCTGGATATAATAAAAGAATATAAATCGTAGATTTATCTGTTCAAATTCGTTTTAATAATCTTTTTCGTTTTAAAGAAACTTCAATCTCCGACCACCTAATCCCTCTACTAAAAATTTCATAGTGCAAAATTTGAAATTTCATAGCGCAAAATTTGAAATTACCTGAATATACAGGGTGATTGAAGAGGAAACCGCAATATTTGGAGAATGTGTTCAGGAGATCAAATTGGACAAAAAAATTTTTTATACTTTTATATATTTTTGGTTTATTTTGATCCCTCGAACACATTCTCCAAATATTGCGGTTTCCTCTCCAACCCTCTATAAAATCATGCACTTACTGTAGATATTCTTCTTAACAATCTTTTTTATCTTAGAGCAATTTTAATCTCTAACTACTCAGTCCCCCTGACTGAAAATTTCGCGACGTAAAAGTCGAAATTACCTGGATATAATATGGTGACGATGAAGTACAAGTAATCAGAGATGAAACTTTTTATCGTTAGTTGAAAGAAGAAAAGGAAAGATAACGTAAAATAATAACGGATTTGAATACAGGACTGAGGAATAATATTAATTTGAATTCGATTGCACTGTTTTCCTTACGAGTCCTTTATCTCTTGTAAAGCGACAAGAGATAACGAGATAATGACAGATAATGTTGAGATATTTCGTACCAATAGCTTAATATCAATATCTTAATATATTTATATTTTTTCTCCTTTCTTTGTTACTTTATTAACGATTAACCGGTAATGAATGATATAACATCCACGATATGAAAAAATGAGTCTGGTGAATGATCTCGGTCTAGATTTTCACCTGTCATAGAATTCGTAGGAGAAATGTAATCGCAAGCAGAGGTTTTTACATATACCATTCGACCATATCCCTGACAGGAACATCGTTTTATTACAAAAAAGTATGCACGATTACATTACAAGATTATTTTACAAGATTACCATCTATATAATTTATCTTGTATTATTTTGTGTATTGATCTTAATATTTCGGTATTTGATACAGCGTGCGCACGGAAAGCCCCGCACGTGCATATGACTCTATATAATTAACGATATATAATATGCGATTAATAAAAATAATTTTATAACAAAATTTCCTAAAACATACTTGGATCGGAGTCCCGTAGATTCCGATATCAGGCAGATACTTAATAATTGTGTTGCAACAATTATGTATAATTACACACTCAATGCATTGTGTACCGTCGAATGCCTAATGCTTCCTCCGCTTCTCGCGATCATCTCTCTTGTCGCGATCATCCCTGCTTCGCTTATTTGTCGTCGTGGTGGAACTGCTGGCGCGTTTGGCCTGCTTCAAGAACTGATCCAAACCGAATGGATCCTCCTCGTCTTTCTCGAACTGCACCGGTCCGGAACGCGTGGCCGATCGGTCGGTTCCGCTGAACTCCTTGTCGGGAACGAATCTGAAAAGACGAATAAACGGCTTGAAGTCCCGCGCACGACGCGCATCCACTCACTCGCGAGTGAAATCATTCTAGTAACGCGCCGCTCACCTGTTTGTCTTGACCAATTTCTCAAGATCGTCGCCGTAAGTGTCTTTATCGATGTTCTTGCTGGGAAGATAAATGTGCGAAGCGAAGCAGTTGCTGTCCTTCCACGGCTTGTCATATACGTTGTACTCGTCGTCGTGGCCGTAACCGCTGTCCATGCCTTTACTGGTGTTGAAGAGACGCTGATCGAACTGCGCCTCCCCGGTGTTCGGGATGCTCTTCGCGGGCAAGCCGAGAGCGATCTGCTCGCTGATGTCGCGCTCACGCTCGCGTTGCAGACGAGACCGTTTGTCGGGCGCGGCGCGCGCCAAATTGCGCTCACGAGCGCGATCTTTGTGCCGCTCTTGTCTGAGCTGGTCCCTCTCGCGCGACTCCTCGGCTTTATCTGTAAACCATATAAACATGTTTATTCACAAATCGTTAATAAAATATATCTCTCGTACATTTTCTTATTATAACATTATCAGAGTTATCTTATTACAATTTACACATTTTCTTTTTTCTCTTTTATTACTGGTATTATTAATAATTAATTTTTTCTTTCAATTCTGTCAATTTGCAAACAACCGATCTTGTAGCGTTCTTAGAGGGCTTGTCCTAGAATGAATAATAAAGGATTTGATCTATCTACTTCTGAATGATACATCAGTGAGTCTTTGGACGTCGTTTCTGTCGCCGCCTTGATCTAGCTTTCCGAAATGTTTCTTTCATCTGGTCGATTATACGAACCTAATGCCGTAGCGGATTTCAAGCCAGCGCGCTCCTCTCTGGCTTTCTGGGCGAGTTGTCTCAAGTGATCCTCCTTCTTCTCTTTCTCCTTCTGAGCCAGTTTCTTCTCCAACTGCGCCCGCATCTCGACGGCTTCACGGGCTTTCCTGTCGGCGATGTACAAAGCTTCCGCTAGTTTGGCGAAGTTCTCGTTGATGTGAACTTGTTGCAAGCCGCGGCCATCCGCGGCAAGACGCTTGTCCAACGGAATTGTATAACCCTGAAATCAAATGCGGTTTTCTTTACACGCACGGCCGAATAAGAACATCTGTGCCTGTCGATGCACAGTTTTATTAACTTCTTCTTGACGATAATAATGTATTTTCCAGGTACCTTTGCGTTTTTCCAGTTACTTATGCACGGTGGAATTTTCCATTCCTTTTGCTCCTTCACCGTCACTTTCCTGGTAGGAGAATGTATGACAGGTGCTGGCGGGGACGGAGGGCCTCTCGGAATCTTCTTGTTGATTCTGCAATGGTGTATCTTTCGATTAATACACCCGGCAATCGTAACTTATGGCTCATTAGATCCTATGCGAGCTCTATTTAAGAAAGTTCTAGCGCTAAGTGCCGTATAAAGTTGCAAAATTAATTTGACACAGAACCTTCTTTTTTCCAACCTCTTTTCTCATGATTTTGTCAATATTAATTTTACGACCATTTATTGATTGTTCGAACAAGAGAAATGTGCTCGTCCAATTTTACAAGTTTGCTGAATCGATTACAAATGTCATTTTATGAATATATCTTTTTATTTGTGAGTATAACGCAAAAAATGTTGGCGTGCGTTTTCTCGCTTCTGACGTCACTACAAACAAGGACAGTCACATCGACTATTCCGCAGCCTTAATCGTACTTTTCGACTTTACGTACTTGAACTTTGGTGGCTCCAAAGGATCCACTTGTGCCTCCACCATTCTGATCACCCGTTGCTTTGCGCCTGAGTTGAATGACTGCCCTTGCTGCGACGGTGTGTAGCGAATGTACTGAGCTGGCGCTTGTTTCTCTGCGCATCTCACAGGCATGGCCGCCGCGATTTTTGATCTCGTTATCTTTTCCAAAGCTTTCTTCGTCTTGTCCGTGAGCTCGTCAATTTCCTCATCGGTTGGCCGTTGCAAAGTAGGATCTTCCTCGTTTGTAATTTCTGACGGCAACAAGTCGCTCAATTTACTGTATACAATCTGTAAAAGAATTTAAGGAAACTGTCAGTAAGGAATAAAGTGTAGAATACCAGAACGTGGTTGTAATATATTGGATCAGTTGAAAAGTTCAACCCAGTTTTCCGCCTTATTTGATAATAAGCCAGCTAATGTTTATGGTGGAGGCATATGAACTTTGTTAGAATGTTGTTGGATTTGACTGAAAAATTAAATCGAGCTTTCCGACTGACTCAGTAAATTAAGATAAAGTCTACCTTGTCTTTACCATGGCCTTGTCTAGCTATCAGGTCATACTTTATTTTTCCTTGAGCATCAAGTTGCACTGCTAAGGCATTGCTTGTCGTTTCCTTGCCCTTCATTCCCATTCCAAGTGGATACTGCGCAACATGAATCTCGGGAAAAGCTCCTCCATCCCCAAAGTCCTACGTACAACAATATATATATTACTTTTCAAGATATTATAAATATTATTGTTACTACTATATATATACTTTCGATTTAGTGCTATATATTCAGTATTATATGGAATTTTACACAAATGGATTATATTGAACAAAAAGTATGATATAAATGTCTGTTGTAGGCAATGCAGTAATCATTTACTTCTGGATTGCGCGGCACCCATCCTCGTCGTTGTCCATAAGGCGGAGCGGTGACGACAGCTTTGACCAGTGCTGAAACAGGTCGCTGGCGCAATTTTTGTTCACGTGCCTCATCCTCTCTGTCCCACACCACTTGGGTGGGAGCAGGCAATAAACTAATTACAGAAAGAAATGCAACTTGTTAGTGTTAATTTCACAGGTTAGGTTAGTACAATTTATACAATTTCAGCTTTTGACATATCACACAGATAAGAATATAACAAAAATATGTTTCTTAAAGTTACTCGACGCTGTGGGAGATAGGTGTTGAAGTAATTTTACGAGTAATATGGTAACAGTTACTTACTTTGTCAAGGACATTTGTTACGAATAGTACAAGGCTCACTGCAACGAGACGATTGAAGCGCCGGAGATGTCATGTGTCAGGTGAGGCAGTATCGCGCGGAAAACGGAACAGTGTTGCCAACTTAAATTATTTTCCGTCATTTCAAGCTTCTTGGAATATCACTTAGTGTGCAAAAATCGTGATTTAGCTGCTGACGTATTTTTTGGATTTTTTAAAAATCGAAACAGCGGAATTTTATCTCCGAAATAAAATGACTTTTCTTAGAACATTTTTATTAATTCGGTATTATCATATATGATTTATTATTATTGAAAAGATTTAATATATACACGGTCCCATGGTATGGAACATATACGCGGAATGCGGAATTGGCGAAACGACGTCCGTCGAATTGCAGACAATCCGCTAATTGCGCTCCGCTGAAATGAATTCCCTACTGCTCCATGGAGCGGGACTCGCGGAAGCGAAACTGGTACTAGCCAATCGCAAGATCCTTCTCGTAGATTCTTCCCTTGTATCTATCGGGACAGTGTATATCATTGGCACGCACAGATTTACGTTTCCGCTTTTTCCATTGGGACAAAGGAAACACGAACTCATGCGGATCGGAATCACATATAGGCCAATATTCATAGTCAGATCGTGTATTCAAGGCCGATATTCAATTGTACCCAGACTTTTAGCCTATTCTGTATAACGGAGTTAACGGTCTAGTAATATATATATAGAAGTCTGTAATTATAATACTGTATACACGTAATGCCCATTTTCATGCTTGAAAACATCTATAGTAGATAAAAATATAAGTATTTTATATAAGTATTTTGAAGTAAGATGTGCAAATATTGGGTTGGAGGAAAAGTTTTGCGGATTTCTCAATAGATGACGCTAGTGTCAGAAAATAAATATCACGTGTCATTCAATTGCCAATCTGCCGCACATTTTCTGTAAGATTAGACTACGCTTGACATTTGGCAAAAAAGTTTGTTTTGGTCGGACGTGTTTTGTGTGTACGGCATATATTTAAAATGAAAGAGTAAAAGCTGCATTTTCATATTTTACTATTCTTCTTTCGAAAAGGCCAAAAAGCGGCGGATGCTAAGCGCGAAACATGCACTGTATATGGTTCCTCGGCGCGGACACATGCGAGAAATGATTTGCCCGCTTCCGTTCCGGAGAATTTAATCTCAAGATGCTCTGGACGGCGAAACGCTGCTGACGACGACCAACTTTTGGCTGAAGAATGATCGACGTTTAACGACTCGAGAGATTACGAAGCGCTTTGGCATGCATCATACAACCGTTGCGGACAATTGAAAAAGCTTGGTATGGTGAAAAATACCGATATACGAGGTGTGTTCATAAAATAACGGGAATTTTTAAATTTTGCGGGTTTGGAGAGTCCGATCGTCAAAAAATTTTTTTTATTATGTTGGTGTACATGCCCCTGAAGTATGATAAAATTTTCATCTGTATTCATTGTTTACTTTGTCTGTGGCAGCCGCTAAGGTTAGACGTGTTTTTATGAGCTCGGCGATTTTCGTTTGTTAAAAGAAATGGATCAAAGAATTTGTATCAAATTTTGCGTAAAAAAAGTGTAACAAAGTGTGTGAAATGTTAACAAAGGCCTATGGTGAGTCTGCTATGAGTAAAACAAGAGTTTACGAGTGGTATAAGCGTTTCCAAGATGGCCGTGAAGACGTTGAAGATGACGAACACCCCGGACGCCCCAGCACATCAACAACCGATGCAAACGTGGAAAAAGTGAAAGAAATGGTTATGAACGATCGCCGAATCACAATCAGAGAAGTCGCTGATGATGTTGGCATATCGATTGGTTCATGCCATGAAATTTTTTCGAATGTTTTGGGTATGAAACGCGTGGCAGCAAAATTTCACAACAACACTTCATTGCTTGTTCGTGAATTTTTGGCCAAAAACAATACTGTAACGATGCCCCAACCTCCATATTCGCCAGACATGACTCCGTGTGACTTTTTCCTATTTCCAAAAATAAAGAGAACCTTAAAAGGCCGTCGTTTTACAAGCATAGATGACATTAAAAGCGCATCGCTGAAAGAGCTAAAGGCTATCCCAAAGATCGAGTTTGAGAAGTGTTTCGAGGATTGGAAGAAGCGCTGGCACAAGTACATAATATCTATGGGGACTATTTTGAAGGCAACATTAATGTAGACGAATAAATAAATATTTTTTTCAAAAAACGAAAATTCCCGTTATTTTCTGAACACACCTCGTATGGGTGCCGCACGAACTGACCGAAAAGAACATCATGAGTCGGATTTTGGTGTATGTCTCTTCTGAAACAAAACTCTCTAGACCCATTTTTGAAACGGATCATCACTGGAAATGAGAAGTGGGTTGTCTACAACAATATCAAGCGACAGAAATCGTGGTGCGGTCCGGGTGAGCCTTCAAAAACGATGGCGAAATCTGATTTACATCCACAGAAGGTGATGCTCAATATTTGGTGGAATTATAAGGAGTGGTGTTCTTCGAGCTACTTCCGCAGGATCAAATGATAAATTCGAAGAAGTACTGTGCCCAGCTCAATAAATTGTGCAAGGCAGTGCAAGAGAAGCAACCAGAATTGTCGAATAAGAAGGGTCTTCCATCGTAACACCCGATACTTCTTTAATCAGGAAAAAATTTGCAGAGCTTTGGCTGGGAAATGATGCAGCATCCACCATATTCGCCGCACCTTGCACCGTTTGACTACCACTTGTTTCGCTCGCTACAAAACAATCTTAACGGTCAACGGTTCGATTCAATGGAAGCTGTCCGAAATCACCTTACCGATTTTTTCGCCCACAAGTCCCAAGAATTTTACAAGAGCGGTATCAAAGCCCTACCGAAACGTTGGCAACAAGTTGTAGATCGGGATGGTCAATAAATTGTTGACTAAATAAATTGATATAAATGTCAATTTTCTGTTAAACTTTTATACTAAAAATCCGCAGAACTTATCCTCGAACCCAATATATTACTGACTGAATAAACATTTATTAAATATCATAAACACATTTTATTATTACTGGCTATGTAAGTAGAATGATAGCAAATTTTAACCCATCAAAAGAGATCAAAAGAAAAATTGCTAAATATCATCATATTTACATGTAAATTGCTATTGCGTGAGAACGTGTTACACATAATATTTTTTTATTATTATATTTAATATATCCCGGAAAGTTCAATCTCAACTTTTATACGTAGAAGCAAAAGAATTCAAAAGAATTGAATATAAAATGTTTTTGGTTTTCATTGTATGCATCTCAGGATATATTTATAAATTCAGATTTCTCATAAAGATTACTGAATTGCTTCTCATTTAAATATTGCATTTTATTCAGGACGATAATATCTTATTTTATTATCGTTTATGCTTACAAAGATTTTTGAAGATGCTATTTTAATTATAGTAATAGGATACAGAAGGGGGAGCAGCTCAACGCGTATAGAAAAGTAGATTTAATACATATAATTATGGTTGTTTGAACACTGGTATCGTGAAAACGTGTTTCACTAACGGCAAACATATTGACCTACTATCGCGTCGCGTCATGCCAAACATATTTACCGGAATGTGTTTGCATAGCCTGCATTGTTGCTCTACGTTGTACTATTATTTTAATTAACAACAGATATATATAACTTCTTTATTTGGCACAACGTCCTCAACATCAACTGAGTGATATTACAGAAAATTTTTATGTCGAAATAGTAAAAAAATGTTCTTTATCGAATTTACAGCTTAACGAATTATTATTACTTTCAAGTAATTTATTAACTTCAATTAATAACATACGCACATACATATCATACAAAAGCTAATTAATGCTATTTGAAGAAACGTATCAAAGATATTGAAACTCTAAAGATTTGCAAATTCTTTGAAAGTCAATAATTATAATATCGCAATGCCAAAACAACGTGTCAAATACTATTGTCAATCACTGTCAATTACTTCAAATTTTATCAGTACACAGGTTTGTAACTTTACCCACGCAATTGTGTTTTTTCACCTTTGGAAGATTAATGCCGCGAGTATCGCCGTACGCGAATATCGATAATGTATCCGACCTCTATAACAGTTTGAATATCCTTTAACCCTGCAGCACGTTATCCGCTTAGACGACGTGACTGAAGAATGAGAGTTATCCAGTACAGAGCAGAAATCCCGTAAGCCAAGCCCGTGGGGCAGAATAGTGAAACCATCGTCTTTCGCGTATATGAACCAGTCTTGCAACTGGTTCCGGCTGCAGGTTCGTCAGTCAACGGGAAACCACCGAGAAGACCGAGCATCCTGGTGTCCGGTTCGAAGCGCGCCATGAGTGCCGGTGTCCGATTGATTTTGTGTGCAATCATCGGGATTTCAGGAAATCTCATGCTGCATCCAGTAAATAGCAGCCCGTATCGCGATTGTTACACGGTGACATATTCGCAACACTATCATGATTATTGGGAAAAAAAGACGCAACAAAGAGAAACAATAACGAGCGAGGAAAGCAGTAGGTTAGTGTTATCGATTAATAATTTTCTTTCTCGTGAAGCGAAATTATAACAATTATCTACGAAAATATAATTTTGTTAATCATCATTCTTCCGTCGTGTTTGACTTTAAACGGTTACTGCAGTCGGCGTGTTATCTGCGAATTCTCACGTCTTGCTCGTAACTAGTGACGTTCAATTATGTTAATTACGTTGCATTTGTTCGCTCGGCACATTCTATCCGTTCTAGTTTATCTTCGTGTTCGTTCGTTCGCCTATAAGGAAGTGGACCGTGAATACGATAATCACGAAGAAACGTTATACTTTTTGTCTGAATTAACGAAGATGATGAAGATACGATTTCACGCGAGCACGAGGACGATGTTTGTGGCATTTGAAAAACACATGACGTTGGGAAACGTTCAGAGCAAACCGTATCCTTCAAACTCGTACATTCAGAATAGCTTTATTTTAATGCATTTAAATGCGTTTGAAATTTATTCATACAAAGAAACTGAAATTATTTATGGCGATACAACAATTTTTCAATTTTAAAATATTACACAGTGTTATATTTGAAACTTGCACAATTGTCTCAATTTTTGATTCGTCAAGATTTGATGCGGTTTCCTCTTTTCTCACAGTTTACAGCATATTATTCATAATATGGAAGTAATAAGTCATTCGATTGTAGCTTACAGGCTGTTCACAGTAATCAAGATACGCAACTATCTTTAAGTCCTAATGACACAAAAGGAGAAATAATCGATCTTATCGGCGCGAGTAATCAAGAGGTACCTAGAGAGTCACCATATTGGGATGATGACTACGATAGAGGCTTTTCTCTAATTGGCCTATTTGAATCCATGATATCCGTCGTAGCGAGTGGGATCAGCACGGTGATGAACAGCATCGTTGGCACCGAGAAGAAAAACTCGAGATCGCGTGTTAGCAGGATCAATTATAGAAATTATCAATTAATCCGGATATACCCTAACACGGAGAATCACGTTGCGGACCTGCGCGACTTAAGAGACGCCGAGCCCGAGGACATCAAATTTTGGTCCTTCCCGATTCCTAACAGGTTTGTCTTGTCCGGCGAAGAAATATTTCGTATATTCTGACAGATGTAAGTTTTTTTTTCTTTATATATTTTTTATCTACACTAATAAAATTTGCTTGTCAGGACTTCCGACGTCATCGTTGCTCCAGACCTCGTGGCCGATGTTAAAGACTACCTGAAGGATAAGAAGATCAATTTTAAAGTTGTGATACCGGATATTCAGGTAATGATACATTTTTATATCCTTTACATCAATATTATATTTTCAATGTGCGGTTCGAGTATCTTTCAGAGATACGTAGAAATTTAGAATAGAGTTGTTTTTCGTATCAATACGAATATTATATTTTCGATTAATGTCAAAATTATCGGTGGTCATCATCATGACCCACTCATTGTGGTCTTAAAATCAGCCGTAATGCAATGTGTACTGAGACTTTATTATACGCAGTTTAGTCAAAAAGTAACTCTAACGATACGACAGCAGATGTTCCTGTATTACATTGACACACTTTGCTACTGATCTTTCTAATGTTCATATATCAGAGACATGAATGTAATATGACAACGATGAATAAATCATCGTTTGCTATGTATAGCCGGATCCATTCGGTTTTCAACATTGCATGTATCAATCGTTATTATTATTCATATGACCTATTGACTGATGATCGCTCGCCTAGAATCGAAGAGTCGAGATTTCGCTGATTATTATTCATACCCAAGCAATCGGTCATGATTTCTGATCAATCGATAGTCGTAGATCTTGAAAGTGATTCTTTAACTTTGATCGACAGAAAGCGATCTCTTATCAGAACCCGAAAATGTCAAAAGAGCAGCGCGAAGATTTAGTGACTATTCAAGGCCACACGATGACGTGGAAACGATATCATCGATACGGAGGTAAAACAATGTGAGATATATTTTTACATCGTAGTGAGTTATTTGAATCTTATCGAAGAGCATCGATCGCTTTTAACTCGATGTACGCATGCAGATATGAGACAAGTTAATAAATAATTTATCTGTTACGTATTCGATAACGATATTTTAACTTAACGTTATAAAGCAATTTGTTGTTCGTAGATATCGTGCGTTATTTAGAGTACTTGTCCTCGAGATATCCTAAAATGATAGAGCTAACAACCATTGGCCATAGTTATGAAGGCCAACCAATAAAAATGGCTAAGGTCTCGACAGGATTAAACAAGGACGGCGAGAGGAAACCTGCGATTTGGATCGATGCCGGTGAGTCATTCTCCTTCTGCTAGGACAAACTAGTTTTCGTGAACAAAATTACATCGATATATAATCTAAATACGAATACGATGTATATCGCAAATCATCCTCTTCTTTTTCTCTAAGATATATATTTAATATCTCTGTAGTACAGAAATTTAACAATCATCGAAATATTATATCCGCACGAAAACATACGCGATCATATTTCTCTTACCTCTTGATAATTTTAATTTACCTTTTGCGGTGGCTACAGAACAAATGTTCAGAAAATATTTCAATAATAGAAATAAGAAAAAATAATCTGAAAGAAGGATAATACAAATATCAGAATTTCGGGAAAGGTCGTAAAGTATCACCGAAAATTTGTTGTTCCTTTGGCGATTACTGTCGGTAGCGTCGTAAAAATTTTTATTACAGCGTGACTGTTATGGAATTGACGGCCGGCCGATCTGGTTTTCGACGACACCGAATCCGCATGCTTCCCACGTTTTATGCGATCTCGTCCCGTTAGATCGTTCTTTCGGTGAATTGTCATCATATTCGTAGGCATGCACGGACGAGAATGGATTGGTACCGCTGTGGCGACCTACATACTGAGTCAGTTGGCCGAGAGGAACACGAGCTATTCGAAACTGCTGGACAATTCGGATTGGATGATCCTGCCGGTGGCTAATCCGGACGGTTACGAGTACAGTCACACCGGCGACCGTTTCTGGCGGAAAACCCGGAGCAACCACGTGGAAAGTCAAGAAGATAGCAGGTGAGGAAATAATATCTGTTATCTCGGAATCATAGATTGCGTTCCGGGTTGAAAATAATTACTCACTCTCTGCAAGCTATAATAAAATAAACCACTGAACTACTCTCTTTTCTAGGTATACGCCTTCTAATTTGTTACAGTTTGTAACACACTACACCAGATGGTTCTGGACTAAATGCGAAGGAGTTGATCCCAATCGCAATTTCGCGTATCACTGGGGCGAGGCGAAGGAAGGGGGAACCAGCTCGGATCCGTGTCACGAAACTTACTCTGGACCTTTCGCCTTCTCCGAGCCGGAGACGAAGGCCATAGCGAATTACATTTTGGCAAATAAGCAGCATATTCGGTACTTTAACCCCACGATCAATACTTAATTGTTCAATTTTTATTGTTCAAGTATATTGAAAATTCGATGACTATTCCTTACAAAAATTTAGGATTTACAGCCTGAAGATTTTTCTTATTTTATTAAGATTTTTATTCTCATTTTTTTCTGGGCACATACTTTACGAACACGTTGATACGAAATTTATATTTTCAGGATGTACCTGTCCTTGCATTCTTACTCACAAATGTGGCTAGTACCATGGGGTTACACGCGGTCAAAGCCTTCTGATTATTCCGACTTGATGAACGTAGCGAAGAGGGCGATTAACGCGATCGCGAAAGTTCACGGCACACATTATCAGCTTGGACCAATGGCCGATCTGATGTATCCAACTTCCGGTACCTATCTCAGTTTTTATCTACTTGAATTTTAATATGTAGCTCATTCGTAAAGTTATAAAAATCAGACGTCATCGTGACACATGTCGAGATGAAGAATACGTCACGAGAATACTTTCTCTACTTCCAGGAGCGTCCGATGACTGGGCTAAAGGCGTCGCAGGGATAAAGTACGCGTACACGGTGGAATTACGCGATCGCGGAACTTACGGATTCCTGCTGCCAGCGTCGCAGATAGTTCCAACCGCGCGCGAAATTTGGGCGGGAATCCGTGCGATCGCCCGCTTAGTCACATGCAACACATGAGGCCGATCTAAGCTTTGGATGCACAATATTTTACGTTTGTTCAACGCATGAGCGTGTCGAAACCCGTGAGACACTACGATCTTCGTCGGCACCTGTGAGCGTGATAGATATCGGGGCATTCGGAAAAAACCAGCGAGTAAATCGCTATCGAAATATAATTAGGCGAGCCACTATCATGACGAGAGATAAACTTGGTATTAATTAGAGACGCAGAATGTTATCTGTTCTGACATTATCGGTTTTCGGCTATGAATAATGAATGAGATGCTACAAAAAATTGTATGTCCCTTGAATGAAGTTGAATGCCTAAACTGCCCCTTAGGAGGGGCGCTTTGTTTATATAATTATTTGTTAAATCATAAATCTGGTAATTATATTTATAGAAATAATCTCGGCTCAATGCAATGATATTTATATAATTGTTTTCTATGAAAATGTCTAGTTTTGTATATTTTTTTATTTTTAGTTTATTGTAAAGCATGTAATAATGCACGTTGAATATATTTATGTTATTTATTACTTGTCATATCAATATTCCTTTGTACAAATAATATTTAATTGATATTGGTAACTATATTGTTTTATTTATTTAAACAGTATATTGAACCACATTACTTTCAGATCGTCATTATTTTTAGCAGAAACGTATTATAAGATAAAGAATAAAATTATGATCCGCATTAATTGCCCCGCTGATTTCCATTGATTATTTCAAAATTGAAGTCTGAGTAACTAGAGATATGATAAGTAAATATAGCTTATGACGCACATATCTGTTAGCTCGTGTCATTCGCCCGCTATTGGTCACATATGCATGATTTGTTGAAATGCAATTGATTATGTCTCGTATCCAAAGTGGTGAAACGTGTCATAGTGCCGATCACCGATAACCCACACAGCAATCAAAGTGTTAATAAATGTTCTATAAAAGTAATTTTCTGTCATTTTATTATACCCTTCATTTTATTATACCCTTCAAAAATGGCAAATATTTATTTAATACGAAATACGCGGATATATTAAATGCTTTCTAAGAGAAATTGAATTGGGCTTCCCACCTTTCTAAAACGAATTGTAATAAAAATAAAATTAAATATTTATCTGCAATATCTGAAGTATGTTATCAGAATTCAAAGTACACGGAATCTTATCGCGGTATATTGCCCGATATATTTTGTATATAAACCGCAGCATTTTTTCAACGCTTAGCTTTCATACCAACAATGTTGCTTCAAAGTCTCGTAGCCGTCATTCTGGTGTTCCAGGGTAAGTGATACCTTTTTCCCGCCTAATTAGTGATATCGTTAGAGTAAATACTTATATGTTTTCTTATCATAGATGATCGATATCTTACAAAGTTTTAAATGAATATCGCGGATGTTCCTTTCCTTCATTATTATACGAGGGGTGTTCAGAAAATAACGGGAATTTTTAAATTTTGCGAGTTTGGAGAGTCCGATCGTCAAAAATTTTCTTTTATTATGTTGGTGTACATGCCCCTGAAGTATGATAAAATTTTCAGCTGTATTCATTGTTTACTTTGTCTGTGGCAGCCGCTAAAGTTAGACGTGTTTTTATGAGCTCAGCGATTTTGTTCGCGAATGGAAGTTGCTCAGGAGTTACTAAATGAAGCCAACGACGATGCAGAATTACTGAAACGTGTTATAACAGGTGACGAAACATGGGTTTACGGATATGACGTCGAAACTAAGGCTCAATCGTCCCAGTAGAGGCATTCTGGCAACTTCCATTCGCGAACGAAAATCGCCGAGCTCATAAAAACACGTCTAACCTTAGCGGCTGCCACAGACAAAGTAAACAATGAATACAGCTGAAAATTTTATCATACTTCAGGGGCATGTACACCAACATAATAAAAAAAAATTTTTGACGATCGGACTCTCCAAACCCGCAAAATTTAAAAATTCCCGTTATTTTCTGAACATCCCTCGTATATCAATACCCCTTTTAGAACCCTTTTAGAACTATTTCATCAACAAAACGATATACTTACTTTAAACGAAACAATAACTTCTTTTTGAAACAGAGTTATTTTCGCAATAACAGAAATACGGAATTGAAAAATTGCTTAAAATAAATTATGCAATTTTGAGAAAGCGTCACTTTCAATTACTACAAATCAACTATTTGGAAAGTGTGTCAAAGTCAAACATATATCTAATGAAATAAAATTTCATGAAAATTTTTCTTCAGCATGTCTAGCCGGTCCTCTTTCTCTCAAGCCCAGGATTACCGAGGGCACTGATGCCATGCCCGGTGAATTTCCTTATCAAGTGTCTATTGAATTGGGCTTCCCACCTTTTATCCCTTATCGACACAGCTGCGGCGGCTCGATTCTGGATGATAACACCATTTTGACCGCTGCACACTGCGTCCCGAAATTATTTGGCTCACTTAGAGTCGTCGCTGGCAAGTACTACCTTATGAAGAACGAGAAAACCAACCAAGTGTCTGAAGTCAATAGGTTCAAGGTTCATAATGAATTTAAAGGGTATGTTTTCAATACATTTATATATTTTCTTTCGAAAATAAATCTTTTATATGCATATATACCTGCCATATAGAATTCTGAGGAAGAGAAGATTTGTTGGGAGTGTATGTTTATGTATTAGTGATATTTTATTAAGAAAATAAAATAATAATTTGCAACGCATCATGTGAGACATTTTTTGTGCAGTATAATTATTACAATGCTTGATGATCTTTACGTTTCTTACAGATTTAAGAAACATTGTAAAGTTTTAAAATTATAAATAAATGTTCCAACTTATTTTTTTTTACATCAAATATATTCATAATATATATCATAATTTTTTATATATTACTTTGCTATATTATTGATATGTATTTGAGTTTCCTAAGATTAACATACAACAATTATATCTAATCTAATTAATCTATATTTCGTAAATGCACGAAGAATTTTTCTATAACAACGTAAAAAGCTATTAATAATTTTATTATATAGATATCTTAGAATTATAATTTTATCTATAAAAATATTACAAAATATTAAAATTATATATAATAATATAATACAATTACATCCTTTTTTAATAAAATGAGATATTTATAAATATAAAAATAATTTTATCGGCATTATTATCGTAAGAATGCTATAGAAACGCGAAAATAATATCCAAACGCGTCATTTAAAAAGTGCTAATTAATTTATCGTCTAAGCGCTCATTCAATTATTATATTAATAAAATATTACATGTTCAAGCGGATTGTCAATTACATCTGTAAAATACTATATGGTACTCGGAAACGATTAAATGCTTATTATATACATAGACGATATCATATTTCACAATCGACAGTATAAGTCGTTACCTGCATTGATTAACTTTTTGTCAAGATAAGTCCGCGTGTTACCTATTGATAACGCGGCAGATATGTTCGACATATTGTGAAATAATGTATGTGTAGATAACAAAAATATACTTTTTCTGAGTCATACACATATTCTTTCAGAAATGTTGCTCAACATGACATTGCTATTTTAAAACTGGCGATACCTCTTGTGTTCAACGACAAAGTGTCCGCTGTCAAGTTACCTTCTAAGAATGAGATAGAAATTGGAAATGCCATACTGAGTGGATGGGGCTCCATCTCAAAGAATTTCCTCCCGATATTTCCTACCGTTCTCCAAAAGGCCACCCTATCCATCTTAGATAACGACTCTTGTCTGAAGAAATTCCCGAAGGATATCATCGGCAAGCAACCGGAACTCTATAGCACGCAAATGTGCACTGACTCTTTAAATGGAGAATCTGCCTGCTCGGTAAGATTAATTCACAGTTGCCCTTCGCTCGCAATTAACTGAGCCATTGTTGGGTTTTTACAATTGGGCGATTATAGGAAGAACACCATTCTTTGATTTTTCATTGTATTATAATATTGATGTTATCTATTAGCAGTTATTATTTCGTTAATGATTTAATTAAGTGCTCAATACGGAACCCGGCGAAAAAATTCGGCCACAAGTTAAAATTCTTTGCGCAGCCTCTTGTGTTAATCAAGTGTATTTCTTGCAGGGTGACTCTGGCGGCCCATTGGTCCAAAGAAACGACAAAGAGAAGGAAGTTACGCAGATCGGTATCGTTTCATGGGGTGTCTACCCATGCGGTGTAAGCCACCTGCCATCTGTCTATACCCGCATAAGCTCTTACATCAACTGGATCGACGAGAATAGAGAATTTTAGGGAATTCTCCTTACAAATTTTATCCTTTCTCATCGACACATCAACATAAAGTTCTCCACTATCCCTTCCACTGTGATACTGCGTGTCACTCTTAACATTGTGTGTCATTTCTCCCTTTATTCTCAGTGTGTTTCTCTCTCCATTCTCAATCGATTTACATCACCGTAACTAATACAAAGCTTCAACTTCATCTTGAAATATAAAACTTCAATTTCATCTACAAATGTAAAACTTAACTTCATCTTCAAATCATACCCTGCGTTCTGTTAAAATGATTAATACGTTTGATTAACTTGTACACCATCTACGATTTCCATGAAGTTCCATTCAGCAAGGAGTGATAAACAATTGTACATTACGAATGGCAATTTTCTAAATAAAAGGAAACATCGTACGAAACAATCTTCAGTTTTTATATACATTCCTCTTATTATTTTAGTTCCAATTTTAATTGTTATTTATGTGGGCAACGAAAATTTTGTATACGTATCGTTTTAGTCCAATTTATGATTATTCTGATTATTTAAATCGTGGCTCAATTGTATTTAACGAAAAATGTATCACTCATTATTTCGGTCGGTAATATTTTTATTTTGTACTTTCTTCATAAATGTGTTGTGGAGATTCTATAATTTTATTTTATAATGTTAAATTTAGTTTTTAATATGGTACTTGTTGATAAAACCGACTAAAACAGATTCGAAATACTTTATGTTCAGTACATACGAAGACTGTTTTAAATAAAAAATATTATTAATTTAATATGCAAGAAATTAGTGATTGCGTAGTAAAGCTGCTATATTCAAAAATTAATACTGGAAAAAGATAACTTGCAAAATGAACGTGTTTCTATATATTATCTTGCTCAATAATAAATGTAATTACAAGCGTTATCACTTTAAATATTAGATACTTTAATAATATTTAGCCAATATCTTTATAATACGTATTGTTATGCGTACAAAATAATAAATATTAAAATTCTGGATAAATTCTATATATCTAATGATTAATATAACAGTTAACAATAATACTATAAAACGATAATAATAATATAGTCTTAATATAAAAATCTAAATTCTAGATTCTATAGAAAAATCTTAATATACTTTTAGAAACCTAATAATTAATAACAATAATTAATAACAACTAAATCAATAACTATGACAAGAAAATCTAGCAAGTTCTCCATATGAGAATAAAAGAAAAAATATCTATTTTGGAGAATATAAATGATCAAACTTGTGTCATATACACGATAGGTAATGATTTATGCCTTACTAGATCTAGTGAGGTAAGTCCACAAAGTGTCTATCCTACTCTAAGTCGTTCTATACAGATCTAATCAGAATCAGAAACTGAATAATTAGAAAAATATTTACGTAAAGACTATATTAGACTATTGGAAGTTTAAATTTGACTAACACAGGCCAAGATCAAGACTACTTGTTTCATCGAATTCTGATTTCGAATTCGCAATTCTTAATCTGCAATACTAGCTTGATACGGACTTTACGTGATGATTCTTTCAGATAGAATAGGATAAGAATTTTTTGAACTTGCATCACTAGATCTACGAGGGGGAGGAAAGAAGGAACGAATTGTTATGTATGTGTATACATGTTATTTTAACATTATATATAATTTGCAAGATATTTAACATATATTACACGTATATTTGCGTGCGTGCGCGTGCGTGTGCGTATGACAGAAAATAAAATTATCTGTACAATTTTTTAGCAAAAAATACCTGTTTTTTACGATATTTCCAGCGTCGTCGAAAATAAGTAATAAGCTCGTAACGTTGATCATGTTCTGTTTACATAGTTTTACGTATCGCATTGACTGGATCTTCGACACTACCGAAGAACAATGGCTTCTCCGTTACCTTATGTTCTCTATTCTTTTTCATCAACCATCAAACAATTATTAAGAAATTGTTACTATTTTTGTAGAATCGTTTCCATACACGAAGATCTTACGTTGACACAATCTATTTTTTTACCACTAGCTAATGAGAAGCTACAACATGAATATACTTATATTTCTTCATGCGAAACACCACACTATTCTTGACATTATTTCACGTGATACCTTTAGATGGAGTTGGTTCTATCCAGCACATAATGGCAATGAGTACGAAGAAAATAAGCGGGAATTGTCAAAAATGCAAATGCACTTACGCAACCGTCTCTTTGATTTTTATGCCTCTCCGTTATCATTTACTTTTAATCAGGTTTATTTTGAACTTTCGAAAATGTACGGAAAGTCCGTTTAGGTTTTTCTCAAGTATCTTGATAAAACAAATAAATTTCCTACTATCGGAGATAAAGCAAAACAGATATTGATTTGTGACGATTTCCGCTTTTTATACCTACTTTGTTATGGGATAACGATAAATCGTAATCATCTGATAAAGTTAGGGTGAAACAATTTATCCGTTGAGATAATTCATTATTTGATTTGCAACTAGTGTTGCCGGAATTGGCATATTTGTACTAAATTTGGTATTCTTTTTTCATATATGGTACGTTGGTACTACAATACATAAAATTGATAATAATAGCTTATTAGTACCAATTTTATCCATTGTAGTACCAACGTACCAAATATGGAAAAAAAATACCGCATCTGGTACAAATGTACCAACTCGGGCCACACTGTTTGCGACGTATCGAATCTGAAAGAATATTTCCTTATTTATTATTGGAGCAGATTTATTTGATGTGTCTCTGATTTTCATGATAGGTCATGATTTAAACAATATCAAAAGAAATGAGATATAACAAATGAGAAAAAATATTAAATCTATGAATAACATATTTTACATTTATAACTTTTACATTTTACATAACTTTTATATTTTACATTTATAACTTTTATAACATTTATAACTTTTGTTGTTCCCTGTTAGTTCGTCATATGTTGGATGTCATTAAATATTATTAACGCATCCACGTTTATCGTTCTCTGTGTACGTTGAACTTGATCTCCATGCCAACTAATATTATTGACATTGAGAGACAAGGTGCAGTGAAATCATTTGTCTTATCACCATTCATATTCTGTTATCATGTTTGGCTCACTTTTAAAGTCGTCGACCTATTTCGATGATTTACTCATGAGTTTTCAATTGTTATGATTCGATTGCGATGGCGTTGTCATACATGTTCAATTGTTATGCTACGTAGAATGTTAGAAATTTGAATAATGCTAGAGCTAAAACAAACCGGGTAACATTTTGTAAAGATTGCCTCCATCGTACCTATATGTATATAGATTGTTTCAATAAAATATATCGTACCATTTGACTATAAACAGAAAATGTTTAAAAAAATTATATTTCATTTGTTTTATAATAAGCTATAGTTTCTTTAATGCATTCTGTTTTATTTCACAATATCTTGTTTGTTATTCTTCAATTTTTTAGTTTTGAAATAAACTTATTTGTTTCGTTCCACTGTGCATTTTATATTTTGAATATTCATCTTTAAAATAAATTTTTTTTTAATAAATAACTTTCCAATTCATGAAGAACCACAAATAGAATAATTATAACACATTTATCAAGCTTTATATTGTATATCATTTCTAATACATACGACGCGACTTAAAAATCGCCTAAGAAACGATCCGGCATGCAACGTATTAATAAATTGAAAATATGTCGAAAATAATTGAGATGTAATTGTAACCAGTCATTATTAAAATATACTCTTTATATTAATCTCTTGTGCATTTTTTAACATTTCCTATCGTTTCAGTACATGTTTTCTCATTTTATACAATATCTATAAATTCTTACTTGAAGATTGAAGAGACACTTTGGATAAATTAACACAAGGGATAAATTAACAACAACACATTTCCTTTGTAAAAATACTGATTACAACTTGTACATTTTATAGCACCCGTATAATAATCAACTAATATTGTGAAACTTATTTTTACTGCAGAGCCTATACAAATTTATCATGTCGAAATATAAAATGAGTGCGCAATTATCATCATTACTTTATCTAAACCAGAACTAACAAGTGATCCAATTTAAAGTACACTTGAATATCATATATTAAATAAAAAATTTGTTCCAGTAGCGATAACGTAGCAATCTTTAATAAAATTCTCCTTATCTTAGACATCGTGGATTAAACTTGGATTACAATGGATTATCAAGACAACGTAATCATCGATATTGTGTGGATATACCAGGCAAAACGAGTATAAATGCAGGTCGAATATCGATCTACATCAAACACCGAGATGTCTCCCAAAGTGATCGTAGTCTTCGCTTTCCTGGCAGTGGCACTCGCCGGTAAGTCAATTCTTCAAATTTACGGGAACAAATACATTTGCCATAGTAAAGACCGATATAGTTAACTGATTTCAACTGAAAAGCAAACAACAAATAAAATGAAATCCTCTCTACCCTTCCGCTCTCTATGTGTTATTAAAGAAAACCGCATCGATTAAATGGTCACGTTGTTTCACAAATCTCGAAACGAATAAGACTCGTCTTCGCTTTCTGTTACAAATCGTTAAAAATGATTCTAATTTTACTCCATCGTGTGTATTAATTCTTCAACGATACATATTCACGAATATTTTCACAATGCCGATTAAAATTTCAGGCAAACCGTACCTTGGTTTCCGTCTACCATACGACTGGACACAAGTGGTCGGAGGCGAAGATGCTCCGAGATCAGCTTATCCTTTTATAGTGTCCCTACAATGGGGCATAGCCAATGTCTTTTCGCACCACTTCTGTGCCGGATCTATTTTGAATGAGAATTGGATAGTAACCGCAGCACACTGCATTAATGCAGTTCCTAGTGTGGGCTTGTTCCAAATCTCAGCTGGAAGGCACAAACTTCGTCAAAGAGAAAGCTCTAAACAAAATGTCCATGTCGCAAAAACTTGGGTACATGAAAACTACGGAGGGTATGTAATATTAATAATATTAATAATATTAAAAGACGCAAATATATAAAAAATTTCCTCTAGCCTACTTCTTATTTGAGCTAATATTTATATATGCAATTACTCATGTCTTTGCAAATTTATATATACATATAATGTAAAATAATAGCTCTTAAATTGATAACTTGCCTATAGCTGTAGTCACATTAGCAGAATCAATGCAATTGTCTAAACCATTAATTAACACACTAATAAATGCATTATATTAAATATCAATAATGAAATCATATCATTTGAAACTTGGAATTTTAACATTAGAGAAACTATATAGGCTTCAGATAAGTCACAATGTACACAACAGTTCCACAGATTTTCTATCGTTTCTCATGTATATTACTCCTAACTCCGCGCAAAGCATTATTTTCTCGCTAACGCTAGTGTTTTAGCTAATTAGCATTTTCGTGAAATCACACACAATTTGATGTCTATTACCCAACATTTATTAATCTCCAGTTCTGTTGGACCTTACGATATCGGCCTGCTCAAGCTGAGCGGACCATTGAAAATGACGAAGGAAGTGCAGGCGATCAAACTACCGGAAGAGGGAAGCGTACCGGAAAAGGGAGACGCGATTCTTTGCGGATGGGGCTCCACTTCACGGACTGAAACTCCGTCAAAACCTGACTCGCTTCAGCACGCTAATGTGACGTACATCGATCTCATAACGTGCGACGCAACTGTCGAGCGGCTGACTGGAACGTCTCACATTCATCATACCAATGTTTGCACTGGTTCAGTGACCAATGATATCGCCGCTTGCATCGTAAGTCACAAACCTGAATTGCTACAGCAATTTTGTCATTTTGGCTGGCTATCAGATAACTTAACGCATCGTATTCTCGGTTTATTTTCAGGGTGATTCTGGTGGCCCCCTGTTCGAGAAGAAAAACTCAAACTTTGTACTCACTGGCATTGTGTCCTGGGGCTTTGTTCCATGCGGCATCGAACCTGATGCTCCGTCCGTATTCACTAACCCATCTATGCATATCCACTGGATCGAGAATATAATCAATAATAATTAATATATTAATCGAATTGAACTAGTCAACATACGACGACGAAATTTTGTATTTTCTTTAACGGATAGTAAAAACACGTAATGTAATAAATGAAATTATATACTGCAAGCCCTGAATGCCTTATTTATTGCATTTATTTGATGTTGAAATTACGCAGTGATTAAGAAGAAATTAATTAAACGAGAAGGAAAGCGATTTACGATACATTGACTCTATTTAATAAATAAGAATGTCACGCGCATGCGAGAGATGCTTTTGTATTGTTTATTACTGTAAAAAGGTAACCTAAAGATAAGTCATGTCGTCAAAGTTATCGAGTTGTTATGCCTTGCACTACTTATGAAATATTTAGGTACTTCGATGACGTTATCTAATGTACACAATATATATTAGGTTGGTAAGATAGTTATGTCGTTTTTCTGTTCCTCCAATTGAAATGTTCATTATTTCGTTATTCTTTGTGCGATTTAGACAATTTTAGTATTAATCGAAATCTACTAGTTCCACGTTTTGATTTTTGATATTACAGGTGTTTTTAATCATTAAATTTTGAGAAATAGGGGTATATGATGGATCAAGAAAAACTTTATTTTAGGCACTCTATGCTTTATGAGTTCCAACTCGGTCATAATGCAACGGAAGCTCATAAAAATTTGTGTTTCGTCTTTGGACCATCTAAAGTTAAAGTGCGTACGGTCCAAAGATGGTTTGAAAAATTCAGATCAGGTGACATGAAGCTTCAAGATGAACCTCAGAAGACCAAAAGAGCTTGATGACGACATTCTGAGGGCTTTAGTGGGTAATGAACCATTATTGACTTCAAGGGAGATCGGGGATAAGTTAAGCATTAGCCACATAACAATTGTAAACCACTTGAACAAGCTTGGCTTTGTCTACAAATGGTGTCGCTGGATTTTCCGTGAATTAAGAGAAAAAATATGGTAGATCGAATTTCTATTGCTTCTTCTTTGCTTGCTCGACAACAATATGAGTCATTCTTGGATCGCCTGGTTACTGGGGACGAAAAATGGATTATGTATGACAATATAGTAAGAGAAAGAGCCAAAGTAATGCCAGGCAGTTCGCCTGCTACCCTTGCGAAGGCCAATTTGCACCAAAAAAAGATAATGCTTTGCATTTGGTGGGATCGTCGAGGTCCTATCCACTGGGAACTGTTGCAACCAGATCAAACTGTCACAGCAGACCTATATTGTGATCAACTGATTCGACTGGATACAAAAATACTTGAACTTCGTCCAGCACTCTATAACCGAAAAGATGTTGTCTTCCAATAAGACAATGCCAGGCCTCACGTGGCTTTAAGAACGAAGGAGAAGTTCCAGGCTTTTGGTTATGAAGTTTTATTACATCCACCATACTCACCTGACCTGACACCATCTGACTACCACTTGTTCCTGTCGATGCAAAATTTTCTTAAAGGAAAAAAATTTCGAAATTTTCAGGATGTTCAGAGGGCGGTGGTAGATTTCCTGGCTTCAAAGGATAGGATCTTTTATACATCCGGCATAAATGACCTTGTTGACAGATGGAGGAAGGTCATAGAAAACAGTGGTAAATATTTCATTAATTAATCTCACTTACGAGCTTAAATATAAGAAATTGAAATTTCCTCAAAAAACGACATAACTTTCCTACCAACCTAATATATAATTTAGAGCAATCTTTGAGCGAAAATTAAAAAAATTTTTTTCGTATTTAACCTCCATAAAAAACAAAAATATGCGAAAAATAATAAAATTGTGTAAAATGTGTCAATACTAACATAAATAAGCGAGAAAAACTGAAAAGATTGCACGCGCGATTATTCGCATAAATTAAAATTCCCGCCATGAGATTCAAATGGCTTGTGCAAACAAATGACAGTAACTTTACACTCTGTGGAACGATACACATTAGAAGAAAAATAATTTGTTGAAACTGAGTGCCCGGAAGATCTTCATAATCGACAAAGTTCAAATGCGCGCACTCAACCACAAAGATAAAAACATTTGATGGTCTCTGTGCAAACAAAGGATAGTACTTTAGCGAATTTTTATTTTTTATTTAACCGTCTCAGAATGTTCCAGACAAGATAAAAGAATAGTTGCTTAATTATTAAAGCCCGAAAGCCTATCGTTCATTGCAAAAACTGCGCGCGCATGTCGCCTTGGTTTACAACAAATCATTTTTTTCTAACGTGTATCGTTTCACACAATATAAAACTGACATTTGTTTGCACAAGCTACCGAAGTTCTCAGCAAGAATAGTAATTTTTTATGTGAATATTTGTCTGTGCGGAGTCTTCCATTTTTCTTGTTTATTTCTGTTAATATTGACACATTTTTATTAATTTTTGCATATTTTTGATTCGTTACTAAGGTTAAACTTGAAAAAAATTTGATAATTATTTATTATAGGAAACTTACCTCCAGTAATCTTGACCTTGACATATATGGTAAAAATCACCTTCCTGAGTAACTTTCCAAAGGTTTTACCCATCGCTCATTGTTCATTAAAAAGGTATTAACAAAAAAACGGAAATACGTCACACGCATCCACTCACATCGACAGGTGCTTAGTCTTTCCGCTAGACCACTAACTAGAAATTTTGTTTATAAACGGGCGAGCTCCGATAGCCCACATAGGTGATTGACTAATTTAATATAAAATTTTTTAATTGATGGTCCAGCGGAAAAATTCTGGATATCGGTCGATGTGAGTGAAAGCGTGTAGCGTATTTCCGTTGATCATAAACTGTAAATTTCTTTCGTTAATATCGTTTCAATAAACAGTGAGCGACGAATAAAACCTTTGGAAGATTACTTAGGAGGGTGGTCTTTATCATATATGTCATATATGTCAAAGTCAAGGTCATTGGAGGTGGGTCCCCTATAGTAAATAATTACCAAAATTTTTTTTATTTTAGCTCGAAGATCACTCCAAACTTCCATCACAAATTAATGTATCTTCCTAAACGCCAAAATGAATGAAAATCCTAAGAAATCGGAATAAATAAAACGCTTCAACTGACCTTGCAGTTCACCTCGAAGAAGTTCCGAATGACATTGTTTGTCCGACACGCGCGAGGAAGAGTGCGATGTCTGAGTACGTTGTGCAACAGACATCTTTGCTCGTATTTTTTCCGCCTTAACGGTAACCGAAGTTTCGATTCAAGTCCACGCCTGAGCAACCGTTGAGTCATTTTTCCTGTTCTTCCTCCAGAAATCGAAGGTGTAGTCGTATCCGTTTGGATTCATCACCGATGAAATATAATGATTTATTTCTAGGTTCTCGCTCTTCTCGACCAGATAATCAATAATATAGATCACAGACGCAGATAAAGGCCATTCGCGGGCATGAATACCGCCACCGATCCAAAGTGTTGCGCGTTCGGTTTGCCGTTATTGATCATTAGAACCTGAATATTTCCAAGACGATCTCAAACTTGAATTTTATTCGACATCGCACACAATACAAATAAATACCAAGAATATTCCGCGAATATTGTAAAAATATCATGTACTTAAAAAATTTTGTGAATATACGAATATAGAAACTAGCCATTAGCGAATATACCGGGTGTTTCAGACCACCCGTACCTCATTTAAAAACGAGGGAAGTGGTTATTAAATGGGATGTACGGGTGATCTGAAACACCCAGTATATTCGCTAATGGCTAGTTTCTATATTCTGAGTATATTCTGAAAATTTATAAGAAACGATGTACTACGAGAGATATTGTAGAGAAAGTTTGCTTTGGTTTTTCTCAGGTATCTCGATAAAACAAATAAATTTCTTACTGACGCTGACTCTGGTGACATAACCAGTAAGTCAGTTATTGATTTGTGACAATTTCTGTCTTGTCTGACTTCTTTTTATACCTACTTTGTTGTGGGATAATGATAAATGGTAATCATCAGATAAGGTCGGCGTGAGACATTTATCCATTGAGATAATCCATTATTATTGATTCGCGTTGTATCGGAGCAATAAAATGTTTCCTTATTTACTGTTGTAAGAGATTTATTTGATGTCTGATTTGCATGATAGGTCGATTTAAACAATATCGAAAGAAATAAGATATAATAAATCAGGGAAAAGATCAAATCTATCAATAACATATTTCACGCTCGTAAACTTTTTATCCCTGTTAAACGTAGTCCGTCATATGTCGGATGTCATTAAATATCTAAAATTCCTCTAACATGTTATTAAATATTATTAAATAAATTGAAAATACGTGTAATTGTAATCATTTATTATTAAAATATACTCCTTTTATTAGTCCCTAATGAATTTTTTAACACTTATCGTTTCAATATATCGTTTTCTCATTTTTTATTCAATGACAATACGGATTCTTACTTGAAGATTGAAAAGAAACTTTGAACACGAGAGATAAATGAAAAACTTTTTGCGACATCAACACTCTATTCAGAATTTTCAGCAGTTCTAATGTTTTCCAGCTTTGATTTGGAATGTGCCCACACCTGGAGGAATTGCTTTCTAAAACTATTGATCACATTTTGTACATTTTATAATATCAATAATCGATTAATTTTTAGAAAACTATTTTTATCGCAGAAGCTATACAAGTCTTTTTATGGCGAAATATGCAATGGATATGAAACTATTATCATCTAAACTAGATTTAACAAATCAATTTAAAGTTATACTGAATGTAACGTAATAAATCAAAAGATTCGTTTCCGTAACGATAACGCAGCAAATCTTTAATAAATATCAGATTATTTTTGACATTGCAGATTTATTTGGATTACAATGAATTATCAAGACAAAATCATCATCGATATCGTGTGGATATATCTGACGAAACAAGTATAAAATGCAGAGCGAACACCAATCCATATCAAACATCAAGATGTTTTCCAAAGTGATCGTAGTCTTCGCTTTCCTGACAGTGGCACTCGCCGGTAAGTCAATTCTTCACATTTACGGGAACAAATACAATTGCCACAGTAAAGGCCGATATAATTAACCAATCTTAACTGAAAAATAAGCAACAAATATAATGAAACTCTCTCTCTCTTTCTCTCTCTATGTATTATTAAAGAAAACCGCATCGATTAAATAGTCACGTTGTTTCACAAATCTCGAAACGAATAAGACTCGTCTTCGCTTTCTGTTACAAATCGTTAAAAATGATTCTAATTTTACTCCATCGTGTGTATTAATTTTTCAACGATACATATTAACGAATATTTTCACAATACAGTTGCCGATTAAAATTTCAGGCAAACCGTACCTTGGTTTTCGTCTACCATACGACTTGACACAAGTGGTCGGGGGCGGAGAGGCTGAGAAATCAGCTTATCCTTTCATAGTGTCCCTACAATGGGGCCCAAACAAGAACTCTGCGAGCCACTTCTGTGCCGGATCTATTTTGAATGAGAATTGGGTCGTAACTGCAGCACACTGCGTTCAAGCAATTCCTGGAGATGTAGGAACGTTCGAAGTCAAAGCTGGAAAACACAACATTAGAAATGTAGAAAGCACAGAACAGATTGTCCAAGTCTTAAAATCTTGGGTGCATGAAAAATACGCAGGGTATATAATATTAAAAATATTAAAAGATACAAATATATAAGAAATGTTCTCTAGCCCTCTTCTTATTTAGACTAATATTTATATATACAATTACTCATGTCTTTGTTAACTTATAAATGCATATAATGTAAAATAACAGCTCTTAAATTAATAACTTGCCTATGGCTGTAGTAACATTAGCAGAATCAAATACAATTGTTTAAACTATTAATTAACACTAATAAGTGCATTATATTAAATATCAATAATGAAATCATATCACTTGAAACTTGGAATTTTATCGTTAGAGAAACTATCTAGGCTTCTAATAAGCCACAATGTACACAATAATTCTGTAGATTTTCTATTGTTTCTCACAATGTATATTACTGCTAACTCCACGCCACGCATTATTTGCCCGCTAACGCTACTGTTTTAGCTAATTAACACTTTCGCGAAATCACATACAATTTAATGTCTATTATTCAACATTTATGAATCTCCAGCGGTGTTGGACCTTACGATATCGGCCTGCTTAAGCTGAGTGAACCATTGAAAATGACGAAGGAAGTGCAATCGATCAAACTACCGAAAGAGGGAAGTGTGCCTCAGGGAAACGCGATTCTTTGCGGATGGGGCTCCACTTCGCAGAGCAGTATTCCAGATATGCCTGATGTGCTTCAGTACGTTAATTTGGAGTACGTTGATATTGAAAAGTGCGACGAAGCCGTCAGGCGCCTGACTGGATCATCTCCCGTTCATGAGACCAATGTTTGCACTGGCCCATTGACTGGTGGAATCTCCGCTTGCAGCGTAAGTCATGAACCTAAATTATGACAATAATTTTGTCGCTTTCGTTGGCTGATCATATAACTTATCGCATCGCATTGTCGGTTCATTTTCAGGGTGACTCCGGCGGCCCTCTGTTCGAGAAGACTTCAACAGATTTTATACTTACTGGCATTGTATCCTGGGGCATTATTCCATGCGGCTATTATGGTGCGCCGTCCGTATACACTAACCCAGCCATGTATAACAGCTGGATCGAGAATATAATTAATAATAACTAATATAATAATCGAATTGGACTGGCCAATGTACAACGACGACGAAATTTTGTATCTGCTTTAGCGCACAGCAAAAATATGTAATGTAATAAACAAGATTATATACTGCAAGCCCTGGATGCCTTATTTATTGAGCCTATATCGTGTTAAAATTGCGCAGTGACCGAGACAAAATTAATTGAATAATGAGAAAAGTGATTTACGATACAATGGCTGTATTTAACAAATAACAATGTCACGTGCACGCGGGAGATACTTTTGTATTGCTTACTACTATAAAAAGGTAACCGTAAGAAGTCGGTAAGTCTTTTCGGCAAATTTATCGAGGAATTGTTATGCCTTGCATTATTTTTAAAATATTTAAATACTTCGGCGATGTTTTAACTGATATACACAATATATATTCTAATACAATCACATGAATGAGATAATGAACGCCATTCTGGAATTCGATTGATTAACAACAAAAGAAGTAAACTATTGTGGCGAAGGAAGCATTTCTAGAAAAATAATGTCTTCCTACAAAATAATATCTTCCTACACTTACTAATCTATTCTTATAGCAAAATAATTTGTAGATTCGGCAAAATAATCCAGCGAATGACAATCAGTAGTCTTAACAAATCGTTTTACTGTTCATATAGTAACTGATAGAGTTTACTACGACCGCATGAAATTTGCTTAAGATTGATTTATTGTATCTTAAAATAAATAAATGTTATATGTATATTTTGATTGAGGAACGGAACGAACTTTTGCATCAGTCCAATAATTTTGGTATTCAGTACCCACTTGATGCCTCTTACGTGTGAAACGATTTGATCAATAAGTACACTCGCAAAACATAAATATTTCCTGGTAGATTCATTCTCATAAAGTAACATAAAGATCGCTCGAACCTCTCTCCGGTCAATTTACATGCGGATCGATTAACAACAATTATTCCGTCTTGCAAGTTTGCGCGACTATTTCCACCGCAGCGAGCGCTTCCTTGGCCGTGGGAATAATGTAACGCGCTGGCAGGATAAAGCCGTATCTGCCGGTGTCTCTTAGTTCGATGGTGTACGTATATTTGATCTTGAGTAGAGCTTTCGCCCAGTCATCCGAGCCACCGCTGGCTGCGTACAACAATTGGGCACTATTGCCGACAGTATACACACTTCCAGCGCCGCCTGCCATTTTCATGGCTGCTGCTGCTTGATGACCAAGCTTGTCGAGGTCGAGATAGTCCGGTGGAACTACCCGGTCATATCCCCACGGGTACAAAATGTATTGGCCGTAACTGTGGAAGCTCAAGTAGGCCTATCGGAAAAAACGTCACGTTTGAATATAGAACATCTTGAAGTTTGACTCGAAGTTAAGACATACAAGAGACTTTATTAATGCTATTCTTTTCCCTAGGCATAGTGGTATCGGAAATTTCGAATTAGGCGCATCATTTCAAAATATTTGTGCATGATGACTGCTGCCTTGGAGCATTGTTCCCGGTTCATAGGATAAACAACATTCGTAATGCACGAATGTTCAGAAATGATACGCCTAATTGGAAATTTTCAATGTTACTTTGCCTAAAGAATGCGATAGCATTAATGGAGTCTGTTATACACTAAGAGAAAAAAGTGATTGGTTTGACAAAATCGGCTATCACCCCGTGATATTCAGAAAAATATTTGTGTCCACCGAACGAGTTATTTGTTGAAACAACAATATGTTACGTCGATATAATTGCTGGCCAAAATCGCAATCATTGAATCAATTAGAAATTCATATAACAACTATATAACTTGTTCAATGAAATAAATTTTGTGATTAAAAAAATTTCCTTCAAATAAAATTTCTTTTTGATTATGCCATTTTCCTCAGTAGGAAGTTGAAATATCTCTCTATTGGATATAAAAGCTTAAAAAGTTTTAAAAAAGATAATCGTTAGAAGTAAAAAAAATAAATGACTTCTTTTAAAAGGGTAAAAAAGACGGCGATTATATTACAGCTATTCTCTTCTAAAGTATTTTAAGTTAAAAATTTTGAAATATCATTAATAATTATCGCCATACTTAAAATACAAATTCACCACTTTTGGTAAAATCGTTGCATGGCAAATTAATGTATCTTCCTAAGTTTCAAAGCGAACCCTAGTAAATCAAAAGAAGTGAGACACTTCAATCGACCTTAAAGTTCGCCGAGCTGGCCTCGAAGAAATTCCGAATAGCATTGGTTTCCGGCTCGGAGAAGGGTGCGGTGCCTGCGTATATTTCGCGACAGACGTCTTTGCTTGTGCCTCTTCCGCCCCAACGGTAACCGAAATTCCGGTTCAAGTCTACACCTGAACAACCGCTGTAGCCGGCCTTCCTCCTGTTCTTCCTCCAAAGACGATCGGAAGCGAAGGTATATTCGTATCCGTCCGGATTCGCCACCGGTAAAATGTAATAGTCTATTTCCAGGTTCTCGCTGTTCTCGACCAGATAATCAATGATATAGGTCACGGACGCGGGTGAAATCCATTCGCGGGCATGAATGCCGCCATCGATCCAGAGCGCCGGCGCGTTCGGCTTGCCGTTACTGATCCTTATAACCTGAACATTCACAGGACGATCTCAAACTTGAATTTTCAGTCGACATCCCACACAACACAAATGCACAATATATACGAATGATAATCATATGCTGTCTGAGATAAAGATCACGACAGGAACGTAAACACCAGGGTTAAGCGCCGGCTATACCTTGAGCGGGCGACCTTCGATGGAGTGGCCGATAGTCATGACGGAGCAGAGGTCGGGATAAGTTTCCGCGAGGTAGTCCAGGTAACCATGAATGTCTTCCAGGCGATGGTAACTGGTCCATTCCATTCTATGACCTGGCGGGTATACCTTCAAGATTACTCGAAGCTTGCACCTTGCGCGCTCTCGTGCGATCGTTCAACAACCGCTCCGTAGATTCAGATCGAGTACGAAGCAAAGTGAAGGCCGAGCGTTCCGAACTCTTCAACTATCATATCGCGCCTCGTGTCTCGATAGCCTCGTAAACGTTGTTGCATTCAACAAAGCACTATTCTGAATCGACGAAGCGAATCGCGCGCGCTTTTGAGGAAGCTCACCCCGAAAACTCTCTTAAAATGCCAAGGACCACCTCCACCGTGTACACTAGCTACAGGATAACGAAGAGGACGAGGACGTGGATACCTAATTCTGACTGCCTGCCACCAAGCGTAACGAGCTAGAAAACGACTGAAAGCCTCACTTCGATGATGAGAATGTCGGGAATATTTCGATGACACCGCTGAGAGTTTATTTCGACAACCTAACTTGAGAAACGAAAAAACCGGACGAGATTTTTCGTGGCCGAAATGACCACGCTGTTATGGGTCGCTATTCGCCTTGTGCAACCTCGTAGCGTATTCGAGGAAGTGTTAATCGATTTCAGTTCAAATGTTCTAAAAATTGAATTTTGTAATTTTGTTAACCTTTTAAGTGCTGAATATTCCCGGTGTAAGCAATCCGCATGGACGGCGCGCGCCTAGCGGTTTCGATCGCTGGAGACGGAATACTTTTTTCGCTAATGTGAACTCTGTCAATTAAATACGCAACTACTTGAATAATACCAGAAAGTTATTTTCGAACATTGATTATTTTAATTAATTTTACGCACGACGCAAACTACGCGCCGGCAACAGTCGAACCGCGCGCCAGGCGGAGCTAACCGCATATAGTCCACAGCACTCAAAAGGTTAAATTCGAATGTAAGCAAACCAATATGTATACATCTGAAATTATATAAAGTAATATTAGATATTCCGGTTAATTTTGAGAGCTCATTGTAAATGGCTATAGCTAAAAATATATTAGATACATTTTGAAAGTTGGTACGTCATTTCAAAGCTTGGACATTTCTACAAATCATTTGACACAGGTCCTGTATATTCGTAAACATAACCATATTGTTTAGTGCGATTGAAAATGGAACGTAATAAGGAACATTTTCGTCGTCTATTTTTACTACTTTTACTGCTTTAATTCGAAGAAAACGGCTGCCGAAGCTCACCGATTCATCTCAGAAACTTATTCTGAGTTTGTTCTATCAGTTAAAACGTCCACTAATAGCTCAAAGAAAACCCAAAGTGATTTTGTTGCACAACAATGCTCGACCACATGTTGCAAAAGCAATTAAAGATATGTTATCGGCATTTCAATAAGAAATCTTACCATATGCCGCGTATTCACCAGACTGTGCTCCTTCAGATTATTACTTATTTCGATCGATGCAGCACAACCTTGCTGACTTCAAAACATATGATGAAATATAAAAATGGCTCGATAAATGAATTGACTCGAAAGACGAACATTTTTTTTACTGCAGAATCCACTTATTGCCAGAAAAGGTGCTAGAGATGGGAAATATTTTGGATAAAATATGATTTAATATCTTTCTAAAATAAACGTGTTTTTTGCAAAAAATTCCTCAAAACTAACTGGAACACCTAATATTTGGAGTCGGTTGATCTCAACTGATCATCTGATAATAACTCGATGTGTACGTACACAGTAAATAATTTTCTGTTAAAAACAATCTACGGGAATTTTCAACATACGTTGGCAAGATGAATGTGTTATTTAACTAATTATGTTTGTGTACTTTTTACACATATTTATACATATTTGTCTACTTTTTAACATATTTTCTTTATGTTAAATTAACACAAAATTTCAATGGACCGTTCTTAACGCAAAATTTATTTATTGTATATTGATTTGCCACAATTACTCCCCTTACCGCGTGAACCATGTCTGTTACATTAAATAAAAGAGACTTCGTCTTGACTGCGAAGCTCTTTAAAAGTCTGTGTCGCGAAATCTCGCTAAAATGTCGCGAATCGTGAGTAAATAGTTGTACAATGAAGACAATACATTTCACAAAAGCGTTAATTTGTGACATTAACTTTCCTGGTTCCCAAACCGATTAACAGTAAAGTAAACATAGCGACTCAAATCGGAAAGCATGTCCCATCTAGTCCGTACCGAGTAACGGCATCGAGATCAGACGGGCATATATGCAAACGATCGCGGAAAAATGTCGAAAAATAGCGCAGAACGTGCCGCGACTGCACGTGGCGTTTCACACGCGCTTTACGCACGCGCGTACAAATGAAATGTAACTGTTAATCAGCATTGAAGCGGAACCAGGTTACCAGGTGGAATTCACCCGAGGCCGATAACCCCGATTCATTTCCAATTATTTCTTCTCGTTGAAGGAATGGAAATTAGATAACTCAGGACCGTCAGTGTGTTATTACTTTTCTTTCTCAAACAAATATATACACCCAAATTTCGAATTGTCTTGCAATAGCTCACATTGTCTCAGATACGAAGATTTTTAATATGTAATACGTAATATGTAATACGCTCTCTTTTTTGTTAGAAAACAATTGAAAAATTATAACTGGTACAAAGAATAGAAAACAGAGAATGTTGTAGAATAGCATTAATTATTCAGGAACACGTCTTGATTATATTCAGTTGATAACTTTAAGTTATATTATTCGATAATTTTGTTATTATTTATCTATAACCGCGCAACTGCCCGCGAATCACTTTCGAATGTACTTCCAGATAAGGATACGTTCGTTTGATTCATTTTCGTTAGCTTTCTTCGCTACGTGACTGGCTTAGACAGCGAATAGACAATAGGTTTTTCCTTAACTTTCATCAATGTCAGTGGGTCACAAGTCTAATTTTGATTTAGTTTCTTTTCTTCATTATTAATTCGTTGCAGCTATTTATAAAGGCGAAAAAATAATAAAGCAACGTAATATATCGAAGCACAAACGGTATAAGCGGCGATTAATCGATCTCGCAAATTGTTAATAAAAGCACCCAGCGATATGCCAGTATCTAAATACGTTTTTTAAGCGTTTGAACTATCTTATAAAAAAAAAAACAATCTGCATGAGCTCTTTCACGAACAAATATTATTACCGATAATAATAATAATAAATGCGGTTTTGGACGAATATTTCTTTTCATAAGACCGTAATCGCTCAATAGTTTTGTCTCACGATATAGGTATAATTGTAAAATAAAATTAATAAAAGCCTCAAACCTTTGCGTCCCTCGAGCTCCTCCTGTTCATCCGGCGTAAGTGGAGGGTTCTCGTCCTTGATTGCCTGTTGCACATCGTCGATCAGTATGTCATAGTCCAGTTTAGCGTTTCTGAACACCGACTCCACATGTTCGAGCATGTAACTTCGTATCAAAATATCGGTGATTGATGCGTTGTTCGACCATATCGAGTACGCTATGCCAAAAAAAAGAAAATGTCAACATAACCCGAACCCAAAAACCCTTTTCGCACAAATCTGTGAATTCGCTTTCAAGACAAATATCATTTTGTTTCTAAGGCAAATTTACGCGCGAAGTCATTACATACAACCGTCCTCGTCGTAACGTTCCACCAGCTCGCTCACATAACTGTTATTCGCTTCGGGTTTGTATATCCTCCATACTTGATCACCGTCGTAAGTGATCTGCTCTTGAGCAACATCCTTCAACTCCTTCTCGCTTGATTCTCGTGCGACCTTAACCGAAAATACGTCGACGACGAAGATGACGATTGTCATCGCCATCAACGTCCTCCATCTCACGCATTCTTGTCGTGGTTGTCTTCCGTGGTTCATCTTCGACGAAACTGTGCTTGAGAACATGATACTCCCCGCTTTTATAATACTTGCCACGGTCGGCGATCGAGAGTAACGGGACCACTCGATCGAGGGTCCCGAAGATTGTCGAAGCCGTGACGATTATACGACGAGGATCTTTGAACCTCGAAACAGAGATTTTAGCACTCTAATATGTACAATGGCCCCAGTCATATTTTCCTGCCAAATATATGTTAATGACAGCAATGGCAGCAATGCGTACTCCTCAGTGTTCGATTCAATTATGGAAACTTGTTGAACTTTATTGGAATTTTATTGGAAACTTATTGGAATTTTGGGACTTTATTCGTAAATATGTGTTACAAATCAGTTAAAACATGTATTCTATGAATATTATATCATAATTGAGTGTGCCTCTGTGTGTGTGTGTGTGTGTGTGTGTGTGTGTGTGTGATTTATATATCGCGTGTTCCATTTCTATTCAAAAATATTCAACCGTTAATACTTGAGACAAAACATTTCAGGAACTTTGAAGACTTTAAATATTAATATATAGCAGCTTTCATATTTTTGTACGTTTCAACGAACTAAAGATAAAGCCATTTTAAACTTTTTAATTATTTTCAAATTTCGCTGGGTTGTAAAGGAAGTTTAAAAAAATAGCGTAATGTCTTAAAAATATATAAAAAGTAATAGATTTCTTTGAGATCAGAAGTTCTTTTAATCTGTTGTGCAAATTTCCAGTATAAATCAATAAAAAGAATTGTAGTAAATGCCTATTTTAATATTCATTCACTTCCTAGCGCTACTTCTTTGATTTTACTTTTTCCTCACCCTTTCTTCTTCATATAATCATAAAAGAGAACTTTATTATAGTGGGAAATTCTATATTGTTTATAAATGTACACATTCGACCGTTGCGATAAACAATACTTCCGTAATAGCCCTTCGAGATCATCAATAATATTATCAATAGTAATTTTAATTTATCCTAATTACATAAATTTTAAATCAAACTCTCGAAGAAAGGTATGCCTTTGATATTATATTATTTTAGAAGAATATTATGAAAGTATCGCTCTTCACGAAATAGGAATAGGCAATGATGATAACTAGAGAGAGGAGGCCGACTTGAACCGTGCGCCATTGGATGGTAATGATGATATGATAACTGAAGTGGAAAAAATCTTAAGTATTAGCACAAAAATTCATGACCTCAGTGTTTGTGTCCGCCCTTTTATGTCTAGATCTGTAATACGTATAATAAACCTTTAGGCTTTTAGGTCTAAGTATTAAATTGCAACGTAATTTCAAATTTCAACAAGTATTTCTAGCGCTACCAAACGTCGCAATTCCTAAAATTTAAGCATTATTGCAACTTTTGGCAGCGCGAGGAACGTCTTCTGTCAGGGATCACGTTACATATTATCACTTAGAGCAAAAGGCTATAAGTTCACTACCCTTATTGTGGGTCCGGATTTACACATACGGCTACTTCGTTCAATTTAGAGCGCCGACGCTGCTGCCGACGACGTATCGCGGGCAGACGCGCGACTTCCACCGCGAGGAGACGTTCCGTACGTCGTTCTTACGCCGTACACACCGCGGCAGAATACAACTGCACCGCGGAGCCCGATTAATAAAGGAAACCGTGCCGCGACGCCCACATCGCTTCGGAACAGCATTCGGGACGAAATCGTAAAACCATGAAGCGCCTGCTGACGATCGTCGTCCTCGTGGCTGCTGCCTCGACTGCCATCGAGGTACCGTTCGCTACTTAACACGATCCTCCACCTCTCCCAATCACAGATACTGCATTTTTCGGATACCGTTAATATGTGATTCTAACTGTCGGGCCACAGAGTAAAGATCTCAGCCGCGGTCATATCCCGGTCATTTTGCATATATTTCGCATACTGTTTGTATGAGATCGCGACTAAGCATCCTCGAAACGGCCCAACATTGTCATCCCTTCGCATCATGTGCGTTATATCGTGTTCCGTCAGGAAGTCTCGGTAGAATTAATCAGCAGAAGCCAATTAATTATACCGCTGTATGAATCTTGCGATGAAGATCTCATATCGATCTCTCATTGGTCAAATGACGACATTAAATGGTCATGTGACGATAAATCTATCTATTTTGTTCAAATTATTGAACAAATACAAATACAAATTGGATTACGGAGCAAAAACCAACAAATACGGTGATATAATAATAGGTCAAACGTGTGTATTTCGCCTTTATATGTCATAAGGTTTCCCTGCTTGTAGACGCGCGTATGCGCGCATCATGAAGACCAAATGCGCGCGTGGGCGACTCTCCTACAAATGTGTGCCACTTCGAATACATCAAGCATTGAGAATCCGACGAATAAATTAATGGCTCCATTCTGCATCACTTCTGTTGGTTATTGCACTTGCGCCTGCGATCGCGTATTAACCTTTCGCGCGTTTGGTTAATTTAATACGCCAATTTATTTCTCCCGGAATTGTCGTTGACCTCTTTCTTTGTTTCTCTCCTTCTTTCAACGAAACAACCTCATTACGAATAATTGCGCTGCGTATCGCCCACGTGGAAGATGAAGGAATATTACTGAAGAATAATAAGTTTGTTCCATTTTTTAAGGCGGAAACCTTCAAGATTACAGATAAGGTGTACTTCGACATCATGATCGATAATCATCCAGTTGGAAGAATCGTCATCGGTCTGTTCGGTGACATCGCACCGAAAACAGTGAAAAATTTCATCACTCTCGCCACCACCGGCGTGGCTGGCAAAAAGTATACGGGAACCAGATTTCATCGAGTGATAAAGAAGTTCATGATTCAAGGTGCCTGCTTCCGATTACCAATGTTACATTTATCAAACAAATTTCGCGAGATATTTGTCGATACTTATAACCAGAGTTGGGTAAATTAACTTTTTTTAAATTAAGTTAAAAGTTAATGGTCTGTACAATCAACTTTGTTAAGTTACCCAAACAAACTAATTAATTAAAAGTTGAGTTAAAATTAAATTAATTTATTACACTTAAAAATTAATTATGCAAAACTATACATATAGCTCAGAAAAGGAATAATTAGATTCGATTTATATATACATTTTTGGACAATTAACTTTTAACTTAAGTTAATTTACCCAACCTTTATAACTATATATTACAGGCGGTGATGTCGAAAATGGCGACGGTACTGGCTCCATCAGCATTTATGGCAAATACTTCGAGGATGAAACCTTCGAGGTGAAACACAACGGACCACTGTTCGTTAGTATGGCGAACGCCGGCAAGGATACTAACGGCTGCCAATTTTTCATCACCACGATAGCGACACCTTGGCTAGATGACCATCATACGATATTTGGGAAGGTAATTAAAAGTACACGAAGCGTTCCACTAGCATTGTGACAATAATTCGTCGTTCGTAAAAGGAATTTGTCTAGTACTAGAAACACAATTTGTATATAGAAAAAAATAGTACTGAATTAATGTAAATAATTATTCCAATATTTCTTAGCATTTTTTTATTCGGATCAAGTAATATTTACTTGATCCGAGTAAAAAATATTTACATGATCCAAATAAAATTTATTCAATCCAAGTAAATATTTGCTAAGTAGTATTAATGATTTACTTGAATCTAACATTTTGTTTCTATGTAAGAATAATTTTTCTTTATTAGTGTAATTTGATATCATATTATTTATATAGTATAATTACTCGATATATTTGTGTTTGACTTGTCAACATTTGAAACTACAGGTGGTTAGCGGCGAAGCTGTGGTCTTCAAGATCGAGCAAACCAAAACGGACAGTGACGACGTTCCGCTCATCCCTGTGGTGATCTACGAAAGCGGAATTCTCCCAACAGAACCGTATACTATATCGGACAACCCTTACGAGTAATCCAGCATTTCCGACGTGTCATTAACAATATTATTTCGCATTCCCCTCCCGTCTCCAATTTTTTCGTAGATTGCTAAAATCATTGCGCTTCATGTTAATCATAGACCATGCGCTAGTAATTACATTTGCGTAACAACCTTGTAGATTGAGAGGTGAAACAACGATGAAATAATTGAGTGATTTTGTGTGAGGTTCGCTATATTTTTATACGCTTCTAAGGCTTTACTTCACACAGTCACATTTTTTTTTATAACGTGACGTTTGACAAGAATTTGCACTTCGAACACGTCATCGTTTATCTGTCTGTTTCATGTGACCGTGTGAATAAAAAGACTGACGAGTATAGCTACAAGTGTAAAAGTAGACATTGAAATCGCAATGCCGCTCACGTAGTAGGTATGTCTGAAAATATATTCTTCGACGTATTATCCACTCCTCAAGCATTTTGCTGTCATGTCATGATGCGTACAACTAGGTAAATTATTTCCTAATGACACAGCATTCTCAGTTTTCTAGTTCATTTAATGCGCTGTTAAAATGTGCCTATTTGCAGTGTATGGGCGTGGATCAAAGCTACCTGCGTACCACTGGGATTCAGCTTCTCGATACTCGCATTTTTTCATTACATGATGAAACAGTTGGACGTCTAATCGACATTTTCTCTCGTGAAAGACTGACTTAAGCCGAAAAGGAGAGACTCGGTAGACCCCGAAAACGTCGTCAACCGCTAAAAATCATATTTATTTTTTATAAAAGAAGCTATATTAAAAATTATTATTATACATTAATTGCGTGTGATTCTAATAACACGCAATCGCATTGTACGTATATATGTAACCGATAGAGCAAGCTCGCTTCTTTGACAACGCGGCTTCCCCGCCGTGTGGGACGTTAAGCGCCATCTCTGTACGGACCGCGAGGTTTCACAGAAAGGACTTTATTTATTCTATAATAAATTAATTTTTTAATAAATTAACAGTACAGAAAGGAGGATAATACATGATGCTGTATTTTCTGATTTATCAATTGTTTCTCTTCGTGACAAAAATTCCCGGACATAAATGGTTACATGGAAATGTTAGTTCACTTTGGTAACAGAAAGCTCTCGTTTAAACGTGAGGATATTAAAAGAGATGAAAAGACGTAGCTGAAGAAACATTTGATCGAGCAGCGATTAATACTATTAATAATAATATTAAGATTACACTGAGAAGACGAAAAAGAAAAGACTCGAGCGCGTTGCTGTACGGTACTGCCGATGACGCACAAAGCCGCGCATGCACGCGCGCACACATGTTCGCAGAGTCTGTTGTGTGTACAAATACGTGTCAGACTGCTCTCGGATAGGCGCCTGGTCGTTCAGTCAGTCGGTGGCGAACCGGTGCCAGTCATCAGACGTTGATGGTCGGTTAAAGGTTGATTGTAAAAGAGCGTCGGCCGATGCTCCAAGCATTTTGCCGGCCGTAACACGTGGGCGTACGTGAGAAAGAAAGAGAGCTATCATTCATAAAGTCACAATCAATATCACAACGGAGCGCGGTCGTAGAGCATATTGTGGATACTGTGTGTCCGTGTGCGAAGCTCAGGTCGTGTTGGTGCGTTGCTTTCACGGTTGCTGAAAAGCGGACCGAGGAGCGCATGTTGTTCCCTTCGGGCTTCGATCGGCCTAAGGACAGCTGGGACGAGGTCCTTGGAAGGGAATGCTCTGAAACGGCGTATCAGCGTATTCACATAAGGTACACGTCTGTTTCTGGAACAAGAATTTACGTAGGTGCGAATGTGCTAATCGCGCGCTATCTTCGATTATTATCATCAAAACAATGACAATCATCAAAACAATTATATCATGAAAACAATGACAGGATACACGGAGTTCACTTTTTGCCTTGGTATTTGTTGACATTTGGTAATGGAAGTCACAAAGAGACATGACGCATGAGGAAGAGCGTTTGAAAAGAGTCGTGTTCGGTTTAAAAATCACGAAAACGTTCATTCTTGCTTGGTCAATAAATGAATGACGGAATATGGTTCGACAGATTGAGGTCGATAATTTCGTTATCACGTAATAAACATGATTTGATCGAACTTAAAATTTTCCTTAACCGGGTAACTCACAATAAAATTGACTCCTTCTCCGCTTAGCAGCCGGCCTTTTACGCATGCCTTTTACGAAAGGCATCCGATGAATCAAACAGTTTTAGAAAAGTGGCAGGTAGTTTGTTTGGGTTCGAATTAGCGGAAATTCGCCTGACTCACCCGGTGATCAGATAAGTGGTTAAGAAGATGTTATATATGGACGAGCGAGCACGATATCACCACCATATTATTAATAGCGCTGATAACGATTGGCGATAAACGAAAGCATGGGCCATTGGGAACGTACGTAGTGACCAGGCCGTTCCTTATGCTGACTCAGCGTGCAGCGAATGAAATTATTTTACATGCAAAATCGCGCCGAAAAGTTATGGTGCGTAGCGTGGCCGTTTTCTTCCGTAACGATCGCATGTGTAAAACATACACACAGTTTCACTTTCACACTCGGTGATATCCGCCGGATTATCGCACAACTGTGCGCACAAGGTCTCCACATCACTTCCATTTGCGCGTTACGATAAAAACTGACACGACGTGGGAAGAGAAGCAATTCATTCTTTTGTTATTGTACAATCTCTGCCAACCGCGGATATCAAGTCGCGATACTCTTTGGTTACCATTGGATGCCATTGATCTTTTTCCTTGCGAATAACAGACGTGATTTCATTGTTGACTTAAAAATTACGGCCAGCGTGTCCCGTCTGAATTACGCTTACAAAATGACACGTATTCGAAAATCATGTCATCTTGTTTTCATTATTTTTCTTTTTCAATTCTTTTTCAATTACGTCAGTCGTGTACGATTAATGTCCAGCTGAGCATTTTACGAACGGCAAAACCAGTTGACGAACGCCTCGTAGCTCATAAATTCTTTGTAACATGCTTTCTGGCGTCTTTGATATATTTTCTTGAAGTCACGCCAGAATAAGTCACGTGGGAAGAACCGATATGAAAAAAAGAGTTATGGTTGTAATTTTAGCTGGCCAAAGGATTTCTTTGAAACGTCAGGATAATCCAACGTCGTTTATTAAAACGGACGCCAGAAATCCAGCGCGTTGTTTCGTTAGCACAATTTGTCCCTTGAATAGCGACCGTTGTGCATTCTCTTGATTAATTCGACATTATGGCGTGTGACACGCATCCCCGCGCGAAACACGTCAACTCGCACACGCAACTCGCGCGTATTTCGGGTATCGTTATTACGAAGTTCAATCAAAACGCGTAATTCTCTGTAACTCGTGTAAACAGATAACAAGGTTGGAATGAAAGGGCACATCTGTGAAATAATTAGATTAATTACGAATCTGAAGCAGTGGTACTAACAAGTGACTGATTGCTTGCACCTTCTACGCGCAATGACAGACTTGCTCTGGAACGGACATTCACTCGACAATGATTAAAGATATCTCCCCTTAGACTTAAGTAGACTATTAGATTGTCGATATAGTTTAGTCGATAATCAGACGGAAGCTGTTATTTATAGTGTCCAATCAATTACGATAACTATAGATATCGGCGATTCATTCACTAACATCGCAATTTACTGGCTCGGTGATTACAGTGTTCAGAACGCGCCTTGCATCTAACAGTGCATGTCATTATATCCACGACAATCAAGCTCAAACTATAATCAATATCAATATATAATTTTTTCTGCATTATTTAATTCCACGACCGTCCGACATCGATAGCGTGTGATCGTTTAAATGACTTGTGCAAATGAGCGAGATAAGCGTTCATTCACGAAATTTCAATACATGTATATCTAAATATGCGAATATCTGCGACACTTCAGATATTATGGGAACGCGCCTCGGACAACTCAAATAAACATGAATAAACGCGAGTAAAATAGCCAATTAAAATACGGCACACGTGACGCATACGTGTGCTACGTGCAAGTATTCGACGCGTGTTCTTGCTTGGTAGCGTTTGCATTCGATCTTGAACTTTGAAACTTCTTGAAATGCACGCGTCAAAAAATATGTAGAAGAAAAATAATAAGAATCAATGTTTTCTCTCTCCCTCTCTCCCTCAATATTTCGCTAAAGACCTGAGCCGAAATTTAGATGCTACTCTAACACTCTTAAGGATAGTTTATGCCTATTTAGACAGTCTCTAAACTAATAAAAACCTACTTTAACGGTACTGACACTTTTTAACTTCTCTCTCTCTCTCTCTCTCTCTCTCTCTCGAATCTTTAATTTTACCGATTTAATTTTAATACTATCTTCAACAACCTATTTTGACGCTAAACAAACGAAAATGGAAATTCAAGACATCTTCAGAATCAAAATAGGGATTATATTATATTATTAGGATCGAAATTGAACCTATTTTGCTATCTTGTAAAACTACTATATTGTAAAAATTAAGGTTTAACATAGGATCAAAATTTCGACTCGGAGAAAGATTATATTAATGCATGAATCACGCTGAATATATACGTGTACACATCGCCGTTGTCCGACGATATATTATTTGCCGAAAAGAAAGGCGACGCCCATTCCCTCTCCATATGGGGATCCGATAAGTAATGCCATTAGACGCGCCTTACGGGTCATCTGACGATATCCGACGGCACACTTCCTCGTCTGGTCAAAGAAAAATCATGTATATAAATGTTCATTTTCATTATATATAAATTTATTTCAGCGGCTATAACAAACTGTAAGACCGGCTCTTTGTCATCGCTCGATTTTCCTCGTAGAAATGAGCTGTTCGGCTTAGAAGAGAATAGATTTTCTCGAAATCGCACGGAAGAATCAAGCCGTTGCAATTAAAGAAAGTACATTCAAGCACGCTGCTTTTAATTACCACATCCACCTTTCAACGCCCTACCATTTTATGATTCATATGATGCAGAAGCCATGTTCGGCTCGCACAGAACTGTTCAGCGAAATTGATGGATTATCCACGGCGGAATAATATCGTCACGCGACGTCACGACTTTTCCCCCTTTTCACCATATACATCATTACCGCCGGCATCTTCATGCGATAAAAGCGTAACTGGCGCGCCTCCCGACGATGTCGTCTCTATGTAATTGGCTTGTAATTAAGGTGGGCGCGCCCCCCTTTTTACTGAATCCTCTGATGACCAAAAACAGACTCGCTCCTATTCCCAGAACTCCTTTAATAGCGCTCATTTCGAGAACTATCGGGCACCAATTCGTCCCGAATCTTCGCCCAGTCCTCTTTGTTCTGTTCGCAAAGACTTCAAACAATCGTTCCCGATAATACGACGACTTCAAATAATGATTGTATTGATATCGATTATCGTTCTGTAATAATTTCACGTCGGACAAAAATAGTCACCAGTCTCGAATTCATTAGTCTCTTCAGTTCATGTTATAGCCGCGCGGTGAAATCGTATGAGGGCAATCAACTAGCATGACGGCTGGAGGAAGCATCATGTGAAACCCGACGATAGAAACCGGTTCATGAAAAGTCTTCAGATTCAAAAGGGCGTAGTGCGGAACGTCATTGCGTCTCTTAGCAAAACCAGGTTAAAGGTATTCGACTGCGGCAGCGCTTTATCGATTCTGAGAGTTTACGACCGACTGCAGCATGTCATGAAATCTTTAAATCTTTCAAAGGAAAAAAAAGAGCAAGGATTTAAATTCAATTGCCTATCTTTTTTTCATTCTCTTCTACTTTTGTTTCTTTCAGGGTGATAGATCATCCAGGCAGTTCGAAGCATGACGAAGTACTGGCTGAGCGTGATCCTTCTCAGGGTCGTTCTACCAGTCATCTTAGCCGGATGTGAGTACCATTTAGATGAGTCCTCTCCTATTCAGTCTTTTCCTCTTCTTTTACGAATGTTAAAAACATTTGACTTGCGCAATATCAATTCTTGATGAAAACTTCGAATTTATTATTCGCTATCTTCGTCGTCATAAAGACATTTTATCATTCTTCTGTTTTATTGTGCTTTATTTATTGTCGAGTTGTTAAAAATGTTTTGTTGCAGAAATGAATATTTTTATTTTCATATAATGTTGCATGTTTATTTGATAAGTTGTCATGTTTATTTTTGCTAAAACATGATAAAATCGGAACGAAGTAAAAGTATTTGCCAATATAAAATGCTATAATATTATATGTAATGGAAACATATTTGCCGGTATCTTTGGCATAATAATGATAATAGATACACTCAGTGACATCATTGTCGCAACAGTCACATTCTGTAGTCGTCTAATGACCTTAGCTTGTCGGTGAACGCAGAGCTGGTTAAACGAAAAATACGAAATAGCGCCGTATCGCGCTTCTTAGCGGAAAGACTGAAAAAAAAGATCGCGTTGAGAAATCTGACTCGGGTTAACTGCTTATATTCCGCGTAATCATATTCAGGCTTATGCTAATTGACAGCGATACCAGATGAAATACATTCATGATTACATAAGATACAGACATGATACAACTTCCGATTACGTGTTCGCTATTTATACTTCAAATTACATTTCAATATTCTGCCTGTGTATTAATGTTAATATTTTAATTATTACTTCTATTATATATTTATTCAATGTTTAAATATATCTCAGAAAAATTGGTTTCAGTGATTTCATTATTTTAATTTTTTAATAACAAATGAAGTAAAAAGATATTTATCTTATGCATATAACGAAGTTACAAAAATAAATATCTTTCGACTTTAATTACCAATTTTAACGTTTATTTATAACATATATAAATACGATATATAAAAACCATTTTAAATCATATATTTGTAATATAATATGCATAAATATAAGATATTTATAAAATGATATGGTGTTAATAAATATATCGGGCGCTTTTACGTCTTATATCGATCAATCTATTGTTGGTGGAAGAATAATGCCGTCATTATTTATCAGCGTGTTATCGACTCGCCACATGTTGGCTTATTCGCAATCTGTCACTATATTATCATTGTTAACGATGCTGCACATATAACACACACCATATTCGACTATTTTTGTCGATAGAAAGAAATCTGGCTAGTGATAAATTTCGTTTATTATTCCTTGCAGTTTTATTTTCTGCATCTGCTAGCAATAAGATTCGAAATACTAAACTATAAATACTTTCTATTTGATTTGTTAGCAACGTCGTGAACAGCATAAAATGTGCCAGACAGTCACATACGATAGAACAGGACTTTCATAAATTCCAAGTCGGCACCACGGAGAAACAACGTGTTCAAACCATCTTGAAGAGTGTTCTAAAATTAGGAGGCGGATGCTTAAACTCGCGTATCTATATCACATAAGAGTCAAATTAGCTACTGACTTTATCTAAATATTTATTCGCGAATGTGAAAACTCTATTACTAAAAAGTCCTTACAAATTTATATTTCAAATAGAATCTCTTTCAGGAGATAAATTAATTATTTGAATAAAATATTCTTTGCGACATTTTATAAATAGTATAAATGTTTAATCCTCCATGAAATAAAAATATAGGAAGCGGATAATTGATGTTTAATTCTGAAAATGTGTGTGACCATTTTTATGCTGAATTATTTAGAAGAACGATATTTTTTAGGATGTGTCGATTTATTTTCAGGATTTTCAATTTAATCAGGATTCCCCGTTTTTCATATGTTAAGAAACATAAATATGACAATATTTTTAAAGCCACATCAATCATGCAAGCTTAATGATTAATTACGTCAGGGCAAGCTTCGTGTTACGTAAAAATACCCAAAGAACATAACGAAAGCTTCGTGCGTGCGACCTTCTTATTTCCGGAATCAATTCTCGTGGAACCTTCCTGATTTAGCCCAAACTTGTGACCTCATTCGTCTAAAAGAAAAGGAGAAGGAAACATATGTGCCCATGACAAAATTAACATTCGCCGTAAATGCCGACACGTTACCATAATGCGGGTCATTATTGTTCCGTCGCTTTCGTTTCCCATAGATTACGATCGACGAATCGGTTCCATTAGGAACCGGTAGGACAAAAGAATCAATAGATAAAGGACTAGTCCATGATCACTTGTGATTAATATGATAATGAGATAACGAGAAACTGGGCGATAATTTAACAATAATTTAACAATGATGCCGCGAAGTTGAGATTTCAACAGCGAACTTTCAATGCAATTGCGACGAACTTCAGTTGGCAGCGATACAATGTCCTTATTTCTGTAAGATAAATATAACACATGCCACGAATAGAATAAGTTGCTGACTGAAACAAATACGAATAACACAATACTTGTGCGAATATTTAGAGAGGTTCAAAGAACCCTTCTCTAACTCGCTATAGTAAATCTGAACTGGCAGCCGAACAGCTATGCTCGCTCGTGAAATATTTGCAACGCTGTGCGATGCGATAGTAATTATCGTCGACAGACTAAACTTGTTACAACGATTCACATTAATTATCTATTCACGTTCTTTCCAAGCAACACAATATACTAAGTGATGACTCAATATCTGCGTCAGCAATGTATCTGTCTTGGAAGTTTTAGCGATCTTTTTAACATCGGGGCAAGTCAAATATAAAAATGCATTTATATTCAACAATCTGTGCAACAATAATCTGATAAATAAAAAAAAACATCGCTAAAACGGATATGAACTAACAATAAGGAGCGCAAAGGTCGTGATGAAACACTCGGAGGGGTTGAAATGTCATTTCTCGGTACGTGTCGTTATTGACTGCGTTCTGAGTAATTTCTCCACCCTCATAAATGACCTTTCCACTAACATGCAAATGATTGTTACCGCGATGCCATCTAAAGCTACATATTTATGCGTCGTCGTACTTAGCGAGGGTAGGTCTCCCTAATGAAACCTCCGATGAAGCCAAAGTAGAGTAAGTCGCTTAATAATCGAAGTGGATAAATGGGATGGCGCTAGTTCTATCGAAAGATCTTAATATTTTTTATCACAGTTGCGATTTTTAGAGAAATTATTTAATTTCATTGATGTATCGATCGTAATAAATGTACATGATAAATTGTGCAGAATTTGTAATTTGTAATTATGGAAAGCGTAACGCGGGCTTCGAACTTACAGGTACAATATGGCGGCCAGTGGGATTGTCGGCAGCTTACCTGGCGCTAATGCTTTATTCCCCGATAATTCCGATACCGATGCGTGGAACAATGCCGCAACACACCAGGACGTACTTAAAGATTTGCATTTGCCTAGCTTTCATTATAGTCGTAGCTCAGATCGCCTTTCACATTGTTCTCCTATCACTACCGCCTTACGGATACTTTCTCCAGAACTGTAAGCAAGCCTCTAACCGAAACATTATATTATCATTGAAAGTTTCCAAAAAAGTTAACGATGATCTTATAAGTGTCGTAAATACACCATAGCATTGTGTATTATTTTTGCGGAATGCATGCTATCCCATTAAAGTTCACATAGTACGTAAAATTTGAGAAAAATATGAGATATCGAACCTTTAATCACCGTAATAACTCATTTCCAGGCGAATTTATGGAGAAGTTGTTCCGACACATAGGTTTCGTCAGATTAGATAGCGCATCCGTCTGGGAAGTTTTTTACTGGCTAACGCCGGAATTCATAGTCTTACCTACCGTGATCGCAATGTATTTCATATGCAGTGCCCTTATGGTGAGACAGGATAACGAAGATACTATTTCTCTTCACCAAGAAACTTACTCCAAGCAAAAGAAGACGGAAGACAAGACCACCATGGTAATCACACGTTTCTACGTAAAAGATTTCTCACCTACACGGAAAAAATGCTGTAGATACAATAGAATCTCCAACAGTATGTGTAATTGGAGTAAATTTTGATTTAACGGCAATATTATCGAAACTAATACTTGAGTTATCGAAACAATATATGATGTAAGATAAAGTAGAAGCACCAATACCTGGACACATACTACTCCAGACACTCTTGTCATTTTGATCTTAATAATGAATATTTAAACTTTCAACATAAAATATATATACATATATATATACATATATTTTTTTTTTGTGTTTTGTGTTTAAATATTTGTATTTAAAGACCAAAACAACAGGAATGTCCAGAGTTAGATACATGCCCATGCATTGGTGCTTTTGCCTTATTTATTAGTTTCAATAATATTTTGCTATACTTGAAGATTCACTCCAATTAAGCGCGTTGCTGGAAATTCTATCGATTCAACAACATTTCTTTGCCATATAAAGAATAACATAACAATACACGATAAAGGGATAAGATCGCTGAAAAATTTCATTTACGCGACATACAAACCGATTTGAATGCGACAGCTTCGCACCTGATAACGCGCGTCGCTAAAAAAATCGATATCATCCCGGTTAACTTACACCTACGCATGTTCACATGATTCAGATAATCAACTTCCTGGGACGTATCGGCACCTATATCGTCCTGGCGTCACTGTGCTGCGCCGCGGCCTTGAAGCCATCGATAGAGGCAGCTTTCTACTTCCTGATTTTCCTGGGCGCAGCTACATGGTGGGCCTGTAATAAGGAATTACGGAAAGGTTTCGCGGTGATTTGCAGAATCGTGATGATTATTGTGATCCTTCACATCATCGCGTTGCTCGCCTATCAGAACCAATGGCCACAGGAACTCATTCCGGTCGCCAGCCCATGGTCGCGTTACCTGGCGTTAACTGCAGTTTATCACACCAATTGCAGTCATCCACGATACGTGGAGTATACGGGTGATGCGGATTGGATGATCTACGGCTATGTTTTGAGGCTGTTTTGGCTATATTATATTCTGTCGTTGCAGTCCCAGTTCCTCATGAAGCAACCGGTGAGTTTGTACATTTATCGATCTAAGAATTAGATGACAATGTAAGAATTGATTCGATTTCTTCCGATTGGTACAGCTGTTTACCGACGAAAAGTTAGGATAGTGTATATAAGAGTATTATTTAGAGATCACACACATATAAGACAAATTGTAATGCTCTTAATATATTATGCTTCGTTATTTAGAATCCTTAGAATTGGGACGGTACTTTCAATTTCCACGTTACGTTAGAATTGTTCAAATTGCTATTATTATCAACACAATTGTGCTTTGTTCCCGTATTAGAAAAAAGTCCGTATTAGGGTACAAATAATTTCGATGAACGGGAAGCCTTTGTATAATTCTAGAGTGAGGTGAGAATTTAGATGATTAATGATATTTAACTCTACGATAGAAATAGAGAAATAAGAGTAAATATTAAATTTTATAATCAGCGCGATTATCGTTTCAAATCTAATTAGAAGTAGCATACTGAATTGCATTTCCACTAAAGCTTCTCCTGGAACTTGGGCTTACCTTAGAAGTCTTTGCTGTCTCAGTGCTATACTTCACTTGCCTGTTTACGTGCATTGTAATTAACTCATGTGCGAATAAGGAATTATTAACATTAACGCTGTATAAGTGTGATAACTGAACGCCTAACAAAACCTCTACACTAACTCAAATATAAAAGTGCTCGCGTGTGTTCAGATATGTTCAATGGATTATAAAAGTTGTATCGTCAAATATTGAATCGTTCATACTTCCTCTCCAAGAATATACAAATATTATCTCCGTAATGATAATTTATTTTACACTCAAATTACAAACGAATAAAAAAATGGACAAGCTAAATGAAAGGAGTTATTTCGTTACTTCGAAATTTTCGAAGCGTTCTAATAATACAATGTTCTTGGTGGTTTTGTCGATTCCAATTAATGGAGTACCCCTTTGAAAATATCTTGCTTTTACTAACGAGGCGTTACAGGCGAAGCAAGCGAAACGATTAAGCGGCAAACTGGAGAACCTGGACACTCCATTATCGAGACATGTGTCCATCAAGCGCAGAACACCTTCTCAAAGATGGCAATCGGCGCGACGTAAGGCTCGCGTAAGGATCTGTTTCGAAAGAGCCGACCCGACACACAATTGACACTTCTATATGTTTGTGATCACGCAACTCCTTCTCTTGTCAGTTGTATTTTATTTCAGAGATATCTCGCTGATACAACACTGGATGCCAATTTTTAATTGTTCAATTGCTCGTTTCAGTAAAAAGGTCACTAACTTCTCGACAACTTTACAAAGTCATTCAAATTGTTAAACGCGCTATATATGTATTTAACATTTTTAGTACTTGAAATTTCTTGTCTTTTTTTTATTTATTCACATCTCTTTTTTTATGACCGTCCATTCCTTTAATCTTTTAAACATTTTAAGTTATTTTTTCGGATTGCTATAATATTTACCGTGATTTTTTTTTACTCATCATATCTTCTTCGTGTTACTCATTGCCGAACAATAAATAATTATATGTGGTATTTGCACGTTTCCCCTTCAAATTTTGTAGAATAAAATATTATATTTACATGCGATTCTAATTCGAGAAGTTACTGACATTAACCACGCTGCTTAATTTACCAGTAATTTTTAACGAAATAATTGTCTCTCGGATATTGTTTATAAAAAACAAAGAAACTGTCTTGTCTACTCTAAGATGCTGTCCGTATTCTTATTTGCTTTCGCCTTACAGATGTGCTGTTGTTGTTTAATGCTGAGCAAACCTCTTTTCCGTTTGGATGCCGCTATGTTTAGTTTGCCATTGTTTTAGAAGCCGCTCTTAAGTCGGTCATCGACAATGCCTGTATCCGACGAGCGAATGCCTGTACGTATACTAATTGAATATGCACGCTCAATTAATTATTAACAATATTAACGGCTTACTGTTTTTGTTACTCTCATCTTAACATATCTAAAGCGGCTCGAATTTTCATTCGAGCAAATGACTGCGGGACATCTGACAGGCATTTGCACGAATTGATCTCGAATAAGCTTTACATACGCAATCATCATTTTTAACAAGACTTTAGCGAACATTAATAAACTGGTAAAGGTAAATGCACGCTATTTCGTATATACTTTGCATGGATCTGCGCCATTATCGGCAAAGTACAAATTTTAAGAGAATGTTAATTTATTAGAAACTAATATATTAGTTATAAAGTTAACGTTAATTTATTATTAATAACAAATGTATTAGCAATATATAAAATGTACAGAATAAAATAGTATTATAATTATTGTTAAGGTACACTCAAGAAAAAAATTAGAGCGTTGTATGTTTTGTACAGCTTTTGCGGTTTGGGTCAGGAAGAACAGGACTGCTTCAAGATTCCACCGGGAGCGTCATCGTTCAGGATAGTCACCAGGACGACACGCAGATGCAGAGTTTTAGTGAAGGTAATAACATGAATATAAAAGTGTACTTCTTCTTATGCACAAGCAAGTGAACGAAATGTGGTTGATCAATGATTACGAATTAGGAGCTGCCAATGAGACGCCAGGTGTCGTCGAGCAGATAATCATGGCGGTGTACTCGATCTTCCAATTAATAGTAAATTCATCGTATCTCGCTACAAACATAATCATGATGGTATGTATGAAATAAGGACTACGAGCAACAAGCCGAAAGGGAATGATAAAATCATCTTAACAGTCTCCTTATTTTCTATTTTATAATCTCCTTTTCACTTAATATAATTCTTTTCCTGTAATCTTTCAGACATGGAGTATAATGTATCACAGCTGGACGACATTCGTCCTATTACTTTGGGCACTGATTTTATGGATGGTTCCCAACAAACGTGCTTCCATGATGAAATGTTCGCCCTTCATCGTGTTCTATGCGACCCTCCTACTTCTCGGACAATATGTTTATAGTATGGACTTAAATGACCAAGAGCTGCCACAGGAGGTAAACGGTGTCAATATTTCCGAGATCGGCTTCATCAAAGTTGACAAACTCAGTCGCTGGCATCTAATAGTTAAGGTACTTTGACATCTTGAACATTTCTCTTTAATTTAAACAATGTAAATTGCATTAAGCATAAAACTGATTTCTACAAAGTATTTACATAAATTTATTTCTATCAAGATTTATTTAATTAATATTTATAATTAATTAATATATAATTTATATAAATAGGTACTGTATCTCTATTTATGTATCTACTACTTCACATTAGACTTGATCTTTCGCTTTTGCCTGTGTTTGATCTTTCGCAGTGCCTGTTTATATCGATGTTCTGGATCACTATGAGGCAATATATGACAGAACGAAAGCAACAGCAACGATCTTCCGCGCTAAGAGACATGGTGGCACCGTTACACGTGTCCGTCTCGACTGCTACAACTGCCATGAGTCACGAGACGCCCGAAATCAAGAGTAAATTTATGAAAGAAGTTGGCACGCGGTTACGGAGTCTGTTAACAAGATTCTGGATCGCTGTGGTGGCAATCACGTTGTTCATCTGCGGTATCATGGGCGAACGTATGACGGTCTTCAGAATCGTTTACATGTCGTTATTCCTCGTCTTTGTTATTACATTCCAGGTGACGTATACAAATGTAGATTGCCAGAGTTTACCATGAAAAATGTATTAATGGCCGAATCGCGGACCGTTTCAGGTTTCATGGGTGGCATGGAGAAGGATGATGTATGTATTCTGGATAACCGTAATCGGATATTCCATCATTATGTTGATTCTCGTGTACACCTACCAGTTTGAAAATTTCCCGACTTATTGGGAATATCTCGGAATAGACCAAGACATGTGAGTGGCTGCTTAATTATCACCTCGTTTGCTAATTATACGAATTTTCCGGTGAGTGACACCTACTTTTACTACCCTTTCAGGCAAATGGACATCGGATTGGAGACCTATGAGATCAAAGATCTGTTCGTTCGATTGTTGACACCGACGTTCTTCGTTATCATCACCGTAGTTCAAATTCATTACTTCCATAACGATTTTCTGCAAGTGACCAATATCGACAGACTGGAGTTCGTACGAAAATAGTTGCACGTACAAATAATGTAATAATCACGATGTTGACGACGTATCTCGATTTTAGATCTGAAAATGTATGTAGACACTCGAGTTTGGGTCATTCGGCTAGTTACAACATTCCTGCGTCTTCGCCGACTGACGTCACGCTCACAGAAGACGATGGAAATGCGATATACACATTGAAACAATTGAAACGTATGGTTTCTATTCGATTAACTATGCAAATAGACAATCATTGTTTCAACATTACGGAATATTGTTATTAGATACTCTCAACATTGTTTACAGATATGTCGAAATTAGAGAGAATTGCTCTGTGGCAAAAAATAAAGAAGCACATAGTGAATTTCTATAATTACACTTGGCTCTTCTTCGAAATTCACGTGCAGAAAATTATCTTTATTTCGTTCGTTCTTCTGTGCATCTACGACGTAAGTAATATCACAAAAATCTAACTTACTTTTCATCTAATTAAATTATTCATATATATAAATTATTCGTATAAATAAATTTCGAGGGACTGTAGGTAAACTATATGGATTCATTTTAGGTCTGCGCGATCAATTTCTTATTCATCATCGTCATAGTTATCATGATTAATTTTAACAGAAACGTTCAAATAAAGGCAATTAACGTAATGGCTGCAACTATATCACTTCTTATGGTTACTAAGATGTTGTACCAAATTAAATATATCAATCACAAAAATTGGAATGTTAATTGCACGGTAAGATATGCATAAAATAAAAAGCAAAACCGCTATATATTTACGCTATATATTTTTACCGCTATATATTTCTTAACAGCATGAGAATTTCTGTTTTTTTTTTTTTAGGATGAAAACCAACAATATATAAATATCACTTACAACATAGCCGAATGGTTCGGAATGAGAAAAGCCGATCCGGGTGGACTGCCAAAACTACTCGCAGGTTACATTGGCATCGTCACCGTGACGACCTGCAGGAAAATCATTAGGGTCCGTCAGTGGTTTTATCGCATCGACAAAGGAGAGCCGTTTGACACTCCTCAGGTGATGTTCCCGGCTATCACCAGGGCGGATGCCGACAAAGGAATACCAGAGTGCTTGAAGTTCCTCTTCAATTATGGCTTTTACAAATTTGGTCTTGAAATGTGCCTGATTGGCATCGTCGCGCTGATCGGTACCAGGCTGGACTTTTACTCCGTTTTGTACTGTGTATGGCTGCTGCTGTTCTTCTCGTTAAAAAGAAAGGCCGTGGCGCGACTATGGCCGTTCTTCAAGTTCTTCGCCATAATTTTCCTGCCTGTCCAGTACGCTATCGTTGTGGCTCCACCTTCATGGCTCTGTATAGGTAACGTGATGCGTTAATATAAATATTAGACAAAATATGTAACAAATGGCCTTCTTCGGACTTGCTTCAGAATATCCGTGGGACGAATCCGAAGTGATGAGAAGATTGCAGGAATGGATGTTCCTCCCGGATCCACATTATCCGCCGAATCCCAAGAAACTGATTTGTAAGTTCCGCCTTATGTGTCTAACTAAAAGCTTTTGCCAAATATTTTTCATTCAACGCATCACTTTTTTTTTATTTTGCACTTAGGTGACTTCATCTTACTAATGATGATCGTGCGGCAAAGTCTGATCTTCAACATCGAACAGCAAAATTTGCAGTCTAATACGGATTTCGTAGCTGGCCATAACTACTCCGTTTTCAAGGATATGGAGAAACCGAACTTTACGAATCCCGTGAAAGATTATGTATCGCAGATTCATTCGTGGTTGGACATAGTCAAACGTGGTGGCATGATGAGTCTCATGTGGTTGACTTTGTCAATCATGTTTTTAGCTGGAACAGAAAGAACGAATATCTTCTCGCTTGGCTACCTCATAGGAGCATTTCTGTTCCTTTGGCAAGGAAGCGACTTTTACTTGAGACCAGTGGGAACTATCTTGAGATGGTGGAACATATTAATTGGTTATACTGTCATTGTAATCTTCGCGAAAGCTTTACTTCAAGGTGTAGGCTGCGTCCTCATCAAAGACGTAAGTTCCTCTTAATAATTAACTTATTCTCAGAGAACATTAAGACATCCTAATACGTTGTAAAGACGTCTTTGACATAATAAGACGTCTAAAGGACGTTCCTGAGACGTCTTTTAGACATACGTGTTTTTCTATCAGTAAAATGATAAAAGAAATTATAGTACGTAACGCTGTAATTATGAAATATATAACAATTGTTGAATTGTTTGTTTGATACTAGCTCGAGCGTTCAGTATGTTGGCTGGTACAATTGCTGGGCATCGCGTGTCTGAGGAAATTCAAGAGTTCCTCGAGCGACATACCAGATCCCACCGAATGTGACGTCCCTCGTGAAAATATAGGCATGGTCTGGGATGGGTTGTGCTTCGGCTTCCTCTTGATACAGAAGCGCCTCTTCAAGAGCTATTACTTCTTCCACATAGTGGACGAGACGAAAGCCATGAAGATTCTAGCATCCCGCGGTGCGGAACTACACGAAGAGCTGCATCAGAAGCGCATAGAAATCCAAGAGAGCGTGGAAAAGGCTGTTTTAGAGAAACTTAAGTTTAAGATGGATAAGATCAAGGCCAATCAGCAAAAGATACAGGGACCATCTTACAGAGATCCCCAGACCCACAAAGTCGGTAAGACACTTTATGTGACACTCAATATCTTTAGATAACGTTGAAGAAACTATGTTTTATCGAAAACGTCTTGAAGAAGATATAAAGGTTCTGTCTAGGTCATGAAGCATCTTAAGTTAGCCACCGACTGGATATCACTTTCCGTTGAAAAAAAAAATTCCAAAATCTAGCTTTTGTCCTAATAATCACTAGGGGTCGCATAATCTGATACCACCTCAATGATCCTCGCCTCCAGCCAATAAAAATCCCGCCATGTCTAAACGTAACAACTCGTAATTCTCAACACCTTTGTCATTCCACTGTCACCACATGGGACATTTCTATAATCATTCAACCAATCACTTTCCTCCATGATGTAACCGCCAATATATCTATATCTTTAATGCGCCAAGAAGAAGGTCAGGCGCCGCTGGCGAGGACTTCTAGCGTAAGCTCTTGCGTGTCCTCGGGTCACACGCCGCCGCAAGGATACCAGACGCCTTTGGACGAGGACGACGACGAGCCGCCCCCACTGACGCCACGGGCGGCATCCTTGTTGCAGGCACCCACGCCGAATTCCGCCGTCATGACGGTCAGTCTCGAGGGCTACCTCGAGCCCACTCGTATCTCGTTTGGTTCGCCACCTAGTAGCGAGCTGAATCCTCGAGGACCGTCGCCGGACGAGACATTCCCGGTGTTTTCGCCGCCGCCGTACGATCGAGGCCCGGCTGATCGATCCTTAACGTCCTCCGTGAGACACCGGCGTCAGTCCAGCTTCATCGGGCCGTCGTGGATGAATGGACTACACACCCCGCGCCAATCCATCATCTCGACGAATTCTCGCTCCCCGTACTCACATCACACGTGTAATCACTCATCGACAACCTGGTCCTCGTCGTCCGTGCGCTACGATGTCCTGTACATACGCTTCCTCACGCCTGCACATCTAAATCCATCACGATATATATATATATATCTCATCTCACATTGTCCGATGTTGGTCTCGTCTTCTTAGAAGTGATAGTATCGCTGGGTGTATTTTCTTGGACGGTAAAATATGCTATGTGACACCTCTATGACTGAAGTTATGATCCGGGAGGATACCTCTGTATATAAGCATTTGTATTTGTAAAGTTATCGATGTTCGTGCATATTTATATATAGGAGGATCGATAGGAATAATACGAAACGCTTCTGTTCCGTAAATCTACATTGTTAATATCTATTCCTTTATCTTTCTCTCTCGTAATGCTTTTTTCCGTGATCATTCTATCATTCATTATATATTTTTTTATTATCATTCGCTGCAATTATTACCATCTCATAATTCCTAAACCTTCAAATATATACAGATCTTGAATTCAAGATACAGCCAACTCCTGAAACATGTGCACAACATTTCTCTTATAAACTATTGATAGATTATTCTTTCTCCCGATAATCCAGTCAATGGTGAAGTCGAACAATTCAATCGCAAATTAGCTGATGTAACATAAATGCAATGTGTAATATATCATATGCTGCGTATCGATATTGCCATTTATTCAGCTTGTGTCTTTATTTTATTTTTTGTGTCTTTTTATTAGATGAACTCTATCCAAGAACACGGCCATTGTACAGAATTCGTTCGCCGAAGACGAATAAAGAGGGTAAATGTATATTTTTTACAGCAAGCTGGACGTTGTCCTAGCCGACGTTCCTGTGCTAACTCCAAACCCAATCACAGTATAATTTGTATATATAAAAATGTACAATGTAATATATAATTCTAGTTATATACATACAATGCTATAAATTAGATATATCGATAGATTATATAGTTACTTACCAATCGACACGACGTATGTGTATATCTGTGTAGTTTTAATAGTGGAAACATATTCATGATTATCTTAAAATTACGTAACATAATAGTCTGAACTGCTCAAACTCCTTGCATCATTTTCTAACTATCATCACCGTGCATGGCTTTCGCCTACGTAGCACAAGATTTACGACATATTAAAAACTACATAAACAATTTTTTTACAATTAGCCATCAGATCGGGCGATTACTACATGTTCGACGATCTGGATGACGATGATGTCACCGATTTGCTTCCCGAAAGCGAGAGTGAGAGGAAAGAGAAAAAACTTCCCCATGAGAAGGACCAATCAGGAAGAAGAATGACTGTCTCAGAGGTGTGTAAAATCAAAGAACATGTCTTAAGTCACTTAGCACTTTGATTTTTAAAGATATGAACTTGAGTGTGATTATGTGATGAAATTCCTTGAATGATAAGGTTTCTTTTGTTAAGTTTGACTAACCCTCCCAATCAAGATACAGTTCACCGAGGCTGCCAAATGAGAAAAATTTAACTGTACTGATTGATATATACATCTGTGTGTGTGTATGTGTGCAATATTTTTTTATATTCATTATATTTAAACAGAAAAGGAGATTGTGTTTAACAATAGGTCTACTGAAGGATATTTTAAAATTTTCCCGAGAAAGCACCTTGAGAATAGACCACTATATATTCGACTGATCGAGAGATCTCTTCGTGTGATCATTGCAATCAAAATCTTGTTTCATATGTGTCATCAAGACTGTCCATATTATGTTTTTCGCTATCAACCCTTCTTCTCTCTTTCTTTCTCTCTTTCTCCATGAGGAGAAGACACGCACCCCTTCCGGTCAACAACGACGCACGAAACCGATCTACGGATAATGATTCGTGAAAACTGACGTGAAAGTCTCCTTGCAGTTGATGAACACGCTGATTAAAACAGACATTGAGATTGCGACGCACGTCGCCATGTATGGTGGGACTGAAAAGGATGCCCTGAGACTTCGACGTAGGAGCGTACCTTTGACACGGAAGAAATCATCCATGTCCTATCTGAGCGCGCGTTCCGAGACCGACACTGCCATGGCAACCGATGTGAGACATTCCTTTCCCCTTTAAAAGGCTGCATGACATCGCTGCAGGCACTAATCAGCCTATACTCGTCACCTTTTATCCTTGTCTTTTAACATTGTCTCAGAAGAACTCAGCAGATGCCAGATATCTCTGTCGATATAATGTGCGGTTGACCCTTTCATAAGGGAGATTTAATTTTAGGTCCTGCAATGTAATTTATATCTCGCAACAAGTTAAATCACACAATTCAGTTCCTAATTTTGATTTTGCACTTATATTTCGGCAAACACTAAGATTTTTCTTTCGTTGGCTCCCTATTGGGGATAAATCAACTGCAGATTACCTCACATCAATAAGATTCAGTTGTTAACTGTTGCTTTCTATGGTACATTTTGTGTATGAAAATTTTATGCTCGTTTATATTTCTTGTATCACACAAATTGTGTTACTACTTTTTCGATCATTTAGAAATGTTTGTTTACTATTCATTTTAAAGATAAAGCTATCTGTTTTATATTTATCTGAAATTTATTGATATCTTAATTTTATTTTCAGCGGTATTTGCAATTTTCTTGATATGTTTCAATTATTTATTTTTGACAACATAACATTAAGTCTGTTCGTTTTCGCTGCACTGCTGAACTAATGCAATAAGTTGAAATGAGAAAACATATACTTCTCGCTTCAACTTATTGCACTAGTTCAGCGGTGCAGCGAAAACGAACAGACCTATTATTTACTTCTCTCATTTCCTTTGTAATATCGCTCTCTCTCTCTCTCTCTCTCTCTCTCTCTCTCTCTCTCTCTCTCTCNNNCTCTCTCTCTCTCTCTCTCTCTCTCTCTCTCTCTCTCTCTTTATTTTTTCTGTTCTTTTCAATATGTTTAGGAAAAATATAATATATCTAATTTTTTTATTTATATCTTAATCTTATCATATAATCTTTTTAATATTTTTTATCTATATTTTATATTTTTGCTAAATATAATTTTTGTAATATAACGTATAACACGTAGTATGAATTATAACTGCAACTTATATTTCGACAGTAATGGCACTTGGATTATTCTCTTACATTTATTACAATGCTTATTTATCGACGGTATTCTTTTCTTCTCTCTTAAGCTTTCAGCTTCGTAGGAGCAGTGATTGGAAGCAATTTTTCTGTCGTCTTTATTGTCTTCATATCGTTTAACCTCGTACTTAATTCCAATATTATAATCGCACAATCATGGTGAGGTACGTCTTCGTATTGGTCTATGTAAATTTCGTACAAAGTGCGAAATTTCTTTCAAAATCTAGCTTATTTTATTTCATATTTTTATATCAATTGTAGCTCTTGTAATTACACGCTTGTTGTACATAATAAAAAGCGTATATGTATATATGTATACATATGTATCTGCATATATATAACGAATATCAAAATAATTTTTTAAATATAGATCTTGATTATGATTAAATACTGTCGATATATAATGCAAATAATTATTTTGATTGAAAATTATATAATAAGACATTTTTTAACTTTATCAAGTGAAATAGCTTGAATTAAATAATATTTCAAAGTCCTAAAATTATGTCGTTCTAAATTTATCATTTGTAAACGTAATGATTGATTACTACGTAATGCACTTAATATACACTTCCGCATTTTTCTCGACAGATTTGATTATTTTCGAGCTCACGGTAATAATTGAAACACTATGTGATATTTTACAATATACATAACTTAATCGTAAAATTAATCAGGGCCCCGATCGAACGAGTCTCACTTCAGTGGAAATGGAAACGGAAGAAAAGGAAATATCAGGTGCAGATTTGGCTAAAACGCCCGAACCTTCGGACGTAGAAGAAGATGAAGAAGAAAAAAAAGAGGAAGAGAAATCGCAAGAAGACAAGAAAAGCGACGAAGAAAAGGAAGACCAGAAAAAGGTCTCAATGTTTACGTATCTCAAGTTTCTCTTGGCGGTGATCAACAGCACACTAATTTCGATGACAAAGTATCTGAATCGATTCTCCCACGATTACAGATACATTCGCAAAGTTTTAATGAAAGAAAAAACAAATCTGAAGGTATAAATTATTATTCAGATAAACTAAAAAAAATATATACACATATATATTAACGTTGCGATTAAAATTACAATACGATTATTATGTAAATTTTAGGCAAAACCAGACTTTAGAATGGGATTACGACTAGGAATTAATCAAATGTGGCAGCCGATACCTCTGATGCAGGAACGGTAAGTTAATTTCCACAAATTATTATATATTACAGGATTAGAATGCGTTATGTTTATTTACCAAGACTGAAGAACTATATATTTATTATTATTATAGCAATTTTACAAAAAAATTTCTTATCTATGTAGGAAATATTATATTATATTATTATTTAATCATATGAGAGAAATTGCTTTAACTTAGATATCAATTAGTCTCACGCTATTCCTCCAGCTTTTCAAGCGTTAGCTTGTAAATACATAGCTACATAAATTATCCATAATTATGTTGCCGCTTTTTACATAAGTATTTGTGCAAAGAGATATATTAAGATATCAATTTTGACAAAACGCCGACTCCTTGTGAATATATTGCGTAATGCGTGATATTTTTTATTTCAATTATATTTTTCTTTGTTGTCCTTAATACTTTACCGCATATGATGAATTTATTATCAAAACTCTTCTTTTCTCTCTCTCTCTCTGAGAATACTTCTAAAAATATTCTCTACTCGTAAATGACAACTATAGCTCTATCAAAATTCTACGGTTATATAACAACAAATCGTAAATATGCGGTAAAGATTTAATTCTATGCTATTTCATGTTGCAAAGCATATCTCAAAATTAGCGGCCGTCAGAAAGCACCTATAGCTCGTGCTCTTTTGATATATCCTATTAGATCACAATTAGTAAAAAGTCTAGTACCGGTATTTAGAGAATATGTAAGTATAAGAAGCAATGTATGCAGGTTTAGTAATTCCAAAATAAAAAGAAAGTACGTAGGTGCTAGTAGTAAATGTGCTCGCTGTAACAGATCGCCTGAAAATAACAAGACGGAGGACACGTATGATCCTGGCGAAGGTCCGAGCCAACTACATTCGCAAGAAAAAAGGTAAGAGCTTTCACATTTCGCTTAAAAAAAAACTTTAATATGAAATTATATTTTATCATACGCATAGCTAGATATAGATAATCCTTCTATCACAACAAACTGAGGCTAATTCCATTGAGAAATTCTCACGTTCTATATTTTACCTCTAATACATTTCCTATTCTATTTAATAATTTATTTTGAACGTATCTATATAGAGTATGTCTGACACAACGTGTATCAACATTCCTGTGTAGATCAAGCTTATCAAATTGACCAAAAAAAAGTCTTTCACCATTTTGCAAACATCTATAATAATTATTGTAGTATTAATGAAAGCTTGGCAAATCTCAGTGCACGCAATGTGGTGGAACGAACTGTGTAGAATAATTTAAAAAGACATGCCCAAGGCATGTCTCTTCAAACTTCTCCACAGATCTCATTCCACCACATTACGTGTACTTATTCGCAACCAATTTTTCTTAATTATTATTTTAATAATAAAGGCGCTATATAAAAAGTGGTTCAGAACTTTTTCGTTCAATTTGATGCACACGGCGCATGTGATATTTAAATTCAGAGAGAGGCACACTGTATAACAATATAATTTATAGATTATAATTCAATCTACAGTAATGATTAACCTCGTCGCTGTAATAAAAAAACGAGAGAAAGAAAAGAATCTAAACGATTCTAAATCGAATGAGATAGGCTGCGTGTAGCTCATGTAAGCGTATTTGCGGTGCTGTAACCGTTCACCACGCTCGACTCTTCCAAATTGGCATTAAAATAATGATATAGATGTATGCGGGAGAGCACGCCAAAGAGATTGCTTTTTGTTTCATGTCGCTACGTCGACTCGTTAGCGAGTTAAAGCCGCTTAAAGTCGCGGTATCGACATTAGGTTTCGACTCGGTTTAACGCCACTGTGCACGTGACATCTACTATCGCGCCAGCGCACTACGTTTGTCTGCATTTGTCTTTCCGACTGAGGTGAATGACCGATGGGGAGACCACGTGGTCGGAGTAACCACACTGCTCTTCTGGGCCGTGGAGTGGGAACAAGGCCGCGCGCCGTCGCGTACAGCGCGAGGTATGCCTTCCTAGAAAAGCATCTGCGGAATGTGACTATTGCTTTCTAACTACGCGTATCACTCCACGCGTGTCCTGCCCCACAACGAAAGCGCTGGACCGATTGAGAACGCGTATTGATGCAAACGTCAATATCTCCGCTTCTAGACGTCGTAGCTACTTGAAACAAAAACCATTGGAAAGGGAAAATTGCCACGCTCCCGATGAACGTGAAATGGATACATAATATAAAAACGCTAGTTTTCCGTATTTGTTTAAGAGATATAAAATGAAATTTATAGAACAATGGGAATAATAATATAGAGGAACTTTATTCTGATTCTAATATATTTGAGAATCAATCTGTTAACGAATTTTGAATGTTAATTTATTTCACAGAATTTATTGTACAGAAAGAAAATAATATATAAACAGTGCAGATATACATGGTGCATCATATAACAATACGTACCAATATTCGTATGCAAGTCGAGTTTGTCACATTAAACTGAACAAAATAGTTCTGTACCATTTTACACAATAATAATAATAATTAAATATTAATAGTTGAAGTAGATATTAATTAAAAAAGATTAACGAATCAAATGCGTCTCACTACATCGCGCGCACTGATTTGTCAATCTTCTTCCAATTAATATCGCAATAATTATTGTGGTTGTTTGCAATAATAAAAAACTTTTTTCTCCACTTTGATGAACTCTATCTACAGACAAACGTTGTATCAGACATTGTATTATGAAAAAAGAGTATTTGAATATTTTAATTACTTTTAATAATTTTTTATATCAAACTATTGTAATAAATATCTCTCCTTATTTTTAATAAGAAAAACAAGGTATGATTCGTATCAAAAAAATTAAATATCGAGCAAAATTTGTAGAGAATATTTTAAAATATTATATTTCATTTGAATATCTCACACGCGAATCGGAGTGTTAATCTGCGACGAAAAGATTCAAGTCCTGTTAGGAATCACGAGAAATCATGTAGTTGAAATCGATGATGTCCCTTTTAACCGGCAGCATGCTATACGCATGATATTAAAAGTATAAGAAGCGATTTATGGGTGATGAATCGAAACAACCGCCTAAAGTAAGTCCTATCTCTGCAATTTATTAAAACAGATAAATGCAGGTATAATTGCATATCTCCTGACCTAATACATTCCTATTCATTATGCTCTATACACGTGTGTATTTATTTCTTTCTATTATTGTTTCTATTACTATTTCTCCAATTGATTATTATATTATCTTCTCTCTCCCCAGAAAAATACGTATGATTGATTAAAATCGATGATGCGATATCTTAGATACCTCTTGATTAAAATTCCCCGTGTTCGAATTATACATGTACGAAGTAAACGTAGAAAGAGCGTGGTGTTGTCTGTGTCAGGAAAGGGAGCTCGCTGGCAGTGCCGCACATCCGAATCTTGGCGCCGAGTTTGGAGCGAGGATTGGACATGTCCTCCTCCAGGTACCGAAAGTGTGTCGTAAAATCCGGTCATTCGAATGCTCGGCTTGTTTACTATTTCGAGCACACTATTTGCACGCCCGTCCATGCATGCGGCACTTTAGTTATGATCCCTTTAGCATTCAACTGCCTACCATCCTTGTTTTGCGTACATTTTACGGCGAGTTCTTTGAACGTTTGAAAAAAAAAAAATGATCGCTCCAGACACGACGAGGATCATGCGACGGCCATAAAAATTGGCTTGCGACGAATAACCTGCGAGTCCCTTTGATTACCGTGCACAGTGAACGACAGAAACAAACGACGTCCTCTGTGTAGCGCGAATGCCTTAATACTTCCGAATATCTTCAGCTCATTTTCAGGTGTGACTTCGTGGCTCCTGAGCTGGGCTTTGAGTGTGCTTTCGATATCAATTTTACACAGAGGAAAGATGCATCTTTATATTAATTAATTATTTATATTAATTAATACATGTACATTTTAATTTTAATATCTAAAAAGATATTCTTATTGCATTCCTTGTTGCATCAGACGAGAATTGCGTTACGATATTTCTTCGGGTGTGAATTTTCGATTCAAATTATGCTTTGTATTTTGTATTAATTATTGTTGCGTTGTATTAATTATTGTAACGTTGAATTGTTTATTTTTACAAGATCAGAAATTTGTATATTTCAAATAATTCTTATTATTTTTAAAAATATATATATATGATTTATATCGCCGATCAGATCATCTTTCTTCTTAAAATTTGTGTTGGACGATTTGTTCAGCCGCAGAATACAATTAACTCGAGTATTTTACGTACGCAGCACGCTTTTTTCGCAAACTTTGCCAGCCCCGTGCGATGAAGAGATGAGGGAATTGTCGGAAGTGGATCAACCGCCTATTATACAGCTGGCAGCATCCATATGGTTCGGAATCCTGGCGCATTCTAGTTTACTCTGTTACTTCATGGTGTTCCTTCATCAAATTATGCACGCGTCCGTACTCTCGACGCCATTGCCACTTATGGTGTTCCTATGGGGTTCCTTGACGATCCCGCGACCCTCCAAAACTTTCTGGGTTACCTTGATCGCATATATCGAGGTGAGGGATACATCCTACAGTCATTATTTGAATATGACATATTAGAGCCGGAGATAATTATCTTTTTTTTTTTCAGGCCACTGTAATAATAAAATGTATCTTCCAACTGGAATTCATTCCTTGGAATCGAATTGCTCCACCGAACCATCCGCTATTTCTGCCGAGAATTATGGGTATTCAACGAAAACCGAATTATGCCCTTTGGGATTTATTGTTGCTCCTTATATTATTTTTCCATAGGTACGAATATATAAATGTGAGAAATAAATATGACGGAACGTACATAGGAATACTTCTTAAGGAATAATGTCGTACGATTTTTATTTACAGATTCATGCTAAAATCCTTGGGTCAATGGACGAGCCCGTCCATAAAATCGAGGAAAATTATTCCTTCCAAATTAACTATAATGCCATCGAAACCACCCATACTTTTACAAGAAGGACAAGGAGAACAATACGATAACGCTGTTTCAACGCAACAGCGACCTGAAGCTGAGAATGTTGAAGCTGAGTATGTTGCAGTCGCTATTAAAAAACATTTGATATTTGGTAATTTCGATATTTTCGATTGTAAATATATCAAATTATGTTTCTTCAATGCATAGATCTCGTGCGGAGATGGAAACACCTCAAGGACAACCTTTAAATGCCCATGTAGCAGGTGATGCGGACGGTACTCCGCCAACAACGAACGAGGACGAAAAGTCCGCAGCTGCACAAGTAGAAGCGCAACCTCACGGCGAATCGTTTTCTAAAACGATGGATATGACGTAAATAGCATTTATACTTATTAATTCGGAAAAAGTACATTTGTACTGTATTTCTAATATCTGATACAGATCGCGAACTACTATCTTGTACAAATCGTTAGAAAAATGACGTTTTAACATCTTGAAATCGCACTTTGACTCCCATTAAATCCAATGGTATTCTTTGATATTACAGCGTTACTAAATACAGCGAACCAATGAAAAGTTTCTTTGAGAGAATCATCAGTCCAGCCGGTAAGGAGAAAACAAATGTGTACGCTTATATGTTTCTCTGTGACTTTTTCAACTTCCTCCTGCTTATCTTCGGATTCTCCGCTTTCGGGGTAAGTGTATTACTTCGCGAAATGTGTTCGCGGCTATTCAAATATTCATACGTAATGTTGATGGTGTCGATATTTTATGTTTTCTCTAATTTTAGACTCAACAAGGCGACGGCGGCGTAACAGCTTACTTACAGGAAAATCGAGTTCCTATGCCTTTCCTGCTGATGTTACTATTGCAATTTGCTCTGATAGTTATTGATAGAGCTCTTTACCTGAGAAAATCCATCGTGGGAAAATTAATTTTCCAATATTGTTTAGTGTTTGGTGTTCATCTTTGGATGTTCTTCATTTTACCGAGCGTAACCGAAAGGTAAGATATTATGTCGTTCCATACTTGTTCCATACCACGTGTATCGTATATATACATGCGTTCATTATTTGCAGACAATTCAACGAGAATCTTCCGCCGCAGATCTGGTACATGGTGAAATGCTTCTATCTTTTACTAGCAGCTTATCAATTGCGACAAGGCTACCCGACACGAATACTCGGTAACTTCTTGTGCAAAACGTACAACATCGTGAATTATGTCTTATTCAAAGGGTCAGTAAAACGTTCGTTACGGAACAACATTTACATTTCCATTTATGTTGACCTGATCATTATTTCGTAGATTTATGTTGATCCCGTTCCTTTTCGAGCTTCGTGCAGTCATGGATTGGATCTGGACTGACACATCTATGAGTATAATGGATTGGTTTAAAATGGAAGATATCTTTGCTAGTATTTATCAAATCAAGGTAAGTTTTGAAGAAGAAATATGATATGAAACAATGCATACTGTAATTGCTATTTTATCAGTCCTAAAAATCGAATACTCGTAACTTTTATATAACATTCACACGATAAAGCGTTTTAACTAATTTCACCTTAATACCGGGTGATGGAATTATTTTTCAAATATATAATAGATAAATAGATAATAGATAAAATATATAACATATATAAGATATATAAAATATATAACAGATAAAAAATAATTATAAATAAATATTCCATGAAATGTTTTAGTGCATGCGAGGCGTCGAGTCGGACTTTCCCCAGCCAAGAGGAGTAAAGAAGAAACAAATGAGCAAATACTTGGTCGGTGGAGGTGCTCTCCTTGTCATAATTGGCTTAATTTGGTTTCCTCTGCTCCTCTTCGCGCTGGGCAGTACTGTCGGCGAGTCGAACTTGCCGTATGATGTATCTATGAAGATACAAATCGGCCCATACGAACCCATTTATTCGATGTCGGCACAAGGCAGCTCCATCCGTGAATACACGCAAACTCAATACAATGATCTTAAAAATATCTACGCGAAGGAAAAATCAGCGGTCACCTTCTTCGAGAATTATGTCTATTCTGACGTAGCCGCAGTGAAATTCAGTGGTTTCTCCAAAAGATTTTGGGGTATTTCTCCACCTGATAGAGAAAGGTTTGTTCTCTTTATCCGGAAAGAAATTAAGCTTAAAAGTGTTAATCTCCAAATACATCTTCAGATATACGAGAGGTGTTCAGAAAATAACGGGAATTTTTAAATTTCGCGGGTTTGGAGAGTCCGATCGTCAAAATTTTTTTTTTATTATGTTGGTATACATGCCCCTGAAGTATGATAAAATTTTCAGCTGTATTCATTGTTTACTTTGTCTGTGGCAGCCGTTAAGGTTAGACGTGTTTTTATGAGCTCGGCGATTTTCGTTCACGAATGGAAGTTGCTCAGGAGTTACTAAATGAAGTCAACGACGATGCAGAATTACTGAAACGTGTTATAACAAGTTACGAAACATGGGTTTACGAATATGACGTCGAAACTAAGGCTCAATCGTCCCAGTGGAGGCATTCTGGCAACTTCCATTCGCGAACAAAAATCGCCGAGCTCATAAAAACACGTCTAACCTTAGCGGCTGCCACAGACAAAGTAAACAATTGAAAATTTTATCATACTTCAGGGGCATGATATCAACATAATAAAAAAAAATTTTTGACGATCGGACTCTCCAAACCCGCGAAATTTAAAAATTCCCGTTATTTTCTGAACACCTCTCGTATANATCTAAAGATACACAGATAATCAGTTAGCTGATAGAAAACTGTCACTATGGTCTCCCTATTATCTATCTTAAAATAAAAAATTAACAGTAAAAAATATATAAAAACAACGGTCAATAAAAGCTAAATTGCAGGTCCAATATACATATATTTACGATATAGTGTACACGTAGCTATACAATTAATTAATTTTAAGTATCGGAAATTTTTAGTTATTGTTCATTGCTTTTACGTTTTTTTTTTTTCATTCTAACCAAAAATCTTACAATCATTTAATTGAAAATGAATAACATCAAATAATATTGACAAATCATATCATGTTATAAAGACGTTCGGCAAATGTATTTGTTATCGTTATTTTTTCTTATCAGATTAAAATCGGAATTGACTTCTAATACTACGACGGTAATTATACACGTTGAATGGACAGTTTCGAGAAAAACAGATGCGAAAGATGCCAGTGGAGTCACCACGAAGGTTCGTGACGTAAAACTGCCACCCTACGTAGACGGAGAGCTCAATCCTGTCAGGAAAACATTGGTGGACATGTTAAACGTGCAAGATTCTACTGCGAATACTACTACGAATGCCACCATACTGTTGCAAAACGCTTTTCCGAAGTTCCTCAAAGTCACTGGTAGAACCATCAATGTTGTAAAGCAATTGATGTGGTCGCCACTTTTACGTAAGTGAATACGCAATTGAACACTCTATCGGAGTAACGTTTAAAAGAATAAAATCATTATTTATCACGTATTTCTAGCACCGCCGAAAGAAGACGATGAGAGCTATCTCTTCAGAAATATCAGCGTTCAATTATCTATGGATAAGAATTGTTGCGCTCACCAGCAATGGTGGGTGGTAAATGAAGAATGCAACGATCGTTTGTACAACATTCTTTTGAACAAGGTGCCTCTAAACGATTGCAAAGACATCATGATGTTCTTATTCAACGACAAAACCTTCCCCGAGGGTTTAAGCTTCATCAGCGGATTCGGGTAAGTTCGATAATAATTATGATAGAGACGATCTTGCTTGTGACACAATTCCACGAAATTTGCGAGATCGTATCTGTGACTCGTTGACTGAGACTCATACGATCGGAAACAGAATCCTAGGGTTATACACCACGGCAGTGATAGTCATCAGTCAGATGATGCGAAAAATTGTCAGCGACATGGCGCCGAAGATCATGTTCGATGATTTACCATACGTCGACAGGATTCTTCGCCTCTGCCTGGACATTTATCTAGTCCGCGAGAGTGGCGACTTGTGCCTCGAAGAAGACTTGTTTGCCAAATTAATCTTCCTCTATAGATCTCCAGAAACATTAATCAGGTTAGACCGTTAATCCCATATTATTTGTAGATTAGAAATATTGTTAGGATATTATTGCATATAAGAAATCATCCCATCAGGTGGACGAGGCCGCCAGAAGAAGGGGAACGAACTGATAACGAAGAACAAGACGAGGAAGAAGAAGAGAGACAAGGGGAGGAAAGGAGAGAAGAGCAATCTCGTCACGATTAAATTGTAAAAAAAGAATGAAGGCTTCTAGATAATCAATGTTTCGCAATCTGTATAAATACTTCTAGAAATTCTAAAAGTTATTTAACTATCTTAAATTTAAATGCATTATTTAAAAATACAATGGAACAGTTATCCTGTTCAAGATTAAGTTGCCAAAGATGCTGAATGTTTCTTTATGATTGAGAGAGAAAGAGAGAGAGACAGAGAGACAGAGAGAATGACATTTTTGAATTTATATTAAATGTCTACATGGTTCACGTATGTTCACATATTTCTTTGTCATTAGTCGCTAAGAAAGCAATTCTTTTTGTTAAGAAAGCAATTCTTGAACTTTTCGTAACACAAAGTTTGAAAAAGGCTCATTTGCAAAATTTTGTTATATTAATTGACCTGACTAAAAAAATTGCGACCGTAATTTTACGAAAATATATTATCATTAATATTCATAAACATACACAACTATATAGATGGTACAATCGCAGATGGGATACTTTTTCAACCTTAATTATTTTTCAATTTTGACTTATTTTTACGAAAGAAACTTTCCATCCACGATTGCATCAATACTATCGCTACGCTCTGTATGATACAATGACATACACAGGAGATGTTTCTCGTCGTATAATATAATTTATAGCTTCATCTCAATAACATAAGTAATGTTACGAAAAAAGTCGGCAAATAAGAATATGCATAAATTTTCAAATTTGAAGATAAAAATAACTTTCCNCTGAAAAGGTTTATCTTTACTTAAATAATATTATAATTTTTGCCAAACACACAGAATGTTTACAATATACATATATCTATATATATATATATATAGATATAAAAGAAATGCTATCAATTATATTTGTTGAGTTAATGTATGTATGTGTATGTATATATAGAAACACGCATATACATATATTTTAATTTTCAATATAAGATAATAAAAGAAGATATATAAAAAGAAAAAGAGAGAGAGAATTCGCATAATTGAAACATGAATAAAAATATTATCAAAATGTATGATATTATAAATAATGTATAAAATGACAAGATAAATAAAAATTAAATAAAACATAAATACTAATATATAAAAAATAAAATCTCCATACTCAATAAAATGTTTATTTAACGTGTTGAATATTATGACGATCACCACTCAACAAACATAATAATATACCAATGACATCCCTGACATTAATACATCACCATGCGGTATATACATACATTTTCTCTTCTACTTTAAAAGTATATACACATACGTTCTTATTTCGCACTAATTTCATCAAGAAAGCGTGTCGTATATATATATGTGTTAAAATTTATATAGGCTCATTCATTTTCACATAAATATCTGTGCAAATTTACGAATGTGCATATCCACACTGCGTATAATACTAACTACGTGCATATATACATATGTTACATGTGAAAGTATGTGATATTAAAATGCTAAGTTGCAAATAATGCTATTTTTATATTTTGCATATTTATTTAATACCTCGTGACAGCTGCGAACAATTGCCGCAACACATTCCGCGCGACAAACGAAAAAAGCCGAATTTTCGTAATTTTGAACATAACAAAAATATAATAATATGTACATGTACTACAGTGGATGAAACCGTCGCAACGCAATGCAAACGCAACGCCATTGCAATTCAATATTTTCATAAACAAAAGTTAACATAACATGAATATATTTACCTTACGCGCATACCTTTCGCGCGAGATATAGTAAAACTTATCTTCACATATTGAAATTATCCGTCTCTCTTATATCTTGTTCTTCTCTGAGACACGCCTTAGCGAAGGAGAGTTTGTAGTTTGTCATAATTACTGCAGAGTGGTATACACGAGTCACATTACCAGTACAACATAAAAATATCGTACCGTAGCAGGTTGAACGTTTGATCTGAATGATGGCGCGCGCGCGCGCGCTGTACGCAACGTGACAAATCGTAACCCGATTTTTAACGTGGTTCCGTTGGCCACCGCTGGTCGGGGTCGACGTCATCAGCGATCATCATCAACACGACGCCAGTCCAGTGGCGGTCGTTCGCAATTGTCGCGCGTACGTACGTCAGAAGAGCGAAGGTGCACGCGGTCATTGCGAGGTGGTCGATGCTGAGTTGGCAATCTTGACGACTTGAGACCACGAGATCTCTTTCTTTTCTCGTTAGCTGTCGTCGTTGATTTGCATGCGCGTACGTACAGCACGTTCGCGAAAATCGCAGCGCGCCCACGAGCCCGCCGGATAATGTTACGAATGAATGTACTTAAACGATTTACTTAAGTTAGAAAAGGAAACAAGCAGCAATACTTAAATGAGCGATGAGCGGACAGAAGTTTCAGTATGACGAGAGCGGTGGGACATTCTTTTACTTCCTGCTGTCGTTCCTGGCGTTATTGCTGATACCCGGGACCTACTATCTTTGGCCACGCCAGCCGAAACAAGGTTAGACTTGTTTTTCAATGTGTCCACTTATCGGCAATTGGACGGTTATAGGGACTCTTACTGTCTTTTTCCTTATATGTGACGTTTCGTTGGTTAGCTCAAGTCTCTTATAAGTTAAGATAACGTGCGAGATCTGATGATGAAGTAATAAATATGTAGATAAGGAAAGCAGTCAAGTACATGTATTAATAATTTTTATAATTTTACACAGATCCCGACCAGTTAGCCAAAGAATGCCAGTGCAATGGGTGCAAAAAGAAAAAACTTATTCTCCAGTCAAACAAACCATGGAAAAATACCAAGGCTTTATTTGTGTAAGTTTATATATGTTACCTGTATATTATAAATATTACTACACTACACACTTTTATATTCGTGCCAAAATAAATTCTGTTTGTATTATATTATTAGTTACCTTTTTTATATGATAATGAAAACATTGTTATCATTATAGAAAATTCCTAATTATTATGGGATGGGTTATTTTGATACTTTTGGCATACAAAGTCTCGCAGTTTGATTATGAAATGGCCAACTTTGATCCATTTGAAATATTAAGTATACCACCTGTGAGTATATAAAATATATATCTTTTTATACTCATTAATCTATAGTATATAACAAGTGAAACTTGTTTGTAGGGTTCTTCACAAAATGAAATTAAGAGGGCTTATCGTAAGCTCTCATTAATTCTCCATCCTGATAAAGAAACTGGAGATGAAAAAGCATTTATGAAATTAACTAAAGGTAAGGAACAATAAGGAGAATTATACATATAGAACTGAGTAATAAAAAAAACTACGTGAATGTTAAGCATACCACAATACTTTTACAATGTGCTTAATAATGCACAATCAGCAATGCAATACAAGAACGGTAATCAGAAAGCATTTTAAATAGCTATATACATTTGAGATTTAATTTTATAACAGAGGAAAATTGAGTATCTGACATTATTAATTCTTGGAAATTGTTATGCTAAGGCTAAGTTAGCATCACTAATCTTTTTCATTTTAATATATGCTAAATGTTTCCATTAACAAAACTAGCTTACCAAGCTCTAACGGACGATGAAGCACGAAAAAATTGGGAGAAATATGGAAATCCGGATGGTCCAGGAGCAATGAGTTTTGGTATAGCTTTGCCTTCTTGGATTGTCGAAAAAGAAAACTCGTTATGGGTCTTAGGATTGTATGGATTAGTGTTCATGGTTGCTTTACCGACAGTTGTAGGAATGTGGTGGTACAAAAGTATTCGCTACACGGGTGACCAAGTAATTTGCATTTCTATATTAAAAAACTTTCATAAACAACTTGACAGAATAATAATTTTTGTTTTGGACAGAACTGCCAGTTACATGTATATTGTAGTTATAAATAGTACTATGCATATTACTGCACACATAAAACTAGCAATCAATTACACACATTTTTTTAAGAAAGTTAATATAATACTAATGTTACAATTATTGTTTATTATGTACAATTATTGATATTTATTTTTAGATTCTTTTAACGACCACTGAAATGTATTACTTTTTCTTCGTGAAAACGCCGTCTATGACATTAAAAAGAGTCATTATGATTCTCGCTGCTTCCTTTGAATTCTTCAAGAAACGCAATGCAGAAGTGGTTGAAAGAGACACCGATAATGAAGAAATTCCTTCGGTAAATTAAATTTTTATCTCATTTCTCAATCTTTTCATTTTCTAGATATGTAGAATAATATTAGGATATTTCGTGCATACATTTCCACTCTCATATTACAGCTCATCAAACAGTTACCTAACTTAGGGGAAAAAAACAAAGAAGTACCATTATGTAATATGTATTCAATTAAAGCTAGAGCCTTATTACATGCGCACTTATCGCGTATACCACTCAACCCTGAAACATTAGATAAAGACAGGCAATATATTGTAAAGAAATGTCCATATTTAATCCAAGAAATGGTTGGATGTATCCATCAAGTCATACTTTTAGCTTATGCTAGAAGAGGTAAGCGTTTAGTAATTTCATTCACAAAATTACACTTAACTTCGTACACAAAATGTACAGAGGTAATTGATGAAAATTGTTTTTGCAGTACCACGGGTGCCGACCATAACAACTATAGAGAACTGCATGAAACTGTGTCCGATGATTGTCCAAGGATTCTGGGAGTTCAAGAATCCCCTCCTTCAATTACCACACATAACTGAAGACAATCTGAAATACTTCCTCGCAAAGAAGGTATTAATGGAGCTACAGAAAATCCTTATCCTCAATACAATACTTTTATTCTTACTATTGAAAATATCTCGATACTTAAAAAAGTGATTTTCCCTTAGCGTCAAATCAAAAGTCTTCAGCAATTCGCACAACTGAAAGGAGAAGAACGAAGACTGATACTTAGAAATCTGTCGGACAGCCAATACGAGGACGTTATGAAAGTTCTCGGAAATATGCCGTATATAGATTTCAAAGTACGATCTGAAGGTAATCCATTATTTCTATCAATTATTTGTGTTGTGAATAATGCCTATTGTACATGTAAATTTTTATACAGAAAATGCCGATTTCTATATACGATAGTCGAAGTACGATAGTCTTATATTTTTCTTTGTATAAATATATAAAATTATTCATTTTCGTTTAAGCTATATATTAATAATCTTTCAGTAATCGACGATGAAAATCCTACTGTCTATACTGCTGGTGCTATTGTAACTGTAACAGTATCATTAACGCGAAAAGATATGAAACATCTTTTTGGAGATGATTCCATCAATGAGCAAACGATGATCGACGATAACAAAACGAATGCAGAAATGATCGACGAGATGTCAGAGGAGCAAAATCAATCTGCGAAAGCCGCGAAGCCAGCGTGGCTCAAGAAGAAGAAAGGTCAAAAGAAGTCTCACAAGAAGAGTATCAATAAGAAGGCAGCTCCTACTAAAAATGTTCAAACACCATCCCAAACTGTGGCCAACAATACTCAACACGCAGGTAATGCTGTCAATGCGAAAAAGAAGGACGATAAGTCGGAGAAAGAGTCTTCCAAAGAGAAGTTGTCCGATGTTAGTGACAGCGAAGTCGAAAGTGACAGGAGCGACGACGAGGATAGTCACGATAAGAAGGATATGTCTCTCGATGACGATGATACAGAATGGGAAAAGTAAGAGGGCGCATATATCCGTTTATTATCGTTTTCATTCATGCACGATTTTGTTTGATCGACATTATTTTCTTCTTCGGATAGGTTCCAACAGAAAATTACCAAGCGGGAAAGAGTATTGGAAGGCAGGAGCAATTTGTCACACGAAGTGCACTGTCCGCTCTTTCCCGACGTTAAACAAGAATATTGGTGGGTCTATATCTGTGATCGAAAAAGTCAAACGCTATTGACAACCCCTGTACACGTCACGTCTTTAGTGCAATTCGAAGAGGTTCAGTTAAAATTTACAGCACCGCGCTGGCCGGGTCTTTACACATTTACTGTGTGTTTACGTAGCGACTCATATCTTGGCTTCGACCAAGCTCAAGATATCAAGGTGAATTAAAGTCCAGAGATACTTTTTCTTATGTTTTATCTTATTTTTTATCTCAAAAGAGATAACATGCATATACTCTTTTTACGCTATATACGTTTATGCAACACAACGTATAATATCCTGCTTTACAGTTGGACGTGAAAGAAGCACCGGAAATACCAACGGAGCATCCACAGTGGGACATCTCGGATGAGGAAACCGCGGAGGATGTAGATGCAGCCGATGAACATTCCGAGTTCACAACTGACGAAGACATTAGTGACAATGAATAATATCTGTTTCTCATATGTGATCGGATAGATGTTCTAAAAGACCGCATTTTCCTCTTTTTTTACTTCTCAAATTAATAATGTACAATGGATTTTTATACATGGAATTGTATAATCGTTGATGTACGTGGACAATCTAGAAAAATAGTCCGGTGTGTAAGATTTTTCAGTGTGGAGAAAGTATAATAGTGAATAAAGAACATAATATTTATTTTAACATCGTTGTTCGCGATCCTCGATTTAGGATGTGTATACAGTTTTCTAATAAAATATTATCTTTTATTGTATAAAATATAACAATCTCTCTATATTTTATACATCTCATTAAAATTGTTAACAGAATATTCTCTTCGTAATTCAACTAAATTTTATATGTAATGAGTAAAATCTAGGTCGTAAGTGAAAGTATGGTAAAAGAAGTATTGTCGCACTAGAATTCACTCGACCGTTTCACTTCTTACTATGCAAGTAACAAATTTAAGAACAGTTCGCTGGATCAATGATTCACTCTGTGACAGTTCATCGGGATATCGACAGCCAGATGAACATATGATATACACTTTAAAAACAAGTCTCTTTTTAACTACTCTCGTGTGTGATTTTTCTCTTTCACTCATCTTCCTTTTCGAGTACATACGTATTTGTAATTATTGTAAATCTTCAATCTAATGCAGCTGAAAATAACAAATCTAATGAAAACAATGAAGATCATATTTCATGCAGCACGAGTAAGTATGCGTCATATTTTGAGTGTAATATTAAATATTTATTATATATACGATCATTTCAGATACTTAAAAACTCTCTCATTCTTTATCTTCTTTTAAATATCACGGTTATTGCTGCATTTAAAACAGGTAAGTTATTATGCGAGAAAAAAGTTATTGGATCGGAAAATATAAGAGAGTTAATCGTTATAATATAGTAATTAAATAATAATAATTAGAAATTGTAATAGAGATTTTTACATACAAAAATTAGTTTTCCATAGTTACGTTTAATCGTTTGTAATGCGAAAAGTAATATTGAAATAACCACCTTTTTTTTTTAACTATGCATAAAATATTTTGTTTTTAATGTATATCACACAGAATATATAAGTAATAAATATATTTCTTAACAGGTGAGAATAACAGACCTGAAATAACGAAACCAGAACAACTGTTGAACAGGCCTGTTTACACATTTGTTAAGACTGACAAACATGCCAACATTAAGTGGGGTATACGTCATTATGTTCCACGTGTTTATTGACTAAATAAATAATAGTGTTAAATAAAAACACAAATGTTCAGAAATAAGAAGAAATTCCGTAATTAAAATTTACACTTTATGATACAGATTAGAGATTAACATTCTTCAATGTGTGAAATCCAATTAAAAATATGTAAAGTATTAATATAGCCTTGATGTAAAGTATTAATATAGTTGAGCCTTTAACAAGCGACCGTATGATTTTTGGAATGATAAAAGATACAATATCAGACTTAACATTTCGAAATAACGATGTACAATATAAACTAATATTTCACAAGAACGAAAGCTTATAATTGAATAGATGATTCTTTGTCATTATCAAAGTTCTTTAAGTCTCCATCTTCCAAAACACAAATATTTATAAATAAAAGATACATGTATGTACGCATGTTATACCTCCGAAAACGGGTCAATATTAAGTACTTCCAAATATTTCTTCTGCATTTCGGCCATCAAGTTCTCCATCCTAAAAAAACAACAAAATCTGAAACAATGTATTTTAAAATTAAATGGTGTTATAATGAGAGAAATCTTACGTGTGAAGTATGACTAAATTATCGTATATCACATTGTCCTCCGACTGAATAGCGCTATTTAATTCAATAGTAGAGATATTCGCGAATTGATGACTGTTAGATTGTTGCGGGGCAATCTCCACATCCAATTCTGCAATCTTCTGATATTCTTTCCAATACAATTTTGTCATAACGGTAACTGAATTAAATATTTTCTCCAATTTCAATAGCTCATCTTGCAAATTATGTGTTTGCCTATTAAAATAGGATACATGTATGTAAATGAAAATTCGTATTAAAATTTAATTTCTCATTGCGCACAATTTATGATAAAAATTTTGGATACCTTGGAATATTTATATTCTGGCTGAGTTGTATTTCGCGTACATTTAAAAATTCAAACACCAACTTTACCATACTTGATGGTTTTGCTGTCTTATGGGTATTTCTCTGTTTTAAGTCCACATATACATCACAGATCTTGCTATATCTATTAGAATAGCATAAAAATATTACTAGTTTTTAAAATAATATTTCATAATGCATTGTATTGTTTACTTACAATTCCAACAAATCCTTCATATAATCAATACTTTGAACTTCATTTCTGAATTTATCATTATTCTCCATCAAGGATATAAACTTCATTTTTATTTGATCAGCTGCATTGACCAATTTGTCAATTTTGTCAAAGTAAGGCCGTAAAACTTCCCTTCTGTCAGTTGCATCTGCAGATGTCGAATTCGCATACCTTAGACGAATCACATCTACTTGATTCATAAGAGTTTTTGTATTTTCCAATGTCTTCTCCATGTTCGTATTGAAAGTATTGATTTTCTGATGTAACAAATCTCTTAAATAAAACGTTATATCATGAAATGTATAATAGTCATTAAATCGGTCATCGTAACAACAGCTTAACAAAGATTTTGGAATATTACACAAAGAACTTACATATTTATACTAAAGGCAAAAACATATAACTGAAATAAATTTACTTGTTCTCTCACAAAATATATTGTATAACGATAATAATTTTCCAATACTTCGAAAGTCAATTCATCCTTTAATTGTATCATCATTTTATCCACTTCTGCAGGAATATTCAGGGTAGGTATATCTTTGGTCAAATAACATCCATCTTTAAAGACAAATAAAGTGTGATCCTACAACAACAAAATTATAATAGATTTAGAAATAACATTTCACATTTAGTTTACGTCATATAAAAATTGATTATACATACGTTAGTTTTTGAGACAAGCAATGCGCTACTTTCAATCAATACAGCACCATTGTAATCAGTTAATATTTGATGTTCGACTTTGATATTAGTATTTTTTTCTATTAATAATTGAACATCTTTCACAGTAGTGTTGCCATCGACTTCATATATCTTAATTTTGTAAAGCGGAACACAGAAAATGTACAATACCTACACATACCAGATAGAAATCAAATAATAAAAAAGTATATGAATATGGAATATATATCATTTTTAACTATGTATACCTTTTTAGACAATATTTGCCATAGCATCTTGAATACCATCAAGTCAGATCTACCAGATTCGTCAAACACTCTGCCTCTTTTGTGTGGATCCCATTGTAAAACCAGTCTAAACCAAGCAACCATTTTGCTTCGCAGATTACTGATAGGAAAAGAATATTAGAATATCAGAAATAAATAAAAAACTCTTGTTCTTTGTAAAACAAAATATTTTAGAGACCATTTTACTGTTTTATAGATATAGAAAGTGTTCATAGAAAAAATATATAAATATATTTTTACTTTGATAAATCAGTTGGATCTTGAATGTCCTTTCCAAAAATGATTTTCCCTTCTGATTCATAAGCATGAATATCTTCATAATCCTTATTTTGAATTTGTTTCATCCTATAAAATTATATTGAATTTAAAGATTCGTTTCTTCTTACGAATACTATAAAATTATGTTAATTGCTTACCATTCCATAGTATGTTGCATCTTTGGTAGAAATGGTCTTATTCCAGTCACAACTTCATAAAACAATATTCCTAAGCTCCAGTAATCGACTGAGCAACTATATTTTTTCTGCCAGAGAAGTTCTGGGGCAACATAATTCAATGTGCCAACTAAAGAGGCAGATAGACTAGCTTCTCCAAGTTCTTTAGCGTATCCAAGATCTATCAATTTGTACAATAGCTGGAATTCAATTCATATAAAAAAGCAATATATTATACATATAACAATTTATAAGAAATTTAATAAAGTATGATGTGTATATATATATGTTATCTTACTACATTATTTTCATCTTGGAGAACTATGTTCTCTGGTTTTAGGTCGCGATGAGTTATGTTTTGAGAATGCAAATATTCCACAGCTGACGAAACCTCAGTCATTACTTTAACAGCTTCTGTTTCTCTAATTCCACAACAATTTTCTGGATGATTCAGAATCTGCAATAAGTCATATATATAACCATGTTATTACAAAAATAAGATATATCGAATATTCTACATGGTAAATTAAATTAAATACAACTTTTCTTAGATCTCCTTTTTTACAGTACTCCATACAGAGAATTGGCAAATTATTTTCTATATTTGGAAGCTTGAATGGTAAGAATCCTGCTTTCACAATATTTGGATGTTTCAGACGGCTCATTATATCAACTTCGTTGGCCCATCTTTTCCGTTGGACTGGTGTTAATTGTGAATAATCCCACTTGCATTTCTTTATTGCTAAAATTTACAATTTCTTGCATTTCTTTATTGCTAAAATTTACAATTTCTTTTAATATTAAATATATATTTTATCATTATTATATACTTATATCATCACTGCTGCATATCGTAAGCCTAAAAAGTTCTACAAATGAGGATCTCTCGAAATGAAGGATACAAATATTATTTGCATTTGTATTATGGCTTACCAAATTTTTTACCACTTTGGACATGCATCCAAAGTTCAACAGTTCCAAAGCCCCCGGCGCCAAGAGTTCGATTAAATTTCCAGTCGTTACTCGACTGAACTGGATTAGACATCATTTTAACTTTGTAAAATAAACTTCTTTTAACTTATATATATATCATAGCTAGACGAAGTTAAATACTCCCTGGAAGATATGACTTCATCAAATGCTGATAAGAATATTTTTTTCGTCTTTATTACTAATAGTTTGTACAGAATTGCACAGCTCTTCTGAGAATTATTGAGAATGATAGATAAAACTTTTAGATAAAAATTTGATAAAAAATATTTACGGTTATATCGCGTTATACGGTTATACGCTTAGATAAAAATTTGATTAAAAATATTTACGGTTATATCGATAAGATAGAAAAATTAATTTTTATTTCTAAATAAAATTGATTCATGGATACTTTTATTTTGCCATGAAATATGCACTTTGCAAATTATGTGTAAGCGCAACCATTGTTTCTCACCGACCAATTGATATAATTTCAAATAAATTAATTTGTAATTGAAACTCTCATGAATGTTTATCACTTATTAATAGATGATGAATTCTTAACGTTTTAATATTAACATTAGTCATCAATCCGAAATCAATAAGGAATTCATTAAAAATAGTTTATTTTACGACTTCAATTTGGAAGTAAAAATAATGGTGGATCGTAACGAAATTTATTGGAACTAATGTAAGTTGCTAGGTCCTATCGCTGAATCATACTACTTGAAGATAAGTAACGGTCATTTAATCGTGTTGTAATTGGCTATAGAACGGATCACATTGATTGGCCAAATAGAAACCTAGATCTAGTGACTCATTTGTGATTGGTATTTTTATTTTAACATTTACCAATCAGATGTACCTTACAAAACACTCAACCGTTATGTCTTCTGAATGCAGCTACTGTACACAAAAGCCGTTAGTACGCGGAGGCGTTGCGGCGTTCTGTCTGGAATATTCAAGTGCATGTTGGCGGTCATAGTTGGCATGGCTGAGATCTTCAAGAGTGGCACAGTACGAAGAAGTGGTTGTTTGGTTGCTTTTATGGTATGTTTATAGCAGTTAAAGATATTTTTTACATTCTACAGTCTTCCACGAGTTTCTGAAGAAAGCAGAGTTATTTTTGATATGCAATTTGCTAATGTAGATTTGTTTACATACCATCATTTTAATTTTTCAAGTATTTCTTAAAAAGATTATTATAAGATCTATTTCCGGTAAATATAATTAATAAAAAGCGCATACACATTTACTTTTCGTTATTTTTATTACTATTAGCTACACAATTAACGATGCTACATATGAAGTTATCAGAATCTTAAATACTTTAACCAATTAAATACCCAACATATTTTATTAAATATTGTAATTACATTATCTTCACAAACAAAATATCTATGCTATATTTGTACATTCAATTAATTTTTATATATATAATAGCTTTTATTATGCGTCAGTATATAATGCCTTCGATGCAATGTATTTTTACTACCTTTGGAATGACAACCAGGATTATTTTCTTCTTTAATTTTTTTCTCTTGAATTACTCGAAAAAATTTCCAAAAATGATAGAAACTTTTTTTACCCTTCTATTTGAAAACCATAGCTGTTTTGTTAATAAATTGCTAAGTATTTTATTTTTAATAATTTTGCTTTGAGAAGCACTAGCACTTCTTAAAATGAGCCGAACACAAATGACCCTATTATTTTACCACTTGAAGGATTAATATGTACAGCTGAGAGTTTGCTATAAAATTAAAATTTAATTACAAAATATAAGTATATAATATATAGCAATCACTTAAAGGATTATATAAATTGATATTAATTGATATTAACGTATCAAAATTAGAAATAATATTGTACTCTAGATATATATATTTTTTTTCTCACAAGAATCGAATGTATATAGGAAAAAACAATAATTAATATATCAATAGCTGTCTTTATTCAAGTCTATTGTACAACAAATTTTTTCAGATAATAGGACCATCAAATTTATGTGAAAAAATATCAAATGGTTTACATCAAAGTGCAAAAGAAAAAAAATGGTGTATATCTGTACATCGGTGCGAATCTATTGCGGATGTTATAAAAGCAAGGATAAACATCTCCATAGATTTTATGATTTTTGCTTTTGATTCAAGACTGACACATACCTTGTCAGAGGTGATAAATATTTTTATTTTATATTTTTATTTTATATAAACAATATTTCATGTAAAGTATTGTTAAAATAAAAGGTTTTTTTAGTCTACTTCTAATTTAATTATGAGTATTTTTTTAATTTTAAGATAGAAACTAACATAAATATAATAGATGAGTATTATATAAACGCCAGTATAACTTGCCTTGTAAATTGTAATGGAATGTCTAATATTATGGGACTGATCCATAAGTTGAAGGAACTCTGTCACAAGTACAATATTCGTTTCTTGTCTGCTAATGTTTCTGTAAGTTTACATATTGAAAATTATGTTAATAATTTTTTAGCTATATCATAGTTTATGTATTTAAAAGTCCACATTGCTTTATTCCAGAACATACAAGCATGTGTTCACTTGGGAGACAGAATTTTGAATATAACTGAAGGTCAATTTGGACTAAGCTGCGGTATACCAGTTATTGGAACGGTGGCGCAACATAACTAAGGTATAATAAGATATAATATCCAAATTGTGATACATTTGACAAAAAGGCTTTCCATTGTGGAAAAAGAAATAAATAATATTAAAAAATTATTTTGGTGATAATCATGACACTGAAGTAAGAAAACATATATAACTTATAGATATTTGAGGCTTTCATAATATACATGATTTATTCTTTCATTATCCATATAATATAAATGTTCTTATAGATATCTTAGGAACGTCCCAAAAATATTCGAATGTCTTTTGGACATTTATGTTATATGTTAAATAATAAACTTTTTCTATATAATACTATCGTCAGAGTAAAAATATATTCATATCAAATCAGCGTCAAGATGAAGAAGGCGAACAACAAGTCCCAAACGTACGCCTCCAGCCAGGAAGACAGCGAGAACGACAGCGACCAGACCGAATGTAGTATCGGCAGCAATTCAACCGCTGGCACTCATCGCAGTGATACGCCCACACGCAGCGCCCGTTACCGCCGGAAGGGTCGTCGCAGGAGCAAAACGGCCACCAAGTACAAGCCCTCCACGGACAAGCCGCTGTATAAGTATTGTTGCAACGTGAAGGAGGATCACGGGCAACCGTTGTTCGGAGTGCAATTTAACCATCACTTGAAGGAGGGTGAGCCGTTGATATTCGCCTGCGTGGGCAGTAACCGCGTGAGCATTTACGAGTGCCCGGAGGGCGGAAACATACGACTGCGACAATGTTACGCTGACCCCGACGCGGAAGAGAACTTCTACACGTGTACATGGACGTACGATGATACGGGGAAGCCGCTGTTGGCTGTGGCGGGCTCCCGCGGCGTTATTCGCATCATCAGCCCCGTGACGATGACCTGCATCAAGCACTACATTGGTCACGGGCACGCGATCAACGAGCTGAAGATTCACCCGTGCGACCCGAATATACTGTTATCCGCGTCCAAGGACCACGCTCTCCGGCTGTGGAACATCAAGACGGATGTGTGCATCGCGATTTTCGGCGGCGTGGAGGGCCACCGGGACGAAGTGCTGAGCGCCGATTTCGACATGCGAGGCATGCGAATTATCTCGTGCGGCATGGATCATGCACTGAAGCTCTGGTCTCTGGACAGGGCGGACATGCAGGAGGCGATCAAGCAGTCGTACTACTGCAACCCCAGCCGCAATGGCAGACCCTTCGACTCGATTCTCCAACACTTCCCCGACTTTACCACGCGCGACGTCCACCGCAATTACGTCGACTGCGTCAAGTGGTACGGCGACTTCATCTTGAGCAAGTCCTGCGAGAATTGCATCGTTTGCTGGAAACCGGGCAGGCTCGAGGACTCGCAGCTGCGTAATGGCGAGACCAGTGCGACGATGTTGCATCGTTTCGAATTCAAGGAATGCGACATCTGGTTCATTCGCTTCTCCATGGACTTTTGGCAGCGAACGATAGCTCTAGGGAATCAGGTCGGCCGTACTTACGTCTGGGACTTGGACGTGGACGAGCCTGGCCAAGCGCGCTGCTGCTCCCTCCAGCATCCACGTTGCACCGCACCCATACGCCAGACCAGTTTGAGCCGGGACGGTTCTGTATTATTGTGCGTGTGCGACGACGCGACCATTTGGAGGTGGAATCGTGATCACTGACATTTAAATATTGAAATTTAATACATTAAAATTGAGCTTCTAGTAGAAAACTAACGAGACCAACTGACAAATGCGAGCATTAAGAAATGTACATATATATATTTAGACGTAATATATATTACGTCTAACTTTAAATAATCTATGTTTGCGCGCAATTTAGTATGTAAGCTCACTCTGAACGGCCTACTGTTATTCAAACAGGTGATATTTCATACGTATTTATCGACAATTGTCAGTAAACGTATGCAGAATAGCACCCTAGTTTGAAGCTGTGAAACAATTTATGGAAATCAATGTGGCTATCAATGTTTTTTAATGTGCAAGCGAATAAGGTACAAAATTGTTCTTTATATCTTTTTTATAATTACAAATGACGAATAAACTGTATTTAATTCAATCCTGCAATTTCTGCGCCGGATGTAACATAGAACCTACTTTTAAAATTTTAATTAAAATTTCTATTTTAAATTTAAAGCAGTCTACTTTCTCATTGGATATTGTTATGAGCTTTTTAATTTCGGATTATACAGAGTGGATCCCACCAAACTCGAGCATCTGAAATATCTCGTTTGTTTTTAGGACAGGAAAAAATATCAGAGGATAATATATACATAAATATAATAGTTGGTTCAGAGAAGCAAATATTACGATAGACGAACAATTTTTTTCAGACATATATTTCGAGATTTCAAAATCATCGAAGTTTTTTTTAAATGAAACGACATATTTTTATCATGATTACATGATAGCCGAAGTCAAGACGAATCCAATGACATATGACACCATGATTTTCACGTGATCTGGAGTGTGAGAAATTCATACAAGTTAAGGGGGTCATCCTGTGTGACGACCGTTTTTTTAAGGTGTTTTTAGCATTTTTTTGCGGCGAAATGAAAAAATACAGAGCTTCCAAATTGTTACTACATATTTATTACATCTTAAACTATATGTGTAAATTTTTTTATTTAAAAATATGGCGTCGATGGCGAGTTACATCACTGGAATGGCACCCATGTAAAAAAAAAGCAGATAAACGGTGCCCACGATTCCGGCAGACTGGTTTATCGGAAATCAAAAAATCAAATTGCATTTTAATCTATAGGTGAATGGCTATCGTGAGAACTAGAATTTTTTGAAAATATTAAAAATTCAATTTTTCGCATGCTTTTAAAAGTTATAACTCAAAATAGCATGATTTTTTGCGACTATTTTTTTATGCGGACAGAAAACGGTTCAATATTTTTTAAAAATTCTAGTTCGCACGATAGCCACACATATACTGAATCTACCATTAAAATTTTATTTAAATTCATTGAACCGTTTTCGAAAAATCATGGGCACCAGTTAAAAAATCCTTTGCCAGTATATTCTATGCATGCTCTAGATTAGATTTATGCAAAAAAAATCGATTTTTTGAAACCGTCACACGGGATGACGGGATGACCCCTTAAGCAATTGATGTAAATAGTGAAATAATGATGACAGAATGGTTGATAAAAGAAAATTTATTCTAACGAATATTCAAAATGATGTCCATTAACTTCAATCAATTTCTGTAAACAAGTAATGAATGATGATTTTCTGGCTCTCCTTATGACTTTCTCACTATTATATGTGGTTCTAATCTGTTCTCTCGTATCTTCCGGTGTTATGGGAATATTGTAAACTTCTGATTTTATTGCACCCAAAGAAAAAAATGTAGAATTGTAAGGTCCGGCAAACGTGTAGGCCATCAGATATCTGCACCATGATCGATCCAGTGTTGCGGAAATGTTTGGTCTAATACTTGGCGAGCTATTAATACATTTGTGTGCTAGGCAACTGTTATGTTGAAAAAATATTCTATCTCTTTGCAATAAAGAAACGTTTTCCAGTAAATCGGATAAATCGTTAGTTAAAAAATTAGCATATTTGTTACCATTTAAAATGTTATCGATAAAAAATGGTCCAATAATGCTATCATCAAGGATCTCACACCATACATTTACATCCCATGAATGCTGATGTTCGACTTGTTGAAGTCATTTCAGGTTTTCAATGCACCAGTAATGCATATTATATGTATTCAGTTGTCCGTGGTTGGTAAAAATAGCTTCATCAGTGAAGAGAACATCTTAAACAAAATTTCTATTCCTTTGTACTTGCTGCGATGCCCATGTGTAAAAAGCAACATGATTCTCGAAATCGCTGCTATGAAGTTCCTGATACAAAGTAATGTGGAACGGATGAAACCTACGACGTTGCGATATTCAATGTACGCTTGATTTAGAAATGTTCGAAGAACGTTCAATTTTTCAACAACTCTTAGTAGGATCGATTGTATTGACCTTAACCAATACAAAAATGTCGACATCTCCAGTAACAGGCTTGATCGTTTTCTTTTCGATGATTTAATACTCCTTGTTTTACAATAATTAAACTATACGGCTAAAACTTTGCCGAGAAGGATAATTTCTCTCAGGGTATCTTTCTGCGTACAATCAAGAGGCTTGTACTGTGTTCCTTCCAGCTTCGCCATAAATTGAAATCATTTCCATCTTTTCTGCATCACTATACAATACTGTTGTTTCGCAGAAATAACGTTATCTTTCAGAATCACTAATTCGAATAAATCACAATGAAATCCTTTAGCTTACTGATTGTAACAAACGAAAGCATACCAAAGAGTGATGATGTTTTCTGAATTTAGCCTGGGTATTTCAGAATAGCTGGTGTCTAATGGTATACACACAGTATAGATTCCCGAACGTAATTTAAAGTGAAAACTGTCGACTACCAGCGCGAGTTCTAATTGGCTGCTGCTTTTTTACTTTTTGCTTTTTTGTCAAGGTGTGAATTCTCCCTAAATTTGTTGAACTAGTGCATTCTCAGTTCAGCTAAAAAGAACAGACCAACAGAGACAGCTGCGAATTTTGCATTACATCGTAGTTATGACATGTTGCGATGATCCGTGTATTAGCGCAAGTGAATATGACATAGAATTTGTGCGGAAATAAATAAACTTTACGATGGCGAGCACAAATAACCAAATACAAATTCGTCTTATCACTAAACTGCAACAGTGAGATTTTAATTTTTTTTCTTGCCGTCATACTTTCACGGAGGTTATATTTTGATTTGATGGAATTTCAGATATGCTGTGCCTGATTATCCCTTATCGGTGGATGTTTCAATAGACGCTAGCGAATTAAACACTATTGTTAACAAACTTCTGAAGGGTAAGTAAGAATTTCGACAAAATTTCATACTGTCTTCATATCTTTTTCTGAATCAGTATTCTTGTTGCTATTTGAATTCACAAATCCTGAATTTTGACCTTTATTCTGATTTGAATGTTGAATATTTGAATATCTAGATATTTGCACAATTTAAACTCAAATACTGTAGTACTTGAATCTGGATTTTGACATCAAATTCAAGTTATAACAAATATTTTAGGTGATCATCATTTTGATAATTTTCTCATAGGCCAAACGGTTGATTCACAGAGTCGAAGAACATTCAGAATGAAGTGAACTTTAATTTCTTGATATCTTCCCAACTTTTGCGCACTTCTCTAAGGGAACATATTGTGGAAACAGGAGTTTCCATCGAGGAATTAATAGATGTGGAATATGTAGAAAAGTATGTCACACCAGAGCCTCAGGATTGCCTGATACATGATGACTGGGTGTCAACTGTTGCTGTTTGTAATAAATGGTTGGTACTGATTATGATTATAAAAATTAAAAGAATAAAGTTTATCTTTTTATAAAGTATATTCTGTATTATATATAATTATATTATAAATAATCACTGAGATAATTTTTTAATAAAATTTCTGTAAATTAAATTTTTATAACTTTATAGACAAAATAATGATAAAGTTTAACTTTATTTTGTTCAATTCTATACATATATGTGTTAATTAAAATATATAATATTGCAAATTATTCAATTCAGGATTTTAACTGGCTGTTATGACAACACTCTGCATATTTGGACATCAACAGGTAAGCATCGCCTTGTGATTCCTGGACATGCATCTCCTATCAAAGCAGTAGCATGGATATCTGTCAGCGACTATAACGCTTCCTTTGTCAGGTAACTTCAAATAATAATATGTCTAGCATATTATATAGTTAATCAAAAGTAGCTGATAATTATGTATCTATATTTTATGACAGTGCATCACAGGATAAAACAGTCGTAATATGGGACTGGGATATAGTAAAGAATTCAGTAGAACGAATGCACATTTGCAGAGGACATGAAAAGAGTTTGGAGGCAGTCAGTGTGAATCATGATACAACGTTAATGGCAACTGGTAGCTGGGATACAACGCTTAAAATTTGGTCGACATGTAAATATCTTAATTTATGAAACAATACCATTGCCAAAATAAAAAATTATTCTTTAATTACGAAAAACAATATAAATATGGATGCATCAATAAAATTTTCTTTTTTGAACTTGTAAGCTATTCAGGATGAACAGAGGAACGGAGAATCCTCGCCAAAAAGAGCAAAAATGGAGGACGGTAAAACACGAGTACGTAGACTGAATTGAAGCTTTGCAATATTTACAGAACATAAACATGAAAATAATTTTTACACAACCGTTTCGCTCAAATATATAACATTTCAAAGATCATTTAATATCTTTATAAGATATAAAGTTTTTGGTAATCGGTGAACATATTACACTGTATACCGTAAAAAATAATTATACGAGGAGAACAATCGATCTCAGTATATAATTATATTCAATGCAGGTTTCCATGTGTACGATGAAAGGACATAAAGACGCGATTAGCGGAGTTAGGTGGTCCGACAAAACTGAGATCATCACGTCATCGTGGGACCACACTTTGAAAATCTGGGATTCGGAACTGGGTAGCATTAAATGTGAATTCGTCGGCGAAAAAACCTACTTCGACGTTGACTATTCTCCATTAGCACATGCTGTGATAACTGCCTCTGCGGATAAGCACGTGAGATTATATGATCCAAGATCTTCAGGTATTTTAATGGCTCTTTACCCTACATTTTTCGGAGATTCTAACTTTTCGTTCACAAAATCGATCTGTAAATTTCCCCTACGGGATACCATTAGTATTGATTTTTTTTTGTTTTATATTAGAGCAGAAGATTTACATAACTTTGATTTTTTTATTCTCCTGACTTTCAATTGCTTCAATGAAATTAAGCTAGATTTTTATTAAGTTCCATGAAAATCTCGAAAATTTTAATTAAAAATTTGTATTTAATTAAATAATAAACTAGTTGTGTGTTTCAGAGGGTATAGTTATGAAAACTTTATACATCTCTCACACACAATGGGTGCAATGCGTGCGCTGGTCGTCTATGAATGAGCATCTCTTCATCTCAGGAGCCTATGATGGCATTGTCAAACTTTGGGATACCAGAAGGTTAATTACATTATATCACGCATGGATTAATCATTTTCAAGCTATACCAAAAATGCGAGGAGCTACGGAACAAATGTTGATATTTTTATATTTTCACATTAAAGCGTAAATTATTAACTTCAGAGAAGATATATTTGTATGTGAATGCATACATAAATCTTATTAATACTTATGAGATTTTTTGGTAATTTTTCTTATTTTTGTGCAATATATGTTAATGTAAAAACATTTCATCTTCACAAAGTTTCGTTGAATGTAACAACAGTTGTATGATCGATAGTTCGAGAACCGTTCTGGTATGAGATCAGTGATGGCGTGTTTATCTTTTGTGTATCTCGTTACGTATTTATGATATTTACATTACATTTACGATTTGCTTTCCAGTCCCAAAACACCATTATTCGACCTCACGGGACACGAAGATAAAGTCCTGTGTTGTGACTGGTCGCATCCTAGGCTGATAGTATCTGGTGGTGCGGACAACACATTGAGGATATTTGTCTAACGTCGGACATCAGTTTACAAACAAAATATAATGAAGTATCATTTCGTAGCGAAGGAAAGTAAGATCTTTGAAATCTCACGTTAATAATGGACTTACCTATTTTCAAATCTTTGTTTCCAAAATTTTCAAGCAAACTTTTCAACTGTATCAATTCAAATTGCTTTAAATATTATTCGAATTCGAAAGTTGTTGGAAAATCTTAAATATTTCAACAATCTCGAATGTTATAGTATGTTCGATGATAAATTTATAATAAAAGCTATATGCACAATAGCAAACACACATATATAAATATAGTTATTAATATCTAAATGTTATAGTACTTTCTTGAATATATTATTTTGTATATTAAAGTTTTAAGACAATAAATCTTTTTATGTTAATATAACTAGACTTTTTTATATTACATTATATTAATTTTTTTATATATTATCTTTTACATCTGTTTTATAAAATATTTAATATTGACATACATAACAAACATGTATACAACTTGCAAAATTTCTTACAAACACAATTGGAATGTTTAGAATATCTTATATATATCAAATAGATCATATATATATATTTTTACTCTAACAAAAATTACATAGTACAATAATTAACATGTTTGAAACTTTCTGTTTTCAGCTTATCAGTGAAAATGAATAACATCCATCCATGTATTTAAGAATTCTCTTGAATGATATTACAGTTCACTTTTATTTTTAAATAAACTGTCAATATTATTATCATCATCATTGTCGTCATCTTCGGGATAATTCTCGCAAATATTTGAAATCTCTGTACAAAGCTTCTCTTTCCTATTTTCTAAATCATTCACATATAATTTTATTATATCATCTTCAAATTCTTCTATTATCGTATTACACTGTAAATAGTAGAACAAATTAGTAACAGCAAATTAAATATATACAAAATGTAACAAGTAATACTTACATTATACTCAAGAGACTTGTTTAAATCACCATCGTGAATTATGTCTACTTTAGACATTTGAGGATTCATAGTGCCTTCCGGTGTCATGAGATTGAAGATTGTTAATTTTTTGTTGTACTTTTTAGTTGCTCTTACATAGTCATTCATCTTCTGGCAGATATCATCCAACATATCCGAAATATGTACTTCTGATTTAATTAGTGGAATCTATAAATATCAAATTTCCAATTCTATTAATTTCAAAGACAATATACATGGAAGCATACAAGATAATTAAACAATGCTTAATAAATTTAGTAGTAATAAAATTCATCGTTTAAATAAGTATATTTGTTCACCTTTTTGTATATTTGATTTCCCTGAGCATCCATTTTGTAATTACCCACTTCAACTAATATTTTTGGATTTATTTTAGACACTTTAGCCTCCACTTCGTTCATAGTTGCTCTGCAAACTATAAAATGCAAATGATGGTGTTTATATAAATACTAGTAAATAAGTCCATATGATTTAAATATTTAAGACTATTATTATTACTCATTTTCACATACCTAAACATTTTAAATGCTTTAAATCAATTTCAGTGGATTCCACAAAATCTTGAATAAAAAATAAAGTAACAAGTAGGAAGACTTTCATCTGCGAGAGAATGAAAACAAATTTTAAACTATACACTTTTTTCACAAAGAGAAATATTATACTTTTTGCAATTTAAAGTCTCTTACCTCGTGCGTTTATCAAACGTAATTTAAAATATATTTTTGTAGAACAATATCTATAACTTATCACATCTACAATCTATCACAACCGCAGCATCCGACACGTGTAACGCGTCTACTGCTCATACTCCGTTCTCGTAACCGACGTGTGTCATATACGAAATTTAGACACGCACGATGAACGAATAGCCATTCGTAACGTGTAACTTCCAATAACACCAACTGTGTAAACGAAATGAATATCAATATTTAGACCTGCTCTACAATACGTCGTATGTAGGAATCAGATGTTGGATCGCAGCTGATAGTCTAATGAATAGAATTCTTTTTCGAAAAATTAATTCTGTCATTGGGTCATCGGCTGCTTTCCGATATACGACTCCGATATAAGTATTGTAGAACAGACTTAAAAAGAATTCACACCTAACAAAAAAAAAGCAGAAAGCCAATCAGAACTCGCGTTAATAGTCGACAGTTTCTGCTTTATCTATTTTATCTAGTTTATTACCAGCACGAGTTCCGATTGGCTTTTGCTTTTCTGCTTTCCTGTCAAGGTGTGAATTCTCCCATACATGCGTCGTACAAGTTTACTCGATGTACCAATCGGCTATCGCATAGAGAGTTTCTAGGGTTTCTAGAGAAAATGTTAAGTGAGTGTCACCAGCTAAGAATTCTAGAAAAAACGAGATCTCTTATTGGGCTGCCTCAGATCGTCGCGCGCAGCGTGAATCCGCCATTACGACGCAATTCTTTCATCGGATACCCAGACTGCTCTGCGCTGCTGTTTCTCGTCCTTGTTCTCCGCCATCGTGATCCAACGTAAAGTGGTGTGTGAGGTTGGTTTACCTCGTCGCGTTACCTGCGCGCGTAGATAATTGCAAGTTTCCGTTTCGAGTCGCACAAATGAAGATGGTAGACAAAATAGAGATGAGTCTGGACGACATTATCAAGCAGACCAAAGGCGCCCGTGCACGGGGCGGCGGCGGTGGTAGACGCGGTAGAGGCGCCGGCAGCTCGCCTCGTCGTGGGACACGCAGGGCCCAAAGACCTGGCGGAGGTGTCATGCGAGGTCGTAGCCGCGGTGGTATCACGCGCGCTTCCCTACCATACACAAGGGTAAGACCATCACGGTGTCGTCACGCACCTCTGATAATTTTCATCCGTCGTTTCGACGCGCATTTTCGTTAAGTGATATGCGTATGCGCGCACGCGCTCGCCTTCTATGCATATGTACACACGCACGCAAAAACGTTAGACGCATGTGTGAGTGAGCGTGCACACGTACGTGCGTGCATATTTTTGCGTTCCGTGTGTTATCTCTGTGACAAAAAAAGTATCTTCCATATTCAAGACGGTTCATTCAAATTACTGTTGGTTTCATTATATTTTTCAAGTATTTTCCTTATCTTTTCTCCCCTAGAGTATGAATATTTGTCTTGATGAATAGATATTTAAGTAAAATGTAATGAGGATTAAGATCGTTTGTTGCATTAATTTGAGAAATTGGGCCAACTTTTCGTGAAAATTGTTTCAATAGTATGTATACATATTTCTATATATTTTCTTATAGTTTTTTATTTTCTTCTTTTCTACAACATATATTCATTCATTTTTAGCACAGAGTTTTATACAATATAACTAAGAATATAAAGCTTTTTGTACTTTCAATGAAATAGGACAGTTTAGCTCTTAAGGATATTCTGTTTAACTATATTTTTTATGCTTCTTTTTTCTTACCTTTTATCTTCTCTCCTCTTCTTTCTTTTTCCGTTTAATTCCATTACTTATTCCATTATTATTAATTCCATTAAATTCAAATATTTATCTTTTTTATTTTAAATATTCAAAATATAAATCCTTATCTGCAACCTTGTTTTAAAATGTAAACTGTAACCATGTTGATTATTCTTCTAACAAACGACTGTGGTTAGTAATTTACTTACTGCTTATGTCTTAAAACAAGGTTGTGGACAAAGGATAACGCATAAAAACTGCTGTACTAGTCAAAGCCAATATCTGCTATGGTTCGGCTGGTATAGTTTGTGTTGATGGCTGATATAATTTTTGGAAAGATTATCCTTGAATAAATCTAGAAATAAATCCTTTTGTAGTCAATAAAGGAAAAAGTAAATAAGTTATGTTTAAGATATAATGATTTAAGGGGAAATATATGTTTGTTATATTGATTATATTGATATACTACGAAAAAATATTGTAGATACAAAACTGAATTTGCTGTCTTTCAACATCAAGATCTCTTTAGAATTAGAGATTTACACATACATAAACAACAAAAATGAAAACCTGTTACTTGTTAAAAATACAATAGCTTTCAATAACTTATGTTTTACTATACAGGGTGATGTAAACAGTGCGTGGAAACATGATATGTTTGATGGTGTGAAAAAAATTGGTCGTGGTGCAATAGGCAATGCAGGAACGACCAAACTTCTGGTATCAAATCTGGATTTCGGCGTTTCAGACTCAGACATACAGGTATTAGTTTTGTTCAAAGATATATTACATTCTTCGTGTATTAAACATGTGGTTAGTTAGTTTCTCTATGTACACGTTTTATTATGCAAATTATGCAAATGTTTTATTATGCTATTATGCAAATTCTAGGTAGACCTTATTTGCTACCTCCATGTGGAAAGTTTGATATAAGGGAATGACTCGGTAACAATATTTTTTTAGGAATTATTCAGTGAATTTGGACCTTTAAAGTCGGCAGCTGTACATTATGATAGGTCGGGCCGATCTTTAGGCTCTGCAGATGTCATATTTGAAAGACGGGCAGATGCTATCAAAGCGATGAAACAATATCATGGAGTACCCTTAGATGGTATATATATACTTGAATTTTTTAGCAATTATATCCTATTTTCACCTGCACCTTTCATAATTATGAAATTCTGTCTATATTTGACACAGTTACAACATTTGAAGAAAGTAAAGTCGCAGAAGTTATTAATGCAGTATAATTACCACGAATATTATACGTCTATTATTCCAATATGTTATGTACATCGGCAGGTCGTGAAATGAATATACAGGTTGCTACAAGTGAATTGCCAATCACCTCTCCTCGTAGCGGCCCCAGACTTAGCGGTGCTAATTACATACAGAGACCTCAGACCCGTTTTAGAGGAAATCGTGGCGCAGGATCCATTAGAGGTAATTATTATCGGCTATATTTTGTTAAATGCATATTTTACTTCAAAATATATTATGAGCATTCTGTTAATATCCTGTATTTAAAAAATGTTATGAGAGGAATGTAGAAACATAGATTCTTGTAAAACACATTCAGATACTTTTTATAATACAAAAAATTATGTCTTATTATTTTGTTTGAAACTTTTTTTTTTTTTTAAAGGACGCTGCAATTAAGTTTAATGTATAGTTTACATTATAAAAGATACTTAACAGCATAATATATAACGTAAAAGAATAAATTTATTGTATCTCAATTATTCGTTAATATATAAAGTAACAAATTCAAAGGCATTGTGATGACCAAAAGTAGATATGAATAACTACAATTTTTTTTCTATTTTATGTTATCATAATTTTTCTTTATGAAATTGCAGGTCGTGGTGGCCCTCGACGAGGAGGTCGAGGAGGTGCTCGGCAAGTGACGAAAACGCCTACTGCCGAGGAGTTAGATGCAGAACTGGAAGCTTACGTGAAGGAAGTAAAGTAACAACCACCACAAAAAAAACTCTTCATTCTTAATTAAGAACTTGTTCTCATTTGACTTAACACAATACACTGTGTTGTCCTTATTTTCATAAACTTATGTAGTATAAATATAATACTATCTCTATATACTAAAAAAAAAAGAAATCTAGTAAGATATTATAAAGAGAGTTTCTCATTTAATTGAATTAGTTTTTATTTTTGACGACTCCTCCGGAAATGTGTGCATAACAACTAAATTTTACGAAAAAGAACTTAAGCATCACTCGTAGATAATCATAAATTTTTTTATGATATGAGTAAGAAGGATAAAAAGAAACAAATCTATGATGTAAAGACTGTAAGAGGATTTGTATGTATTCTATCGTGCGTGTGTGATCATCAGATGAAAAATACAGTGAGATTCATCTAGAAAAGTTGTTGTTTATCAAAGTACAGAATGTGCTTCTAAGCCCTTAATCTAATTTATTCTCTCAACGCTGTATCAATTATCAAAAATTGATTTATCGCGCCCAGCTTTAGAGTTAATTTACTATTAACGACGTCGACGGCGGTTGGTACTAGGAATACGAGTAATGATAATACAAAGATACTTTTGTAACTTGTGTTCGGTGGATTGTTTTCATTTAGCGTAAATTAGACCACTATGCGTATCTCATAGCTTATAGCGGATTTAAGGCTGTGACATACTATATTAGGTAGTCCGATACTAATGGTATACTTTAACGCGCATCATGCGTGAGACATGTGTATAAAGAAATGTGTAAATTTTTATTCATGCAGCGTACAAATTGCAATCAAGTGGTGCAAGACTGAAGAGAAAAGCTGACAACAAATTCTCTTAATAAAAAGAATTATTCTTAAAAGAAGGCAAACAGTTTTATTACCTACCTAAAAAAAAAAAAGAGCTCTTGACGAACATGAAAAGAATTCTTCCTTCGAGATATTCCGTTTAAAGACACAGTTGACAAAAAAAATGTAAAAATGGGCTAGTAAGTGATGTAACTGTCCATAGAACTGTTAATAAGAGCAAACTCGACAAACACGAAACATATTCTGCGCAGAAATTTTCTTTATTTTACTTAAATAATCGTATTATATCATTTTGTACATATGTAAAAATATTTGCTAGTAGATAGCATACAGAAGGCCGAGTGTCTGCCAATTCAGCCGGCGATTGTAGAGATCACTACAGAATTGTACTCATTTTTTCATACAATGTTAGGAGATCGAGTCTTCCCTTCTTTCATTTTTTTTTTATTCGCTAGAAATATTAAATTCTCTAAATACTTAGTAATAAGATCAGTCAAGTTTAGATAATAAAATTTTACTATGCAATAATTGTGTGTACAACACGAGGCAACATTACCACACCAGTGTTTTTAAATTACAAAAGACAGATGAATATAATATATTATCGATCTTCTTTATAGTCTTTTCAGCGTTCTCTTCTTATCTTTTAACATTTTTTTCTTTTCCGCCGTTAATTTCTTATCACCCGCGTGCTTCTTTGGAAGAGGTCCTGCGGCTTCCGTGGAGGCGCAGCTCTCTAGACCAGCTTTGCTGCCTTTACCACCTCCCTGAAAAAGAAATATAATTTCATATAAACACCATAACTGACACTATTTTGTAACTGAAACTATTCTGATAAATAATTGAAACGAGATGTTACCTGTGCATGTATCTCTGTCATCATTTTCGCTCTTTCCGCATATTCATCGTGGCTTTCTAGAAGTAATTTGCCAGCCTCCTCATTTAAAGCAGATTCTGGATTTGGCACTATTAGTAGACATTTGACAGTCTAAAAGCGAAGAATAATGGTTGCATTAAGAAAATAGAACGGTTGTACAATAGTTGAGTAATCTATCAACATAATTGGTCTAAATTTAGGGATCTAACAGTAAAGGCCAATAATCACTGACCACTTATTAATCGCTCATGTCTTCTGAATACAGCTATTGAAAAATAAGAATTTGCGATATATCATACATGAACACATTTATAACCACTCACCAATAATATATGTTGTATTCCAAGATCTGGTTTCCAATCCTTCTTCAATGTATTAACGCAAATCTCGCCATTTTTCGCTACATTTGGGTGGAAAATCTTTGTGAGGAAGTAAGCCTTAGGTGGTCCTTGTGGGAAATCCTTTCCAAGGGCCAATTTAACTCTAAAGAAACCACCAGTGTATGGAGTCCCCGCTATTATCCAAAGAGAGACATCATTCAGACCATATTGACTTTAGATTGATTTTAACAATTAAAATAAAAACTACATATAATATATACTTTGAATGAAAAAGTAACTACAGCCTGCAATTTCACAATTTGTCCAACTTAGTACAAAAAAACAGAGAGATAACTTCTTGACGTTTCGGGAACATATACTCACAATACTATATACACACTATATACTCACACACGTGTGCGCGCGTCAAAACAGACCGTTATTGACAAGAACAAGTGCACAACGGAACGTGCACAAGTGTATATATGTGTGTGTACACTCGACACATAAGTATATGGGTTAGGTTAGGTTAGGTTATGTTACAATTGCGATAAGGGCTGCATTATCTCGAAATATCAATCGTTGTCAGTAAGATCGGCCGAGACAAGATACGAGGAGCAAGGGAGGACGAGGGAAAAGAGAAGAGAGACCATCGATCCTTACAGGGGCCCTCAATGACAGCTTGAATGTCGGTGACGTCTGCTTCGTTCATAATGACGCGGATGCCCTCGGGTGGATGGGCGGCCAACTCTGCCATCTCCTTGGCCACCCGGCGGATGATCTGTGGCGACAGATTCTCAACATTCGAAATCTGCAAGAACACGCGCACATAGTGAATTTTTGACGTATCGCCCGGTCGGTCTTTCTCGTCCTCGGCGCGCGACACTTCCTGGCGCGCGCAAAGTCGCGTGCTGAGGGACACCGCGAAACGTAAACAAAAGGAACGTGGTGGTGCTGTGGTGGTCTCGTCGCCGTCTTCGTCGTCACGACGTGCGTGCAAGACAACGAGAGAGAACGCGGGAATATATATATATATATATATATATATGCGCGAGCGAGCACCGTCCCTACCCTCCGCAACACACACCGGATGATACTTACAGAACTCACGGCGACGGTAGCCATAATCTGGGCGACGTGAACTCCGAACCGTATACCTCTTGGCCGTGTCTGGGGCGCGCAGCCACGCGCTTTTCTTTTTTTCCCCCCCGAATTTTTGAGCAAACAGCGCGCAGAATGGACAGGTAGGAAAAACTTGGTTTAACGTCACCACAACATCAACGGCACGACAGCATTGCCCGCAGTAACCAACATTTTGAACTGACGAGCCAATCGCGTGCCAGAGGTGTACCTGAGCGCACTCTCGAAGCCAGAAGTCGATTCCTCCACCGGCACCACCATCACTACCACCACCGCCACCCCACATCCCCTCTACTCGGCATCGCTCTGACGTTCCGCGCTTGTGCGTTTTTTTCTTCTCACCTCGCGAAAGCGCACGACTCGCAACGGCATCACCGTCGCGAATTCGAAGGAACTCGATCGTCTGTGTGTGTCCATCTCTCTCTTTCTTTCTTTCTCTCTCTCTCTCTCTATCTCGCGACGAAGGCGCACGTCTCCGGGGGATGACAGTGCGCGATTAAACAGTGCTGAGCATCACCGAATATCGTGCTTTACTTTTCCCCGCGACTACCGCTAATTCAAGTGTCGAATCGAGACGCACATCTTCGGTGCCTACCGGCTCCTTACCGCCCAAACAACCGGCCGTCGCCGAAGCGAGTTCGAACGTCGCCGATCAACACAAGACACCCGACACGATGACGGACAATGGGACGGCGGAACAGGTGAGACCAAGCTTTTTACTTTATTCATCGCACAAGCAACGTCGGCCGGCGATCCCGCGTCAGCCCGTGGCGATCGACTTTCGATCGTGAATTCGCCAACGGACGGACGTGCGCGCGAAAGAGTCGCTTTGTCGGCTGATGCATCTCTGCACTTTGTGCGTGCACACGCGAGATAGGAAAAATCGATGAAAAACTCGATTTCGACCGCTGATAAACGCGTTTTCTTTCTCTTCCTCTCCGCAGGAGAAACACATGAAGCAGCTAAAGCGCAGGATGGAATGCTGGCGGGAAGTGATACTCCCCTTGTATTCCGTTTTACTATGGGAACGCAGGTGGTATCCAGGGTTGATCCTTGGATCTGTAACAACGATATTCTGGTAAGTAGGATGGCTTTTTCTACAAGTTGTTTTCTTCGAACACTCATCGTCTATCCGCTGCTGCTGTGAGTCTTGTATTATTTGTGTTGTTGTGCTCTACACACTGTGATCTCGTTGTTTCCTTATGTACATGTACACAGTAATGTTTTTGCTTATTACAGTATAATATGGATTCTAGAACCGTCTTTGCTGGCAATAATATCCATAAGCCTGTTGATATTGGCTCTTGTCGATTATCTTGTGCCGATTTTGACCTCGCTGTTTTGCAACGCGCAGAGTTGGACGGGACAGAAGGAAAAGAAACTAATCGAGATCTGTCAGAGCCTCTCAGCCACTATGGCACAGATTGAGAGTATATGGACATCAGCCGCGAGAATTCGGCTTGATCGTCCTAATATCGTAAGTGCTACTTCTATTTTTGATCTCTAAGCATAGACAGAATTGAATCATTTGTGTCTGTGACGTGGGTTCCCTTATTTCTTGCTCACAGTACTACTGCACGACGATCGTCTGTCTTTTCCTCTTAGCATGGGTCACCAACACGGTCAACAATTTGCTTCTGCTTTACATCTTAGGTAACTGAATTATTTGAAATACATTCATGTTGATAAGAGTATGCAATATAAAACCTTTTTAGATAGATTGTACCATAATATGTCACTTTAAATTTCTTTAGTGAACGTGATTCTCCTCACGCCAGGGCTGCGACATAAAGGACGAGCGCGTTGGGCCGTGAAATACGCATACAATCGCTTAATTCGCCGTCACTTGTCATAATCATCGTAGTTCTATATATCTCGTTTTTACTTCTCCTGTCGTACCACCGAAATCCTTCGTTCTACGTACATGTCTTAACTGCGTGCAATGTAAATCTACTCATAATATACATTCGACTATATACAATACTACATTTTACACGTAATCTCATATATTAATTTTACACGTCATCTCATATGCTAATTTCGTTGTAAGAATTATAAATAGTAGGCGAATTAGATTGAATGTACTAGTACGCATGTGCTAAGAGTTGATATTTATTTTAGAGTATTGATACATTAGAACGGTACTATGATTATCTTTTAGTGAGACGAAATATTGTTGCCATAGTAAATTCGCAGACGTCGTACCGCACTTTACGTTTCAGTATCGCTGCCGTACGAGGAAAATCACTTTGAATTGATTTTCAGGGTTGTACACATTGTTACCTGTGTATAGGAGGAAAAAAATCATAGTATAGGCTGTTTCATCGATTGTCCGACATGTATTTTATCAAATAATGCGACAATTGACATGGATTAGTTAAACCTATAAATATTTTATTGAGATTAATTAACTGTAACATTTTAATTTCCGCTAGTACGTCCAACCAAATTCGCTGTAACCAAAGTTTTGCGCTCCTAACGAGATAAAAGATCTGTGCGATTTAGTAGTACGTTAATATGCTATGTTTCGTTATTTTTAAGCGATATTTAACATTGCAGTTTCTTCGTCATTCGTGACTGTATAACCTCGCGTACATAATTGTGATGTACTATTGTAGCTGAAAGAATCTGTGTGTATGGCATTATTACATTGTTTGCGAGAAACTATAAGATGTTTATCCTTTGTCAGTTCCAAAGTAAGTTCCATTCAAAATCGAGAGTAAATGCAGTGCAGGAGTATTATATGAATATTATATTTACTAAAGCGCAAAGTCGCTTTGTATTTAAAAAAATATACTCTTCTGTGTGTAAGTCAAAATCTTTATCGTATATTTAAATCGAGCGATGCAAGACTATAAAACACATTGTAAATGACGTTTGAAAGTGGCGCCGGTTGAAAGCGGAACATACCGAAGCGCCATTGGCGAGTACAGACTGCGATATGATAATGCGTTCCAGCTCCGATATTTTCACTCATCGTGTCTAGGTATTTGTGCATCGTGACTAGATTAAAGAGCCCGATGCTTATTGTTTTCATTGGTCCAATGGTGTAAATCATTCTCCGCACAATTTCTTCCAAAGTACACATTCCGATATAATAACTTTGACCGGCAAATAATAGTAATGCGCAAAAGTTACAGCATTTGCAAAAAACGCAAAAAGATAACGTTTTAAGCCCGCTTGGTGATAACGTATTTGAATTTTGCTAATTGAAATTCGGAAGGTAGCAGACAATATTCATTAGGATTAACGTGTCACTCCGTTTCTACTTGATTCTGTTTATTCATCAACCGTGAGTTTAAGCAATTTGTTTATCCTTTCCGGCAACAATTATGGATATCGTGATAAGATTGAACAATCAAACCGCGGGGAGGGACAGATTAATACGGTACGTATGATTTATAATAATTAGAATAATTATAAAATTTATAATAACAAAAATACTGTGAATTTTATGTTTTGCAGACTGCTGCAGTACGGATGTCGTGCTTCTTCGTACTATGTGAAGAATTCACATTGTACAAAACAAGTAGAAATTTTGAAGAGTTTGGAATTTACTTTCAGTTCATTTCGAAGATGTATGTAATTTTCTCTTTCTTGTCTAAAACAGCTTTTAGTCAATAAATTTGTAATACTCAGTATTTCTTTTTTTTTTTTTAGTACTCCGCCTTGGAAGATGCTTGGACAGTTTATATCAAGCTGTGGAAATGACAAAATATTCCGAGCTGATAGTGAAGATAACATTAACTATGGCAAAGCTAATGAATGCCTTGTATTTACTAGCAGATCATTTTATCTGGGTAGGCAGAATGGGGATCATGAAAGTGAATTTAACAAAATGGAATAGAGTTGCGAATAGATATTGGCTAGTGAGCATTATTATGAATTTATTGAGAGACATTTACGAGATTTTTAAAATTTTCGAACATGAGCAGATGTACTCGCGAATGCAAAGTCGCAATATACTCAAACGGCATTATATTCCATTCTATCTGAAACTTCATAAGACAGTAGTATTGGACACCATTAAGAACGGATGCGACTTATTTATTCCATTAACGGCATTAGGTCATGTGAGATTTACTCCGGGTACAGTGGGTATACTTGGTATGATTTCCTCATTGATCGGTTTATACACGATTATTGATCCATACTCTAAAATATGTCCTTCTTAGGTATTATTAGTGTTATAATAAGGTATATATCACAATATATATAAGGTTTATACCATGTTATATATATATATGTATACATACATACATATATATATATATGTATGTATACATACACAAAGGTTTCTGTAATGGTATTCCACATACAATACTTAGTAATACTTGACAATATTTAAATTTTAATTATTAAAAAGTATTGCTTGTGATGATTACAACGAAAACTTCAAATCGATATAATTTAACATTCCGGATAATCATAATGTAGAGTATAACATTGATTTAATATTACTGTTCGATTCTCTAATAATTAGTGCCAAATATCCCTGTTGGTCCGTCACTATCTCTAAGATTTTTGTACTCGAGTTTGAAAAATGATATTGAAATCTTTAAATAATTCTATTAAAAATTTGTAAAATTTGGATCGTTCAACTTGTGTTAAATTAGTCAATTTTATATTTGATAAATAACTCAAATTGTATCTAAAATATCATGTTATCGTGATATGCGATTTAAATGAAACTGGCATTGAACGAACACAGATTAATTGGTTATAAAAAATATATAATTGTTTGCAACTTATATTTCTTCTCTCATTTGTTTTATTGGATTTCCTTTTGCCTTTATAATGTCTTCTGTAGCATCGGATAGCAAGGCGCCTCTATTTAATTTGTATTGCCTAAGTTTCACGCCATTGAAAAGAATCTGCAGATTGGACCGAAAAGTTTTGCTTTCATTTGTACCTTTCTGGAGCGTTTATATCTGTTTCTCTATTTATCTAGATTCTGTTCAACAACAATTGCGATTTAGGCGTCTATAGGTCCTTATTCTTTCTGCAATCTTACTTATGATCTCACAAATAACGCATAATTACATTCATTTATCAAAATGTCCGTAACACATACATTAAAATCAAAGACACACAAATCTTATGTTAAAATATATGCATATAAAAAACAGAGTCTTTCTGACTTTTTTTAAATACATAAAAATGGAAATAAGAGTATGCCACATCGTTGTTTTGTCTTATTCCCCTCGAATACAAAAATAAATATCAAATCGTCATTTGGAACACGACAGAAGTGAAGTTACGACGGTACACGGTAACACGCATCTATATACTTAATAACGTCGTTTATTTCACCGTATCTTGTATACCAGTCAATTTCGTGCTTACGTTCCACAGACGGAGGGCTATCTTAGGATCTAATTCCTGCTTGGAAACGTATAGTTTGCAGTCACGGTACATATGGCCACTTTCTTTGGACAATGAGGATTCAGTTGCACAATGTAGTACTGTTTGAGCACCCTGCAAATATATTTATAATAAGAAAGTTATGTGATATACAATAAATAAATATACACACACACACACATATATATATATATATATATATATATAGTATATACAATAGAAAGATTGCACACACACAAGGATATAATTAATCAATATTTTTTTAACTATCAATTACACACGCACACACACACGCGTTTGTATATAGTATATTAAATCATTAGATATATATTTACCTGATTTGCAGTACGAAGGAACATAAGAGCAATAGGAGAGAAAATAATGTAATGAAACCAACGTCTCTTCACGTTTCTGAATAAACCAGTATAGGTAAATCCAGGACACACCATATAAACATTTACACCAGAATTTTCTGTCCGTTTGGCAAGCTCAGTGGCAAAATAAGCATTCGCTAATTTCGAATTATTGTAGCCAGGGTTCATTCTGCCTTTTACTGGCACTCCTTTCTCACCATTTAAATTTGAAAAGTCTATCTCTCCGAATTTCAAACGTGTGGATGTCAATACTACTATTCTGTAAACAACAGTTAAATGTTAGTGTTATTATTTCAATACGTTACTTTATCAGACTCACCTGCTGGGAGCGCTTTGTTTAAGACGGTCTAGAAGTAGATCGGTAAGGAGAAAATGGCCCAAATGGTTTACCCCAAAATGAATCTCAAACCCATCTTTCGTTAGCGCACGATCTTTGAGCGGTACATACACACCAGCATTGTTAATTAACACATGAATCTGTGCAAAGTCTTTCAATACTTTGTCGGCAAATTCTCTGATTGACAAGAAGGATCCAAGATCTAACTCCATTGGAATCTGCACAATTAATATAACATACATGTATGCAACTTCCTCTTTTTTTTTTTACGAATCAAGTTTGAAACCAACTTTATTATTATTTTATCAACTACTGAAGTGTCATAAATATGCTTACTAATTCGCCAGTAGGTATTTTACTACGTATTTCAGCAATCGCGTTCTTAGCACTTTTCATGTTTCTGCAGGCCATGATGACCGTGGCGTTTCGTTTCGCCAGTTCCTTCACCGTTTCCTTACCGATGCCGGAATTGGCGCCCGTCACGAGGAACACCACGCCGTGCAGATTACTGTTGCTCTTGCATCTTCCCCAAGTGCGCTCGCGACACTTGCGAAGCAGTCCGGCGATCAGGAGCACCGGTAAAACGAAGTAGCACCATGAGGATACCATGTTAACTAGCTGGCTTCAAATGTGGCGGTGACGGTGTGAGATGGATGTGGAGTGACCAGCGCAAAAATGCGAACGTCTATCGGTACATATTAATGATCGCAGCGCGATTATTCATAATCCTAGCACTCGTTTCAATTGACGATGTTACTCGCCCCCTTCACCTCAGCCTAATTTATCGCGCGAGATAAACGGCATGACCATTGCAATGTTGCGACCAGGTGCGATAGAACGAACACCGGCCTCCAAAATCGGATCGCCTTATCTCGCGCTCACTCGAGCATGCTACCTCACATCTCAAGCGAGATAATCCAAGCAAAAAAAGAAATTATTGCTGCAACATCAGGACGACGAAGTGTGAATAACGAATAGTCATAATACAACGAATACATAGATACGATATGAAATGGCGATACACTCTATGCTAAAAAATATTTTGCGAATATATAGCCTGATCTACAATGTGCTCTTTGTTTCTTGTTTTTTGCCCTCTATCTCTTTTCCATAAGTAAACAGAAGTTCTTACAGATAAAAAGATGGAGAGCAAGAAACAAGACACGACGACAACAAGACACAAAGAGCACATTGTAGACTAAGCTTATAAATTATCCATAATTTTTCGGGAATGATAGTAATGAGAAGGTGAAGCGTGATACATTAGATTGGATGAAATTTGTCGGGATGAAAAATTGAATGGTTCATTGACGATCGCATCCGTAGCCATGCGGCAGCCAATCAACTCGCACTCTCGTTGAACTCTTTGTGATAATTGCGATACGGTCCTAACCTTGTCGTCTCTCGAACATGGTGTCTGCCGTGGCGAGTATCGACTGCAAGTGTTAGACCTGCCGTTCGAAATGCTGTCAAGATTGGCCCTTCGCAATGGTAAATGACAATATTAACAATGCTCATGACTGAATTTCTAGAAAGTATCCAACGAAAAAGGCGAATTCGATTGGTTTCGGACGCAATAAGCTTCGTTAAATTGCAAAGTTTATTACCGCTATTATATAATGACATCCCGATACTTTCGTATCTTTTCACACTCATCTTGGAACTACTCGTATATTTTGTAAACTTTGTTTGCATGTTTTGCATATGTAATTCATTTTCAGGCTAATTTTCCTCTGATAAATTTGTAACTTCTGAGCTTACGGCATGATGTACAATCTTGGTTATGCGACACTGTCATTTTTCCATGAAGATGTTGCTTCTGTCCTTTTTAGCTGCGCTCCTTGTACTCTTGCGCAGTTTCTTTCCCTTCTCTTCTTATTTCTAGCATAGAAAATATTTGTATGTTCGGCAAATACAACAGTCAATTATTGACTGTTTAAATAAACTATAAGCTGAGTACAAAATGATTCATTTTAAATAAAGGAACCAAGTTCATAATACAACATTCTAGGGTTCTACAGTGTAGAGAAATGCTAAATTTGGCATCTGAACTGGTGCTGTGTTCTTTGTGGATTTGTTTTCTATCAAACAAAATCCAATCCATGAAAGACCAGACTCTAATTCGAAAACCAAATTAAGCAAGTTCATGATTTTTCTTATATGTAAAAGTATCTCAGAAATAAACAATTAAAGATAATTAATATCAACAAATCTCATAAGCGATATTTTAATGAGTTGAAACATCTTTATATGTTTTCTAATATTAGCTCAGCTGCTGCCTGTGGCAGTACGTGGAGCACAAAGCACATCTACATCAGTAATATCCCAACATCCTGAACGCCCCAAACGGTTAATATATCCGTCTCCTGTTAGACATGGATTCATACCTGAAGAATGGTTTCAGGCTTTTTATCCAAAAACTGGTGCATCAGGTAAACAGTTGTCATAAAATCCTTATTTTCTCTGACAATATTAAAAATTATACTAAACACTGTATCAGAGATAGCATCTTATTACTATTATTGCTAAATTTCTATGGATTTTTTGTTTTTAGGACCTTATGTATTTGCCATAACTGTGGGCACTTGGTTACTCTCCAAAGAAATTTTTATCATAGACCACGAATTTCATAGTGGTGTGTCTTTACTAATAATATGCATAGCAAGTGTAAAATTTTTGGGTCCCAAGGTGAGTAAATATTTGGACCAAGAAATAGACGAATATGAAAAATCGCTCGAACAGACCAGAGTCCTTGAATTAGAGGGTTATGAAGATTTGATTAATCAAGAAAAAAAAGAACAGTACAACATAGAGGGACAGAAAATGATAATGGACATTAAGAAAGAGAATATCAAGATGCAGCTGGAAGCAACTTACAGAGAACGTATGGCAAACGTTTACCAAGAGGTATGATCATTTGTTAAATTTGTCTTCTGATAAAAACAAGAAAAGCCATTACAGAGGAATGTGAGTAGTAACGGAAGAAATGGGTATAATTGAGAAATTTGGTTTGTTGTTGCTTATAGGTGAAGAAGCGTCTGGACTACCAAATGCAGATACAAAGTCTTGAGCGTCGAATCGCACAGAAACACATGGTGCAGTGGATCATAGATAGCGTATTAAAGGCTATTACTCCTGATCAGGAGAAAGCGACTCTTCAGCAATGTATCAAAGACCTTGAAGCTCTCGCTGCAAAGCCATGAAGTATTTAAACAGTGTGCTATGTTAGATAAAATAGAAATATGAAAATGTGAAAACTAGCGTCGTAAAAACTGTCTACTTCGTGTGTTCTGTCAAATATTTCTTCCTATCTAAAAAAGCATCGAGATATAAACAGATGCAGCAATGATGTATAAAACAATCCTTGTTATATCGTTATAAAGGAAATTATACATTTTAGCAAGGGTCCAAGATGTTGCTTTATCAGGTTTTTGTTTGATTTGTCGTATAACTCATAACGATAACTTAGGAAATAAAATCTGATCTGCTGAATTTCTTTCCGGATTACTTCCACAGGCTTCTACGGTATTATTGGTTGTGTTCAGAGAGACCAAGTGATTAGTGAACAGTCAGTGATTATTGGTCTTTACTATTAAGGGGGCGATTCGATTTTGAGGGTTCAAAAAAATTGGCACTCTTTTCCTCCGAAACTATGCGAGCGACAAATCCCAAATTTTATATAGTTATGAAAACTATTTTATTAAAACTTTCTACTTTTAACAAACAGAAATAATATATCAAATCATAGTTATGAAAATATGCGCACAAGGTGTTGATTTTTATGATCACCACGATTGCGAGTTTCTCTGTGGTCTGAAACAAAAAGCAAGTAAGGAAATTAATCTACAGACTTGCCGCTATTGTCTGAAGTACGGAAATGCAAGATAATTTTTTTCAATTAATTTAAGGCGTGTAAACATACAATTTAAAAAATGGACTAAAAATTGCCAATACTCCTGAAAAAATAGTAAATATTAATATATTTTAATTTCACTACTACATACGATAAAAAGACATATTTTGAATATATACGTACAACCGGAAATCTATCGATTCATTAGTTTGTTTGAAATCACGGTGATCAGTCAGAGAAAAGTCGTTTCGAGAAAAACGTGTTTGAAGTTTTGCATACTATTTCATTAAGTATTTCTAGTACTTACGCAAGTATCATTCTAATCAGCAATTCCAGATTCGTACAGTAAACCTTTCTGCAGCTCATACCACTCATGTTCCTCCTCTCTTTCTTCTCGAGCTGCAGTTCGAGCCTCCTGGAAGCTTTGCCGACTTTTGCGCTTTGCGTGATACATCCGACGGTTGTCTCTGATAGTGGCATATTGTATATATTGCGATCCAATTTTAATACCCATAGTGTTCATAATTTGTAGGATACTTGAAAATCTTTCTAATGTTATAAAGCTTCTAATATTTCTAATGTTATAAAGCCGCAATGTAGATGCTTCGATGCCAAACGACAAATAGTAGCGTTGAAGCTTTTATTATTATTTTGAAATTCACTTCTCACGCATCGTTGTAATAATACGTCCCTGGATAAATCTACATAAATAGGTTTTAAAAATAGTGTAAGTTCTGCAGGAAGCAGCGGGTCATGAACGAAAATATTTAATGAATTCCCAGCCTGTGCGCATTGATATCTGCATCAGCTTTCGGCACCAACGGGACACAAATCATGCTGTGGTTCCTCATCTGTTGAACATAAATGTTTCAGAATAATATTTATTTCATGTTTCATATTTTCAACAATATTACAATTTTTTCTAATTGCAAATCCCTAATAGAGCTAGTTTGAAAGCTTTGTTATCAAATTATTTTTTAGAACTCCTCTCTTGAATTGCTTTTCTTTCTCCAAATTCCATAAACTAGAGCCTATTCTTTTATGCACATGTCCGATAACCTCTTTCTCATTTTTTTAAATGATATCCTTGCCATAAGGTTACATGTTCACAATTGCTTTATAAGTTTTGCAGTTGCCGTCTCCGATATAAGTGGTGTATCTGATGTCGAATTTTTCCATTGACTTGCCGAGCATTTCTTTTACCGACTCGACTTCCATTGCTCCTGCTGAACCATAGTGATTTGCCGAACATTCTTCTTCGTGTTCCTGACTCCATAAATTAAATTTTTCTTTATTCATGTGATTCTTAGCACGTTTGCAGACTTGAAAATAATTAGATTTTACACTGAGACTGATAATTTTACTAGTGTACTTTATTATTAAAGTTACTCCAAATAACGAGTTATATCCTCTTTTTTCCCATGAACCGTCACCGAACACTGTAATATTTAACGGTGGTTTTTCATGTTGAATATTTGCTTCTGTCTCTTCTTTTACAGCTTTCTTTGTGAGGAAATCAAAAACGTTGCACGATACTGTGTGTATATTTTGTAAAACAGCATTATATGTATGATATGTTAATCTTTGGCACAAGTCCATCAATGCACAAAACAGATTTATGCCTTCTCTCGATATACTTAGTAATTGCATCATAAACATTATACGTCTATTTATTTCATAGGCCTTATTAATTGTCGAACATGATTCAATGTAATTCTCACGCCGCAATTGCAAGTGACGGCAATTTTAAAGCCAAATCCGCGCTTAGCTGCTTCACCAAACTGCACATCTTTTTTACATTGACAGATTATAGTGCTGTGAAAACGGGAATAAAATTCATAAAACGATAATCATGAATACCGTCGGTAACAAACTCTGCTTCGCTCGACTGTAACTTTTGTGCTGACGTGCTCGCGATTTCGGTTTGAGTCTCAATTGTATGTTTATTCTCACAAAATTTTCTTTTTCGATGACGACTTGCACGTGCTTGAGTCTTTACGATCCACCCTGCAACGATACGTTCGAATTCGAACGACTGAAGACAAACAAAACAGCTTCTACATCTCGTGTCTGTATAGGACTGATGCGTTTAAGACCGAGGCGTGTTAGGACCGGGGCGTGTTAGAATTTTCAATACATAGTAAATCCCTAAATCCCCTTTTAAATATGCCAAAGGATCGTAGAATCTTTACTGCAGTTATTATACGCCGAAATTTCAAAAAGTGAGCGCTATGATTTAGACCTGCGCGTCGCTTCGAATGACAGGCTCCAACTTTTCAGGCCGTGAGTTTGGACGGATCTCTGGAAACGTCCTGACGACCGTGGATATAGGCAGTGGGATCCGTGGAGAAGGCAATCTCCAGATTTTCGGTGCGGGTCGGAGGGCTCAATATTGACTTCTTCTACTTGGCTGGTGACCCAGTCACACTAGGTCTGTTCGTTTTCGCTGCACCGCCGAACTAGTGCAATAAGTTGAAGTGTGAAAACATATACTTGTCTCTCTTCAACTTATTGCACTAGTTCAGCGGTGCAGCGAAAACGAACAGACCTACTGTTACGTCCACGGTAGATAACTATATAGGGAAATTTGAAAGTAGTAAAATCAGTGACTTCGTGGATGGTCAACAGAGTGATGATTCCTCTTTTGGGTCACTCTGCTTTTCATCGAGTTTACCCTGGGTCTCCGGAGTCTGGCGAAACGATCGATGAATCTGGTGAGAAATCAGAGCCGCTCGTTCTCTTGGTTCGTTCTCGGATGTTCCGGCGCTGCGCGAGATGATGCGCGGCCCGCGATTCCGAATTTCGATTTCGCAACGTTCGAGAAATGAAGGGTAGACAAAAGTAGTTGCTATACAGTCGGATTTTATGACTAATATATTCCAAAGTATATAAGTACACGAGAATTACCAGAAACTAATTACAAGAAAATAATCGCCTTCTCAACGAATGCGCGCGTTTTTATATGTCGCTTTGTCGCTCGTCGAGAGTCGTTTTCTGGTTGGCTGACGGAGTCATGGGGATGGAAGAGATTCATTCCATCAGTATGATGTCACCGTGTCGATATCGCCGCGTCGGTCCTGAATGGCGTTTGGATTCAATTTTCATGCTCCTGTTTATGTTATCAGCGGGACGCCTTATCGCATTGAAAGATTACGGTTTCTCTTGTCTATAGTTGATCCATCGATTTTAAGACTTTCTAACGACACGCAGTGTCGTTTCTCCGACGTTATAATTCGGCGTTATAATTTTAATTATAATATTTAACGTGCGCGAATATATATATGCGCACGTACTTACATCTAGTAACATAGGGATAAAATGAATATCTAACCTACTGATGTCTGAAATCAGACTAGTCGGCCTCCAATCTATACTAATATATTATTAATGTTCCAAAATAAGTCCGGACGTTACACTTCACATGTCATTACTAATCTGCTTTCTTTTATGACAGTGTCCGTGGTATACATAGAGATATAAGAATAGAGGGAACAAGGGATATATGCTACCTGTAAGTGGAAGTGATAGAGGCAAAGAGAGAGATGGATGCCGAGTGTCCTATCTGTCTCTTTCTAGTCACGCGCTGGGATTGGCTGCCGCGCCAACGACGATATAGCTATACATTTTTCTCCATCCAATTCAAAGAAACTGTCATTGCTAAAATGATCACTGCAAATATATGCTGTTTTCACTTCAAAATACAAAGGTAGTTGAAGTATATTCAACCATTTACGCCTTATATCTACATCCTTCGGTAGCCTACAACATTTACATATTTTTTTAAATGTAGGAAAAAATAACATATAATTATTTGAGGTTACGTATTTGTACTTTCTTACGAGTGAAAACTGCGGTTACATCCAGGATAAGACTCCGCCTTGCATTTCAAACAATGCCTCATTTTTAAACAAATCGCGTCCAATTATTATTTTGTTAACGTTCGAATATTTAACGAATTTTAATTCTACACACATGTGCACGCATATTTACAAAACGAAATTTTAGTCTGCTTTCTTCCCTCCTGACGTCGCGTGGTCGTCTTGACGGCTCATTGTAACAACCAATCACAGCGCTCAACTAGAAAGAGACAGATAGGACACTCGGCATCCATCTCTCTCTTTGCCTCTATCACTTCCACTTACAGGTAGCATATATCCCTTGTTCCCTCTATTCTTATATCTCTATGTATACCACGGACACTGTCATAANGGTATATATGATGCGCATCTCCACTTCGCGACGTCATCCATTTAGTTCGGCTACATCCAGAGATTAGAGCAGATGGCGCTGAAAATTGCCTAAGTTTTACTAGAGGGAGTTTGGATCCCCTGAGTTGCAAAGCTGTTTCTCTGCAAAACGCAGCTAATGTCGAGTGTGGAATGATAAGCTGTGTTTTCTTTCATTCTAATATTAATAATATTATTATATACTAAATATTAATATCCTTCTTGTCCTAATTGATATAAAATATTCTGCGTTTATGTATATTCTTTATTCATTACTTTAAACACAATGTGTACTTTATACTGAATATTGATTGATGTGCTTTTAACACATGTTGGTCCTAACATAACATAACCTAGTTTTTTCATAAACATTCGTGGCAGATTGTAAGCGATATAAGCGATTGTAAGCGATATAAGAGACTTTTCATTATGTATTCTATATGTAAAAGTACTCATCCTGCGACCGGAGTCGAACATGCAATCACTTGTCATTTTTTCAATCGTATTGAAAAATGTCTGGTTGTTGCCGGTGCGAATGTTATACGTGTTTTTCGCCTAATTCCGGATATCGATGTGACAAAAAAGGAGAAATATACAGGTGAGTTTTCTCTTCATTTCTCGTACTTACTTAAATTACTGTAGATTTGATATTACTGTAGATTTGATATCTTCAAAAATATCATCAAGGTAAAAAAATATATGTGTAATTTTATTATAATTTGATTTGAATATTCAGTCACAGATTTTTTATATTCTTTTTGATAACAGAATGAAACTCTCTGGCAATATACATTTAAGATTTGGAACAGTGACAAACATATGATAATATTTTATATATTGACTCATATATTTTTTACTAATTTAAATGTAAAGATGAAAAAAAATTTTATTTTAGAAACACGCCCTCCTAAGATGAAGTTAGAATGTTTGGCACAATATACTTTGCATGGAAACATTATGTCCATGCAGGCTGTCCATCTTATTGGATCACAAAGGGATTCTTTACTATTGAGTTTTCGTGATGCAAAACTGTCTGTTGTAGAATATGATCAGGATATTCATGATCTAAGGACTGTATCCTTGCATTATTTTGAAGACGAAGAAATAAGAGTAAGATTTTATAAATTATGTTTTATAATGATTGTTTCTACAACATGTATATACACGGTGACCCATTTTAATCGACAAACGGAGATATCTCCGAAACTACGCAACCGACGAAAAAAATGTTCGGATAAAAGTTGTCGAGGACAGTGGGGGTCATCTACCTGTACTAATGACCTCGACCTTGAGGTCAGTTTTCAAGGTCATTTCAAGGTCAAGGTCAGTTTTCAAGGTCATTTCAAGGTCAAGGTCATTAATACAGGTAGATGACTCCCACTGTCCTCGACAACTTTTATCCGAACATTTTTTCGTAGGTTGCGTGGTTTCGGAGATATCTCCGTTTGTCGATTAAAATGGGTCACCGTGTATATATCTTAATTTAAATCATAAATAACTTTTATTATAAATTCTATTTTATTCAACAATTTGGACAAATACTGTCTTTTATATGTTTATGCAAAATTGATTGTGCGAAAATTGAAAAATAAATATCCTTTCATTTTTTAAGATTTTATCAATCTTTAATAATTGTATATTTTAACATGTATCTTAAATATATTTTAAAGTTTCAATTTTTGTTTACATACTGGGTATTGAATTATTGGATATTTAATACATCTTATTTACATCCTATGTGTTAATAACACATCTTATGTTTGTGTATGTCCAGGATGGATGGACAAACCATCATCATATACCTATTGTGAGGGTAGATCCTGAAGGAAGATGCGCAGTAATGTTAATATATGGTAGAAAATTAGTTGTACTACCATTTCGTAAAGATCCTAGCCTTGATGATGGTGATTTGCTTGATACTGCAAAATTTGCATCCTCCAATAAAACTCCCATCTTATCTTCATATATGATAGTATTAAAAACACTGGAAGAAAAAATGGATAATGTGATAGATTTACAGTTTTTACATGGATATTATGAACCTACATTATTAATTTTATATGAACCAGTGAGAACATTTTCAGGGTAAGAGAATTATCTTAATCTTACTCGTAAAATATAAATGTGTGTATAATGATGTAATATTGATAAATGAAATGTTAATCTTTACATACAGGCGCATTGCAGTAAGACAGGACACTTGTGCAATGGTTGCCATATCTCTGAACATTCAGCAAAGAGTTCATCCCATCATTTGGTCCGTTTCTAATTTGCCATTTGATTGTTATCAAGCTGTGCCTGTGAAGAAACCACTAGGTGGTACATTGATAATGGCAGTCAATTCACTTATTTATTTGAACCAGAGCATTCCACCTTATGGAGTATCGCTTAACAGTTTAGCAGACACGAGTACAAATTTCCCACTGAGTAAGATATTTTTACTGATGCTCCGACATCCACAAAACATCTTGATTAAAATAGATAAATATGTATATTTATCGTTATTTATTTCTATTTTTATAGAACCACAAGATGGAGTGAAGATAAGTTTGGAAGGAGCCCAGGTTGCATTTCTGTCAGCAGATCGTTTAGTCATCTCCTTGAAAAGTGGAGAACTATACGTTTTGTCTCTTTTTGCTGACAGTATGCGATCTGTGCGTGGATTTCACTTTGACAAGGCTGCCGCTAGTGTATTAACATCATGCGTGAGTGTTCGGGTTCACCATTTTTTTTTTTAATTCAACATGAATCGAAGAATATATAAATTTTTCCGATAACTTGTATATTTATTTCACATTTACAAAGGTGTGCATGTGCGAGGACAATTATCTCTTTCTTGGCTCTCGACTCGGTAACTCACTGTTATTACGATTCACGGAGAAAGAACCAGAAACTGTAAGAAGTCTGAACGATGGCGAGATTAACATCGAAGATGAGAGCGAGGAAACTCCGGCTAAAAAAGCGAAGCATGATTTCCTCGGTGACTGGATGGCATCCGATGTGTTAGACATTAAAGATCCAGAAGAATTGGAAGTGTATGGCAGTGAAACGCATACATCCATTCAAATCACTTCATATATTTTCGAGGTATTGGAAGTTTTTTTATACTTTTTTATCTTACGTTATCTTGCTTTTTTAACCCTTAAGATTTCTGAAGCTTTACTCTAATTACTATATATACTTTAGCTACTAACTATTATATATTTTATTACGACATTGTATTTTAAAGAAAAGGAATTATACAATTTTTCATTCTAGTTGAGAATTGTATCTGTGTTTCAATTGTTAATTTTGTGTAATATTACTTTTATCTGTGCTAGTATTTATTTTTTCTTTATAGGTGTGCGATAGTCTGTTAAATATCGGACCGTGTGGAAATATTTCCATGGGAGAACCAGCTTTTCTGTCGGAAGAATTCGTACACAATCAAAATCCCGATGTAGAGCTCGTGACGACGTCTGGGTATGGTAAAAACGGTGCGCTGTGTGTACTTCAACGTTCCATACGTCCTCAGGTAACTGATAACTATTTTAATTTTATTTATATTTAACTATTTTTATTTAATAATTAAAAATTTTGATTTGCTTTGGTGCCATGTAAGATATGTATATAAATTATATATATATATATATATATATATATATATTAAAATACATTTTTTTAAACGAAAACAGGTCGTGACAACGTTTGAACTACCAGGTTGTGAGGACATGTGGACTGTCATTGGTACATTAAATAATGATGAGCAAGTCAAATCAGAAACAGAAGGATCTCACGCTTTCTTAATATTGAGCCAAGAAGATTCTACTATGGTATAACAAGATGCTTTCATTTATATGGTTGCTATAGAAATTATTGCAGATATTTCTAACTAATATATTTATAATATATATTATATTTGATTCAATGTTTGAAAGTTTTGTATGAAAATACTAGTTTGTTTCATAAGATTCAAATTGCATTACAAATTTTAGTATAACGAAACTTTTATGAAATGTCATATATATAAAGATTTGCAAGAGTTCCAATACTAACCTAATAAGTATCACGTGTTATAAATAAACTTGAAAAAAAATCTTTTTTATTCAAAGATATTGCAAACTGGTCAAGAAATCAATGAAGTAGACCAGAGCGGATTCAGCACACAAGGAAGCACAATATTCGCCGGAAATCTTGGTGTCAATAGATACATAGTGCAAGTCACTCAAATGGGAGTGCGTCTCTTGCAAGGCATCGAACAAGTATATATAATACCTCTTAAATAAAGTATAAAGTATTAAATAAATTAGTAAAATATTTGATGAATTTTATTGGTATTTAAATGTATTAATACAGACATATGGTTGTATATTATCGTAGAGTGCAAAAGGGAGAAAATTATTTTTGTAACACATTTATTCTTGATTACAGATCCAACATATGCCCATAGATCTTGGCTGTCCAATTGTACATGCGAGTTGTGCCGATCCATACGTAACGTTACTTTCGGAAGATGGACAAGTGATGCTGTTGACACTCAGAGAAGTTAGAGGCACAGCGAAATTGCACGCACAGCCCGCAAATTTATTGTTTGTAAGTTTATTTGAGTCAGAATTTGAGTTGATCTTTAAACAACATATTTAAGTTATGTATGTGTCCGAAACGATTTCTTTCCAATCTTGATAATCTACAATTGTTATAATAAGACGTTTTTTTTTTATGACAAATTCGCTTTGAAATTTGAAAACCTCATAGCTATATTTTCTAATGATATCAAATTACATATAATAAAAAATTCCAAAATTCATCTTTAATTTTTCCATGTATACACGTAGTATAAAAAGAAATTTAAGTAAAGATAAATGAACTGTGTACTAAGTTAGATTATCGCAAAAATTGCAATATATATAAACTATTACTACATTAATATCATGTAAAATATTTGCCTTAATCTAAAATATTTTATGTGTCTTTGCTTATGTAACAGCGTCCGCAGATAGAGGCATTATGCGCTTACAGAGATGTAAGTGGGATTTTTACGACACAATTGCCCGAAAGTGCAGAAGACGAGCATCCTGAAGAGGAGCATAACGTAGAAGAACCGTCGATAATCGGCAATATCGATAACGAGGATGATCTCTTGTATGGCGACGCACCGGCATTTCAAATGCCCGCACCGTCGTATCCAAAAACGGACGGAACCGCAAAGAAAATGCCTTGGTAAATTTTCCCCGGTTCCATATGCATATCGTACTAAACGAATGTTCTCTTAAACATAATGAAGATAATCGATCAATCGGCTTTTAATGTCTTTATGTTTATCTGTTTGATTTTAATCAAGTAACCTTACTACCATTCGATTGGCAATTTCCTTTTATTCTAATATGAATTTCTGTGGCAACAGGTGGCAGAAGCACTTGCAAGAAATTAAACCTACTTACTGGTTATTCGTATACAGAGACAGCGGCACACTGGAGATTTATTCGTTACCTGACTTACGATTGTCTTACCTCATTCGCAACTTCGGCTACGGCCAGTACGTGTTACACGATAGCATGGAATCTACGACTCTGCAATCGGCACTAGTCAACGAGACCCCCAACCCCGAAATGCAGGTATTACTTGCATTTTCTGATATAACTATTTGAGGTGAATTTAACGTTATAGTCGAAGATTAATGAACATGTATTTCTATAGGTTCGTGAGATCTTGATGGTCGCTCTGGGACATCATGGAAACCGCCCTATGCTCCTGGTACGTCTCGACTCGGAGTTACAAATTTATCAAGCTTACAAGTATCCAAAGGGGCATCTAAAGCTGAGGTTTAAGAAATTAGATCACGGCATTATCCCAGGACATTTGAGGTTAGAATGGTTATTTCATATAAAATACATTCGATACGATGATTCTGATTTTTAGATAATACGTTTCAGGTAAAGTGAATTTTGTACTTAATATTTATTTCCGCTGAAATTGCATTCGCAATTCCAGTTTTTTTTTCCACTGTTATATCTCTTTTCGTTTGTTGTATGCTATTTTGCTTGTAAATAATTTTACATAATTAAATTTAAATAAATTTTTTCTCACAGCCGGAAACCAAAAGAGGAAGATATGCCAACTAACACGAGCGCAACACGCATCTGTATGATGCGTTATTTCAGCAATATCGCCGGGTATAACGGAGTATTCATATGCAGCGATTATCCACACTGGATATTTTTAACGGGGCGCGGTGAACTTCGCACACATCCGATGGGCATCGATGGCTCTGTCACGTCTTTCGCCGCTTTTAATAACATTAATTGTCCACAAGGTTTTCTATACTTTAACAGGAAGGTATTGTGTTTTTAGTACTTTGTTAGTATTTTGTTTTTTTTTTCTAATTATTTTTCACCTAGTGTTATAACAATTTTTTTTTAATTATTAGCGATAATGTATGGTTGATTAAGAATCTTTAATCGACTCACTTTTGTACTGCTTTCTCTCTGCGCGCACGTGCGATTTTAATTTTATTTAAATACCAGGAGGAGTTGAGAATATGCGTTTTACCGACTCATTTGTCTTACGACGCACCATGGCCAGTTAGAAAAGTACCATTACGATGTACACCGCATTTCGTTACGTATCATCTCGAGAGCAAAACTTATTGCGTCATAACTAGCACAGCGGAACCTTTGAAAAGCTATTACAGATTTAATGGCGAAGACAAGGTATGAATAAAAATATTTTGTGTGTATCGGTATGTATCTGCAGCAATATATTATTTCTATCATTGTAAAAAAAAATTCATTGATTTTTTTATGTTTATCAATGTTCATCAATTAAAATGTTTAAGAGCCGTTAGATATTAAAATATATATTTATAAACGCATCTGAAGAAATGCGTCATTATTAAACAGGAATTTACAGAAGAGGAGCGTCCGGAAAGATTTCTTTATCCGTCCCAAGAACAATTTTGCATCGTATTATTCTCTCCAGTTTCATGGGAAACTATTCCCAATACGAAAATCGAGTTGGATCAATGGGAGCATGTGACTTGCCTGAAAAACGTGTCTCTAGCATACGAAGGAACGAGATCCGGTCTGAAGGGTTACATAGTATTGGGAACAAATTACAATTACGGCGAAGATATCACCAGTAGGGGTCGGGTGAGTCTTACTTTTCGACTGATTGAAAATCTTACAGATTCAATCTTACCGATCGATTGTTTTATATCATTTCTTTAATTCTCAGATATTTATATTTGATATCATCGAAGTAGTACCTGAACCAGGTCAGCCATTAACGAAAAATAGATTCAAGCAGATCTATGCGAAGGAACAAAAAGGTCCTATAACTGCTATAACACAAGTATCCGGATTTTTAGTATCAGCTGTTGGTCAGAAGGTACATTTTCCTTTAATTTTCATCGAAGAATGTTTACAACAAACAACTTGAATATCATATATATATATATATATGTATATTGTTCCATTGCAGATATATATTTGGCAGTTGAAAGATAACGACCTTGTTGGAGTTGCATTTATTGATACTCAGATCTATATTCATGAAATGCTAAGCATAAAAAGTCTGATTCTGATAGCAGATGTATATAAATCGATTAGTTTGCTAAGATTTCAGGAGGAATACAGGACGCTTTCCCTCGTCAGTAGAGTGAGTAGTAGTGTCAGTACAGTGAGTAGTGTCAGTACAGTTTATTTAATTCCGATTTATCTAAGTATTAATTGTATATACATATGAGCGTACATATATAAAATTCATACATGTGTTTCTTTGTAGGACTTTAGACCAGCAGAAGTGTACACGATAGAATATTTAATTGATAATACAAGTCTAGGTTTTTTCGTCGCTGACGGAGAAAATAATTTAGCTCTATTTATGTATCAACCGGAGTCCAGAGAGAGCCTCGGAGGCCAAAAATTAATTAGAAAGGCGGATTTTCATTTAGGGCAAAAAATAAATACCTTCTTCCGTATCAGGTGTAGAGTCACCGACCTTGCGAACGATAAGAAGCATTTTTCTGACGCTGACAAGAGGCACGTTACAATGTTTGGTAAGTCGCGAACTATATATTTATGTGGATTATAAAATAAGAAACGAGCTTTAAATGATTTGTTAATGAAACACACGTCTCATATATTGATATGTTCGTATTTTGTATGTTTTAGCATCGTTAGATGGGAATCTTGGTTATGTTTTGCCAGTACCGGAAAAAACATATCGGAGGTTACTTATGTTACAAAATGTGCTGGTGACGCATATTTGTCATATCGCCGGCTTGAATCCAAAAGCATATCGGTAAGTATAATTTCAATGATATTTCTATCATTGAAAATTTCATTCCAAAGATAAAAACAATACCAAACTGTCTTAAATCCACATTTTTAAAGAATGAAAATTATAATTTTATCATGAATTTTCCATATATATATATATAATTTTGTGAAGTATAATCGCCATCCTTTAACCCTTTGCGGACGAGAAGTATCGGAGCATGCAGTCAAGAAAATATGCCAAAGGAAGATAAGCAATACATCGAGGTCTGATGACTTTCTTCCGAAGAAAACGTCACATGAGCACTACATTGTGGCATTATGTGTTTATTATATTATGATACTGTGTGCCTTGTCGCACAGAACAATAAATACGCATGGGTGGCTATTTGACGACACGCGTCCGCAAAGGGTTAAAATTTAGATTTAAACATGATTTTGAAATTAGCCTTTCAATTGTAATGATTTTGTTTTGTTGTAGCACGTATAAAAGTTACATACGAAATCAAGGTAATCCAGCAAGAGGCATTATTGATGGCGACTTGGTTTGGCGCTACCTTTTCTTACCCAATAATGAGAAAGCAGACGTAGCCAAGAAAATCGGGACGCGCGTCCAAGAGATTATCGAAGATATTACGGAAATCGATCGACAAACAGCCCACTTTTAGACACAGTTGTATTATATTTAATTAGAGTTTTATATTATTTTTGTACCAATTACCTGAGGGGAATAGTATAGATCTTTGTCGCATATCAAAACGAAATGTTAAATGCACATAACAGTATGTACGTCTTGAAGTTGTAGGAATTTTACTTCAGTTGTTTAATTCAAACATTGCGTCGACAAAAACATCATTGAACTTAAATTTATGATGCTTTAACACAATACAAGTGTAGTTTATATATTTACTTATACAAAACGATAATACTTTATAGTAGTTTTGGCTAGATAAAAATAAAATAAAAATAAATTGACAAAGTATTTATCACAGACATACACACACATATATATATGTAACAAGATTTTAAGCGATTGAGATATCAGCATTATTGTGCATGAGAGAGAAAGACATATCTTCTCAAATGCGTCGGTCTTTTGCATTATCCATCACTCCCAGACGAAGCATTGTCGAGCGACGGGTAACTAGACGAGAAACTCAAAGATGTATGTAGCACTTGAAGATCTTGTAATTATATATATACTATAAATATGTAAAAAAATATTAAATTTTTCAAATTTTTTAAGATATGTATAAACGATGATTGTAATTGCATAACAAATACGATGTAGTAAGTACAAGTTTCGAAATTATATGACAAATCAGTGTTACTTATTGATCAAACAATTTATGAGCTATGAAAGCTGATCGTGTCAAGAGAGTTTCGTAAATATACTGTTTACTTTTTATATTTTGTAAGTTGGATTTCTTTTTATATATCAGTAAGTACCTCAGTATGCATGTATGCGTGTGTGTATATGTAATGATCAATGTCTTGCATTTCTTTAAATTATGTATACAGTGTCCGAGCCAACGTTGTTAGAAAGAAGACTGTGTGAGGCATTTGATGTATTTGACATTACAAGAAGTGGAGAAGTAGATGTTAGAGACCTGGGAACTATAATCAGAGCATTAGGTGCTGATTATCGTAAAATAAAATCTCAAATAAAATCGAAATTTCATATATTTCTTATACAGCACATCTTATATTTTATTATCTTATACTTTTTTATTTTTTTACCTAATAGGATGTGTCATCACCGAAGCTGAGTTGCAAGAAATACAAGTAGAAGTCGAGGACGTTGAGAATAACTGTGTGCCGCTAAACAGATTTGTAGAATACATGCGTAAAGCGATTAATGAACGCAAGTATGTTCAATGGAAAGTGGTTTTTTGTTGGTAGATAGATAAATTAATCAAAATGTGGAGAAATTATTTAGTAATTTCGCTTCCTCATTTGTATTTGATTTGATTGGCCTGTACAGTGTTTAAGATTTTAATCATCAAACTGTTTTTTTCCTTTTAAAAGCTTTACTTACAAATTACTTGGTGCTTAGGTTTAAGCCAGCAGATCCTGAAGATTTGTTGAGAGCATTTCAATTATTAGATCCTGAAAATCGCGGATACATTATGAGAAATGATTTAGAAAAACCAATAATGGAAATTGGAGAGCCATTTACAAAAGAAGAAGTGGTCGACATGATGGCTGTAGCCTGTGACGCGGAAACTGGGAAAATTAATTACGAGCATTATATCAACCTGCTAATTGTGCGTAAAAATATATAATTGTTTCTGATATTTCTAAGATTTATTCGCCAGATACACGTTTTGTCTAGAAAAAAGGATTTACTAAGATGGTACGATCTATTATTTGAAGTTCTGACTTTTACTTAAAAAAAAAAATGTATATACAGGCAAAAATTCCTGAAGATCTTAATGTATACAGTATTGTTGATAAGATGGATGCTGCAAGATTGGCTGCACCTAAAAGACGTAGATTGGAAAGCATATTCTATAAGGGAGACTAAACCGTCTGATTAAAGAACTTATTTTAGTAAAAGTAACTTATGAACAAATTAATATGCGATCAATACGCTAAATTTTTTTTATTGTAGAGAAAAAGATTATAAAAATATATACGTTATATACATTTTATATATCCTAATATAGTACTTTCAAGATATGATGAAACGTTTTTTAAACTTTATACTATTTCAGAAGCATCAATATATATATTACATATTATCTCTCATTTTTGAGAGATAATACATAGACATCCTTCATAATGATATTGTAATTTCATTACCATCATATTATTATAATATCATTAACCCCATAGTCGCCATTAACCCTATGGTCGCGCAAATGACAAGTATCATCTATTAGCACTAAAATGCATTTTCCGAAAAATACCAATGAGTATCCATTTTGCATCTTCCCAGATAGCAGAGTGACGTCAAATAATGTATTAATAATGTTTTAATGATGTCTCCGACATCAATAACACATCAATGTAAGACATTTTTAAACGTCATTCTGCTATTTGTGTCTGTGTATCTGTCAATCAAAGACTGTTTTTGTCCGTTTTAAATAAAATCTTTTATGATTGAACACCTCCATATAAATATTATTACTTTCTTTTTTTCCCTAATAAACATAAGGCTAAATAGTGATTGATCTAGTCAATGGATCATTTTACAATCTAGTTTTAAAGCTTTAAAGTTTTAAATCTAGTTTTATAATCTAGTTTTAAATAAATCTAGTTCTAAAAGCATTACTTTCTAAAACAATTTTTTTTTTAATTGAAAATGTCAATTTCAAAAAGAGGACACTTGCCACCCACGCGACCAGTCGTGTTATACTTAGGAACTACTCAAAGAATTGATATTATAAAATCATTGATAACATCAATATTATAAATGTGAAAATATTGGAGGTTCGCCTTTAGTAGCCTGTGCCATAGTTGCATTGAGGAAGTCTTCACTCTGGAGCATTACTTGATTATATATCGCCTACCGAAATAAACACCAAATACAAAAATATTATTAAAACAATTGGATATAAGATTCATCATTTTTATATATCATTTTTCAATTTCAGGTGGAATAAACGGAAAAAGAACACTCACGATATGTTCTAATCCTTCTTGCACAGAGTGGTCTCTGGAATACACCATACTTATCTTTGAGCCTTGTATCGCAACCGGACTCTTTTTTGCGATATCTTCAGCAACTTCCATCGATGCCTTCAGTAAGCTGAATTAAAAATATAACATCAAATTGTTCACATGATATTTCCATTACTTCCATTTAAATGATTATTAAAAGCTTGTATTTCGTACATTAGTGCATATTTTACCTCTCTTGATTGTCCAACATGCGATTTACAAATCCATCTTTTAATGCCTCAGCTGCTGGATACTTCCGTGCTGTATAAACAAGTTCTCTCACTAAACTATCAGATCCTACAATCTTTGGAAATCTTTGTAGTGTGCCTACATCAGCCGCCATTCCTATATCGACCTCTTTTATTTGGAAATATGCGTCAGATGAACAATAACGTATATCAGCTGCAGACACCATGTCTACACCTGCACCAATACATGCACCATGTATAGCGGCTATCACAGGTTTTGGACACTATTGAATAATTTTGCATGAGTTAATCAGAAAATAAAAAATATTAATAATATGTTTTCGAGTTACTTTATCTTAATTTAAATTTTAATAATCACATTAGTGAGAATTTGATCTTTGATTTATTATTTTGTAATTTGTACAGATAGCAAAGTACCTTTTCTATAGCGCTAAATGAATTTTGATAATCTGTGATTTTGTTTTTCATATATTTGCATTTACGTGCAATATCATCATATTCCGCTAAATCCTGTCCTACTTCCATCATTCCTTGCAGGTCGATTCCTAAAATAGTTATTGAATAAAGTTTTCCCTGTATATGTATACATGTACGCGTGTAACTACAATCATTCAATAATATACCTGCACAAAATGCCTTGCCAGTGGCTGATAGAACAACCACTCTACATTTTGAATCATTTCCTAATGTTTCAAAACATTCTCTGAATTCCCTATAATAAGATTATTCATAAAAATGGAGATGTTTAATCAAAATAACGTTTAAGAGGAACAAACAATTACATACCGCCACATAGTTGGACTCATTGCATTTAGTTTCTCTGGTCTGTTTAAGTTGACTATATAAACAAATGGTTTTGGGATAGATACTGTTAATGTTTTATACTTTACTGATGACATTTCTGTAGAGTATCTCAGTGCAGAAGTAATTTGTGACACTATAAAAATATTTCCATGACATTTACTAAATATATTAATAAAGTTTAATATAATCAGTGATTGCATTGTCATTATAAGTTATACAATAGCATAATGTTATGTTTATTATATTGGGAATTATATGCATTAAATAGTATTCATATTGAATATAAGCTTAATAAGCTCAATAAGTGTTTGGAAACTGCTTACTCATGTAGAGAATATAGTGCACAAGGTGTTTCAGACCTTGTGACTTTAATTTTACCGAGAGGTTCTCTGAGAAATTTTTGAACAATTTTTTTTCCTTCAAAAATGTTGAGAAAGAACATTGTTCACAATGTTTTAATTTTTAACATATCTCTATAGCTGAGTACTAAAATAAAATTCCATTAAAATCCACTTGAAACTGACCAAAGAAAATAATTTTGTTATTCACTTGATCGTCCAAAGTTTGCGAAAAGTTCTTCTTTTTTTATCGTTTGTAATTTGGGAATTATCAATGTTTCGATATTTTTGCTGAGGAAAAATGATTTCTAAATTAATCAGAGAACTCTCTCTCGATAAAATTAAAGTCGCGAGGTGTGGGACATCCTATATATGTTAAAAGAGTATTTTTAATTATTGAATGCAAGATATATATACACATTGATTGCAAAAATGTTAAACAACAGTATTATGTACCGTAATATTTGTTAAAATAATTAAGATAAAATATATACTCTTCATATACACAACACACATATACACAATATGCTTACGTTTTGTCATCGACTTTGATAATTGATTTCTAATCATATTAATCGCCATACTGTGCACTTGATTGTAGTGGAAGTATGAACAAATAACTAATGGAGATACGTGTCCCGATATATAAATTTTACTCTTAATATTTTTCCCCTTCAAAACTACTAAAGTTTACTTTAGTATTCCTGTTGTGAAAAGAGATTAATTTTAATGTTATATATGTCGCAGGGAAATGATGAAAATGGAGATTTGATCAAATCCCTAAGGTAGATGATCAATTCACGAAATCACCCCACCCATGATTTGATCATCTATCTTAGGGATTTGATCAAATCTCCATTTTCTACCTTAGGAATTTGATCAAATTTCAATTTTTATCATCTTCCTGCGACATATACATAAAAATACAACGTTTCGTTAATCCTGAATGTATTGGTATGTTTGTAACTCGAAGTATTTTCTAACTTACGAACGATGTCCTTGAAGCAAACATGAGCTTGTAAAATGCTAAAAAGTACACGTACGTACGTATATATACAACGCGTACGTACTTATGTATACAACGCATAGATAAAATATATACAGCACATAGATAAAATTAACAATCCAAAGTCTAACTGTCGAAATTTTGTCCGCGCATAAAGGTACAATTTCATGTAGCGTCGAACGTCAAGCGTCGGAACCAATCAGCAGACAAGAGCAGACAAAATTGACTAATCAGAGCAAAATTCACTAAATTTCGCTAAATTTTAGTTTAGTGAACTTGTACTGATTATGGCCAAATTTAATTCAATTTCATTTCCCAATGTATAGTTTGATGTATATTAATGGATATTTATGGAAAAAAGATAGCAAGAAATAAAAAACAAAGAGCATATTGTAGACTAAGCTTAATGGCTTCTGCTCACAGAACGTGAAAACACTTATCATGCGGGGAGAAACGACGCGGCAGCCAATAAACTTTTACTTTTGGAAAAACGACACGTTGATTAGTTACTGCATCGCTTCTAGCCGCGTTGAAGGCGTTTCCACCTTTCATGTGCAGGAGCCATAAATATTTTATTTCGGCTCGCGCGAGACGAAGCGTAGATAGCGCAGATCTTTCCAGAAACGTGCCATGCGTCTCTCGTGTAATATGGCGACCGGCAAGGGGTTAGCTATGGTCCTTGGACCGAAAACCATCAATCTGATCAGTAATAATAAGTTAAATAAATTATCCTGCAATGTCTTGCAACACTGCAATATGTGTCGACGACATTTGGCAACTATCACATCAACTGTCAAAAGCTGGAACCGCGAAAAAGCAGAAAAAGGTGAACATACACTTCATCCGCGGCGACCTCGTTAGATTACATCATCGTACATTTTCCGGCAAAATTTCTCTCCCGACGCATTTGCCAATCTGTTTTTGATATCTAATTTCTTGCATCTATATCCCAATCCTTGATAACATGTGCTTTGAACCATTACATGTCGTTTCACGTGCGTCGTTCAGCTACTTCCCGACATGCGACATAACCTGCAACTCCACATTATTTTCACGTTTGTGTCATATATATATACTACAATAGTCTGTCCTAGACATCAAAGACTTAATATAAAATTCTCATATACGCATATGTATGTTGAAATGTTCAGCTCTTTGCAGCCGCATAAATTCCTTACATCCATAAATAGAATTATTACTTATATGTAATTACTTATATGTAATTACTTATATATAATTACTTATATGTAATTTAAAGAATCGCCACGATGTATCCCTATTAATATTGAATTATAATTTGCGCATGTCTATTTCAGATAATATAGGAAGGATAATCCAACCATACAGATCTATACATTTAACTAATAAATTGTTGAAACGTAATTATTATGAGATCTTAGGTGTTTCAAAGAATGCATCTGCAAAAGACATAAAGAAAGCTTATTATCAGCTTGCTAAGAAATATCATCCTGATACAAATAAAGGAGATCCAGATTCCAGTAAAAAGTTTCAGGAGGTTTCTGAGGCTTATGAAGTATTGAGTGATGATACCAAGAGAAAGGAATATGATACATGGGGTGCTACCTCTGAACAAATGGGAATGGGAGGAATGGGTCAGGGAGCTAAGAATTATGGTCAACATTGGCAATATAGATCGACTGTCAATGCAGAAGAGTTGTTTAGAAAAATATTTGGCGACGCTGGATTCCAAAGTGGTACTTTTACAGATTTTGATGACTTTGCTGAAACAAAATATGGTTTTGGAGCAGCTCAAGAAGTACGAAAAGGAAGATAATCCACTACTTGTCCTATAATTATAACACAACATAAAATAATGCTAAATTCTTGTTACAGATTGTAATGAATTTAACTTTTTCCCAAGCTGCCAGAGGTGTGAATAAGGATATTGTCATAAATGTAGTGGATCTTTGTCCAAAGTGTAATGGTTCACGCTGTGAACCTGGCACCAAGCCGGGAAAGTGCTTTTATTGCAATGGTACAGGTATAGAAACAATAAGTACAGGTCCTTTTGTGATGAGTTCGACTTGTCGATACTGTCAGGGCACAAGAGTACACATCAAGTTTCCTTGTGATAACTGCGACGGAAAAGGACAGTCGGTATGAATATTTCTTACTTTCATTCGTCTGTTCTGTCCCACAAGAAGTACTACCATTATTTCAATATTTATTATAATTTTGTATCCTTTATCACGCCTTAATCGTCATATTTTTGCTACACAGGTGCAACGTAAGAAAGTAACCGTACCAGTTCCAGCTGGCATAGAGGACGGCCAGACGATTCGTTTGGCAGTAGGAAACAAGGAAGTGTTTGTGACATTCCGCGTGGAAAAGTCGAGGTACTTCCGTCGGGACGGATCCGACGTACATACCGACGCAGAAGTCTCGCTCGCGCAAGCGGTACTTGGTGGTACGATAAGGGTGGAAGGTGTATACGAGGACCAGACTATACAAATAATACCGGGTACATCGTCTCACTCGCGTATCCATCTAAGCGGCAAAGGCTTGAAAAAGGTCAACGGAATAGGCTACGGGGATCATTATGTGAACATTAAGATAACGGTGCCTAAAAAGTTAACAGATGAACAACAGGCCTTGTTGCAAGCGTACGCTGAACTCGAAACCGACACTCCTGGCAGTATACTTGGTGTAACAAATAAGATAGATGGTAAGGGCAAACGGTAAAACGTAATCCACTTGTGATATATTCGAAAAAAAATCAAAAACATTCCAGGGTCTATATTGATTCAACGTACATTCATTTATGACATTATTCGCTGTAGTTTAAACATTCATTGGTACTGCAGTAACAATGTTATTTCCATTGCCATAGTACATTTCCATTAGATATTCATACGTGTCGCTTGAGTTTCTGCCCGTGTACCAAATTAATTAAATAAAGCATATTGAGACTGTAAATGCGTTTCATTGGCTTTTGTTGAAGATAGATGTTTCTATGGTAACGGCAAAGACTTGAATAAAAGGATTATCTGTACAGTAATTAACTCAATGTAAAGTACGCGTACTTTCCTACATGGAATTTCTTGTCAGCTTCAATATCTTCTTTTAGGCAAGCGTCCAAAGGTGCAAACTCAAGCGACACAAGATGCCAAAAATGAACAGATAAATAAGGGGAATAGCCTGCTTAATAAAATTAAAAAAGCCATATTCGGATAAACGAATTGTAAGTAACTTATTAAGCAAGATGCAAGTTATGTGTACAGCATATCGATTACAAATGTGTAGTGCCATTTCCTAATCGATTAAAGTATTCTTACAAATGGAATTTTAATTTACTAGCGTAACATCCTAATCGTAAAATCCTATTAGCACAATATCCTAATCGTACGTTGAATCTATTAGCATAATATCCTAAGCGCACTAAATCATCTATTATAAATGCGTTGTATTATTTACTAACTGATTGAAGTATTTTTACAAATGGAACTTTAATGGCCTTATTGGCATAATATCCTAATTATACAAACTTCTCAGCATAATATACTAATTAAACGAGTTAAAATATATTTGAGAGACGATGTTTAACGAATTTTTCCTAACGAAAATATCGGTGATTTATCGTAATTTTATGAATTAATCGCTGTGATTAATTTTTCGTCAATCGGTTGGTCCTCCGTAAATAAGTCTCGGATATTCTGTTTGTGATACGTATCCTAATGAACGACATATATCGAACACATATAAATGATGCAAATTCTACTGGTATCTAATTACAGGTACAAAACAATGTTATACGGGTCCGCTGCACTTGGTAGAATCTATACGGTTAGCACTAGGGAATACATCTGATCGGAAAGACCAGTCTTCATCTTCTGAGCCCGAGCACCCAGGAGACAAACCTATAAATAATAAGTCCGAGCATGCTACCAAAGATACGTCGAATGCCAATAGAAAAAACGAAACTGACGCTAAAATGAAACGACAGAAAATGCCCTAAAGAATGCTACCATGAATTAAATGCTGTATGACGCGATTACGCACTTAAAAGGTGAATGTGAGCTAATGAGATCCTACAGTGCAGGTATAAGTACATGATGTAATTGATTAACACTAGAACCGCAGCAATTTTTTCTCGAACCGTAGATGGGTTACTTTTGATCCAACCCGTTTTTTGTAATTATCCGTGAGCTTTTCTGAATTTTATGATATTGTTTAATTGTTTTATGACGAAGAAGGCTTCCCATGATAAAAATTCAAAGAAATGAGAAAGAAAAGAATATACAAGTGGGTAAAAAGTGACTCAGCTGCGGTTTTAGCGTTAATAGTCTATAATGTAACCACTTCTAGAAGCAAGTCTTTTGGTCCTAGTTCGTATTTTCACTGTAGATATACATAGTGTAAACATCCGGAAATAAAAAATAAAAGGAATTATATTTATATAGACTTTATCGGTAACTCAACCATATATAGAAATAGAACGGGCCTTTAAGAGCCAAATCGCGGTTATTTTAGCGATATTAGTAAATTGTTGTGGGAGGATATATTGTTCAGTGTATAATGACGCACGTATTGGATATTGGAATTCTCCGGATAAGCGCGGTAAGTCGTATTTTCCACGCTGAACAGATCCTGAATTCCATATATGTATTAAAGTATCCTTCTCCCATCCTGCTCCGGATAAAGATCATGTTAATAATAGTATATAGGAGAATGAATTGTATCGGTAAGCGTGAGCTTGCTATGGGCTATGGGATAACTCTGATAAGAGCAATCGCCCAGCGAGCGGAGGATTCCGGTTCATTTCCATTATGCTTTTCTTCTTCTTATAACAATTAATTATATAAAATGATTATATTTGTGCTTTGGGCTCTCGTAAGTCCACTCCCACTTTTGATATCTAAGAGCTTTTTATAATTATATCTTATATATTCATGTATATGTGTGTAGTACACAAAAACATTTAAATCAGTAAATGAGATGATATGTTTTTCTATGTTACAATTACATGTCGCAGCTTGTAAAATAAGAAGTATATCTCTATATCTACAATCTCTATACTTTTTATTATACCCGCGTTAATTCAGAATAGATGTATAAACATTGGTTGAATTTACTCGTTATTTCCAACGAAATTACAGCTGTTAAAATATATAAGGTAATACTTAATGGAAAATAACAATAATGGTTTGCGACTTAACCCTTTACAGCCTTGATTTTTTTAATGCTAATTATATAATGCTTCTAAAAAATACTTGTTGTCTTTATAATGCATGATATTTCTTAACGATAGTCCCTGTCTTTCATGGTAGTTCGTAAATACCATAACAAAATGTGGACGTAAAGACCTCATTGAGAATGGGAGAAGCAAGGAAACGTAAGTCAAAGGGAATAAAATCCCTCGATGGAGCTTTTCAAGTCCGGATAATTTAGAATTACACATCTATAAGACGGTAAAAATATTTCACCGCATCGATGACGAGTTAACTTCATGCCTCGATGAGTAAGCCGTACTTCAATCCGATATTGGTGAGGCTCTGCGTCGCTGATACTTGTAATACGGCCACCACAATTGCTGCGATGGTAACAGCACCTTCCAAATACAGACCGTACAGTATGCGCACGTGATCGACGATAGTCGAGAGACCACCCGCTGCAGTGAAGTCCAATGGAAATAGCACGCTCGCTGCGATCGGTCTCGATCGTGCTATACCGAAGCATAGTATCCCCAAAATGTAGTAAGCGACTATGATAAAAAAAAGAAGAAATCGAGATGGTTTCTTTTTGACTGTTGCCTTTATTCGAATCTTTATTATTTAAGCAAAGGTTACTTTTAATCATTTTTTAACATTCCGTACGTATTTGATTTGCGCAAATTAACTCTATGTATAAATATAAAAGTTTAACTATAGAGCTGGAAGTATGAAGAGAAGAAGATATCTAAAATTTTCATAGACGCATGAACAGTTTACCTGAAAAAACAAATGGCACTATCTTGACCCATCTCGGCATCGGCATGGAACAGTTCGGATCCACGTTATCGAGTCGTAGGTTTCGTCTAGCGTTCGCATACCTTTGCAAACGGAGGGCCGTCATCAGGCCGAAATTCAAAATAAGGAGAAAATGTGCAGGAATTCCGATTGCGGCGAAGATGACCCCAACCGTGCGGCCGGCGGTGGTACGCGGAACTGGTGCTCCGAAACCTGCGAGGTTCAAAGATATATATAGGGTGGTAAATGAGGATATACGATAAGGTGTAGTTTCTGCAGATTCCCAGTAAAATTACCGGGAATGAGAATGTAATTATTCAAGAATTGAGATAGAAAATACTCTTCAACAAAAAACGCAATTCAGAACAGAAAGACCGGTCGGAGATTCGGGACTAACATTCATCGAAGAGAATTTGAAGCGGATTAAAACGAATTTGAAATGTTTACGATGATTGTCAGATTTGAAATCTTTACGATGATTGTCGACATGAAACTTTGCGCATTTATATTTGTTTTGGCATTGTTTGACCTTTCTCTTTTTCATCGTTATTTAAAATTCAGTCCCGACCTGATTAACCTACCCAAAGTGGTAATTAGTGAGATAGCAAACAGCACACAACCGGGAAATGTCCACAATTGGCCGCTATTGCCACTTTCGCCGTAGCCGGAAGCGACGGCAACCAAGAGAAGTTTCTCGTGTTTGGCCACGTATTGACGGACTTTGTCGCTCCACAACGGTTCCACGTCTTGATCCTGTTCCGTGCGCAATTGCCGTAGCTCCGTTGCCAGGCCGACTGCCAGGTCTCTCTGCATGTTCTTCAGCAATACAACTTGTTCACGTTCGCGAGGTCCTTCCGTAATACAAAACATCGCCGCGCCTGTCACTGTCCAAATCACAAGGAACCACAGAAGACCTGCGTGATGAATTGTCGGTAGTCGAATAAATCATTTTCAAATCAATAGATAGATATGTGTGCGTGTGATACATAATAAATAAATGATGATAATGATAAATATGTAATATAATAAATATGATGATCAATATATAATACAATAAATATATCTCGTACCAAATTGCGAGAACGCCAATCGCCCCAAGAATCTCAAATATTTCAGAAATCTCGAGGACCGCGTATTTGATGTATTCCCGTTATCTTCTTCGATGTCTCTGAGAGACGGTAAAACTCTTAATCGCAGTGGTAAACCCACTACAGTCTGAACGGCCACGGACTTGGTCCATTTAGTTCGTACTATGCCATTTTTCAAGCGAGGCGAGAGCTCTTCGGATATTGTGGTCGGCATACCTGTAAAATTTATGTGTGTCTATTTATTTCCAACTTAAAAAATTGAACTATATTAACATGTTCCATGAATGAAAATAAGAAAGAAAATTTTATATAAGCATAGATACAAAAATGTTCAGTTAAACAAGTGTAACTAAGATGAAAAGATGACTTCTGTTGATTTTCTATTTCAAAATTCTTCTTCATCAATGCAGAGCTTTGACTCTATTAGATTATTAATTGATTTAGATCGAAGAAAAAGGGTCGATTCTATATATTCTTCGAATAAATTCTTACAGTAACAGCATCTTGTATTTCTATATTATTTCTAATAAAAGAAAAAAAGAGACAAAATTGCATCGAAATTTTTAGCGAATTCAATGTTGAACTTTTGCACATTCCGGTATGTTAAGTAAATTAAACGATCGGACGAAAGAGAATGTCAAAGTGTACCTGTCTTCAACTTCTCGATGAAAGTTGCATTAGCAAAACACGCAGTGATCGATTGCTTGAAACTTGGTACATGACACATGCACGGTTTGAATGTTATATCGTCCCCTTTGTGTGTAACTACTACTACGAGTTACACGTCCTTACGCTCTTTTTTTAAATACCTCTGTAGTATAAGTCATATTACAAGGTGAAGAATACAATTATTGAACGCTCACAAATGTTTCCTCCGGCGAATTATTTACCAAAATTGCTATCTTCCCCTTTCTCTCTCTCTTTTTCTTTCTTACAAACTTGTATCTTCGTCTTGTTCTAAAATTTGCCCTTGTTTTTGAAACCGTAACCGAATATCATTCTTAAAAGCTCTCCAATCGTTCATATTACACATTAACAGTAACTCCAATTACAATAATTCGTAAGAAGTCGTATTGCACTTACGGATACCACAAACGACGTCGTCGTCGTCGTTGTCGTCGTCCCTCTCATCGTGTTTTGTGCGATGACGTTCCGTCATTCTCACGCGAAACTCGGTGATGCGACGGCGGGCAGCATCCTTGACAAACGCGACGCGCGGGTGGATCGAGTTTCTGCGGGCCCGATGCCGCTTCTTGACACAGGGGGACAGTTTGTATGCCGTTTCTCGTTCGAGCACGGCATTTCGTACGCGAGCGTGCGATACAGCGCTTACCGGAGCGCGTGGTAACGTCGCGACGTCCGGCCCATCACTGAGGGGCGTCGCGACTCCCCCGCGCGCCGGCGGCGTCGGGAACAGGGGTACGTCCATGGGCTAAGGTCAAGATGAGGCCGCGAGCTACGACCACCGGCGACTTTACGATCGCTTCCGGCGATCTTCCTCCGGTCGATCGTACAATCATGCATATTTCACGCACCGCCGCTTCCGACGAGGATGATGATGATACCATGCGTCCTCGACGCTTCGATCTTGCCGTACGCTCTACATCGCGACATTACTCGAGAGCCAGTCGTCGACCTACGACGTCTGCGAGCACTTGTTGAATCGACTCGTCCTACGCTCGGAAAAGCGTTCTCCGGGTAGTTCCTTTCTCTCAGGATTTGGGTGGAATTTCCTGCGACCCACTGCACTTCATCTATCAACATAGCTTGAAAAGCTCGAGTTCCCGCTCCAAAGTATTTTGATATACATCTAGTGCAGTGTATATCTCCGTTCGCGATCGTATCCTCCTTCATTCGATCTCATGGTAATAGTGTCGAGCTATTTCCGATAGTCGGTCTCAACTGCGCATTGGATATTAATCATCGTATAATTATTCCGTTCGCGAATAAATTCGATCGCAGCCGCAACAAATTTAATCATTGCACTTCGACCGAGATATTTTTGCTTCTTGACGTTTAATTCTGTCGTCGAGCGTCTGGATTAAACGCTATTTTTTTTTGCTATGATGACTGGGTCTGACCTTTTGATCCTGCTCGGTATATATATCCGTCAATTTCCTGCGTCTACTTTTTTGCTCGAGAATTTTTTATCATCGTTTATCATATGCAAAGTTGGATCGATGAGAGCCTCGCATGGGAATATACCTTATGTATCATTAATAATAATACTGTCTTTCGATGCTATTGTATACACACTATATGGACTTATGGCGACAATATTTCACATGGCAATCGACACCACGTGATATCGCGGCAGTACATAGCTCATAGATTGTCAAATTCAAATATAAACATCCTCTACAAGTGTTTTTATTTCGGAGTAGTGTGTACATATATTTACGCTCACGCGTATGAATGGGTGTGATGTGTGTGAATTTTTCGTTAAAGCGACGTCCAGAGAAAAACTGCAATATTGTGTTTTATTTAAAAAAAAAAATGTACTGTACACCCGTAATTAATACAAGGTATTTTTTAAGTACCCAGCCATACTCAAGGGAATGATTTTTTGGTTTATTTCAAGTAAAAAAAGTTCATATAAACATGTGCCCTAAACGGCTTAGCTACGAAATACAGGGTGTTGAAGTTTGACAGGAAATGTAAATATCACACAGGCTTTAGGATATTTTATTGAAACTTGGTCTAAGCTTATAACACATCAGGAGTGATATTTAAAAAAATGGCCAAAAAATCGGAAATTAGAAATGAAATAATGAAATGAATTGTTGTTGAAAATGACCACTTTTCGCCATACACTTTTTGGTCCTTCTTCTCAAAGATTGACATATATGCTTAAAGATACCAGGTATATTGAGGAGCCTGTTTTTGTATTTTTTTATAGCTGTTTTTATTTTTATTTTTGCGACTGGCATTTCAGATAAATTATTACCACGCGTTAAAATTTTTCTTAAAACACTCTGTATTTCGGAAACCAAGCCGTTCAAGACACATATTTACATGAACTTTTTTACTTGGAACAAACCAAAGAATCGCTCTCTTGAGTATGGCTGGGTATTTAAGGAACACCCTGTACAATTAAGAGACAGACTTTCTTCGGACGTTATACTTATCTCGTCGCATGATTAATTTTCGAGCATCGCATTATCCGCCGATCGATTACCTCCGAACTGCTTTGAACAAGAGGCAAGACTGCACGGCGACTCGACGCCTCGGAGAATTCGGAAACTACTGACCGTGGAGTGAAATTTTCGCGCATTCGGGCGCGTTGCACCGCAAACAGGCTGAGAGGAGTGGTGGTGCGCTCTCCTTCTGTGAATCGCTAAAATTAGAATGCAGCCTTGGAATCAATGACGACGACCCTAAGCGCCGAGCGTAACGTACCACCGCGCTGTCTATAACTAATTGCACACGTGCCCTATCTTCGATTAGATCAACTTTCCCGATGAATCCTGCGTGAGTGGAACCCGCGCCCTCCCGGGTATAGCACGTTCATGCCGGTATAATGTAATTATATAGCGCGCTGGTATACGATGTGTCACGCGATATCCCAATTTGCTCTCCCGGCTCCTGTAATACGCATTAAGAAGCATTAGCAAATTTAAAAATTGAAATTTCTACGAGTCATATGCGCATACATTACACATACTTGCTTTGCAAACTCTCTGCTAATACAAATACAATGTTATCATTTGATCAAGTATGTCAAGAGTGTTGAGTGTGAAGTAATATTATATATTTCTCCGATACTATTGCGAGACGTGCCAGTTATATTATCGATCATTTAATTTTTTTTTTCCTATTTTATCTCTTATATATCGTACTTGCAACGCAGTATTTTGTTATTCCATGTAGTATATAAAGTAATAATGGATTTAACAAGTAAAGTCATTTTTAATTTATGTAAAGCTTCAATATTTTACACAGGCAAGGAGGAATCTTCTTGAACTAAATAAAAAAAAAACATGAAACTACGATATATGAAATATTAAAGATATTTAGCAAGATAAAGTACATCTTAGTGAAATTTTACTAAGAGACAAATTGTCGGGGAGTTTGTCGCCGACAGATGAATCGTCGGCCAAATTGAAATTTACTCTAAATAAAAAAAGAACATTAAACTACAATATGAGATATCAGAGATGAAATATTAAAGATATTTAGCGAGATAAAATACATCTCGGCAAAATCTTGCTGAAAAAGGACAAATTGCCGAAATTACCCAAGAGACCTTCGTCGACAGACAACTCTCCGCAATCCAAACTAATTTATATCACGATCAACGCGGCGCTGTTTGTCGCCCGTTTGCAATCATAGCTGCGAATCTGCAGACCGTCGACTGCGCATATACTGCGTCTTCGCGGTTCGCCAATGCGTTTGCGCGACATCGATCTGCATTTCGCGGTCTTGCCTTCGCGAACTATGCCATGCCAGTTCAACGGGGGATGTTCCTCGGAGGACCCGTCGCGCTTATAATATGGAACATCGTTCTACCGTTCTCGATCGACGACGAGATCGGGGAACTCTCGAGGTGCGTTTAGACGGGCGCAACTTTTCCGCTATCGATTTCAGCTTTTATTTGCGTGCGTGAACGTATCACTTCTTGAGATTGCTCTACATTGCTAAAAATATGACAGCTAGTCGTGAATGTCAAGCAATATCAGCAGGCAGCATGAAAGTAATTTGTATTTCGCTTTGTTCCGGTACATTCATTTCAGAGATCTCGACTTCGCCTCAGAGAAGTCGTGATCCGACAGAATTCGTTAATCCGTAGGTAGCACAAATGCCTGAAAACACATCTTAGAGATATTTAGAAGACGTCTGAAACAAGCAACGTGTCTTCTCGACATTTATGCTCTGGGTTTATAGAATTTCATCTTATTTTTTCATAAAAAAATGCATTATATTAAAAAAAAAAAAGAAAAAATTTACGTAACCGTTCCCACTTACGTAACCGTATCGGTTGAACTTCTCCCTCACTAATCACCTGTCTAAACGTGTCCTTAGACGAGGAAACGATGCGCAGCCTCGCTCGCAGGCTACTAGTATGGTCTGCATTGGCGCTGTCCCTCCTGGTGGTCTGTCGTCTGCTGTTCGGTTACGATTTTCGCCAATCGTCGACACTTGTCCTTCACGACGAAGGTATCTCGATACCTGGTAACCACGCGAGTAACCCGCAGCAGGATGCACAGCCAGGACCACCCGCTTACTCGGCGGGCATGTACATGGCGGGTCGACGACCCCATAACGCGAGCGTCTGCAAGTGGTACCCCGGCCTGCCGGATGTCCTCTCCTACCCGCCGTCCAGGCTCACTTGGAGTCCCGAGATCGGCGAGAAGAGTCCCTACAGGTAGAACCATCCGCGAGCGGTCGGACGGAACACGTCTGTGTTTTTACGCCGGTATAATTAGCGCGTGCCGAGATCGGTAAATCGAGTATCGGCGAGTCGGCGAGTCGGTAAGCGAAAGGGAGGATGCGGCGTCGGAGTATCCTGAGCGTCCCTACCTGCAGGATCCTGCCGTTCGTGTTGCGCGGCGCCGAGACGACGGACAGGTTGCCCCAGGTCACGCTGTCCACGCACGCCACCGCCGATCAGGTTTACGGGATCGTGGAGTTGGCCAGACGGTGGGAAGGACCGCTCAGCCTGGCGGTGTTCGTGCCGGGCCTCGACGCCGGCCTCGCTGTCGCTCAGCTCGACCGGGCCTGTCGGTGTGAGCCTGCCATGTACAAGGTCTCTTCAACTTCCTCGTCATGATCGCGAGCCACACGCTCGTGTCGAACACGCAACGTTTCGATCTCCGAAGTTTTACGTTCATTCTCTCTTTCTCTCTTCCTCTCTTTCGTTTGTATATGCGCGATATAGGAGCTAACCGTGAATGTAACGCGTTCGCTTTTCGGGCCGCCTCTCACAACTGTAAATACGATTACCGTCACTGATTCACTACTGCTGCGCGAGCGGTGTTTCTACAAGTCAACGTTTTGTTAGGACACGTGAAACTTTTTAATTCAGTTATGTAAACGCAACATTTAGAGAGCGTGTTACATTCAAAATATAGATATGGCATTATAGATCTTTTACTTCGGCTTTCACATATTACTTGATAACGTTGAAATAATCTTTCGGACGTAGTGCGAAATCTTTCACGAGGCCAGACACACAGGTCTGGCCGAAATGAGCACGCTTGTTGAAAGCATGATAGACGCGGACACCGTTATATCGACATGCCCGCTTACGATTAGCATAACCGTTCCATTCGCACAGAGTTGATGCAAATAGTTTCGATTAAAACCAGATTAAGAAAACAGATTAAGAACACTTGACTATTTTCTATCTTTTTGTATGTGCGTGTGATATTTGAACGAATAGAAAACGAATAGAAACCGTAGGAATGTTAAGCGCAACAGCCGCCTATAATTTTCAATTAAATGACTTGCGTAACAGCATGCGTAACGATCACGCGGAATTTGACGGATTTGACGGTTTAACGACTGTACATTTAGGCTAACACAATACAAAGCATAACTACAAAAAGCTAAAGTCGGCGAGACGATGACATGAACGTAAACGATGCGATTTCCTAAATAGTAAGATAACGCCAAATGATTTTTTAATGATATCTTATTGATAAAAGTTCCTGGATATTCGCTATGGCTATCTTTCTTTGATGACGTCAGAAGCGAGAAAAATCATATCGATTTGTGTGACAGTATATATGAGAATAAAAGAATATATGCACAAAACAACACTCGTGATCGATTCAGCATACTTGTAAAAATGTCGCTTTCCTTTAACCGGACAATTAATAAGTAGCCGTAAAATAAACGTAACAGAAATCATGAAAAAAGTTAAAAATGTAAGTTGCATGTTACATTAACCCCTTAACGCACAGTTTTTTTGAAAAAAACCGGCCAAAAAATCAATTTTCTTTAATGTAAAAAAATTGTTTTTTTTGCTTTCACATTGTTATTTTCAATTCTCGATTATATTTGAATGTGAAAAATTATAGCAGCATAAAATACAATGCCGCTCGAATTATCTCGAGTGTGCACAGTTTGGCCTGTTTAGCGCGCTCGAATTAACTCGGCGTACAAGTTAAGGGGTTAATTTACGGTTTTATTAATTGTTACGTCATCAAAGATGTCATTTGACGTCACCTTGCTTAGGTTTGGGTTCTTATGAATTCCCGTTAAATACGGGATCCTCTGTGGAATGCTAATTTCTGCAGGCAAAATTTATATTCCGTACGTACCTTGAAACAGAGTTTCATTCTGGATAAAATAGTATAATATTTAGTATAATAAAAATATTCAGTCTGTTCATCAATATTTCGTCGATTTTGGCCTTTAATTAGTATTAGTCATTAAACGAGTATTACTGATAAGCAATTTTTATAAATTCCAATGAATTTTGAGTCCACTACGTACGGTGATGTATCGATTTATTTTTTCTGTTATGACTTTCTCGCATATGGCTCTACCTGATGTAACCGATCGTAGGTTTCCGTCCATCTGGTGTTTCCGGCCGGTCGACCACCCGCTGTGGGCGCGATCGGCCGTACCCAAGGTGATTGCGCCGCTTCTGATCTCCAATGGCGGCAGGCCGAAACTGAGAGAAGAAAGAGGAGCATGACCTATCCCATTAATGTCGCTCGAAATGTAGCGAGAACAGCTGCGAACACATCCCGCGTGTTAGTGTCGGACATCGAATTGTTACCAAGCGCACGGCTGGCTTCCGGCTTCATGGAGATGGTGCGCCAGAGACCGCCTAAGATCGGCGTGATCTTCGTGGTGCCTGTCTTTGAGGTAGAGTCCAGCGAACAGCCGCCAGCGACAAAGCTGGAACTCCTCGCCGCTTGTCGCGCCGGTCTGGCAGTATATTTTCATAGGTATATGATGTGCATGGTTTTCTCGTTCTTGTTGGTTTTTCTTCTTAGTTTCGTAGGATGGATAAGGCGTCCTAAATTCAGAATCGTTAATTATAGTTTCTCATGTTACAAGAAACGAATTCAAGTTTATCTACCATTATAAATATGAAATAAGAGAATGAGACCTCTTCCACAGGTTCCTCTGTCCGCATTGCCAGCGGTTTCCTGGACTAACCAGGTGGATGATCAGACCGGATCCGGGTAAGGTTCGGCCACTAATCATCACCAGAAGGGAGTATCCACATCACAGGTGGGAGCCGGTTTTCATTGGCACCCGCGAGGATCCGCTCTACACAGAGGAGATGTCTTGGGAAGGAAAACAAGACAAAATGGCTCAGGTATAGAAAATAACAGGTGTTCTCTTCAAGCATGCACAGAAAGAAAGATTTCTTTGGATTCAGTAAGATTTCTTTAATTGAAATAAATTTGTCTTTTGGAACGAAATAAACAAATAAATATTTGATTCAACAAACAAGATTGTTTGGCTTCTCAAACAATAAATATCTTTACGTTAAATAACATATTTCTTATATATTTTTATTCAAACATTACAATGGCTGTCAACGATGAATTATTTGAAAGAGAAGTAACGCTACATTTAAAAAATAGTAAAAAAACTCTTTATTCTATATTTCAGTGGAAGAATATTTAACATATATGATGAAATAAATATTTTTTATTGAAACCAAATATTATTTCCTCAAAATATATTGTTTTTTTCTATCAAACATACATAGAACATGGTTTATTCTAGTGAAACATTTTCATTCAAACAAAATAATATTTGATATTAAATTGTTATTAAGTTGTATTTATATTAATTTGATATTAAGTTGTTTATATTAAACAAACCCAAGTCAAACAAACGCGAACTAAATGCAAAGAAACTTTTTCTCTGTGTACAAATCTGACGAAATGTAAAGATTTATAAATAAAATACAAATAGATTTTTAGACGAGTATCGAGAGCTCTCTATTTGATTTCAGCAATTTTATGTCCGCAGATGTTCGAGATGTGTCTTCTGAATTTTCGGCTAGTCGTGCTCGATGGTGCCTTTTTAGTGCATACGCCGGGGATCAAGCGAAAAGCGCGCAAAATCAGCGTGGCTATACAGGAATTTTTCCGGTCGCACGAGAGAAGAAACGCGAGGATTTATCAACACGTGATAAAGCGTTTAATCAAGCAGTATCCGATTAACCGTAGGTGCTCGCAGTGAGATTAGAAAACAGCGATGCATAATTCTTACCTAACCACCTACTTATCTACCTACTTAATCGAAGAACCGCTTAGACACGCACGGTGCCTGGTATCAGCGTGATATCGATGATAGGAAAATATTTTTCGGCGACGTCGAGTTTATTAGACCTAGAAGAGAAAAGATGCGAACTAATATTATATATAGAATTGTTTTTTCACAGCGGAAATAAAAGTTTTTACACGGAACACCAGCTGCTGCAAAGTTCTTCCCCACGTGATTAGTAATGATCGAATGTAAATAAAAAAAGGACATAAGTGAATATAACTCTGGCATTAAAAAATTTTTTCGTGCAAATATGCAAAATTAAGCTGACCAATAGAAAGGCTATGATCTTAAAACAGACGTGTCAAGGTGAATTGCTAATGGTTGCTGCCGTTTCAACGGACATAAACCGACGGTGGCGCCTGCAGTCTAGAGCGCTAGAGTATCTAGATTCGAAGAGAAACGGACGAGTGACCGCCATTTTTGTAATTCGACCGCAAATACACGATAATTTCACGGCAAACTATCGGAAAATGTTTGCTCAGAGATGATAGTGTGATAGCGACGAACGTCGACGAGCGAGAATAAACAGAACCCGACGCCGTGAAATCGGATCAATGCGGTCGGTTGCTTTACAGATCCAGCGACTCTACGTGGTTACACTCGATATCACCGGCAACCACAAAACAATTTTTTCTCCCAATTCCCGTCCTTACAGGAGTACGTGTATCAGCTCGTGCGATACATCTTACGAGAAGTACATACACATCAGAGAATGAAGCTGATACATCGAGACAGATAAATAAAGTTAAGGAAGGAAACTCATTGCCGATTCCATGGAGACGCATAGAAAACAATATAAGTAAGAAGGGCACACACATAGCAAGGGCAAGAGAGAGAGAGAGAGTGGGAGGAGGGGGGAGAGGGGACGTAGGAACTCCCACTGCGCTGACGAGATCGGGCACGATCGGATACGCTCGTTGGTTTTGCCGGGCGTACTTTTTGCCGGAACGTCGAAACGCGCTTGAGCAATCGTTCATTAACGGAGGTATTCTCGTGGTTTAACGACGTCGCCGGTGTCAGACAGTCGAGCGAACGGTATGATCACGCGGCCAATAGGCTCGTTATTTCGATCGCATGACAACTCATCCTCGTGGTGGTGGTCACGGTGGTAGTAGTGTCGACCAACGGCCGCGCCAGTGACGAGTTTAATCTTTATCGACGATCTCTCGGCCGTCGGCGGTGACGAATACCGTGGAAGGCATTCGGCGTTGACCGGCGACCGCGCGGTCCTTCTCGCGCCCTTATCAGCGGGTGTTGGTGCTTCATCGTTTCGCGACGACGATACGACGGCGCGTGCTGCAAAGCGCGCCACACCACTACTACTACTATTATTACTCATTGTCACAGGCGCAGCCCGTAACGCGACCGCGCGCGTTCCGCATTCTGGTCCGTCCGGTGGCGTGTTGCAGATCGCGCGGTACATGACGAGGTGGCTCCGGGTAAGTGTGCTCCTCGCCGTTCACGCGATCCTCCCGACGCGAGAGGATCTTTCTCTCGTTTCGATGCGCGTTTATTCTTGCGACAGTGTTTCCTCCTTCCTACCGTGAATTTGATACCGAGTATGTCTGTATTTAGCAAATGGTGATAAGTAAGACAGATAAAACAATGATTCATTGTTCATTGAACTTCCATTTGATTTCTCTTCAATATGATTTCTTATCGTTTTTATATGAATATGCATGTTTGCGCAATGATAATTGGTCTATAACAGAATGATGAAGTATATTGAGCGTGTTATTTGCAATTCGGTTTAGTATTTGTAATATATTCGGATTCTCGTATAGAAAGGAACGATTAACTTGTTTTCGTCGTTTATTTACAGGACGCGAAAAAATGAATATCCTGAATAATGTATCCGCGGCCTTCTGGTCACCAGATATTTGGTTGCCGCCTAATATTACGTGGCAGGATATCAATCCAAATGCAGACAATAAGTTTACTAATTTTCAGCACCTGATATATCCCCTGCCGATGGCATTTATTCTTCTAGGAATAAGATATGCTCTGGAAAGGTAAGTCTGTCAAAGTTGCAATTTTCTCCCGCAATCTGTATTCCTTGTCTCCAAGTGTTATTTCCACTTTTAGGGCATTGGGTATATATTATATATTGCTACTAATAAGTTTGTGAATGTAGATAAATGGATAATAAAGTATCTGTTGCAAACAAGGAAAAATTTGATTAAAGGAAAAGACTGATGTAGTATATAATCCGCATAATTTTGTAAATAGGTATTGGTTTGCTCCCTTTGGGAAATCGCTCGGTATAAAAAATACAAGGAGCAAAAAGGCAGTACCCAATGAAATATTAGAAAAGGCATATCTTAGTAAGAGAACTAAACATAAGCAAGTGAGTAATTTATTTTATGAGGAAACTTTGTATATTTATATTCATTTTACATAATACTGATCAATATTAATGAACAAACTTTAATCTTACAACTATATGACCAGTATTAATCACTACATGTTAATTATACTATGTATATTGTCTATATATTATCATTTTGTAACTTACAAATGTGTCTTAAGATTTTGGGGTTGGCTAAGCAGTTAGATTGGACAGAAAGGCAAGTGGAAAGATGGCTTCGACTACGTCGTTCTCAGGACAGGCCATCTACTCTTACAAAATTCTGTGAAAACAGGTTGGTTTTATCCTAACTTACTATATCGTAGTATATGAAGAATATATATACATATAATACCGTATCATCTTTCAGTTGGAGATGTGTATATTATATATATTCATTTTTATATGGCCTTATTGTCTTGTGGGATAAGCCGTGGCTTTGGGATATAAAACATTGCTACTATAATTATCCTTATCACCCTATTACTAATGACATATGGTGGTATTACATGGTATCAATGGCACTTTATTGGTCATTGAGTTTTTCTCAATTCTTTGACGTAAAAAGGAAAGATTTCTGGCAAATGTTCATTCATCATATAGCTACTATTACACTTATGTGTTTCTCATGGATTGGTAACCTAACAAGGATTGGCTCTCTGGTGTTATTAGTACATGACTGTGCAGATATATTCTTGGAGGTAAAATTTTGAAGAAAAAGATGCTTTTGACGATATTTTGCGTATTCCGTTTTATATACACATTTATTTTGTAGGCAGCGAAAATGGCAAAATATGCAAATTATCAGAAATTATGTGATTTCATATTTGCTATTTTTACAATTCTATGGATTGTGACACGTATGGGTATATTTCCATTTTGGATAATTTATAGGTATGTGCTTTAATGTTGTTTCGTCGTCCCTATGCAGACTGTTGATTTTTAAATGTGAATTTTACTAATATGGATTTTATTATGTATTGCAGCACAACTATAGAGGCGCCCAAAATAGTGCCGATGTTCCCTGCGTATTATATTTTTAATTCTCTATTATTTTTACTACTGTTTCTCCACGCGATTTGGACTTATTTAATCCTTAAGATCGCATATAACGCTTTCAATGCTGGTCAGGTATGTGCTGCTGATTTATACAAATTGTCGCGTGCACGTTCGTTGAGACATTTTTTTCAATGTTAACAAATAAATACACCTGTATATATATGCTCTAATCTTTTTTTTGTGGAAAAAATATTACAGATGGAAGGTGATATTCGCAGTAATAGCAGCGACGAAGTTTCCGACACTTCGGTCAATAATACTCCTATAAACAGTACCGCAAATTACACTAATAAATCGAATTCAAGACCAAAAGTCCACTAACAAAAAGCATGCTAGACGAGTTATTATAGAAACTACATTTCGAGGCAGAAAATTGATCCAGATATTTTAGTCAGGTGCTAATCTCTATCTTCCTACAAATATAATACAAGTGTAATAAAGCTTTCAATACGTTTTAATCTTGTAATTCAAAATGCTAACATTAACACACACCTATCTTTAATCTCGCAAAATTAAAACGTATTAAATCTTCCACTTCCCTTTCGGTAGTATTCTTTGAAGACAGTTTGATGCTTTTTGTCACAATTGTCTTGTCTGCAATTCTGTCAATTGTGCATTTTTGTTATAAGTATTACACATAGGGATACAACGAAAATCAGTAGAGCAATCCTTATTATCTGTATCACTTATTTATATCTAATTTAAGTATTAATGTAAGTCTACACTTTAAATGACTTCTTAATGCTTAGTTAAGCTAAGTATGGACCAAAGCTGCAAGATACAGTGTTTGAACTTCGTCGACCGTTTCAAATTCCTTAATATTGTGTACTTTGAAAAAAAAATGTATTTATTTATTTTCATATACTTTTATGTGATCGTGTCATTCAGTAATTGAAAGAATGATAAATAAGAGATACAATAATAAATTTCTTCTAATTAATCGCTTAACACACTTTTTCTTTCTTTTTCTTGCACTAACTTATTCTATCTGAAAAGGATCTCTCTTATGCGGATTAAGATCAATAAAATATAGTTATGCACTAGAGCATAACACAAACTGCGACAAAAATTATTTAGTTTAAAATGAATATGCGTTGCAATGTGTATACCACGGCATTTATGTCTTTTAGGACGTTATAAGAAGCAACTTCTACATTAAAAGTTATGGCGCACAAACAGAATAGTGTATAAAGTTTTTAGATGTAAAATCGAAAATTAAAAGTGGACTAATAAGACAAAAAGCCTGAAATACAGTATTCGTGTTATAAACTGCATTAATTGCAGTATCATATTGTAATATACGAAGGTATATTAACGAATGTTTTGTTTCCGTTTGAATTATCACTAGTGCTTATATATAAAAATATAAGACTATAGTCGCAAATATAAATGTTTAACTTCGAGGAAAAATGAAGGAAATTATAAAAATTGTATGTTTTACTGAAGTTAGCAAATAATAAGTCACAAATGTATTCATTTACGAATTCCCACGGCAAATTATTGTCAGAATCTCAGGAGTTTGCCAAGAATCCCCCCTATGTTCCACAAGGTTTGGCTAGGACGTATAAGATGGAGAGTTAACAAGTAATCACTTGGTTTTATCTATCTACAATAAGCCAAATGGTCTTCATATCGCAACAAATACACATCATAGAATCAACTAAGAAGACTTACTCATAAGAATTTTAATGCTTAAACACAGTCTCGTATTAGATATGTAGACTTCATAAAAAACTACAGGGAACGAAAACTTCTAATTGTGACATATAATTAGATAAGGATAAGAAATAAGGCATATTATTTGTTCTTAATTTCTAAGAGGATAGCACAGTCTATAGATGATGATAAATAATATAAATATATAATTTTGAAAGTTACTTTTATTTTTTTTTTTGTTAATACTTGTTATTTTTGTTATAATTATAGCGTCTTTGATATTGCAATTAACGTAATTTTAGCGCAAATACATCAACGTTTCGGGTTCTTACTAGTTTGCTTTTACTTTTCAATTATGGTACACGAGCCGCTGTTCATGCTATGAATTGGCAAAATCGTATGAAAACATTGCAACTGTAATAAAATATATAATAACAAATTTCTCTCTATAATATTATACGGAAGGTTGATATTCGACTTGGTTGTGTTACGAAATGCTCGTATACCATGACTCTTATCAACGAATAATTACATAAATGCGTTGTACTGTTCTTTTGTGTGTGTAACTTTACGTGTCATCGGTACAATTTTAATTCTTATATAACATGATTGCGTCCACCTGTACCTCTAATAAAATTTCCTTGTTGATTCTTGGATTTCTTTGTTTTATATCTTTACCGGTTCCTTTTAGAATGTAAGAAATTTTCATCGACTGTGGAGGCTGAGGCGTAATTATGCCTAAGCTCGTTTTAAAACATCCGCCATTAGTACAAGATTTCATTCGGCAGAGTTATATAACGGCCGCTGGAATTTTAGATTTTCTCGCCTTCTTTCGGCACTTATTCAAAATGTAAAATAAGCAAATATTTATTGTTCTAATAACACTAGAAGATCTTAGATGCGTAATAATTTACTCACATAATTATATTGCTAACGTCTTTTTTGCGATTGCCAGCCCTGAACTTTCTTTAGGGATAAAAACATGGCGGTAACATACTGTATCATAGGTTAGGCTTAAAAACTCGTCACACTTGTGACGTATGTTATTATCGGGCTGTAATTATGCAAACGATCTAACAGCATGATGATTCGTCATGTCCGTGGTTACATATATCGAGTCGCACTCTATTTCTTCTCTTCGGGTTCTAAGGTAGGGATGAAAGTGCATCGTGGTACATCGTCGTCGAAGGGGGGATCACCTTGACATGTCATTCAAATTTTAGCCGGCCTATTGCTTCGATTACGTTTAATTACGCATTGAATCGCGTGTTATTTAACTCATTTGTGCCTCGTGATTTCAGAAACATGGGAGGAAAGTGGTCCAGCATGGATCCCTCGCAAATCGAGGTTCCTGAAATAAAAACTCTTTTGGATAGGGATCCCTACTTAAAACCATATGAAACTGATATTCGTCGAAGGTGCTGTATATTAATCTTATTTATAATGATTTATACAAGTTCTTTTTATTTATATACATTCTTGATATTTTATATATATAACTTCTATTCGTATTATATAATCAAAATAATTCTTCAATGTTTACATTTTGGAAAAAACTATGTGCAATACTAATGATATTTAAATACAATGATATTTCCACTTTTAGATATGCTTTATTTAAAGATTACACCGAGAAAATTGAGGCAGGAGACACAGATTTAAAGCAATTTACGATGGCGTACAAAAACTTTGGAATTCATATTCTGGATGATAATAGTATTATTGCGCAGGAGTGGGCACCTGCTGCACAAGAAGTATTTCTGACTGGAGATTTCAGTAAGATTATTCATACATAGTTATGATAATACTTGACTTGATATCATGTTAGAACTATTTTTAACTGATATAATTTTTATAAAGATTTAAGTAAAAAGATTTTGTAAAAATTATTGTAAAGATAATTGGAATAGAACTTCCACACCATATAAAAAATTGGAGTATGGCAAATGGGAACTGCGCTTGCCTCCAAACGCAGACGGTAGTTGTCCTATAAAACATCTTTCTGAAGTAAAAATTATCATCAAAGATTATAATAATGAGTTACTTGAAAGACTGAGTCCATGGGCAACTTATGTAATACAGCCAGCAGACAAATCTGAGGGCACTACTTATAAGCAACGTATATGGCATCCATCTCCAGAGAAGGTATTAAATAATTATCGTTAGAAATGCTATATGTACATTTAGCCAAGTAATATAGAACCAAGAGATGTAACAACACATTTGTCTCTTTTCTTTTCTCAGGTGTATAAATTCAAACATCCCAAACCAAAGAGACCAGATGGTCTGAGAATTTATGAATGTCATGTCGGAATCGCTACCCAAGAGTTGCGAGTTGGCACTTATTTGGAATTTGCGAAAGATATAATACCAAGAATCGTTAAACAGGGATACAATGCAATACAGTTGATGGCGATCATGGAACACGCTTATTACGCTAGTTTCGGATATCAGGTGCACACTTGCATCTTATACGTACATTAAATTTCGAAGTAATTGTATGAATATGTATAAAATCAGTTCTACAATGTCCCATTCAAATTAACAATAGGTGACTTCCTTTTACGCGGCCTCGTCTCGTTATGGAACTCCTGAAGAATTGAAGGAGCTGGTGGATGTGGCACATCAACACGGTCTCTATGTGCTGCTAGATGTGGTTCATTCGCACGCGTCTAAGAACACCTTGGACGGGTTGAATATGTTCGACGGTACAGATGCGTGTTTCTTCCATAGCGGCAGCCGTGGCGACCATCCGCTGTGGGATAGCAGATTGTTCAATTATGGCGAGTACGAGGTACTCCGATTCTTGTTATCCAACCTGCGTTGGTACATTGAGGAGTATGGCTTTGATGGGTTCAGGTATCTTGTCATTAATCTATTGTAATATAGATTTGGTGCTGTGAAAAAAGAATTTAGAATGTATCTGCATATATGGGTAACTTTGATTCAAACAGCTTGAACATTTGGCAGATTCGATGGCGTTACCTCGATGTTGTATCATTCGAGAGGTTTTGGACAAGGTTTCAGTGGTCATTATGACGAATATTACGGTCTGAATGTTGATATGGAGGGTGTGGTATATTTGATGATTGCTAATCAGATGTTACACGACATATATCCCGAGATGATCACAATAGCCGAAGACGTCAGTGGAATGCCAGGTGTTTGCAGGTATAAAACATACATACTAATAAATATTAATGCGAAGAGAAAAATCTTAATGTGTATGAGAGCAATAATTTTTTTCATACAAAATAATTGTGATATTTTTCTTTTCAAGGCCAGTTGCTGAAGGTGGCATGGGATTTGACTATCGATTAGCTATGGCTATTCCCGATAAATGGATTAAGTTGTTAAAAGAGGTGAAAGATGAAGATTGGGAAATTGGGGATATTTGTTGGACATTATCCAATCGGAGATGGATGGAGAAAGCGGTTGCTTATTCCGAATCTCACGATCAAGCTCTCGTAGGCGACAAAACAATCGCTTTTTGGCTCATGGATAAGGAGATGTATACACACATGAGTGTTGTAACTTCACGTAGCGACGTCATTTCGCGTGGTATTGCTCTTCATAATCTAATCACACTGATCACACATGCTTTGGGTGGCGAAGCTTATCTAAACTTTATGGGTGAGTAATGCGCTCATATTTAACCTCTTATGTAAAATATTCTATTTTAAAATAAGATAAAATTTACGGTGGAAGACAAGTAATAACGATTTTAGAACAGGTTAATATATGGATATGTATGTTGTGCAGGCAATGAATTCGGCCATCCCGAATGGCTCGACTTTCCAAGGATTGGAAACGGGAACAGTTACCACTATGCGAGACGTCAGTGGAACTTAGTGGACGATGAATTACTCAAATACAGATACATGAACAATTGGGATCGCGCTGTAAACACGCTCGAAGAAAAATACGGATGGCTGCATGCTAATCCTGTAAAAAACAGCTCTTTTTATTTCTACGTTTACCGTTTCATATTTACTAGAACTATAAGAAACTCCGCGTTGAATAATTAAGGTAATTTAAGTGATAAAGAATGAGCCTGGAACTGCAACTTGCAGGGCTATGTGAGTTGGAAACATGAAGATGACAAGGTGATTGTCTTCGATCGAGCTGACCTCGTATTTGTCTTCAACTTTCATCCGAACAAATCGTTTGCCGATTATCCAGTTGGCATAAAAAATCCAGGATCCTATAAAATCGTCTTATGCAGCGACGATGAACAATTTGGGGGAGAAAATCGAGTAGATGCGAATGTGCGGCATTTCACGCAGCCAGAATCGTTTTCTGCGTATCCACACAAAACGATGGTTTACATTCCGTGCCGCACGGCCATAGTTTACGCACAAGCTGGTAATATACATAAATATAACGTTCCACACGTTAACATATTACTAGAAAAATTTCAATATTTTAATAATACTGATTAAATTACTTTCCAGATTCATAAACTTCTGAATTGTGAGTGGAAACTGTCTAGAGATTATTAAAGGGTAATGAGATCACATTTATTAGAGATATTATTTTTGTAGAGAATGTAATTCAGAGGTTCTTTTTTACGAGAAGATAAGTGATAAATCTTGAAATTAGCTACAATAATTGTATTTTTACATAAAAACAATTGTGTTTCATTTACATTTGATTAATGGACACTGTTTAACTTCTTTTTCACAGAATTTGTCACTTTTCTTCTTCATACCTAAACTCCACTGAATTATAATATTTTTGACAAACACTATATAAAAAAAAATATATATATATATATATTTTTAACAAACACTATATAAAAAAAAATATATATATATTTCTATATATATAATTTTTATACATTATATAAAAAAAAATATATATATATATATTTCTATATATATAATTTTCTTACAAATTTTATGGAGTTAATATATTTTATAAATATGATAGAAAGAGAATGTTCCTCAATTTGTATAACTTTAATAATGTCTTAATATTTACAAACATACCTGTTTTACAATAAAATTTTGTTAACGTTGTTAACAAAATTAACAATATCAAAGATAGTTTTTATGTACACAACAGCATTTCTGTACCCGTTATTAATTTATAAATATATATATATTTGTTATGCAGAACTCCTTACAAGAAGTTACATTTACTTTTTTTTCTATGAGATTACATAAATAACAAGGAAAGGTTTTTATTGGAGAATCGCATGTATATCCATACATACAATACTGATAATGGGAATCTGTAACACTATTTAGGCAATATTTGTATATTATTCTGTCAAACTATTAAATTCAATTTCATTTACATCATAGTCTTTCATTTTGTTGTCTAATATCCACCACTTGTCTAAAAAACCTACATCTATTATTCTTTCGTAAAAAGTTATGTAACGTGGTTTGAGGTATGGACACACAGCTTTGTAAGAGGAACAGTCTTCATCATAATTATCTATCCAGATCAAGGATAAGATACCCAAACTTAATCTCCTGATGATTCCTTCATTGTAGTACTGCTGCAACCGTTCTATATGCTCCACAGCAACAGGATTGCGTATGGGTGTTCCCAGCAGTGTTAATTTTAAATTGTACTTTATCATGGTATCTCTGAACGAAATTTCATCTGGATTGTGTATAGCAGAATATAAGTTAGCTCCTAAAACTGTCACCACATGATTATTTTTCATATAACAAGTAATTCGTAATATTTATTTAAAAAGCGGTATAAAATGGAAATATATAGAAAAAGTAATACATGTAGTGTATATCGTGGTACGTATAGGATGCTTTCTGCAATCTTTGGCTACATCAATTGCTACATCTTTATAATCTATATAGAGGTTGTGCCAATATTTTGCTGAAAAACAATAAAAATGTCTAATATAACAATATTATAATTTCAACAGTATTTACTATTTTAATTTACCCCAACGTTCGAGAAAGGTTCCTTTAATCCTTCCGGGCATCTCATAATTTTTTATTTTGATGCTAATTCTGTTAAGTGTATCTGTAGGGATCCTAAGAGCTGTCCTAAGCTTATGAGCCATCTGAACCATTTGTTGGGAACTCATATTTTAATAGAGATTTTGACTGAAATCAATTTTACTAAATTTAAATATAACTATTATTATGTTTTATTATTTAAATCATATATTGGAAGACATTTAGAATACAGATGTTATCAAGTTTTTAAGTCTCAACAAAAATATACTTGCTCCGTATATATATTTGTCGATAAAAGTAAGATTAAAAAAATGATTAAAGTGTTTAAAAAATCATGTAAAATATATAACTATTGATAAAAATTGTTTCAAGCTACTGTAACTTAAACTATAATACCATTACTGTTAGTGTGTTTTCATGCAAAAGATATGTATGTTTAACTTAGTTTATGTAAATAATAATTTTTTATTTGAATTTTCTATTATAGCATTATCACTGTGATTCAACATATCAATATATTAGGTTGTATAAATGCCTTAACGTTTTAACTAGGATTATTTGTACAAATTTCAATTTTACATATTTAGTCTGCAGGATAAGGATACTAAGTTGAAAATCGTGAAAAAACTTTAAAAAATTTATTTATGAAACCTAAAAGGCATTTATGAAACCTAATACTACTAGACTTAACCTGCAAAACATCAATTTCAAAGATTGAAAGTCCTGTTATTATGACAAACAATAATGTTAAAAAATTTAAATCTTGTTTTACATACCAAAAGGCGTGAAATAAGTACACTCTCACTGAAATTCAAGATGGTTCATATTTTGTATATTTACTCATTGAATTATGTACTATACAGGAATATGCACATGCTTGTTCGTCTCTCATTAAAAAATCTAGTAAATTGCATAGATTTGTTCATTTTAGTTGCACTAAAATTGCATTGGGAAATGGAGCAGAAATAAGATTCGCGGATCTAGTTTACAACAATCTTATCTTATTAAACTTTCATTTTTTTCACCAGTCAACTTATTTATTTGCGCGGAGAGATCTTTTGCGACTTTCAAACTATTTATATGAAGTTAAATTTAATAACAATATAATTTTTACATCTCCTGAAACTGTAGTCAATCTTCACGAGTGCCACCTCGAGATATTAGAGCAATCACGGCTGTGTTCCATTTTTACAACCAATAGTGCAAGTAATATGACGTCATAACAGTCTACTTTTGCAGCCGTTCCGAAATTACTTCGCTATCGAGCAGCGTTCATTTAATTCTAGAAGCAGAAATATAAAAAGTCTCACGTAAACTCGACGACTTTAGCGATCATGTAACTTTTCGAATTACGGAAATATTGACATAACGAGACTTTTGATATAAAATTTTTCACATTTCCGCTCATAGGGAAAAGTGGAACCAGATACATTATATAGAACTAGATCTGTCGCAGTGCACTGCAGAGCTGCGTTCCAATACCTTACTCGATAAGCAGAATAGTATTTAATTAACCAATCATGATCATGAAGAAATTTTCTCTTTCTGATTGGTCAATTAAATGCTATTCGTCAATAGGGTTTTAGAACGCAGCCCTGCCGGCTAACAATAGAATTTGGCAGTGGCAATTTTGGCGATAATTCAAGCCAGAAACATATGGTCTGTTCTTTTTAGCTATATTGTCTGCACTAGTTCAAGAAATTTATGCACATTAAACATGAAAATTTCGTACGGACGTTTTCATACGCTTTGATGTGTATGTAAATTTTTTAACACGTTGCTACCAGCATCACATATGTGTGTGACATACCGATTTCTATTGAGAGTCTAGTGTCACACATGTGTGATGATCAATTTTTATTCATTCATTTCTTAAACAAACGAAGTCTATTCTGAATTTGACAAATATGCTTGAAGACAGTCAAAGGTTTAATTAGCAAGCATGGTCTGAGGTTATATTACGATTTTTTTAACAAATTTATTAAAACGAATTATTAGCTTGTCTCCCAGTATATATTTCATATTACTATTTTTTACTATATAGTTTACCTATTGTAGACTGACACTTATCCTTTTCTTTATCAAAGGTCTGTTCGTATTCGCTGCACCGTTTAACTAGTGCAATAAGTTGAAGTGAGAAAACATATACTTGTCTCACTTCAACTTATTGCACTAGTTCAGCGGTGCAGCGAAAACGAACAGACTCCAAATGTAAAATAAGGACAAATAATGATATAACCAGATTCGTGTCGACTTGTGTTTCATGCTGAAAAGCAACTACAGATTTCAACAGGCTATAACTTCTGTAAAAATAATGACAGTTAAATTGTTCAATAAACATTTTAGGCCGGTATTCATAGTCGGGTCTTATATATAAAACCGTCTCAAATCTATCTTCAGATGCTGTACGATTCATTTCATTGATTACAAAACATCAGAAGATTAATTTAAGACAGTCTTAAATATAAAATTTGACTATGAACACCGGCTTTGAAGTTCTATTATCATTTTTATGGAAATTAAATGCCCGTATATTGAACTCTCTTTTATCAGTAAAAGTGCCACTAAAAGTGGCTTAAGAACCGTCTGATTGGCTGAGGTGTCGCATTCCGAATACTTTTATCGATAAAAGAGAGTTCAGAATACGGGGCATAGCCTGTTGAAATCTGCGTACGTTTTAGAACTTGACGGAGCTTGCATCGGGTCAAAGGCTGAACCGAGTGCTCAACGACGCGCCAATGCGGATGCGTCGGAAGCGTTAGAGCGAACCGCTGGTCGCGCGACGCCGCGTAGCGCCCCGCCGGTAATACCTGCGTCTGGTCCGAGAGCGATATCCACTACGCCACTTCCGCTAACTCGCTGCTTGAGCAAAATGGACGCCTTTGTGTCTGTTTTCTTCGCATTCCCACTATAAGTACGGTTTACGGGGCGACGTAGCGTCTACGACGCGGCGATGTTTGCGCGACGCCGCGGTAAATGTGCGTGAGGGCAGTGTCGTGATAAAGAGTCGTGCCCGAGGCCAGTCGTGACCGACGTGGAAACGCGTCCAACCAAGTAGGCCACCGTGTAGCCCCGCGGATGACAATTGAGCGAGCATCGCCCGGACGACGGTGTATTCGCGGTGAGTCCCGCGGCGAGGAGCCGCCGCGCCAGCCGCCACGCCATCCTTGAGGATCTGCCGGCAGCGAGGGGCGACGCGGGGCCGCGAAACGCGCCCGGGCCTCCCGCCAAAACGCGGACAGCAACGGAACGGCGGTCGGCCAACGTAAATAGTACGGGTAAGCGAGTGGCCACGGGGCCGTCGCGATGCGCCGCGTCACGTTGCTCCGCTGTTCCAGCCAGAGACGTAGACACGGCGTTTCTCCGCGCAAGTGACGTATTCTCTCTTGCTCACCAGTGCTCGTGGCGTTCGTGGCCCGGAGGAGGATCTCGCGAGCACCCCCTCTCCTTCTCGCTGCAGCTGCACCTGGTCCCCACAGACGATACAGTGTCGCGCGACGTATAACGCTGGATGGTTCGCGTTAATGCAGAAAAGGTAAATAGGTGCTGTGCTGTGTGCTCTGGTGACCGGTTGAGATCCGTATCTTGGAGGTGGCGGGCACAACCAAGGATCACTGTGTGTTTTTCTCCAGCCTATCACTGTGTTGTTGAAATCACTTCTGTTCGGTTATATGTGTGTTGTAACAGCTGATTATGCTGTATTTGTGCGCAGAGAATGGCTACTTCACACAAATATATAGGTTTTACAATGAGAGCTAAATGAATTTTGTTCGTTGAAGAGTCATTTTTTTTTCAATGTTGTGTTGTGCTTTGCATGTATTGATAACACTTGAAAAAGCTGTGTCAGTACTATATATGAGTCATTTATGAGTGTTTTATGGGAAAGCTTACAATATTTGTTATTATTGTTTACTTTTGAGTTTAACTGATGAAAAATAATAGAGAATATAATAATAATGTATAGTGCCAGAGTTTACATATAGTAATACAAACTAGATGCACATATTATTGCATTGTAACAGATTTAAGCTAATTTTTAATTTTTGCTCTTCTCATACTTATCTCTCCATTAATATTTTTTTTAATCCCTGATGAGTACTACTTTTTAATTTTATTTTCTTTTTTGAAAAAAAAAAAACCTGAGCATTTTATTTACATTAGAATGTATGAAAAAGATGTTTGTAAAGTAACATTCTATATACGGTATTTTATTTGCAGGAAGACAAAGTGTTAATAAACATGGATCATTTATTGGAGGACCCACGAGCTTCATCGAAATTCGGTTGAAACTCCTATGGTGCAACATGGGAACTTAAAAAGGACTTTGTGAAGTTCCCAATAATTGCCTTAGGGCTAGTGTTTCTTCAAAGAGGAATAGAAATTATTCCGTTCAACGGTGAAACATTTGTGTCGGTATGTCCTGAGATGCGTAGTGACAAAATTTTAACGATGATTTATTTAGACGTTTGTGTAATCAGTGCATTAAGACACGTACTATTGATTTATATTTACTGCATATCATGAACAAGTATTTGTAGCATGCCTGTGCAGTGCTCAGCGCATCGTACTGTCCCACGAGCCCCAGGCGACACTTAGGAACGCTAAAATTGATTTGGTTTCCTCCTCTTTTGTCCAGGCTGTAATGCCAGAACAAATCAAACTCAAAATGAATGGGGTTGTACCGAGTGTGCCAATAACTACCCTCGCTGGTATTGCGAGTCTCACCGACTTGTTACCTGAAATGCCCCTACCGACTCCGCTGCCACAGACTCTGACTAACAAGTCCTTGCTGTTTCATCCACGAGTGGCCGAGGAGGCGCGAATATTGCTGAGCGTTCGCGACGAGAATCTCGTGCCGCAGTTGATTCTGTCTCTGTCGCAGACCTCGGCGGATCACATCGAACTCAAGGACAATTACGCGAGTGCGGAACAATCGCTGGAGACCGAGCAGGACACGCCCGAGCTGCTGAAAGCGATCTTACAGATAAATCCACATGTATTCAAGGGACCGCAGCACAACTCACCGAGAAACTGGACGCAGGGTACGCCTATGCTGCACGCGAATCAGTCGCCGGCGAACTATGGCCGTTTCTCGCCGTCCTATTCGAGCTCTTCAGGGTCCAGGCAAACGCCGCAAGGTAGTCCGGCTCATTCTGCGGCCGCCAGGACTGTACTTCCGCCGCCAGTGGCGGCCACCGGCATCTCCCATGCGCAACATCCGCGGATGCCGATCACGCCGCAGAATCACGCGGACATCTCGCAGATGTCCCCGTTCGCTGTGCCTTCTCCGTCGCCCCGAGGAAACGTGATGACCGAACAAACGAGAACGCTGACGACGCCCCAACATATGCAGGAGGACGCGAACTGCATAAATCCCATGTCCAACGTAGCCCTTCAGCCGAACATGTACTCACCGGCCCACATAAGTCCTCCGAATGCGCCTTTGACGTCACTCGGCAACGTGACGCCGCAGCATCATAACATGGCTGGTATGACGCCGCAGCACAACATGCACATGGCGTCTCCCATGCACACGAACATGCCGCTGCATCCGGCCATGGGGATGCAGCAGAATCTGTACGATCCGATGATGAATCAGCAGGTGCATCACGCGTTGGGCAGCGGCCAGCCGCTGGATATCGACAGCGCGGTGCAGGAGAATCAGCAGTTCCTTCTCGACCCGGTGACCGGTCTTCCCGACATCGATCTGTCGATCGAGAATATCGACGCGAGGCAAAGCGTGGATCACCATGCGGTGCAACACATATTGCCGACTCCGCCGACCACGTCTTATCCGAATATCCACGCCGCCGACATAGTCAACGCTTTAGACTCCGCAGCGAACGGGTCGTCCAGCATGCAGCATCAGCAGAACAACAATTCGGAGAAGGGTATGAAAGTGCCGTTGACGGAAAAGCTGAAGGAGCCGGTCGTGATGTTGAACAGAATATCGTTGGCGGACCAGGCGCTCATGCAGAAGAGCCTGACGGCGTTCGCGGAGAAGTCGCCGAGTCGCGCGGCGAAGATGGGGATCTCGAACCGCGACGACGCCAAGACCGACTCGGAGAGCGAGGAGGAGATAGGTAAGAACAACAAGTACTTCAAGGCGCGCGCCAAGGAGCGGCAGGTGCAACGGGAGAAGGAGCGGGCGGAACGGAGGAAGAGCGAGGACAAGCGGAGGCGGAAAAGGATAACGGACGAGGACGAGGAGGACGAGAAGCGGGACGCGGCGTTCTCGCCTACGAAACCAAAAATACGCAAGATCGAGAAGAAGCTAGTGCCTGTGTTAGCGAAATTGAGCGTGGAGGAGCTGATGGAGACCAATATGTACCAGCGATTTAACTCCACCATAGAGACCATCTTCGAGAACACCGAGGACGCCATGGCGAACGCCGATACGGAGGATGACGGCGACGTGCCCCCGGAAATGCTCATTCCCAAGTATCAGCTGCACGACCTTTGTACAGAAGCGGCGAAACTCAAGACCCTCGGCGCCATGGAGTCCATACCCACGGACAAACTGGTGAGACTGTTGAACATCTTGGAGAAGAACATACGGGACGGCGCGAGGGTGTCGCCGCTCGTAGACCCGGACGACGACGTCGAGGAAGGTCGGCTGTGGATGCAGCTGGCCATGGAGCGGGTGCAGCGTGCCGTGGACGCCTCACTGATAGCGCTACACATTATGACCTCTAGCAATATGCCGAAAACGGTTTACCTGGAAGACGTGATCGACCGAATAGTCCTTTTTATGAAGTTTCAGTTGCAGAACACGATCTATCCCTCCTTCGACCCTGTCTACAAGACGGACACGAAGAACAAGACTGAAAATTATAATTCTAGCGGGCGAAAGAAACGCGGCCACATGAAGGAGGTGCGTGAGAAGAGCATCCTGCAGGTCTACAACAAGATGCACGAGCTGGTGGGTCTTCTGGCCGAGCTGCTGAACATACAGGTTCTAACGGACACAAGTGTTCTTCACGCCTCCTCGCTGGGTGTCGCGCCGTTTTTTGTCGAGTCGGTGAGCGACCTCCAGTTGAGCGCGCTGAAACTCGTCACCATAATATTCACCAAGTACGAGAAGCACCGGAGGTTGCTGCTGGACGACATCTTGGCGTCTATAGCGAGATTACCCAGCAGCAAGAGAAGCTTGCGCACGTACAGGCTGAATTCGGAGGACCACATACAGATGCTGACCGCGCTGGTTCTGCAGCTCATCCAATGCGTGGTGGTGCTGTCGGACAATGCTCTGTCGTACTCGAAAACGAAGGAGGACGACGAGAAGAAGGACGACAGGCGGTCCAGTCACGTGGACGCCGACGTATTTATCATCAACCGATACGAGACCGCCACGAGAATCGCCGGGAATTTTTTAACGGTGTTCCTCAACAAATGCGGCAGTAAGGGCGAAGAGATCGATTACAGGCCGTTGTTCGAGAATTTCGTGCAAGACCTGTTAGCGACGGTGAATAAACCCGAGTGGCCGGCCGCCGAGTTGCTCTTGAGCCTCCTCGGCAATCTGTTGGTGGGTCATTTCTCCAACAAAGGTTCCGACATGTCGCTGCGAGTGGCCTCCATCGATTATCTCGGCGTGGTAGCGGCTAGATTGCGCAAGGACGCGGTCAGTTCGCAATGCAAACTGTCGACCATCGATCAGATCATAAGAGACATCAAGCTCGAGCAGCAGAAGGACTCGGATTACGATCAGATCAAGGACAAGGACATCGTGGGATTGAACGAAGAGGAGGAGAGGACGGTGTTCTTGCAAAAAGTGCTCCTCGACTATCTGGCCGTCAACGGGACGAAGGACTCCGCTCTCGGGTACGCGCGTCACTTTTATCTGGCGCAGTGGTATCGGGACTGCGCGCTGGAGAAGTCTCGGGTGGGTCAGATGAAGAACAGCCCGAGCAAGAAGATGCATAAGAAACGGACGAAGAAGAAGAACCGGCACCACAACAGCGACCAAGACACCGAGTCCGAATTGGACGAGCAAGACCCGGACGAAAACGACAATAACGAGCAGAAGAACTCGGAGGCTTACAGGATCATCGAGGAGAAGAAGAAATACATCGTCAGCAGAATAAGGCCGTGCAGCACCGGGACAAAGCTGGACATTCTTCAGACGTACATCGATTACAATTCCGCGGAGCTGATCTCGCAGTATCTCGCGTCGAAACGGCCGTTCTCGCAGAGCTTCGACAGATACCTCAAGCAGATCCTCCACGTATTGACGGAATCGTCGATCGCTATTAGAACGAAGGCCATGAAGTGCCTGACGATGATCGTCGAGGCTGATCCGAGCGTGCTGGCGAGGGTGGACATGCAGCTGGGCGTGAAGCACTCGTTTCTCGACCATTCGACGTCCGTGCGAGAGGCGGCGGTTGACTTGGTGGGCAAATTCGTCCTAAGCAGGCCCGAGCTGATCGACAAGTATTACGACATGCTGTCGGCCAGAATCCTCGACACCGGCGTGAGCGTGCGTAAGCGCGTCATTAAGATTCTCAAGGATATTTGTATGGAATGCCCCGATTTCCCGAAGATCCCGGAGATATGCGTGAAGATGATCAGGAGAGTGAACGACGAGGAGGGCATCCGCAAGCTCGTTATGGAGGTGTTCCAGAACATGTGGTTCACCCCGGTGAGAGAGCGTCCGACCCTCGACTCCGAATCGTTGTTGAGGAAGGTCATGAACATCACGGACGTCGTGGCGGCCAGTAAGGACATGGGGCTCGAGTGGTTCGAGCAGCTGTTGGTGAGTCTCTTCAAGCCGAAGGAGGACAAGGACGACAGCACAAAGATGCAAACGGAGCCACCACGGGCTTTGCTGACGGCCTGTCGGCAGATCGTGGACTGTTTGATCGAGAATGTGCTGCGGCTGGAGGAGACGAACTTTGAGGATACGGAGAAATCGAAGAGAAAGGGCTCGTCGCAGAGGCTGGTCGCCTGCCTGACGACGCTCTATCTCTTCGCGAAGATCCGGCCGCGGCTGTTGGTCAATCACGCCATCACCTTGCAGCCTTACCTGAGTCTGAAGTGTCAAACGCAGGGCGACTACCAGATCATCAGCAGCGTCGCTCACACGCTCGAACTGGTCGTGCCTCTGATGGAACACCCTAGCGAAACTTTTTTAGCGCAGTTGGAGGAGGACTCTGTGAAACTAATCTTGCAGCACGACAGGTCGGTGGTCGCGAGCTGCCTGTCCTGCTTAGGCTCCATAGTCAATAACGTAACGCGCAATTTCAAGCTAATACGAGACTGCTTCAAGAAATATTACGGACACTTGACGGAGTACAAATCGTTCTACGAGAGGGATCCCACGAATCCCATGCTGCTGAAATACAGGCCGTTCTTCCGGAGAGCTTTGTTCACGGTCGGCTTGTTGCTGCGTCACTTCAACTTCATGGATCCGGAGGTGATAGAAGGCCTGGCGGAGAACATCAAGGACCAGGTCTTCGAGACGCTCAGCTACTTCGTTCACCTGGACAACGACGACATTCGACATTTCACGCTGTCGGCCATCGGCTCCCTCTGCATACGGCATTACGAGTTCATGATGCTGCCGGAACTGAAGGAGCTCTACCATCACCTGCTCACGTCGGAGCACGCGTTGGTACACATGCGGATCCAGGTGCTAAATAATATCGAAGTGTATTTGCAGGAGGAAGAGAAGCGGATGATCAAGCAAGACCTTGAGTGGGCGAAGTTGTCGAAGCAGGAGAACCTGAAGGAGATGGGCGACGTGTCGTCGGGCATGGCGAGCACCGTTATCCAGCTCTACATCAAGGAGATCCTCGAGTCCTTTCTGCACGTCAACATAAACGTGCGGCACGCAGCACTGAAGGTCATCCAGCTGATCCTGGCGCAGGGCCTGGTGCATCCCGTCCAGATAGTGCCCTACTTGGTCTGCATGAGCACCGACTGCGAGAAAGTGGTCAGTCACAGCGCGGACAAGCAGTTGCAGGACATCGAGAAGAAGTATCCCGGCTTCATCCACATGAAGTCGCAGTTCGGCATCAAGCTGAGCTATCGGCTGCAGAAGATCCTGCAGAACGACATCACGGTGAGGGGCATGCGGGTTAAGGAGGGTGAGTTCCCGGGCGCTCTCAATGGCTTCCTCTACACGATATTGCGCAACACGAAGCAGCAGAGGCGGGCGATCGTGCTGTCCTTTCTCAAGCACTTCGACGAGACCGCCAAGACCAGCCTGTCGCAGATGCTGTACCTGGCAGACAATCTCGCCTACTTTACATATCAGGTGCAGGACGAGCCGCTGTTCATTATCCACCACATCGACATCATCATCTCCATGTCCGGCACGAACCTGCTGCAGTCCTTCAGGGAAGCGCTGCTGCCGAAGGAAAGCAGCGCGCAGCCGCAGAGCGCGTCGACGCAGACATTGGGCCCGGACGGTCAACCGCGACCGGAGCAATTGCTGTCACTGGAGGATGAGGAGGACGACGAGGAGGACGAGGAAGCTCTTCTGGCTAGGTTACCAGGCGACACCACTCTGCTCAGGGAGTACGTCACCGCCAGTCAAGGCTTCCTTCTTCTGCTGACGTTGCGACAGCATCTCAAAGATCTCTATGGCTTTTCCGACGCGAAGATCGGCCAGTACTCGCCCTCGGAAGCGGCCAAGGTGTACGAGAAGACGGTGAATCGTAAGAATAATCTGCAGTTCGAGCCTAAGGCCACGCTTCAGAGGTTACGCGAGGGCGTGACCAACGAGGAGCTGGACGCAGACGGCAGGAAGAAGCTCGTGAAAGAGTATCTCGACTTCAAGCAGCTCATGCTCAAGTTCGATCCCGAGGAGCCGGAGGACGACGGTTGCGGCAACGACGTCCACGCGGACACCAGCAAGCAGGCCGGGGAGCACACGACCCAGAGGTTACTGTCGCATCCGGACGCCGACGGTAGCGGCAGGACGATAGCGGACACTAGTGTCGCGAGTGACAATGTTCTGGCAAACGTCGCCGGCCAGCAGTACCAGTCGCTGCCAACGCCGCAGTCGAACTTGAACTCCGCTCCGATGGAGCATCCGAATAACTCGGTGAATTCGCTACAGGCTGTGGCGGCGGTGGCGCCTGTGACAACGCCGACGACACCGCGAGTCCCTAAACTGACGATACACGCCCATCCGGACGCGAAGGAACACCGTAAGCACCGCGCGCATAAGACGGACAAGGTGAGGAAGCACAAGAAGAAGAAGAGGAGAAGAATCTCCGACAGTAGCGACAGTGGCGAGGACTACAGTGACCCTGACTTCCTCGTGTGAGTGCGGTGGTACATCTCGTCCTGTGTGTACATATATATACGCGTCATGTCCGTGATGGTGCGTATGTGTGTGCGCGCGCGCCTGCTTGCCTGCGTGTGTGTATGTGCGTGCCGGCCGGGCGTGGACTGAACACTGAAGATAGACGACGCTAGTATAGAGTAACGCTGTTACAGTGCGATGGTCCCTTTGCCCCCCTGTTCCCCGAAATGACCCCCAGCCCCGTCGAAGTTATGCTGTGACTTTGAAGACGGTGAAGTCGTTAGAAACGCTTCGGCTGAGAGACCGCTTGGAGAACCGCAGTGATGATGTGGGAATGCGTGCGAGCGAGAGAAAGAGGGAGAGATCCTCGATAAGAATGATAGCCCGAGATTTTTAAGCGCGATCTAACGTCGAGTTAGGGATAACGTTGTTGGCCGAAACGGCTGGCGTCCGTTAGGTTTATCGATCCGCTGTGCCGTTGTTATCGAGATCGGCTCGTTAAATATTTCGTGCGACCGACGCGGTGCTTGGTTCGCTACGGATTGGCTTCTTCTTCTTCTCCTCGGAGAAGCGGAAGCTTCCTGGGTGGCTTCCGGCTGCGGTTCGCGCGATTCCGCTGAGATAGCGGGGACGGCCGGACGAGCTCCCGGGTCGTGAACTCGTATCCGAGAAGATACCGCGAAGCAAGTTCCGCGGAAGAACTCAAGTACAATAAATTACGTTCGAACAAAAATTCATCTGTAAATAATATCATATAGTGACGGCTACGTGGTACGGTTGTTGGTTAGCTTCTTTTCGCGAAGAAAGAAATTTGTGTGAAGAGAGAGAGAGAGAGAGGAAGAGAGAAAGAGAGAAAGAGAGTAGCGCCAAGAACTGGAGAGAAAAGGAAATAAACAATATATAGTTCGATCGGTCTCGATAAGATTCGTCGTTGCTCCCTCTTCCTTCCTTTTTCGAGAGTGAGACAAGCAAGTACTGCTTATCTCGATGATGCTAATTTACCAGAGTTCAGTTCTATCCTATAAATCTTAACTGAAGTAAAAAATCGGAAGTAAAAAAGCGCATAAAACCCTCACTTCCTGTTGTTTGACAATTTCTAGTACAATACTTTTATTAAATTACTCACTCGAAGTTTTCAAAGAAATCGGTATTGTCGGTATAAGCGGGAATTGCTGTTGTTAAGAGCGATACCAAATCGAAAGTTCGCAAGATTTTGGCAAACGACACGAATCGAACATCGATGTTAGGCGGACCCGTATAGACCCTCCCCGCGGTATATATAATAGAGGTGTGTAGCAGGACTCATTGCCTATGCATTACGAAATGTTGTTTGTAATATCTGTATATAAAAATCTTCAAGTAAAGTATCTTATTTTCTTACAAACTATATAGCGGTGACATTACGAAGAAAATACTTAAGATTTCGTTGTAATATTAAGTATTTATTCAGGATTCATGTTGTCCCAATATAGTTTGCTTCGCGCACTCACTCGTCCTTGGTGGTACGAAACGACGAAAACGACAAAAGAAAAAAAGAAAAAAAAAGAAACAGACAAAAGGTATCGTTTTTATACAAGCTTAGAGGTAACGATAGTTGCGTATTCTCGACGAAAAGCGAAAAGCGGGACCTCCTAACGGCGTTAAGAGACGCGGCTGAAATTCACGGTGTGTTTTGTGAAGTATGGTGCGATCCTAAACATCTCCATGAGAAGACTCGCTGACTCTTTAGTTCGCATTGGCACCTCTGCCGCCCCTTGGAACTCTCGCGGAGTTCCGAGGAAATCCGCGACCTCGGGATGCCTCAATCGGGAATCTGAGGATTGAGAGAAACTTCCGTAAACCTGAAAATATACCAAATGTGCTTATGAGATATAGTCTACACACACATACAAAATGCAGATATTTGCTCGAAGAGTGATCGAGACATTTCCAGCTACCACCATCTATACGAAATCTTAACGAATGAATCCGCCTTTGGGATTGCACTCTTCGCTCTCGTCTCCGTTTCCACTGTTAATGTGTGCGGCGGTCGTTACCGCGCCCGAGGAGAAATGCGACGAAAATTGGTCGAATAATATTCGAAGTGTTTCTCTCTTTTTTCATCGTGCTTGTAAATTCGAACGTCGATCGATATCAGGTTGAGTGGCAGCTGCGACCTCGTGAATCGTGGAAGGATTTTGTATTCGTGATTTTCTTTCCATCTCTCGCGGTGATTAGTCTTTTTATACGTTTATAGGTCACACACACAAGCGAGGCGCGATGAAAAAAGGGAGAGAGAGAAAGGGAGGAAATTAGAAAAAACGAAGGCGAAATCCTCGCGTTTCTCTTACGAGATGCGAGTGCGAGATGGGCCGCGGTCCGACTAAATCAAACTTGAACACCACTTAGACATATTCGATATATGACGAGAGAGAACTTCAGGATACCGGATAAGAATAATAGTGATTTATTATATCTTAGGTCACTAATCGAGCGCGCGCATCTCTTCGGTCTGGAAACGGAGACGACGACGACGATTCGATCGAACGAACGCTTCCGTGCACGTACTGAGTCTGCTTTCGTTTCCTCGCGGCATTACGAAACGATATACGCATTGTAACGAACGCTCCGAGGTATTCGTTGTCCATTACGTTGATTAGTGTAACTATCGATTGCGCGCAAGCCTTTATGTTTTTTAAGTCATATAAGAGAAGTGATTGGAGAGGCGATTGAACGGATGATGTTGCACACTGAAATTTATATGATCTCATGTTTTCATCTATATTTCGTTTTTTTCTCGCAGGAAAGTAAAAGTGTCGATGAAATTTTTATTGGACGCGGTTCGATCACCTGTGAATTTTCTTCGCAGAGAATTACAGAGGCAGAAAAATGATTAGATTTTTATCTAATATCAATGTTCATTCAGTTTTACCGTTATTTATTCATGTATATTTTCAACTCCCCGTGTCAGCTTCCGGTGTCAGTATACACAGCTATGAGACTTATTTTACAATTTGATTAAATCCCGAGATTTTTCCGAGATTCCAGGGCGATCTGTCGTGAAAGAAGCATAATTTGTTTTGCGTTTCGAGGGAGTGTTTGTACGATCGCGCGTCAACACGATGCATTTATAATGTTCGACCGCAAGGGAATTTCCGCACCGTGCGGATTCGATCGCCGTGGATCCGCGTGAAAACTTAATTAACGAACGCAGGGTCTAGAAGGTACGTTCTCACGTCCTTGATTTATGATAAAAACTCGCGCTCTTTATCGAGGCCCAGATGTACATCCGTCTATATCACGTCAATAAATCTGGCAGTAAAACATATATGAATGCATTCATCTAGCTTTAAGGATGCGCGCCGGCGGAAGTATACGTGGCGATTTCACTTCTCTGCAAGGGGAGGACATTTTTGTTATTCTCTTTTTTTTGGCTCGCGAGAGGAAGTTTTTCCAGAATTATCTCGTACAAATAAAACGTAATCACGTGAAACTACACTTATTTTTTCTACATACAAGCGAGTAGAGGCTCTCTCGAAAGAAAGAAAAATATGTTTTTTTCTTTTCAACGAATGCCGTAAACCGTGTGCGAGAGCGAGAGGAGATTGACGTGTGTTTTCGGGAGGAGTCTATTTGTAGAATGCGTTTAATTAGAAAGTAACGGGCCATGTGCGTTTCTGGCGATTAGACTAGTGAAATTTGGTTGCTAAGCGTAACGAATTTCTTTTTTTTTTTTTTAAAGAGGGAGAAGAAAAGAGAGTAGAAATAAAGACCCGTCTTGGTTGGACGCGAATGCGAGACTCTGTGTAGAAGACTGCGTAGCACATCAGGTTCTCACGAACGACGACTGTCAGAATCGGAAAAAGACCGAATACACGAATAACAATCGTCGCGCGTTGTTTCGCTCAAGCGCGCAAATTTTGCACAAAATCACTATAGATGCGTTCTCGATCGCAGACAGGTGGAACGTTGATTTTGCGCGCGTGTCGCTCTCGCTCTTCTTGTAACCGTTCGCATTTTTCGTTAATTTCTCTTGGCGCAAGAGGTTGCGAAATTTCAATAAAAACAGAATAAAAGTGTCGCTTATCGAGAAGCTTTCGATGGACAATAAAACCCGATATTTTTTTATAGCTTGCTGTCTCCAAAGCACCGTTATGATTTACTAGTTTTGTAATGTAATCGAAAACTTTTATGGGTCGATTTGCTCTCTCTTACTATCATTGTAATTATTATTTTAGTATTATTATTTATCAATTTGTGAATCACCTTTTATATTTCAGCGCTAGAGGCTTGATCGCGGAGGAACAAGACTTCCTTTCTTATTGTAATCGCAAAACTCGTGATCTCGTTTTCGAACCTGTACCGTCCCCGAAGCGTGCAATGCTAGAGATTAAGCGAGAACTGTTTTTTTCTTTCTTTTGACGCGCAGTTTCTCCTTTTCCCGCCGAAATTCACTCGAAAGAACGACACGCGATTAATATGAGGACATGTCAATCGTTAGTTAATCGAATCCTCGTATAAAATTATTTACGTTTGGTAAATATCGATATAACGAGTCTTACGAGAGAGAAAGAGAGAGAGAGAGAGAGAGAGAGAGAGAGAGAGAGAGAGAGAAAGAAGAAATAAATGTACGAATTTAACCGAGTTCTCAGTATTTATATACCTTTTTCTACTGTGCGTTTTGTATAATCAACGGAAGTAAAAAACCAAAAAATGTTCAAAATGGGAGCTGTATATGGTTTCGTGCGGCCTTGGTAGCAGGAAAGTTCTCTCCGAAGTCAGCCTCTTTTTCAGTATTATCGCGGAAATTCGAGAAAGTCTCTTTCCTAAATCTAAACGTAACGATAGCTACGATGTACATGTACATGTAGTATCATGTGTATATAAAAACATATACATTATACTATATGTATGTATATACATATGCAAGTGTCTGTAAATAATTCACGAATGTAAAAATTCTAATAAAATTTATCAATAACTTCATGCGTTCTGCAACCCTTTCAAAAAAAAAAGAAACTTTTTCGCGCAGCGAGAGCTTTATCCATGTCGTCCGTAAGGTCGAGCTGATTTCGATCTTATATTTCGCTCACTTGCGAAAATAAGGGTCGCAGGTTTTCCATTTCACATCGCCGTATATGTAACTCGCGACAATCTTCCACTTTGAAGCTTCTCGTAAGACACTTCGAGGCGCTCGTTAAGGAAACAATGTTACGCGGATTTTCTCGACGCAAGTCGAGACTTTTTATAATAATGATGATCGCATCGAGCCTGTCAATCTGTCGACCGACAATTCGCAACTGAGAGCCGTGATTCTCATGCAATAGGGAAAACGACGTGTCGTTGCGAAACGGATATCGAGAAGAGCCATTATTATTCGGGAGGGGAGGGAAGACAAGATATAGGATTATCGCTTAATGAAGCAAAGAATATTAGGGTAGTGTGTAATATCGAAAGGCAGCGCAATTATTCGTGGGGCTTCTATCGTCGACTAAGCAGACAAAATGTTAGTGATGCGTTACAACGGGGGGACGAAAGGGAGGCTCCGCTGTACAAATATTCGCATGTACATATTTATTGTGTCTGGATTTCGACGGAATTTAGTGGTAAAAGTTGCGGCAGCCGTTGCACCGAATGACGTGACGTGTGTTGTCAGTCGGGACAGAAAGTATGAGTGAGAGAATCGCGAGAGAATGGTTAAACGATTTTATTGTTCGTTGTAATAAACAAACTTCTAGGCGGTACGCGCGCATTATAAATTCTAAATAATTATATTTCTACATATAAATAAATAAAATAAAAAAGTATAAATATATATATGAAAAATAAAAATATATATATATATACATATATATATATATAAATACATATATATATGTATACACCACACACACACACACATACACACATATACACGCACACATACACTGTTTAAAGAAAGAGACGAAAAAGAGTACGTTTTAAGATTTCGCGCGTAAGTATCTCCACAAAAGAAGAGAGGTGCTGTCGTATCGCGCCGCGTACGATTATCCCATGCGAGATGTAAACAAATATAATAGTAATTAATAATATAGTGATATAAAGTGGGAGTTGAACGCATCGGGGCGATTCTTCGAGCCGGCTATCTTATTCGGCGCGATACGACGGTCACGCTTGTATCATAGCATTATATTATCCCTATGTTTTTTGTATTTGGTAATCTAAACGAAAGAATATCGAATTAACAGACAGATGATTAATAGAAAGTATATTATATATATTTGAGTAAAACCGCCGAGAGTTGGAGTTATCCGCGACGCGTCGACAACGATTGTCCCTTCCTCATCGTTCACTCTCTTTCTTCCCCCCTTCTTCCAACTCTCTTTCTCTCTCTCTCTCTCTCTCTCTCTTTCTCTCTCTATCACGCTCTTTCGTGCTCTTGATAATAAGTGAAAATAGCGACCGATGCAGACAGAATGGTTTATAATATAATATAGCTATAAAGAGAGCCGAACACGCGAAACGGCGCTTCCGGATAAATCCAATGCTCGTTTACTCATAACTTATTATGTACATCGTCTGAGAGAAACAAAGGTACGTTCGTAAAGAAAAATAAACATAAGTATATATCAATGTTCCGTACCTTTATTTTTGTCCTTGCCACACGTTACGCATGAATGTCGTTCGGAGAGGGAGATAAATGATCGACTCAGGCATACGTCGGGATATTCTTGATGTCCATCGACTCTTTATTTCTCCATTGGACGTATCTATATAAAAAATAGCGAAATATCGATTTTTTAGAAGTATAAATAGAAAAGTTTCACTCGCATATACGTACAAACGAGGAACGTCCTTGATGTATTGTAAGTTTCTCGGCTCCTTCGCGTCAGGATTTTGCATTTTACACCTTTCGCTCCAAACTTTGGTTGGATTCAGCAGAGTCGAGTAATCTCGCGCTTTCGTCACCTGCGATCTTGCGATCTTCGTCGTTTGATGTTTAGCCGGCTTTCGTAGTGTCGCTATTATATTTTTCTTTCTTCTTGCATATTGTTCGTCTTGTTTTCTGTCAATGTCAATGATAATCGCGACTAGAGAATTGTTCATGACACACAGTACGATGTTCGTTATTTAGACTTAGAAATTATAGGTAAAAAGAATATCGCGCGCAGTTTTTCTCGTCTTACTCAGCGTGTGATCGCCCCGAAAACGCATGTGTAACTTTGTCAACATATCGATAAAAAGGACCTGGTAATAAATACTAAAATTTAGTAAATATTCGCCGACCAAATATTTGACTACTGCAACCAAATAATTTAGTTTCGTATACTAAATATAAAATACACGGAATTAAATTATTTGATTGCGGTAATCAAAGATTTGGTCGGCGAATATTCACTAAATTTTACTATTTATTACCAAGTCTTTTTTCAGTACAGCTGATATTACCTGAAGGCCTTGATCATCGCCGGATTGCATTTCCGTTCCGTTCTCGAATCATTTCCCGATGTTTTGGAGAGAGTGGCGGAGAGTTCTGTCAGTTTTTTCTCGTGATAGTCAATCAAATCCGCGCGAATTTTCTTTAATCTGTCTTGTTTGCGTTTCTCTTGCGCGGCGAGCTTCGATTCTGTCAAAATCTTGGACTGCTGCTCTTCCATCGAACGTTTATTCTCTCTCTCCATTCTCCACTGTCTTATTAATTCTTTCTTCTGATTGACGCTGTCGACGTCGACGACGTTGCTGGGCATTGCTACTTTCGTCTCGCATTTATTGGTCGCGCCAGGCGGAAGTTTCTCCGTGATATCGGGAATCGATCTTCCACGAGAAATTTCCGTCATGTTTTCGGCCGCCGCTTCATTTCCTCGGATTTTCTTCTCTTTCTCTATTTCTTTCTGTTTACGCCACTCTCTGACAGTCGTTCGTTGCTTCTCATGCAAATTCAGATAAACCTTGTACCAGGCCTCATGATTCACTATGATCTCCGCAGTTAAATCCGGACATTTGATCTGAATGGCGGCCACCAGGGCGGGTATGTTGCTGCACTTTTGCCGCATCTTCAAGAACAGCAGATGATCTTCGTCGCTCCAATTATCGGTGTGGCCTGCGAGGTACATTGAGAAATATCCATAGAGATATAAGAATAGAGGGAACAAGCTTGTAAGTGGAAGTCATAGAGACAAAGAGAGAGATGGATGCCGAGTGTCCTATCTGTCTCTTTCTAGTCGCTGGGATTGGCTGCCGCGCCAACGACGATATAGCTATACATTTTTCTCCATCCAATTCAAAGAAACTGTCATTGCTAAAATGATCACTGCAAATATATACTGTTTTCACTTCAAAATACAAAGGTAGTTGAAGTATATTCAACCATTTACGCCTTATATCTACATCCTTCGGTAGCCTATAACATTTACATATTTTTTTAAATGTAGGAAAAAATAACATATAATTATTTGAGGTTACGTATTTATACTTTCTTACGAGTGAAAACTGCGGTTACATCCAGGATAAGACTTCGCCTTGCATTTCAAACAATGCCTCATTTCTAAACAAATCACGTCCAATTATTATTTTGTTAACGTTCGAATATTTATTATTTCGAATTTTAATTCTACACACATGTGCACGCATATTTACAAAACGAAATTTTAGTCTGCTTTCTCCCCTCCTGACGTCGCGTGGTCGTCTTGGCGGCTCATTGTAACAACCAATCACAGCGCTCGACTAGAAAGAGACAAATAGGACACTCGGCATCCATCTCTCTCTTGACCTTTATCACTTCCACTTACAGGTAGCATATATCCCTTGTTCCCTCTATTCTTATATCTCTATGGAAATATCACTTATTATAGAATAACGCACGACTCTCACAAATTACGCGCAGTAAAAAATATTTTGTATGAAAGTAAAAGTGTGTTAAATTGATCCTTGTTAACATATTTATATATGTTAAATGTTAATTTAACATATTATATTTATGTCATCTCAACATTTTGTGTTGCGATATTCAACATGTGTAAGTGTTAAAATAACACATTTTATATTTCAGTGTACCCGAACCAGGTAGCACAGTGACATCAAAAGACGTCATATTGACGTCATATTGACGTCACATTCATGTTAGAGACGTCATATTGAAATCAATATGATTGTCCTCTGATGTCACTGAGCTACCTGGGGGTTTAACGTATTAATTTTGTGTTAATTTTTTATATAATATTTGTGTTACTTTTTAACATATTTACCTTATGTTAAATTAACACAATAATTTTTGTAGATTGGAACATGTGAAATGTGTTAAATTGTTTAATACAATGTGCTTAACACAAAATTTTTTGCTGTGCGGATTTTTGCAGCTTAATTCCAATTGTCGATCCGCAAAAGAACGCGAAAGCGCATACCTGTTTTAGCAATTAGCGCTTGGAAGTCTTGGATTTCCTTATAATCTTTACTGCCTTTAGCATTTTTGTTGGAGGACGCGGCAAAAGTCGGTTTGTTAACGTTACGAGTCACGTTCTCGTACTTATGTAAATTCAATTTAAATTCGCGTACTTCAGATTCGAGCGTTGTTTGCTCCTGCGATAAGGACTCAATCCGGCAGGACTCTTGAAAATCCCGAATTTTTTGTGACAGTCTTATCAGTCGCTGTTTGTACGCGTTTGTATCTAGATAAATATATTTATAGATAGTTAAGCACGGCTATAAATTAAGAAAAATGAATTCAACGTCATAAAAAGAATTTTAGTTTTTATTTTCGCGTTGAAGTAGATCTGCTAATAATTAAAATATTAAACAGGGAATTTTCTATAATCGTACAATGCATAACGTACAGTTAAAACTTGAAATAAATGTAATAATGTTTTACTTATATCAATTACTGTGACTAAAAATTACAGATCTAAGGTATATACGTGCGAAAATAATTTTGTCTAATGAGAATAACACGATCATTAAAATATTTACCTAGATTTTGAATTTGTTCGGGACATTTTATGATGAATTTCGCCGATTTAAACTCTTCTGTAATTTCTTCCAAAGATTTTTTTACGCCATCCAACAAAATTTCTCTTTAACAAAATTTATTAAAAAAGAATGTTCGAGTTAGAACATTATAATACGACTGAGTTGACTTGAACTTCACGCAATGTAATGTCTAATTGGTTTTTCGCCACTTACCTCTTTCTGGAGATGTCACTTATATCACGCAAAACAAGTTGCATAACTTCTGATTTCAGTCTCATGCTCTCCATCCAATTAAGCAGACTATTTTCTATCAAACTCTCCTGTTGCTTCAACTTAAACAGCGAATTCTTGTACTTTGTGCTTTCGGCAGAACATATTTTTTCGCAGGATATCACTAGTTTTTCCTTCTTGTTTTCATCGTGATTAGTTCCATTCATTATTACACACACGATTGCAATATTGATTATTGCTCAAAATAATACCAATAAGAAATTTAATTTAGAAAATTCGTAGATGCGTCATTTCACATAAGTTGACTCGGCCGACTGAATTTATTGGAGTTCGTGGCCCAACAAAGTTTTATACATAGGTTTCCATAGCAATACACCGTAACTGTCTCCCTTCCAGTACAATTGCACCTGCTGATAGACACCCATATGCTGTTCCACGATGCAATGTACAGAGAGAAATAAGCTTGGTCAAAGTGACGAGAGCAATTTTTAATTTATCCGTATTTATTTACAGGGAATATTGTAAAAATGTTCAATATAATAAAATATCTGAGATAGTGTATTGAAGCATTTAAATGCATAATAAATGTATAATTAATATAATAATATAATAATTAATATAATTTAATATAAATGCAAAATTAATAACCAACCAGATGTTTGGAATAACTTAAATAGTCCTCGAATAACCTGTTAGATGAAGAAATACAATATAAAAATTAAAAGTTTAAAAATAAATAATGAATTGGTATGGAGCAGAACCAAAGGCGAGAAAAACAGTATTGTGACTAATACGACGGTCTGAGAACCTAATTAGATATAAGTAGAGAAGTAGCGATACGCAAATATATTAATATTATATAATTGACACACGATGGCATTGTCATTATCACTGGTAAAAATATATCCTTTCGGCAGCAGAACAAAAACGAAAAACGAAAATGCAAAGCGAATAGAGGATATCTCGGTCTACACTAGTCTATTAAACCGTTTTAATTGAAGAATTCATTAAAATTTTGTTATCCTGTTTCGAAATTTTCTAAGAAAATCATGAAAAAGACCGTGCAACACTTAAACTACTTCCCCCTGAACTGGTTTTATCATCGGCATTTTATTATCACTTTCCAGCGAACGACGTGAATATCACTCCGCATACAACGGATGGTTTTCGATTGAAGCATACCTCAGCGAAAAGATTTATAATATTGCTCCTTTTGACACTTTAGACGTCAAAACTCCTCCGAGTTGTTTTGGATCGTGCGATTTTTAATGAATTTGCAACAGGGGAATGAATCCCTTTCAGTCGAAGGGGCTCAAGCGGCGCGCGCCGCATCGATACCTCGCAAATTTGAACTTCGAGGTACTCAATCGCCGCCATATGCAAAGTCAGTTACGGAGCGGATCTCGGTGCGGCGGTACGGATCGGAAGGACGCTCCGTATTTATCGCGGTTTCTACTCGCCCAAGATGAGTCTCGCACGCGAATTATCGTCGCCAGGAGTGTCGAAAGTGAACTTCGCGCATCCACTCAACGGAATATCGTCGAACGGTCGTAGGCAGCGAGTATCTCGAAACGAACCAAGTTTCGCGCGATCGTCACGTAATGGCTGCGCGGAAATTGAACCGTTGTTTTTTGCGTTTTCGCTTCGTCGACGGAGTCTCGCGCGCGAATTATCGTCGGGAGTGCCGGGAGAGCGTCGTCAACTGCACACCGGGCATGAACCTTTCGCGAAAAATCGCTCGAGATTGTCGGACTAAGTGTCGCGTGCGTCTTTTCTCTCTAATGGCGGCCCGAAGTTTAAATTTTTCGATCGCAGCGCTTTGCACTTTCCATTCGTCCATGGAGGATTATTATCGGGAGTGTTGGCCGAGATACCGCCTGTTCGTCGTGACAGTTAGCTGCGTGAATCGTTACGTTCTGAGCTTTCCATCCTCCGAAAGGAAAGTCGGTAAGTCTCGAATAAAATAGCGTACGTATGATTTCTGTTGATCGTGCATGTACTGTTAAAGCCATCTTTACGAAGTGAAACGATCGGTAATGTCAATGCTCTCTAATTATCCACGAACGTTTAGGCCCCATTGGTAAAACATCACGCATCACCGACGACTTTCGATAGTATCTTCTGATACTCATTCTTATCTAAAGTCGGTTAAACCACCGTGATAGTTATGTAGAAATACGAATTTACCGATAGCTCTATTTTGACAGTTGTTGTCGACGATCGATATCTGTGTCAACTGTGTTTTTAGCACGGAAAATAATCTTGATTATATTTGCTATTATTATTAACAATTTTACGAAGAAGCAACAAAATATACGTATTTGTGCATTTCCAAGAAATCAATCTCACTTTCAATACAGAAACCTCTCGCGTTTCGCATGCATTGCAACATTATTAGCGTAATATTTCATCGAGAGACGTAAAAAGAGACTACAGAGGCTTCTTATAAAAAATATGAGATGGTAAGAGTTTGAGGAACGTCGATACAAAAAGACCTCAACACGGCATCGACAGCTTTAAGGGGATGTTGGAGTAATTTCAACAAAAGAAAATGTCTTAATTTAAACAAAATTAAAAATGTCGGTAACTATTAATATAATAAATGTGATATGAAAACAAGCATGTTTAAATGAATACAGGAGAGAGAAAGAAAGAAAGTTATGCATTATTAATGCTCCATTTACCATCCTGCATCTACACCACGCGCGTACAGATAGCGCATGAAACCCGTTCGATCACTTTACTTTCTTGTTATACCTTTGATCTTATTTTTGTTGACACACCATTGTTTTTTAGTGCAATCCAAAGTGCGGGGTAATTATTTAGTACATACGAACTGTGAAACAGCGAACGTTTCCATTAGTTGACAGCTGCACGTACTAGACAGTGCAACATTATGTGTACTTTTCGAATTATTTTTATTTTTAGTCTTCAGCTTACCATTCCGCACTTTGTGTGTATATTTTACACGCATAAGAGGCTTTTAAATTGTGTAAAACCGTTAGAGAAAATGTAATGGGACCTGTAATGTCGGTAATGACCGGTCGCTCCAGCATCCCTTTAAAGCACCCGGCCACGGTTTGTTTACGTCTGCGGCGCGCCGGCGAGAGGCAACTCGCGTACGTACCCGCTCCAATCCTTAGTGACATCTGGCCGCGCCGCGGAACTACGTCGTTCCCCTCTCCGTTCGCAATGTAACCCCCCGCGTTTGTAACCCGCGACTCTCTTCGACCGCTTACGGTGCGGTGCATTTATACGGGCGGCCTGTATCTAGGCGCTTCAGTCTCTGCTTGGGACGCGACCGTGCGAGCACGGGGTGCGCGTATACCCCGCGTAACATAGCCTACGGTATTGCTTTCTGAGCCGCGGAGCGACGAGCAACGATAAAAAACGACTCCGACGGGAGAATTAGAAAAAGAAAAGAGAAAAAAACGTCGTTTCCACATTCTCCTTCTTTTTCTCATATCTCTCTCTTTCTCTGTCTTTTTCTCCTTTTCTCCCCTTTGATTCTCTGTCTCTTTCACCCTACATGGCCCCGAAAGCACCCGTCGATCCTTGATATCCCTCGTACGCACCCCGAGACGACGACGACTGCCGGCGCGAGCGCGCCTAATAACGCGTATGTTGCCGGGAAATCCACCGGCGCGACGGACATTCGATTTTCCGCTCGATGAGTGAAGCATCCGGCTGCTGTCGTCGTCGTGGGACGAGATCGGGATCGGTGTGTGCGCGACACGATTCGTCGCGGTTGTGATTGTTGATCCGGTGGTGGTGCGGGCAGGATCTTCTCGCGCGGATTCCCGGTGAGCAAAAACGTGAGTACCATTGAGGGGGTTTTCAAATACCGGCGGCGTTAAATACCCCGCGGTCTATGTCGCCTACGTGTCCGGAACGTTGGATAGGTGAAATTACACGGTCGTGCACGTTGCAACCGCTCGCGGCGAACGCGATCGGTCGATTTTAAATAATTGATTCGTTCTGCGGATCGAAGGAAATCGCACGTCGTTCCGATTGACGTGGAAACCCGAAGGACGGCTTGAGTTGCATTAATAAGCAGGTGCATTCGCGATTACCGTACTCCGAACTGTTTTGTTTGGGCAATGAAACATTCATCGTACGGGGAAGAGTACAGTACTTTTCGTTCTTATAAATAACGATATCGGCCATAAAGATTAAGTAGTGTGTTAACAATGGAAATTATTAATTTTTACTTCGAAAGAATGGCAGAGATTTGTGGATATTCGGGTGTTTAGTTCTACGACAGCTCTTAGATCTTTTTCTATCAGTCATGTCACTTCTTCTCTCTGATATTATCGCATTCTGATATTCTTAGAATTTAAAATTATCACGATTATTTTGGATAAGATATTGCCGCAAGGAGATGGATTATACATTTCAACGCGAGTAGAATCTTATCTTCACTTCATTTGAATAGTCTCATGCAACGGAGACAATGTAACATTTAGCGTAATAGCCATTGTAAATAAATTGTAAGCGTAGTAGCCATTGTAAATAAATTGTAGCGTAATAGCCATTGTAAATAAATCATCAGAATGCACCGCAAAGATGACTCATCGGCAAGTTCTCTTATCCAACGACACTGATAAGAAATTATAGTATGATATTAGTGTAGACTTTGACTCGAAATATGTACATGTGCGTATAATCTGAACAATATTAGCGCGATAACCATGGACGCTTCTCGCAAGCGAATAATTTCGCAAAACTGAGCAACGTGCAAGACGGATTCACCAAGAACTCGTTGCAGTTATGCGAATTTCTCGTATGATCACGCGTAATAACATTGTCAATTTCCTTACGCAATGTTATAGTTAAATAATAATACATTGTGCAATACGACGCTACACCTACGTGGAACAGTTCCGTTAAAGCGCCGTAGTTAACGCAATAATTAATTAAAAGTTCATCTTGCACAATTTTACGCCATTATACTTTCCTATTCTGGCTACTTAATCACCCGTTTGAATCGCTTTTATAGAGAAAGTTTCATTGTTCAGGCGATCACAAGGAAGTCCTGTTCCGCAACCATTTAATTACGAGTAACTGTTGTTACAATATACAAGGCGAACTAATTACTAGTAAAAGACTGTGAGCGATTAACAATAGTTAATCAATATTTATTTTATACGATTCCCACGGAGTTCCGTTTACTTGATGACCCATTAATATCGCACTGAGAAAGCCCCATTGTTTGTGCAGTCGTGAGGAAGTGCCGCGTCGCGCGGTAACTTAATTAGAAGTTGTTAAATTAAAATTACAAATCGCACGCCTCTCTCTACATAGCGCGCTACGCGATCGAAATAGAGCGAGTAACTTCTTGACATTGGAAGTATTCGAAATAAAAGGAGAAAATTATTTTCTTTTCTTACTAAAAGCAGCAGTATAGTTACTTTGTTATCAGCAGTATGTTAAAAGCAGTATAGTAGCAGTATAGTAACTTTGTTATCATATTTTTTTATAACTGAGGGAAGTCAAACGTAAACATATTGATTCTTTGAAACTATAAATATCATCTTTCGAGATTTCCATACGATAAAATATATTGTAGACTTTAAATATTATCTATTATAATTGACTGGAAGAAATTTTGATATTTTTTGAAATTTTATATATCGTCTGATGACAAATTTCCATTGGGCATAGCTCTATCAATTAATATGTTTGCTGCAACGTCGAAATTTGTGTGATGATACTACATAGAAAAAAATAGTCCTAAATCAAAAACAGATATCTTATATATAATTAAGAACAGATATCTTATATATAAGAATATTATAATATTTTTAGAAGATTTTTAGTTTTGAATTGAATGTAAGTAATACTTGCCTCAATACAAATTCAATTAAACCAAAATAAATATTTTTTTAAGAAAATTATAATATTCTTGTTTACACATGAGAATATCTATCACTGATTTAACATTAATTGTTTTCCGTGCATATCGTCAGCGAACTGCCAAGTGTTAAAGAATATATTTTATATATAGAAAAAACACATGGTAACGTCCGTTACATTTTATACATCGATTTTCACATAATTCTCAATGATATGAATTGTTAACATCGAGAAACGACGTGGCGGGGGGGTGCAGGAGGGAGCGAAAATTGGAGGGACCTTCGATTGAGATCGACGATATGCGCGTTAGCCCCGCGGTTGACGAGTGCACTCGCCCGCGGAACGATTTGCGCGTAATGGCGCGATAATTTCGCGGCGATTGAATTGCCGACGCAATTACTTGCCGGAGGCGTGCTCGCGGCCGAAGACGATCGAGATAAGTGGACGGAGACAAAGTGTTTTGTCGCGTGAGATAGTCGGCCGCGGTGCGCAACGGTAGATACATATATATGTACATACACACACACACATTCGTGACAATAAGTAATAAACGCGGGCGGCGTAACAAACGACGGCGATGGTCGCGCGTAACGCGATTACTCTATCTCACGGCATTGAACTTTCGCTCGATCTTTATCGATCCAGCATGCCGCACGATATTGCACCTTGTACCTTGAGATCATTTTTACGGCCATTTGCGTAAGAGGAAACAGCATAACCGTATGTGTGTGTATGTGTATATATACGCGTCTACGTATGCAAGAGCGATTCTAATGAGGGACAACGTCGGTCCGATCTTAACAAGAAACGCATTTCTCATGATAGTGATTGGAAAATCGTGTGTGTGGGAATAATTTCTTTTTTCTCCAGTCCCTTCCCCGGTTTTAATACCGGGTCTTTGGATATTAGCGCTGAAATTACTGTCTTACTGTCCGGTCTCCGCTTTGATATCGAACGCACATTTGACCCGAGGTAGATCTAAATTGCCATATAGATTTTTCCCTGCGTAATATTAAATAAACGCCCGGCTAATAATAGCGCGCGCAACAACGCCGAGATACGAACGTTGCGTAATAATGCACTCAGTGCTTCCCGGAGTCGCGCGCCGAAGATTGACTCGTTGTGAAACAATTCTAATCGATGAAATACGGCCGTGTGCGCGCGAGCATTATCTTCCCACAAAGGGAAACTTTCTTAAGTTGCGGTTTGATGATAACAACAACAATAATAATAATAATAACAGCGACACTACGTGAGAGAGAGACTCTCTCTCTCTCTCTCTCTCAGATGTACGGAGTATCAATAAATGAGTATTATCTCGCCGGCGTGACGTGAGATTAAAATCACGGTCGACAACGCCATCGTATTTGCATTAACTTTGCCACTCTTGTCAAGCGCACTGTTACAAGCGAAGTATTGCGCCAACATTACGCGAGGACTCGCCGCTGCGCGCAGAGCGTCGCCGCGCGTGTCGGCTCCGGAATAGCGTGCCGCTCGTTACGGCTGCTCCCCGGTTAAAAGTGAATGGGGAACCCGCTCATTCATAAGATTTTCTTCCGAGGGGGGCAGCCAGCTGCGCTGCTGCCGCCGCCGCTGCTCTCGCCGTCCAGTCTCGTTCGCTTCGGAGCGGCTTGAGCGCGTGCAGATGCACGTTACAGCAACTGGATATGCAACTTATCACGCTTGCTAATGCGAAGTATCTCTCAATCGAGGGTGAATGAAGCTTGGGAAAAGGGGGAGACCCTGAATAAATGTTTACGACCGGCTTCTCTCTCTCTCTCTCTCTCTCTTTCGACGCGTTCTGTCTTGCACAAGACAAAGGCATTCAGTGAAGAACGAAGAATAAAAAAGAGAGAAAAGGGAGACGCCATGTTACATCGGTAATAATCGATATCGTGGAGCGACTATATTGTCGCGTCGTTTAAACTCGCATATAGTTCTAAACAGAAAAATTATTTTTTCTCAATTTTTCTGCAAACTTTTTTGGTTTCTAAGGGTACGAAAATTCATGTATGTTCGGTTAATATCTGCTGCATTTATTTTTTCCGCAAAGGATGTAAAATTGGGAAGAAAACGTTTTTTTTGTGAAACTTTAAAGCTGCACAGTAAAAAATTTGGTGTTAAAAATGGTTCACTGAAATTTTATGCTACTTTAACATGGGAAGTGTGTTAAAAAGTACACAAACATAATGTTAGAGTAACACAAAATTTCCGTGGATTGTTTTTAATACGACTTTTATTTTGTATAAACTTACGGTAATGCGCGGCTATTTTTCCACAGTTGTCTAAAAACATCACTCGATCGGGTGATGAACGTTTCGCGAGAAAAGGAAGGATGAAATATAAGTTGTCGTAATCCGCGCGCAACTTCCGAACAGGGTCGACTGTTAATTGATGTAGTAGCGCGGGGCGAATTAATCAGCACACAAAGGCGACGAAGAGTACGATTGTACGTATAAACGACACATTGAGAGTTCGCGAGGCACATCGAGTCTTAAACAGCCGGCCGGCTCTCGTTCAGAGAGAGAAAGAGAGAGAGAGAGAGAGAGGGGGATTAACAAACAGTCCCTCCGGAGACGGTTTTATCTCGTCATTGGTACACAACACGCGGCGATACACGGAATCGTAAAATCGCGGTAATGTACGCGGCCGCCGCGTTAATGTAACAAATCAGCGGCGAGTGTCGACTAGAGAGAAAGAGAAATACGCCGGGACTTATCTCGCGGAGAAACACGCGGCCCTTACGCGCGGTCGTAAAGATTTTAACATCGTTAACGCGGCGATAACGCGACCGAAACACATTTCTCTTGTTTAATCCCGTCTCTCGTTCGCTCGCCGCACTCGTCTGTTCGCTCGCTCGCCCGATGTCGGCCAGAAGATTGCAACGTTGTTTAAACGTCGCGATTAATGAACGGCTGTCAACATCGTTGGAAAATCACTTGCTCCGGCTACGTGCTGT